AACACTCAATTGTCTAAAGGAAACAACAAAAAGAGAGAAGAACAGGTTGCAATACCTGGCTTTTCCTTGCCAGTCTCTTTTGAACAAACAAACTGCTCTAGCAAACTTGAAACTTGAAATGTGTCCATATTTTTGGAGAATTCTTCGATTATCTAAAAGAAAAGATATTTCACTGCAAAATTTAGTTCACAGGAAACATTTTCCAAGACATATTTTCTATACAAGGATCAATTTGAAAGTACTTTGCATTGTATTGACTACCAAGCACCTGAAGGTAGTTTATATGTTATTGAGAAGCATGTCAGTGTGAAAGTGCAATGTTTTGAGAGATGGCAGGGTTATGCTTCGAAATTATAGGAAAATTTTAGCTTTGAAAAAATTGGTGGATGTATAGAGATTTTCATTTCTTAGTTTAGCAAGAATGATGGTTTAATTTTTTCATAGCAAAGAAATGACGAGTTTGTCATAGCAAAAATCAGTTCTGTTCTGAATATATTAATTGTTGGTTTAATTAACACTGAAAGGCAAACAGGCCACACAGACCCTTTCTAATACCATGGTTATCTAATTTTACTCAAGAGCTACGCATTTATTTGCAGCTGAAATGCATACCTGAAGCAATACAAGACATATGAAATAAACTCCCTCCATAAACACACGAATGAATGAATAAATCTTTGTAAAATAATATGAAAATAAGAACAAGGTCAGAATTACTGACTAACGTAAGGGAATTAAGGGAATAGTGAAAGCACCACAACAAGGAGAAAAAGAAGATAATACGAAAACATCTAACAAATAAAATAAGATAGCCAAGGTGATTGGTATGTTTTATAACGTCAGGAGATTTGTGTAGTCTGTTAAGAAGGCAACATAAGTCTTAAGAAGATTTGTGCAGAATTTGCCTTCAAAATTCTAATGAAAGTCAGGTCAATCGTGAAGATAATTCTTTTTATCAATATTTTCTTTCAGAGGTATCTAAAGAATCAAACAGTGCTGTAAGTAATCATATGATGACGTCTTGTTGCTGAAAAGACACACATAGACCAGTATGCGAAAAATTTTGAGCAGAAAATGTTGCATACCTGGTTCAGCATTACTCTTTCAGTCGTCAAAGAGTTGCCATACTTTCCAAGAAAAGCAAGCACTTCCGTTAAATGTTCCTCTTCTAATGACTGAAATTTCTGAAAAAAAGAAACAAGCGATTAGTGAACAGAGCCTTTTTAGCAAAATATAAAAAACAAAAATATCGAGGTATAAGGAACCTAGCCAAGGTAGCAACCAACAGTTCAATGAAGCTACAAGCTGGATGGGAGGATTCAAAATTTTAAATCCTCTAGTTATACATAGGTCCTTCACAGTTTGGACCAAAGACAACAAATACTGTACACCTTATATCTTAACACAAGCTATGATTATGAAAAGCTTCTTTTAAAAACATTGAGGAGGCTTCTGATAAGACTGGACGCTAATCTTTAGAATATTACGATGTTAATTTATGCTGCTTCTGTTTACTGTGTTTTTTTGTAATTATCTTATGATCATGAGTCAGTTTCGAGTCTCAATACGAGTTGCATGCTATCGTCTTCGCTTCTTGCCGTATACGATTACTCACAAGTTACAGCTAACCCTAACCTGTAACAGGCTCACTAAAGAGGGGGAGAAAAGCATCATACAAGTGGAGTACAGTACAACATAAAATATATTGTCAATGCAAAGAAATCCGTTCTTTGTTCTAAAATTGATCAAGATTTAAACTTGCGGATGAAAATTTGTACAGATACTTCATCTCACCCTGCCTGTTTCTGTAAATTTAGCCTCGAAATCTTTCCTTGTACTTTCTCGCTTTTCGATAAGATTCTTGTATTCTTCACCTAAAATAACAAAGGATCGTTTCTTCCAGAAATGCTGGCATTATAATGAGTATTCCGCTGCAAAGTTCTAGCACTGGCCATGAGCGCAAATAAGGCCATTTAAAGGGGTTATCTCCAAGGGAACCATAACTATACAGTAGCTGAGGCTTCAACTCGTTTTTACACATATTCCTGTCAGCAAGAGCCAAAAGCTGAACGTAGCATACTGACTTCAGCGCACTTTAAACCGTACTTTTGAAACTTTTCCATTGGAATCTAGGTGCCCCTTCCCTCCCAACTCCCCCCCCCCAGAAACCCTGGAGCGTCCTCAGCAAAAGACGTGACCTTGTCATAAAGCATAACTGGACTTTACTCTAAGGCTGGACGATTCAAAAGACTATCCTCACATTAAAATAATCTATACTACAATGTTTGCTTTTAATGCCCAGTTTCTGAATCAGCTGTCCTTGAATACCGAAAAAGTTGCACAGTTAGCCGCAAACTTATTATTGAAGAAAATTCAATTAAGTTGCTGGTTTTCCCGGAAGCCACACAAAAAGACCATCTGCGCCAGAAATCGCCATTTGATCAAAGTCACAGATCGGTGCAGTTATGATGTCACAAATCTCATTCCAGATAATATAAAATAAATTTGTAAAAAATAGTTGTATTGACCAAAAATTAGTTAAGATATTGCTATATAATCGCTCCACAGAAATTAAAAAAAGTGCTTCACTATACGAAGTGCTAAATTAATATCAATGTCCTTCTATATTCAAGTTTTTTTCCAACTGCTGCGATCTTTTTCTCTTTATTCTGAGGCTTTTTGCAATATTGAGAATTCCAAAACTGTGCCTTTTTATGGAAAAAACTTGTAAACCTCAAGTGGATCTAAGTTCCTAAAGCAAAATAATTTTCAATTGATGCATTGGGTCGTATAAACTTTGATCTTAATTATTGGTAGATCCAGCCTTGATTTTATCCATATTAATCCAGCCTTGATTTGAGAGTGAGGCTCTGTCAAGGCAATAATTTTGAATAATTTTGAAGCGTGGCTTCTGCTTTTAGTCAGGAAAATGTGGACTAAGAAAGTTGCTGAAAAAACACTGGCTTGACACTTTATTAATACATCGAATACTTACAAGATTTCTTTAGTTTGTTCTCGGCCTAAAAGAGATGTGAAATTAAATCAGGTTACAGACTCCTTAAGTGAGTGCTAATCTTCTTAAGTACAAGCTAATATTGTCATGGCGATTTCATCCACTTTGCAACTTCAAGCTGCATTTTATTGGTTAATAAAACTGGACGTGAACTTTACTTTATTATCTAGAAAGCCAATTTACAGTCTGACATATAAAGCTTGATTAGTTCTATATCAAATTTAGAGGCCTTTTAGATTACAATACATAAATCAAATCCAAACATTAAAAATATCATGTATGAGTTCAACACTTAGGTGCTCTTTTCTCTCACGATCCATAATCCACATAACAGAAACAAAGTCTTATACTCTTACCTTTTCTAGAGCTGGTATCTCTTTGCTACTGTTACACTCTTTTCTCATTTTTTCCGTTTCCACACATCGGGCTTGATATGCTTCTTTGGCCTGAAAATAGAAAACCAACAATAAATATTTCATAAGTATAGGCAGGGTCGAAGAAAGGGCAGTCCCATAACTAAAGACAAGGTCCCTGATAATCAAATAACTTTATCAACCACTCCATGTTACATCTTGCTTCGATTGATGTGAGGACATTTAGGGTTTTGGCTGGTAGAAGGATTAATTCCTCTTGTGAAAGCTAGACGTATAACAAAACAAAACAAATGATGTGGATTGTGTTTTATACGTGGCTCACTTCCTTTTGAGCATTGTCCCATTTTGCTCAATTGGATGGAACAAACATCGATATCTGGTGTTGAAATAACTATACTCAAACATTGATAATCTCTTATTCAACTTAAACATGGTAATTTTTCATATTGAGACTGTAGGATCCAAACCACGAGTCAGATGGAAGAGAGCCACCTGTAATTAAACTAAGGATGGCTTCTAAATCAACTTTGCTATCATTTATTCGTGCCCAATTACTTATCCATATCATTTGATAATTTGACTTCATTTGCTAAGATGGGAAGGTTTGGAAATTGATCCTTCATTCATAAAAAACCAGAAAAGCTCCCATTATAACACCTGCCTTGGTTAAAGTTAACATGATGGTTGGAATTCCAGTTGATGCAGGTCAGAGCATTTGTACACAAGGGTGAATGATTTGCTCTACATTGCTGGTCACAGTAGTACCAAACTATGAGAAAGATAGCAAGGATCCAGGGGCAGCAAGAAATACATCAAGGGTTATTTCCAAAATTATTTATAGAAGAAAGTTTTGATTACCTAAGTAGAACAATTACAGAATTCCTATAACAAACTTCTAGTCAATATCAAGGATGGGCTATACTTAATTTTCTCCATATAATCAAGACAAGACTCAATTTACAAAGCAAATTTGAGATTTATCATACAGGTACAGACCTGACAGGTGTAGAAATCACAACCTTTGAATATTCCACTGTCATAAGTAATTGAAGATAAATAATTTTGTTTAACAGACCTTCAGGCTTACTAGTAACAGTGTCTGTAGCGCTACTTTAAGCAGGTAGATTCATGCAATTAAAGCAAGGTTTAATAAAAAGCTTGAGTTGAATAATACAATAGTATCTGAAAAAATATTCTATATTAATTGGACAAATAGATGTGCAAATGCAAATGAACAACTTGATAAACAAACCTTAGATACAGAATTGTTTAGAGCCTGGATACTCTGAACAAGTTCTGTCATGCTTGTAAACTCATCTTTTAACTGTAAAAGGGCAATCAAAAAAGCCAATTATTAAAATTATTTTAGATTACAAAACACCTACTTCTATTTCGACATTTTTGCTTTCGTTTGCAAATCATAAAATTTGATATAAAATAGAAACGATTGTTTTTGAACACTTCCAGGTGCATACAAAGATAAAAACAGTGATTTTTGGCATTCTTGTCAACAAAGGAAATAATTCTATAATAATTTTTATTAATCTATACACCATAAATCCTTAAACTAGCCCCTCTTTGAGCTTATTTAGTTGTTTATCATTAATCTATTGTCAATTGCTTAATCAATGTAGATAGAAAGATCATTGAAAAAATGTTTGTTGATTTTAGTTAATTTTTGTTGAAATGTGATACATCATTAACAACAATCATGCATTGTATGTTGGCATAGAGCTTGTTAAATATTTATATTGCAAGGGTAGGGCTGATTCAAGAAAGGGTTCATATTTTTCTGCAAATGGCATCGAGGCCGAGGTGGCCCATTACAAAATAACAATACAACAGCTACACAATTAAATGCTTACAAAAAGCACAGAGTTTACAGCCTAAGACTACATATCTAAAGCATATAAAAAGATAAACAATTATAATTATACAGATATTATTACTTCACAATTTTCAACACTTACATAAAGAAAGATTAAAGTTTGCATAGAAAGACTTTGCATTTTGAATAAGAAATGGCAAACAGCTACTGAAGATTCAGGGTAAGAAATGTCTCATACTATCTCTCATAGTCAAATGAGAGGGTCAAATTGAGAATCAATAGCATTTACTGACAGCTGACTACAGAGTCTGCTGACTTTATTTAGATCTGTTCCATTAACATAATGCTGAACTGACAAAATGAACACAAAAATGACAATACAGGATGAAATGCTTTGTAGATATGATTATCAAAATAAATTTAAGTAACACATAATTGAACTAGAAGCATGGATATATTTGCCTTTAAATGAGACTCACACTGGCTGATACCAAAGCAAGCAAACAATCAATCTTAAAACACACCTGTTTCTGTTTTTCTTTTTGAACTTCACCATATTCCTTTAATGCCTTTGTGACATCATTTAGGTTTTGTACAACTTGCTGATGAATACTGGCAAGCTTTTCTGTGTTGCTTTGCAAAAACTTCCAACATGGCTCAAATGACCTATAAAAATAATGCAATTCTTTATTAGATTTTTACAGCAGCATGAAAAACATTTTTGCAGACAATCAGAACAAAAATGATATAAAATTGCAAATAAATTTTGTGCAATAAAAGCTTTGAAACTTTTTTCAATAGCAGGTTTGTAGCACAGACTTTCTGGAGCCTTTTCATCAAAACATATGACAAAAAACTTCCCTTATATGTGTTAGTAATAACTGGACAAATAGACCCCTGATAACAATGCTTGACAGTAACAAAGGTATCTTATGAATAAAGGACCAGTTGAAGATTGAGCTTTGCACTGCATGCATTAAACAAAGTGAGTTTGGGATTAAAAAGCATTGAAAGCAGTAATTTAGGTCATCATACAGGCCTGGCCGGTTGTATATTTATAGGTGAGCTGTGAATCACTCCCTCATTTGCTGAGGCTAGCTAAATCAGTAACACATATAATGTACTTTAAAGACAATCGACAGATGACTTAAGCCCCTTTAGTGTCTGTCGGTTGCCTTTGATAGCCTCAGTGAGGAGTATGCTGTTTTACTTCTTCAATTTGTATTTGCTTTAACCGTGACTTAGGCACCCCCTTTACTTGAAGTATTTAAAAGAATAGACTCTTTCAGTTTCATGCACTTGCACAACACAAAAACAACAATTCTCTTGCCAAACAATCTTTTTGTTTTACAAAATTTCAAAATGGTTTTGAAAAACAAATTTTGAAACAAACTTAAGTTATTCGTCTAGCACTCTTGGAAAACTCTTCGCTAAAATACCCAGTTTTGGATCGAGATAGGCCAATCAGAAAACGCGAGCACATTACTGTTGAGGTTGTCCAATCAGTGCCGCTTTCCTATTGAAAATATTACCAACGTGAAAACAAACTCCTAAGGTGAGAACAAACTCCTTCTGTCATGTTTATATAGTAGATAGATTCACAAACTGCTAGATGGAATGATGATCAGGCTTTGCCAATAATGCGTAACATGTTGCCGTTATAGTTTTCACCCAATCTTGGTTTTTCAGCAAATGCTGCTGGATTGTGGAATTCCATGTTTTGGTTGTCGTTTTGATCTGCAAGACAGAGTACCCTGTTCTCTTTGAGGGATGGTTTTGTTTCTATTGCTGGAAGGGACCTGCTGTTTTATTATATCCCCCAATCTACAACTCCTACGAATTTCTTTGACTTTCCTTCCAAAAATATGCCTATTTTCTTGAGATTGAAAGGTTCTAATCGCTACAAACATACCTTTCGCTTATCCTTTTCCAAATAGATTGAAGTTTATGCCTATCATAACAAAAACCGCCCAACAAGCAAAAAGTTTATTGCAAGTTTATTGCAAATAGTGCAATGACGGGAGAAGTCGCTGTTACAAAAATAACCTTGTAATTAATCCTTGTAAGTTTTCAGGGTTCTCTGAATAGGAAAAGGGGAAATGAATGGAAATTTTAGGGGAGCAATTCTCCCTTCATGTTTTGTTTAGGAGAGCAATTCATAGCTCGCCTCAGGTTGCGAGGGGAGGGTGGACAAACGACCAGGCCTGGCATAGACCAGATTTTCAGGTTAACTCTGACAAAAATATTCACATTCTCCCCTACTTGGCTTTTATTGTTTCCATTCATTTCAAAATTCAAATACAACAGAGAAGGTTTGCTTTTCTTGGGTCAAAACAAACATAAATCCATTTATTTTTACATGCTTGTACTTTATGAAGGACATTGAAACAAACTGTCAGATAAAATGTCTAAAAAAGTTCTGTCAGATTCCATTGTCATACTGAATAAAGATAATAGTAAATAAAAGACAGAAACCATATGTCTTTTTTGTAGAGCCTTAAGAGGAACAATTCAAAGTATTTCAATATTTTAGGTAATGAACAAAAGCAAAACAATTCATGTTATATGCATAAAGTTACAAAAGAAAAATATTTACCCAATGTGGCCAAATGCACTTGGACATTTGTTTGCCACCTTTTGAAGTGATTTTATGTAAGCCTCTTCAACTGCAACTCTGAAAATAAAAAGCAGGAATGAAAACAAGAAAATGTCATTATAACGAAGCAAGAAAATGAAAGAAAATTGAAAACAAAAGCTAGAGGTATATTTGACAGACAAGAGAGAAACATATAGGTAACATGTAAGCTTTTGTAATAAAATGATACTATCAAAACTTAGTTGCTGCAACCTGTACAAGAATTAAGTTTATTTGTTTTAGGGTGGTTATATGTATTGTTTAGTTTTTTTGCTTCATTTACTTGTTGTTAAAACTTTTTATGTTCGATGGCCGCAAGATAGACACAGCCTTGTGCTCCTTGCGGTATCATCTGTTGGTAGCGTAGTGTTGGTAGTGTTGGTAGCTTTGTAAGTGGGGTAACTAGTAATATGTAATTGTAACTTATAATTTAATGACAAATAAAAAAAGTAAATACTTTCATAAAAAACACAAACTCTCAATGTCAAAAGTGCCACTAAAAACAAAAAGTTCTATCTAAGATCAGCTATAACTAAATTAGGCATAAAATATGATTATAGAAGATTTGTTATTGCATAATCAAGTTTAGGAAAGAGCAATAAAACATAAGCTAGAAAAGATAAATAATAAATCTTATTTCATGTAGTTTTTTGTGACATTCCATTTGGAACAAAAAATTTAAGGATGTTTGAAACATGCCATTGGGAACAACAATAAATCTTTGCAAAGGATGAGCAATACTATTTGACGACAGAGATGGCTGTCAGCAAACAACTAGCAAGCTCTATTAGTATGACAGAATCTACCACTAAATAAATCTATCAGTAAAAAATAAGTCACATTTCATACCTTTCTTTGACAAATTCAAGAAATTCTTTTGTAGCATTGCTTCCCTGTCTAAAGTTTGCATGCAAAACATCAAAACCATTGTATCTCTCTCCCTAAACACAAATTTTGATGTTATTGCTCACACCAGTAATGTGAAACAGATAACATACATCTACCTCCCAAACAGACTTACTAAAAGATGAGTTTCAAAACACCCTTGATATACCTTGATAATACCCTTGATAAGTTTCAAAACAAAATCTTTACTTCCATACCATTCTATTAGCATGTTACAACACAACACCAATATTAGCTGAAACAGTGCATTGCAGCATCATTTAACCTTTTATATAAAAAGTCTGTCAATATGAAAGAATATGGAAAATTGTCATTTTAGGATTAGACTTGTGTGTAACAACTTTCAGACTAAAAAATCCTGATTGCGGAACCAATTGCCTAATTTACAGACTGCAGATGAAGGGTTAAGAATGTGTTGAAAATGCAGGCAATTTCACTTTAGGCAAGAATGATGGTTACTTTACTTGAAAAAAGAGTTAATTAATTTTGGGTTAATGTTTGCAGAAGCACCTTGAGCTTGAGAAAGTCAAATGCCTGATCAAAAATCTACAAGCAAATGGGCAAAACTATTGAACTATCTTTACAATTCATGACACTACATTTTAAAGCACATTAAACATTCTTTTAGTAAGTGTCTCTTTTGTATTTATACAAAACAAGCAATTTTGCAATTTTCTGGATGGCTTATCCACGGGACCTCACAACAACAAAAAAATGAAAATCAGGTTAGAGGCCAGGAAGGCCAGGTACCTGGAAACCAAAAAAATAAATCTGCTGGCTCATATAATAACATTTTTGGCAGCAGTATCACCCCCTGAGTAGTTATGGTGCGAGATTGTCAAAGATTGCCATAAGACTAAAATGGTAGCTTGACCTTTAGGGGATAGAAAGAATTTTAATATGATGCAAAAATTAACTTTAAAGCATTTTGTAGGTTGAATGAATGCTAAAACCCTACATTCACTGTGACCTAAAAATAATTCTACACTCTGTTCTTACTTTTTGGCTAATTCGGGGATCAAGTATCTTTAATGCTGTTTTTCAACAGATTTTTCAAAGACTCCAATGCCTGCCAAAAATACTTAGAACACTTAGCAATTTGCATTGCATTTTATATCTTTCATTCATTTTTCAAAAAAAATACTACTTCTGCCCCCTTCCCTCTAGAACAATGTTGATAATTTAGCAAAATATCATAAAAGAAGTCCAAAAGAACATGCTTCCTAAAATCCTAACCCATTTCATAGTAAACCAACATTGTTCTGTTAGGGAGAAGGGATGATGGATTTTGACCTTGGAAACTGATTTCAGTGTTCTAAGACTCTTGGCAGGCATTGTACATAGAATATTTAATTTGTTTCTTATTCCACCAAATAAATAATTGTCTTGCATGGCATTTTTGTTAGCATGACTAATTAGCAAATGAAATCTGCTCTATGAGAATAACTTTAAAACAAAAGACATTGATTTTTCTTTCTAATTTTTGATCTGACAGGGCTGTAATATTGGATAATATTGGATGATTGGATGATAGCATGTGGGATAATATTAGACAACATTTGGCCCCTACCACTCCTAAAATTGTCTCTTACTACAGCTTGTTTGGGGCTGATGATGTTCTTACATTATTCTTATATTTTTGGCAAATCAAACCTTTGTATTCTCAACAACAAAAAGATTGTAGTGAGGTATTCACACATCAAGATATGTCTAACATAACTTTTGCAACATTATTTGACAATATTGCAACTACAATAGAATTGAAATATTTTGCTTGGTATATCTTTGGTCACCACACATCTATCATGGAATTTCTTGAAAACATAAGCATAATAATTGTGTTACTGATATTAGGACTGTCCAAGCCTAGGTCCTTAGAGTTCAGAGTACTGTAACAGGAGCGTGCTTACTATACCGGTAGTACCACGAAATTGCAAATATCAATTTCTTCCCACCAAAGCCTGTCTTAACAGGAAAGTCACGGAGACCATGCCCAGGATCCAAAACAAGTTTTTAGTGAGATAGACACTGCAACTTGAAGTACATCCACCGTGCAACACGATAAAATGGATTTTAGAGAACTAAACGTTTGTATAAAAAATGTATCGATTTCTGAGTGAGTTCCAAATTTATAAAACAACAAAAATTGACACTGTATGCTGAATTAACAATATTTTGAAAAACCTTTCGCTTTTCATAGCTAAAATTATCTTAGATCTCTTACCTACAATAAATGCGAATAATCACAACTCACATCAAAGCAAAACACAATCTCGTCATCCAGTCTATCACCCAAAATCATCAAAGGAAACAAGACTTCGTATACTTCTGAGGAAGCATCAGATCTAACACTTCCTCATGGCGAACAACATATCAAACAAACTAGCTTTGTACACATAAAAAGTTAATTTCCTTACCCAGAAATGTTCTTCAAATGCAACCATCTTTTATGCCTCCAACTGGAGTTAAGCCCGATTTGACGATAATTCAGTTGGCCTACAAGTCGGCTACGGCATTCCTAGCCTATAGCACCTTCCGCATATTATCTTAATACGTGCTTAACTCCATAAATGATCTGTCGAGAAATGTTATCCTCGCCTTGAGTCAGGTGGTTAAATGTTTCGGTCAAATCAAATTTTCATGAAAATAATGTCTAATTAACGCCAGAGCTATAGATTTCCTATAGCAACTTCCACGAATACCCCCTACGATAATTGAAGGCCAACGCGATAGGGAGTGGACGCTGCGAGGCGTTTTGAAGTCACATGCCTTGAAGAAGTGGCCCTCCTGTGCAGCCTGCAAACAAGGATAAATTCACCCTGGGGGAGGGGGTAGGTGTTTGATCAGCAAGAAATATTCTTCTCGTAGTTTGCAAATAAACGAAAGAAACTGTTGAATATCAATCTATTCAAACACGGAGTTTTAAAAGGTTCTGGACTGCATAGTCAATTGCAGGAAATTTTGATACAAAGGCCCCAGATTGGAAAATTTGCAATTTACGCAACTGAATCACTATACCTAAGATCGATTTGTGTGGCTGTAACTTGCAGTTAAATATGCAAGTTAATATGTATGTAGCAGAAATTTCGGTTGCACACAACAAACTTAAATTTTACTTTACACATAAAGCCAATCCTGACCTTCAATCCACTGAAGGTTGTGGTCTTGCTAAGAAAATAGCCATGGTTTTAGGATCTAGAGGAGTTCTGCTGGAAATAGCTAGGTGATGATGCAACTATCTTTAACAACTTCCCTTAGTACAATTTTTCATTATTTTACTATTTTTACAATTTTTCAATATAGTAATAATAAGATTGTATTTGTACTAGATGTAGCTACAGATTCATATTTTGCACATATAAAATATATTTATGAGAATTAAGTCATATGAACTGGACTGGACTGAACTGAATCTCCAAAATTTCAAAGTCATTTTCTAGACCAAATAAAATCAGCATTTGTGAATTACTTTTGATTGGTATTAACAAAAAACTTACAAGAGAATACTCTTGTCACAGATCGCTAAACATAATCCCTCGCAGAAATAGGATCACTTTTTCCCTATTCTGTGCTCTCGTACTTGTTTGCAGACAGTATAATTTTAGATCCATAATAAATCAATGTGTGAGGACTGATGGCAAATTGAAGGCAAAAAGGTGTACCAGCTAGTTCTCAAATCTTAGCACACTTTATCACCACACCCCCCCCCCCTTCAACCCATAATTTAAGCATATCATTGCATTGATGAGACCACAAAATAATACAAAAATAAAATTCATCCTTTTCAGCATCCTACTCTAGTATTGTTTGTTTTGTATGCTATGTTTCTGCTATTTTGTGCCATCTTCAAATTTTGCAGTAAAAAAAACTTACTTGGCATTTAATTATAGAATTCAGCGCTTTGAAAATAAAACAGTCCAAAAAAATTTACTGCATCCATAGAATCGCTAAACATGCGGCTATTAATGCTGTAAAAACAAGGAGGGGTTGTGTTTATTTTTATACAAAAATGGTTAGAGATATTAGCCTAGAAGCATACAACAAATGCACAGGTGAATTACTACTTGGCAATAAAGATATCTGATGAACTGATATGATACTCACTATGCAATAGACTGTTTTTTGCATCTTTTTATTAAGAAACAAAGAAATATGATAACATGAACTTGAAGACAAGTTTCAAGTAGCTAGATAACTTGAACACACATATATTGATACACCTTTAACATGCAGAGATTGATCTTTAGTTACATTGCCTGACACAACACCTGTAAAGTTTTAGTGGTTTTTTAATAAATATTCTTTCAAGTGCTTGCTTTTTGCTTCTTAACAGGGACATCGGTAACTCCAGAAATTGAGTGTTTTCCAGTTTCTCCTGACTTTGAATCCCACTTAGATGACTTTGACTTGTCATCAGTCCCTTGAGCTGAAGTCACAGACCCTGTGGTGCTTAGTTTCTTTGTTGCTTTAATGAATTCAACCTGGCCTTTTTGATGTTTTTCTTTTTCTTTCTTTTCATGGGCTTCTTTTTGTGCTTTAGCTAGTGCATCATAATATGACTCTACGCCCCAACTTGATGGATTGAACAAATTTCTTGGATAATTAGTGCCATATTCATCAATGCTACAGTAGTTCACTAGCTTTTCATAAATGCTTGGGTTTCTAAAATCCTTTTTCCTTTGAACATGCTCATTGAGGGACAATTTTCCAAGATTCTTTTTTTCCAGCATCCTAGCAATCTTATCCTGCAATGAACGGGAGCAGCGCCCTTCTGGTTCCGGTGGTAGTCTAACCTGATCTAGGGCATTATTAGATGCCGTTTTTGTAAAATTCAATTTTTCAGGGTTTAATTCTGAGTCTTCTGCTGCAGACCCAGGAGATTGCTCTCCCACAGAAGCATTTGATTCTTGTTCTTGCAACTGTTCAGCTTTTCTTTTATACAACAAATGCAAATCGAATTCTTCTTCTTTATCAGATTCATCAGTATCTGAGTCTGATTCATCGTCTCTAGCGTAAGAGACAAGTGGTGTTATACGTACCGGAGGCTTCGACAGTTCAATTGATGAAGGAATTGGTAAAGGGGGCTTCATAACATGCGAATCTGTTTTTTTCAAACTGATGTTTGACTCTTCGTCTTCATCCACTATATCTACGGTATTTTCGTTCATGTCTTCGTCGCTAAAACTCCCGTCGGCCGCAAGGGAGTGAAGTGACATTCTAGTTTCCGTGGCAGTGTTTCGCAACCTTGCGACCCAAACTTTTCCGCAAAGAGTCTAAAATATCATAGATGATTCTAATCAATGTCTTATAGCTCTCAAAGAGCCAACTCTCTGCATTACAAGCTGGTAATTGCTGCAAAGCTCAGGTTACTTTCAGCTACTACTACTACCACAAAGTCGCCGCCATTTTCACTTCTAAATAATAAAGCGAGCTGCGAGCCTCGAGCTCAAGCACGTTCCTCCGCAGCAGTAAATTTAGAAACAATTAGGCTTTTGACGGAAAACCTTGGATCACAAAGTCACAAGAAAAGGGGTGTCCAAAATATGACCAGGTTTTAAAATGTGAAAGTGCCCAAGGGCCAATAGTCCATGCATAACATTGAAAAACAAAATTTGCATGTGAATACATTGCTGTGCGACACTTCTATTTCCAATGACACCGCTACCGTGTTTCTTCAAATAACAGTCAAACGATAGAATGCAATCAGACAAGACCACAAATCGACAGCTATTTTGCCCTTAATAAATAGCTTTACATTAGGTCTACCTTTTCATACGAGTTGGTTGCGAAATTTTGTCCCATATATTTGTTCAAAACACGTAAAACTTTGAAGATAAAGTTCAGAAACAAAGCAACAAGGTGACGAGAATCCAATGTAATAAAATAAATTTTCAAAATAAATTAAATAAAATGCATACTAATATTTCGCCCCGGCATACAGGGCTTCATCGGATTAAAAAAACGAACCAAAACTTTCCCTAGTCACTCATTATTTAGGATCGTCTAGAACGTTGATGATGAAAGATGCGAATGATTGAGTTGCAGAAAGTGAAATTAATATCAGAAAAATAGATGGAATGTTGAAGGAATGTCATATAGTTAGTATTTGAGCACTTTAACAAAACTTTACAGGGAACCTGCTCAAGTGAAGTTGTCAAATAAAAACACTGTTCCTTGTGAATTCTTTAATTCCAAAAGGTAGAGCTTGGCACAAAGGCTAAGATTGGTTGACTTTATACCTACTTAACTGAGATGAATGGTTATTTTATCCCAGTACTTGACTTATGTGTATTTTCTAGCCATGTGTTTGATAAAACATTCTGAAGGTAGCATGTTGCGAGAAGAAAGCACTCTCCTCAACTCCTGCATACTTAAGGCTCCTAGCGTGAGGCTGGACTGAGGTAAACATTCATCGAAGAAGCGACAAGGCATCGTAGAAACGGCAAGCCCTTCAAGGTTTTTATAAACTATTAAGACCCGGTCAAAAATGAAAAAAAAGAAAATAAAAATATTTGCAGTAGTTATTATACCAAATTAAATGAAACAAACTAATACATAAACAAGAACGGGTACACCGATAAAGTCACCTAGATAACGAGCATGTTATCCGTATGTTTCAGTTCATGGCTTCAGAAGATTTCGTTCTAGAAAAATTTTAGCTATACACATGAACTTTATCAAAGATTTGGCTTTCGAAAATGTCCCACATGACAAAACCTTTTTCAATTGGTGTGTTAGATCGTTCCCAATCTGGGAAATAATGATTTCGGGGAATGTGAGCATCATTTCGTCATTTCGTGATTCCTTTTTGAAATCACGTATCTCGCTGAAATATTCTTCCATTCTAAAATCTGCTTTGAAGAGTTTGAAGAGGCGAAGTTTTATATTCTCTTAATTGGTCTCAGAAGCTCTGTTTATTACTGCTTTCCATTGTTCAATAGAAATGACATAAATCTTCTCAAACAAACACAAATTGTCACAGGGACTTACGAAAACAGTTTGCAGAAAATAATTATGTTTATGACATTTTTAGTGCTATTGATTTCAATCCTTTTGGATACTGCTGTCTCAGAAATCCAAATAAAAATTACAAGATCAAGATCTATATATCAAGATTTATCATACAGAAATACGAATTAGAAATTTGTTTACGATTTAAAGTTCAGTCCTGTCGCCTCCAGCACCACTAAGCTTTGGTCCACGCTTCTTGTTTCTATGTAGCAAAAAAAGGTGAAAATGAGGCTCAATAGCGATTAGAATCCAAAATACAAACGAAAAAACTGTCAACGTCTATTTTCGATGCAAGTGACATGGATGGGATGAGAAAAATGTAACTGGACTAACAGCTCCCAGAGCAGAGATTTATAAGTTTCCCTTGCGAGCAAGATTGAAAAAATTATGTTGGCAATGTATACATGGCAGATATCTTTACAATAAAGGGTTTGCATAGGGAAAAACATTAGAAAACAATTCTTTTCATAGCATTCGATCTTGGTGCCTAAGTACTTACCTCTTTTTAGCATCTCGGCAAATACCATCTAAACAGCTAGTTTTTGTCAAACGGCAATCCTTTGTTAGCCATAGAGGGAACTTTTTATAATTTGTCATCCTTTTTCTTCTAGACAAAACAGCCAGTAGAAATTCCCTCAAGTCTCCGAACGAAAATGATCCTATGTGATGTGCAAACTCCTTATTAAGTCTCTTCACTGCTATAACGAAGGGAAGTTGTGTCATATCAACAGCAAAAGCTTCGGCTATGTTTTCGTGACAAGTTGCATTCAACCAAGAGTAGCGGACGTGATGATCCTGAAATTTGAAAGAAATACAAAGTTTAATGGATTCAAACATTTCAAGCAAAAAAATCTTTGTTTTCTAAGAAAACACCACAATAGATTTCTGGAAATAAAGTATATAACAAGGCATGGCACATTAGTTTGTTTTCTCTTCAGGTACAAACCTTATTGAAAAGTATTTTGGAAAAAAGGGGCATGGTATCATATCATGTCACATCCACCTTTCATCTTCTTTTCACTTTTTACAGTGGGGTATAAAAAATGCATTCATCCAACTAATCAAGCGTGTACTGATTCCTGTATCATTTCTGATGTCTTAAAAAGGCATCATCCAGAAAGTAGAAGAACATTAGGAGAGTGTTCCAATGAAATATTCAGGAGTGTATCAAGCCCAAGGAGCATTAAGCGAGTAAACAAAGAAAACACTGTTGTGAATTCGTGCCAAGCGATGCTGTGCGAGTGGGAAATTGGGAATCATGTGCAGGGAGCATAGTAGAATAATCTTTTGATTGACTGAAGCGTTATCATTTTGAATTTATGCAAATTATTCTCGCGCTATAGAAATCAATGGGAAAGCCGCGGCCGAGGGGTGCAGGGCTTTCATCCTCCCCGGCATACACGAGGCTATGTGTGATCCTGCTTTAGGCCACTGTAGATGTTTTCTCTGTTCCTTTTATGAGAAATAAGTCCTTTGAGTAGAGATAAAACTTGAGCATTCTGTCCTCTGCTTGGCTGCAGCACATGCTGTTAAATAGACCTAAATTGAAGCGTTTTGAAAATGGTAAATATCTTGAGATCTAGACGGTGAACAAAAAATCCCAACGACAAAGTTGTAGATTTGCCTTCGCTGGGTTCACTTCAACTGTCGATTTTCGCGCCGAGTGCACCGAGTGTGTGCCGTGGAGGTTAAAAGCCCTGCACCCCTCGGCCGCAGCTTTCCCATTGATTTCTATAGCACCAAGCTAATTTGCATAAATTCAAAATGGTAGCGCTTCAGCCAATCAAAAGATTATTCCGCTATGCTTGTGCAGGGACATATGTGGTTCGAATGACTTCAGCTTACGTCATCTTCTTCATTAACCACTGTAATGGTAATCTATGCTGGAGGTCTTTTATCTACCTACCCTCACTGTTTCTGATTTTCTAACTCTATCCAGAATCGCCTCTTTCTCCTTAATGTACTCCTTGTTGCTATTTCCAAGAAAAGCAATTACACATACAGCTGTTGATTTAGAACCACAAATTCTATCAATCGATGAATATGTAAGCTCTTCAACCCCTGGTTGCTGCTTTCTTGAGGGTTTGTCTAAAAAAGTAAAAAACGTATTTAAGAACAACATGAGCCTGTAGAGCTTGAACTGATTGCTGAAATTAAGAAACATAGTCTTATGTATCGGCTAAAATAATACGAATCATTAGATGTAATTTGTACGTGAAACTTAGCTTGATCATACTAGTTAGTTGCGCAAAAAAATTTTCCATTTAATCAGCTGATCATTCTCTAGGTTCTTGTAAGCCGTTTTCTTGTTGAAACATGCAGTTATCATGCATAATAAAAATAAATATCACGTCTTTTTGGAAGAAGAATGCAACCAACGTTGTTTAAACTCGCATAAAACAATGACGGGCTTAGAGCCTGGGTAATATCTAAAGCAGAATAATTTCATCCCTCATTTCTCCGGGTTTTGAATAGACCATTCATCATGGACCCAGCAAGCGATTCTTTAGATCTTAAATCTAGCGTCCATGTTAAAAGACTGAGACTTGAAAAATAGTTTTGGAAAAATGCTTTGGAGATATCTACTAAGTACTCTGCAATTAGCTCTAATGTCTAAAGGCATCCAAAAGACAGCAACTGCAGTAAAATTTGTAATGTTTTTCCGGCATAATCCTGTTTCAAGAACGAAACGGGTAAGAGCAAAGAAAGCCCAGGCTTCTATAATCTCTAAAAGCAGCACCGTCGATATAGAATACAGGTTGCTATTATTCAAAAGCTTTGCTTTGGCTGCAAAAAGTTGACTACAAAGGCATCAGAAAGTTGGCTATAATACTTAGGAAAGCTCAAGGACTCAGCCCCTGTTCTTACAATTTAAGAATGTTTAGTGCAGTTCGATGCCTCTTTCCACGCTCGTATATTTGACAGAGCAAAATTAGTACTGAGCAAATTTTTTAAAAAGTTAACTAGTTTATAGATTTGCCAAGGTCGATTAAATGATTTATGCCACCTACTTTACCCTATCATTTTATTGACGAATTTGGTAGAAAATAGCTCAAAATTGAGCATTTCAAAGTTTTCCGACAACAATTTTATTTGGAGGGGACCGTAGACGCAAATTTACAAAAGTATCACGTGCCTGCATGGCGTAGAAGTTGACAAGCGGAGACAGGCCTACATTTGAAATGCATAGGCTTTTCGCTACTCGCACGCAAAAAGTTGATTTATTTTGCAAAAATGAATAATTTCGAAATAGATTTTGTCACTGGATGTTGCTTTGGGATGTTGTACATTATAGTTTTGAGCCATGTTTAAAAAACGGAAACTGCAGCAAATAAATTAATTTAACAACGAATTCATCAAAGGAAGGAAATGGACGTAGTGGTTGGGGAAGCGGGATGAAGTTAGAGCAAAGGAAATGAAAATACTGAGTGGGAGGATTTTTACTCATTAAATGGAGAGAAGATTTGATTTATGAGTTATTTGCGGCTTTCCACTCTGTCCTTTATCATTTTTTGATTGAAATTTGGCTAGGGTTGGAAGGTTGCTTGAGGAATTTTTTGTTTTTTGCTTTGTTTTTATCGTCTTATGGGCTAGTAAAGTCTGAAAATAGAAATCTTTTTTATAAAAGTTTTTTTTAATTTAGCCAAGGAGAAGTAGAATTGCCTACCCGCTAAATGATTAAATATTTGACTACCACAACGCCCTCTATACCAGTAACATAAGTGATTCTTTTCAACTCATTTAAAGTTATTTACTAAGGGAACACATATTTCAGACGGCAGCCACTTTTCTGAGATACTCTCATTCCCTGTTCGACCATTTGGCTGGGCTCGGGCCTACGATTTTCCGACAAGATAACATCTTGGATGGGCACCCGCTTCTGATACATTGAACGTTTGTCAAATAATCACCGAAAGCCCGAATTTTCCGACGCGAAAGCCTCAGCCCCCTGATACCAATAATTTCCTCTTATGAAGATAACAAGCTTTTGTTTCGTGTTTTACTTGCACGATCCCTGTCTTCTGCATTACTTGGAAAATTTGTGGCATGTTAAATTTTACCACTCCGACAGAGCTGAAGCCCGTACTTTGAATGAATTAATAAATATTAACAAAACAGTCGACCCGTTTTAATAAAAAAAGTTCCTAAATAAAAGATTTCTGAGTGCCCCCTCGCCAGTAAGTCAACTGTAAGATGCCACGAAATATCCCCATGCCCCCAAAAAAATCAGGAATACATATTTCTTTGTCTTTCAATAGAAATACATTGGATATGCTTGCAAATGCACTGCTTCAGACATTGCTATCTCGTATTTTCCTTGCAAAAATGATTTATACAGTAACATGAAATTTCTCCTTCGACTCCCCATTTCTTGGAAACATTTACGCGCACGCCCGATCAACATCCAGATTCAAAATCTACGCCCAAAACTGCCCGAGATAACAATGATCCAATAACTTGTCCTCTCGGGGGCAATGCTCTCCATTCAGCAACTGGTCTAAGTTGGGTCTAAGTGCAATGCTTTCAATGTCAAAGTTGTCAACTTCTCCGTCGCAGCATCAAGTGATACGTTTCCCGCCAAAATCTAAATAGCCGTTTTGGGGGTCTTACAAACCCCAGATCGTGGCAATAGGAAAAAATTTGGCGCCAAAATAGGTGGCATAAGTATTTTAAGATAAAATGGACTCTGTTTTGGACATAATTGTGAGAGAATGGCCCTAGTAATAGTAATTTGCATGGCAAGGCACCTAGTACAATCTGAAAGCACAGCATCATTATAGCACAGTATCACCGAATAAAAGGCTATCTCTCATCTTACAAAAAGAATAAATATAACATGTACCATTCATTTCAACATTTAGCAGTTTCTCCAGTGTCTTTCGGTGCTTTTTGTCACCGGATTCATTCTGGACTCCCAAAAGAAAACGCAGGACACCTGGCACATTGTAAGGACCATATGCCTTTTTGTCGTATTTGATTATTTCAAACGCACCAGACTTCAGGTTCAAGTGGGTCAAAACAATAAGCTGTGGGAGATTTTCTATACTCAGGTTCCCCATTAAATCGCGTGTAGGATTCACCAGCATGCCAAATGAGAAAATGCTCTTCAATGTAATGGAGAAATATCGCAGAACAGGCTTCACTCGATCTGTGTCTGCAATGAAAGAAAACACCCAAATTATCGAACATGTAAATAAGAAGAGGTGCAATGATAAATAAAGGGCTAAATATAAGCAGAATAAATTACAAACACAGCCAAGATGTTAAACTCAGACACAGAGCCAAAAGAAAAACAGGTCCAAGACTTGTCCAAGTAAAACAGATCAAAACAACCCCAAACAAAATGAGCATTTATTGAACTAACAAATCTTTGAACAGAATTTATAATTTAGATAGCCAAAATGCAGCAGAGATCTTTAGTAGGGTAAAACAATAAATAGTAACAAATGAGAACCAATGAAACAAAATGGTTTTTGTAGAGTGAAAACTATAACTGAGTGCTATAAATAATCGACATATGCAATTTTTATCTTACAGGCAACGTACAAATATCATATATCAAGCATCATCAAATATCTTAAATGAAAGATATATCGAGTGTCAGATGGTGGGCCATGGTGTTTCCAGGGCTTGAGTTTGAGTCACTTAAATTAAATAACAGCAATATTTTTGCGAGTGAAGGCGAATAAAATTGTCTTCAACACTCTTTTTTTATTCCCGGCAGATGTATTTTGGAAACGCGAAAATACCTAACAAAAGTAACGTAAGTCTTAAACACCAAGGTAAAACATTTGAAAATAGCACAGAAATACGCGAACTTGACGTACTAAATTAGTTTTTAAGCACAATAAAACCACAATCAATGTAACACTGTGAAGCATTGGTGGATTACCAGTGGGGCCCAGACCCCGGCCCAGACCCCGGCCCAGACCCCGGCCCAGACCCCGTCCCAGACCCCGGCCCAGACCCCGGCCCAGACCCCGGCCCAGAATCTAGCCAACTTTTTAATTCTGAAGCTAAACAATTATTTCTGGTAATGTCAGTTAAAGGCTGCGAACTTTATGGGAACTCATTGCTCAATCCGCAAAACTAATAACCAATAAACTTGGAAAAATTTCTACTAAGTACTTGCAAAAATTAATTCCCTTAAGAACTTGGGTAGGCGATAAACTCAAAAAATGAAATAAACTTTATCCTTTACCTATAATATATCAAATATAAAATCATTTATTTTATCTTACAATAGTGAAAAAGGAATTTATTGGAAAGAGCTTTTTCAATACAGATCAACTTTAAAAAAATGTGAAAACATGAGCTATAAAACAAATTGAGATGATAAAAAAACTTGAATGCAAAAAGTTGAACTTGAATGTTCTTTGTTGTGACTCATGCATGCAGATTTACATTTTTGCGAAGAAATTCATTAGAAAACTTTATGTTTTAGCAAGGAGCCAAGAATATTTTCGTCGTTAATAAAATAGTTGGTTGTATTTTGCTACTGTAGCGTGGCAAGAACATCTGATTTTGCATGGCTTGAGCAAGCAATTTTAAAAAATTTATCGAAAAAACTAAGTTTCAAATAACACTTTCGAATTTCATTCTGAAATAAGGTAAACATGTTGAAAATATTTCTGTTTCCAATGATTACAATCTGCAGCGGCGAGTGGGCTTTCAGTGCTTTGAAACGCATAAAGAATTACTTGCGATCAACTAAACGTCAGACTGGGTAGCCTGACTCTTCTAAGTATTGAGCATAGTGTAATAGGCGTGCTTTGGCAGAAATCGGCCCTAAAATATCTTTGGCCCCCGGTCCTGGAATTGGTTAATCCGCCACTGCTGTGAAGCTGAGAGCAAAATGATACGTAAATAACTTAAGTGCCAAAAATGAATAAGGCTGTTAAAGACACGACGTTTCGAGCAAGTACTCGTCGTCAAATGACTAGGAAATTTGATGTATTTTATTCTAGACACGCGATAATGAGTACATGCTCGAAATGTTGTGTTTTTCACAGCCTTGTGATTTTTGGTTCTTAAATTATTTTAACATTGTCTTTATTTGGATTAAATACGCATTTTCCATATTTTATTGCATCATACTATCAAGCTGTCTAAGATTACAGGTAATCATAATTTAGTTTAGAAATATCTTCAACAAATTTGAGCTAGCTTCTATATTGACAGGTCCTGATTGTATTAAAATCCCTTCTCAAGATAGTTGGGTTTATATAGAGTACTCAAACTAACGAAAATTCATGCTTACCGATCTGTCATAAAGTGCTTGCCGCTGTATATACAGAGCTGCACACGCTTACTCAAACTATTAAGCGAGTACTCAAACCAGATATTCTTAAAGCTTTTTCAATACAAATAATAATTGTGACAAGGAAATATATTTTAATGACAAGTTTTGATATCGGTGCCAGTCCCCTAATTTGGGCATTCCTATTTCGTTTCCTATTGTCTACTTCTTTCGTCACTTTGCGAAAATCCAAGCATATCACTATCCAAACGTCTTAGTTTCGTGTATACGACTGTGAGGCTTATTCAAGAGAATTGGTCTTTGCATTCAAACATTTAAGCATACCATTTGATATTTAGTTGAATAGAAAAAGTCGCCTAAAGTGAAGAATATAATTTAATCATGAAATTATTTGTCTGGCTCGGCTCCCGATTATCTGTATTTAAAATAAACGTTGAAAGTGAATTCCCACCGTATTTTCTCGTTTAATACAACTATGAGCCCTTATACAATTAGAGTCAAGATCCCGACTTGTGCACGTTCTTAGTTATGTCTTGCCATTTGCCAAAGAACGAAAACACTTCACATTTGTTGCTGCTAGATCAAGTCACAAAACTATGTACTTCATGTGCTATGTACTATGTACTAGATACAAGGGACAAAACTATGTACTTCATGTGCTTGAATCAATAACAAGAAAATCTTATTCATTAAGTATCTTATCACAAACTATCTATTATTCATGCAAAAATAGCAGTCTCATACCTGAGAAGTATATCACTGGGAGCTTTCGTGGTTTCTGCTCTCTCATCGCCTTGCTGTAAAACAAGGGTATATTCTCTGCCGTGATTCTTTCAAATGTATCTGGATAGCTCTCTAAGGCTGCCTCAACAGCTTCTTCGTAAGTCGAAACATGCAACGGTCTCTCTTTATTTTCCTCGCCGAATTCATAGACTCTAATATGAGGTCGTGAAACATGCTGTAAGGGACGTTATAAGGCGTAAATTGGTATCAGATTATCTGATTTAATGTGAATATTTCTACATGAATTTTCATAAATTTTCAACATGTTAATACATTTACATATTCATTTACATAACACTATTAGACGACTACCAGTATTGATTTTGGCCTATCCAGTACACATATAGCAAAAATGGACGAACTCTCCATTCATAACTTGGCAAGTTTGTGAAAGATTGAACTTATTACGATATATTGGGTTAGTCGTGCTGGAAAGAAAACAGAAGCAAAATTGATTACTGAAGAACGAAGAAGTGTATTGACCTTGTAAAGTGCATTTAGAACTAACAACGTAATAACTCATCAACAGACCTAACTACTTCGAGTTACAATTGGTCGACCGCATTTACATTTCGTTGCAAGGTACACATTAATAAATACCCCTTTCCACGACTTTCTCTGACAACAAATGTCCACCTTATAATCCTTTAATTTCTAGGACAGGTCTTTACAGACATGTCATGCCAAGGAGAATTGTAAACACGAGTAGCAATCGATTGAGAAGTGAAACTACCTTTGCCTCGATGAGCTCGTCGCATTCTGGATCATCCATATCAACAAATCCAACCTGCACAACACCAACAACTGATGTAGCAAGCGCTATTAATTCTGGCTCCTTCTTCGCATAGTCTTCAAGGAACACAACAATCCAAGGATCGTCTAATGACAGGATTGTGTGGAAATTTCTAGACGTTAGTTTTGTCGGCCTTTCAGGCTCAATTTCATGACCATTTCCCAAGACATGTAAAGAGAGCAAAACTAAGAGGACTAAATACTTACTCGCATCCATTCTATTAAGTTTCTAACAAAAAACCAACCCTATTTTCAACGCATGTCTTGGTGTTAAGTACGATTTTTACATATACGAACAGGCTATTGATCGATTGCTGTGAAGTAATGAATTGTCGCTGTTCAAACATCGACAATGATTCTACACGTGTATAAAGCAGGAGCGGCTACGAATGGTATCACAAAACAGCTGACTAACCAAACAGTTCTATGCCTTTATTTAGTTAACGTATTCACATTTAACGCAGCTGAGCATCTTTACTGGTCAGCCTCATTATCAGTTTAGTGCAAACTCGTTTTCAAATATGCAATTTCGTTATCATAAGATGATTAAGTTTTCGGGGTTATGGCTATTTCGACAACTGATGAAAGGAAACAAATATAGACTGCATATCATAGTATATAAAACAGCTAAAAATACAATGTCTTCAACAAGGGTTAGCTGTCAGGGTGAAATTTATGATCAATGTACTTAGTTAAATGCGTCAAAGTTTAGTTTTCCGTTAAAGACGGCTTTTCACCTATGAAAAATTATCATTTGAAATTGTAACAACAAAATCATAATGTGAATTTAACCATTAAAAAGTCAATAAGGCGAACCTATTTTAACAGCTCTGGCTGGATAACGTATCATTAATAAGCCATCACTAATTAAGACATCATTGATAAATGGTTTCTTACTTATTTAACACGTTAGGATCCCGAACTATCAATCCAAGAGTCTCTGGATTCACTTAATGACCATTAGAAATCTGCTCACATCGAGATTAAGAAGCAGGAAGCTGCTTCATTGGCATAGCTTTGAATGTTCTAAAAACTACCTTCGGCAGGGATATAATAACAGATACAAGAAACTTGATATTTATAAGCGAAAAGTAGTCTACGAGGTTTTGAGTTTGCCCTTGCTACAGCAATCTGCTAAAGGTCTATAAGCGCAATGTACTACGGTCGGATATAAGCTTAAGTTCTAAATATGAACACCAAGGGTTTCGCTTGCAGCTTCCCTTATATTACTACAAAACCAAGGCACCAAATCCTAACGGATAACCCAATAATCTACGCTTCACTCAAAAGGACTAAGCTAATACGAATTTTTCTCGCTAAATATAATGTTTACCAGAATTTAGTTTGGATATTCTTAGCGTATAGCAGTATCGCTAGGCCATTAGTAACAGTTGCGTACAAAATCAAAACGACCATGCCCGTTACGTTATCAGCATGGATTGTTCTCATCGACATATTGACAATTCCTGTCAGCAAATTTCCAACAACAAAATAAAACAACTGATTAGAGTTTATTGCTTTCACGAGGACAGGATCTCTTAGATTTCCAATATCTGGTACTTTCTGAGGTGAGGCACTTTGACTTTCCTGCTCATGAAGAGGTCGCCTTGGAGACAGTCCGTAAACGTGAGCGACTCTTGGTTTGGTTTTGGTTCCAATTTTGCTTATGACGTAGTCTTGGATAAGTTCGACACCCAAGAAGCAGATGAGCAAAAATACATTAACAGAAATCTGAAGAGAAAATCGCAATATGTCAAGCATCACATAGTTGAAATTGTTCAGAAAGCTAAGCACAAGTTAATCTTTAATCTAAAACATAGACGACAGAAAAGCAAAAATACCAGGTCTCATGTTACTTCCCATGTCAGTAAATCCCTGGCACCTTAATACCTCCAAATTTTAGAAAGATAGTGAAAAATTAGTGATAAATGGAAAATTTAACAATATAATGCTATGAAATAATAAAAGAAGTTGGATGAGCTAGTCCCACACTACTTTTGGAAGGAGACTATTTAAAATTGGGGGGGGGGGGTATTATAGATTATGCAATTTGAAGAAATCGTTATGTTGGGTTAAGAGAAATTCTCAAAAAAGAAAGTTCGTTCTCTAAAATTGCTAAATCCAACGAAATAATTTCTTCGACAGATCGAGTCAGGATCAGTGCGGCCACTAGATATTATTTTTGGAAAGCTCAAACTGATTCACTGGGTCGTGTAAACGTTTTGGCCTGGATCGCATATACAGTTTCCTTATATATGGAAAACCAAGATGCTGATGCATATCGTCAGGGTTTGATTTAAATATATCAGAACTAAATCCTAAGTATTCTTTAAGACATAGTTCGTAGGAAATTTGAATATATCTGACTATTTTCCTTTCTAACGTAGAAAGAACGATCTTTCTAAACTAATAACATTAAAATTCTGAGCTGTGGGTGTAGACCATCAAACGATTTGGGAGAGATACTTTGCATACTTATGCGAGGTCAAGGTAATCCAGGGTACTCCACCTTAGTTAAGATTTTACAGTGTGGTTCATGTGTGGGGACCTAGGCGTGAAACTAACACTATGATTTGAGAAAATTTGACTCTATTGAATGGGAATTTTCTTTTGCTGGTTGCATCGCCGAATCTGACCTTCCTAAGCAGAAGTTGAAAGTAACTCTCAGGCCCTGTTCAGAAGAGAACAGAAATATGTCAAAATGGTCCAAAAAATAACTGGTATTTCATCAATTCTTTAGACAAGAACTATTAGGTATTCTGTTCCCCTGCATAGGGTGGAAAATCATAAAACGTGAGCCAGAAATGAAAAGAAGTGAATTGAATGGTCTCTGGCTCATGTGAATACTTGCCACTTGACTTGTGTTAACACTTTTTGGGACCATCTCAAGTTTTCAGACTTTTGGGAAATTCTGCTGCGGGCTAAGTACTTGTCAAAATGACAATACAAAACTAAATGGCATTATGGCATTACTAAGACCTTGAACACTAGCTGCTCATTGGAAGGATAATGTCATCAATTGTTTTTCTCACCCTGTTGTCGAGTAAATGAGGCCTTAATTTTTGTCTCCCAAAGGTGAAACCCTTCTAAAACAACTGGAAAAGGGAAAGATTCCAGCAACTTGAAAGTACACTAATATGATGTTTTGAAAACTAGCAGAACTTTCATGCCAACGACACACTTATGTAAATTGCTTGGATGAAAGGTTGCTCCTTGTGTCTCTCAGTTTCTTTGCCCTTTTGCTGTTTGTGTTAGTTTAATGCAAAAATAATTAGTTCAAGAATAAATCTAAAAAGAAATTGTTGAAGTAAATAGTGAGAAAAGTTTGCAGTTGAAACTCATCAAAGCATATACTTAAGGCATAAAAAACTTACGATCCATGTGACATAAGTTAGATTTGCAAGCTTTCTTGAAACAGGATCAACGAAGTTGATGCAGAAAGCAGTCACCAGCCACAACAATATATTAGCACTCACAAGATGCATCAAGAGTCTAAATTTTGACCTAGAGTGAAAATATTTTTAATTAATAAAGGCATTATAATGACAAAATTTGACACCACCAAATATGTCTACAAACATTGCATATATTAAATGAAGATGTTTACACAGATAAATGTGCAAAGCAACAAAAAAATCAAGTTGACTATATTTCTGTTTGAGTTTTTAGCATTTTTTAGGTTGAAGCTTAACAGAAATAAATCAGTAGATTTTGTGAAGAATATTTTAATGATTACAGCCCCATTTTAATGCCTTCTGCCTGCAGATTGCAGATTTCTGGTTCATTACATAAAGTTTGTTTTGCCCCCTCCCCTAGAACAGGTCCTAAAGCATTAGCAGAAACTTTTCTTTAGTGAAAGTCTCTTTGAAAAAATATCTCACTCAACTAAATGCTGCTGCTCTAGATAATCATGGAAAAAGCAAAAAAATAAATACCTTTGTTGAAATATTTCTTTTCCTAACTGACAGGATAACAGAAACAAACCAATGTAGCCTGGACATGAAGCAATTCCTTCTCTGTTTGCATCAACCAGGTTATTTCTTTTTCCGTCATTATTCATTCCACTTTCAACTAATTTCTTTAAGCCAAACTGGCTTAGCATTACTTGATGAAACAAACAAACGATGATTCCAAAAAGCCATGTAAATTTAAGAGCTTTTGGAGTTAGACTGTGAAGAAATGTTCCAGCCAAAAGCTACAAATCAAATGAATGTATAATGAAGCCAATCTTCATATTTTCAATAACATATACTTATGTGAAATGCAAAAATATTGAATAGAAATTATATAAAACTTGCATTATGGTATGCAAAACTTGCTGCTATTTGTTTCTGTATACAATCATTTGACTGTAGAACTACAAATCTATGGCTGACAAAAATTGGGAAAATTTTTGAAAAAAATCAGAAATAGAAAATATGTGCCAAGAAAAATGAAAAATACCTTGACAACTGCAATAGTAAAAAAGAAGTTCCAGTGAAGACCATACTCAGTAACATGCTGATGATAACCACTAGACTTGACCATTATTAGCCTCAATGCACCCAAGAAGAAGAGTGGTAGGCATCCTAGAGCATTTTTAAAGAGGTCCTTTGTGCAGTGTTCATTCTTGGAAGTGACAGTTCCTTTTGCAAACTGAGAAACAATTGCATGGCTAAATATAAACGAGCCAACTCCAATATCCATGAACCCAGTTCCATAAAGTTCAGTTTTTGCGTAACGCCTGGGGAATATTTTGAAATCAACTGCTAAGATAGAGAGCACAGTAGCAACAAGCATGAACGACCTGAAATTTGAGACAAACTGCTTCTTTACGAGTATGATTTTTGCTGTACTTTGATGAGAAGGACAACTTGTGCCCTGACCTGATTTGACTGAAAACACAAGAACTGCACAAAGAAGCAGAAGGGCTGCATTGAAAATGAAGACATGATCTGCTAATGCTGTGAGTGTCATAAGATTTGGGAGAATCAGCCAAGCATTGTCCACGATAAAGGAATTCCTGAAAAATAAATTACAGTTAAGCTAAAAAAATGACACAAAATAAAGGCTGATAAACTAAACTTTTTCAATACAGTTTACTTTTGCTGTTATCTCATGCACTGTATTTTTGGTATCAAAAGTATCTTTTAACTTTAAATATTCAATTTTAGAAGCTGGCAAAATATTTTCTATTAAGCATAACAACATTTTTGTACTTCTTAATGAAAACCTTGGTCCCAAAATTAAAAAGGTAAAAGTCGACACAATCCCATCAGGAGCGGATCCAGACTATAGCAACTGTAGCTCGAGCTATAGTCAAATTCTCAGTATTTGATTTTCGAAATACAAAGTTTCCTTGCAGTCCCTAAAAATGTGTTTATGCCCACAAGTGTTTACTATCAACATTTGAAAGCAGGGGTTTAGGTTATCAAATGCGATTAACAAACATGCAATGCTGGCAATGTGTCATCACAATGCCTCTCCAGATAAGATATAAAACACTGAGCGCAGAATGGTCTAATATTAAAACTTAGACGAATCAGAAGTTTCGTTCTTTGTTGACAGTAGCCAACCAGAATTGAGCTACAGTGGATATTCCGAGCTATAGTCGGTCTGGGGATTTGTTCTGGATAAGGCATTGAAGACAATGAAACCCGTACTATAATTTTTGGCGCGAGCTATAGTGAAGCTATAGTCAGGTTTGAAAATGGCCAATAGTCAGATTTTAACCAATAGAATATGAGTATCCACGTTACTTCTCCGCTCTCTGTCCCCTGTAAAGCAACAGTTGACTATAGCTCGTTTTCACATCCTGGGTCCCCTGTAATGTAGCTTCAAAGGCAAGGACCTACTAGGGAATAGACAGGGATGGCGGAACGACCAAGCGGCGAGAGGGGGGGGGGGGCAGGCTTGAGTAAAAGGGCTTTTGAAAGATAATTCTCAGCTTCTACAAATTCATACGTAACTGCAATTTTATTTCAATCTTCTGTAGGTATCTTCAACATTGGCTAACTTTCGGCATATAGAACTATTTTACATGTTTTGAGAAGTTCAGAATTTTATATGAATCTCTCTGATTATTACAATTGGCCAGTTTCAAGGGAACTTTATTAGAAACAACCCTTGCCTCTTCTGCCAAAGGGCAACAGGGGCGGTTGAACCCCCACACCCCCTTCTCTGGCGTCCCTGGAAATAGAAAAAGGATGTTCGAAGGAATATTTATTAATACGAAGCAACTATAAACACACATGGTTTGCCCATATAATGGGCGTGTCCCACAAGCAAGGAGGGCGTGGTCCCGATCCCAAAAGATTTGAGCTATAGTCACCAAAAATCCTAGAACCCTGCCCATATGATATTGTTAATTGGCGTATATCCGGCGTGAGATTTACATGGATTTTATTCCACCCTGGCAAGAATGTTGTCGGCCAATCTGCAGAGTATGGCATGTGCACACCGGAGATATTTTTGTGCAAAACCTGTTGCACACCAGGTATTTTTGGGTGTGGCAACTAAGATGGGTGTGGCTTGCTGTGGTCCCATAGAAAATGTCAGCTGATATAAACAAGCACGGTTTGTATGAACAATTTGAGATATCATGAATCTTACTTGAAAAATATACAAATAAAAACTTGCGCTATCTTCAACAGTATACTTAACACGCATTTTTACGGTGAAATGCAAATTCACAAGTTTTGACCACAACAGGGGAAAATAGTCGGTGCACACCAGCACACCAGACATTTTTGGTGGTGCACACCGGCACACCAGGCTTTTTGCTCGTGCACACCGGAGATCTCGTCGAAAAGTGCCATACTCTGCAGACCGGGTCGTCGGTGTGTCTATTTATTTGTCCATCGTGGAGATGACAAGAAATGCATTACTGACAGTGCAAAACCAGAGCTGGAGTGGTGTTTTGTTGGAAAGCTTCTGATTTTGTCGAAAATATAACATGGTGATCTATTCTTTTTAAGTATTACATTTTTAGTGAAAATATTTAAAAACTGAAAATAACAGTTCTGTTCAATCAACAACTTACATCCAGCTCAAATTGTTGTACCAAATGGGGAATAGGAGGCAGAACAGAAAGTGAAGCAAGCAGCATATTGGAGCAGTGGAAACGATAGCATTGATCTCAAAAACTGACGTTCCATTGAGATTCTTCACGAAGCTCTCTTTGTCGTAGACAGCAGCCATTTTAGCTTCCTTTTCGCCTCTTTTTCGCAACTTACCTCGCTTTCATAAACGTTCCTAAGAAACTTTGAACAACATCCCACTCAAGATGACGACTTGATCGTGAGCCTTAAAATCGAGAAAAATAATTAGAATGGGGAACTCTGCCTCGCATGCCAACAATTCCAATCAAGTAAGTTTGTACGGTGTCAACTTTTTAATGCCTTTATGCACTGAAATTTGTCCGACGAAAGCCCTTGTTTCCTCGCCACCGGCGCACTACACTGCAATGTAAACACACCTACAAGTGAAGAAAGGAGCAACAATTTTCACGAATACACAAAGCTGCTGTCCACAGCCATGATGCAACTTGAAATACCTCATATATTGTCTTACAGAAAGTGCCATAGACTTTGAAATTTTTTCTTCAATCGCACAATTACAAAACCATGTAATGTAATGAAGTTGTGTTTAAAACCACAACATGTTGTTGCTCAATTCTTACTTTGTAAGGTCATGCGAAGTTGAGATTCCGAGAAAATATTACAGAAGCTCAAGATGCTCTTATCAGAACTCTTCTGAATTTGTTTTCCTGGCACTTAAGATATAGATTTCTGTCATTTCCGTTTCCAACCAATTCTTTCTGATTTAGTATATCTTCATTTTTCTGCAGCGTTCTATCTGTGATTTTGCTCATTTTAAAAAATGAATTATTTTTCCACCTTCTCAATTGAAAATCTAAAACCTTACTTTAATTGGACCATTTCTTTCTGTCACAGGAAGTTTTGATAGATTGCCCTGTGCTAGTTGACCTTGGTCATGGTACAATAAGGCATCGCAAGCCAGATGAAAAGAGTACAGCAAACAGTAAAGTCAAAACTGGCTACTTCTATCATGCAAGACTTGAAGATTTCAGTGAAAGTGTGTAATCATTAAGCCTGTATATTTAAATGACAGCAACTGATAAATTTTCATGAGAACATCATCCAGCATGTTTTTCAGATTTTTCAGCCACTTCATAGTTTTGTGTTTGTGTGATTTATGACCATAGGGTAAAACATAAAAGGTTTGAGTTAAAGACGTGTCTTATTTACTTCTGTTTCTTTTAGGTCAATTTAAGAAAGTGAACAAAAGTATTGGAATGTCAGCATTGGAAAGAACAATAACTGATTAGACAAATCCTGGTAGCTCCTAACATATTGAAAGCTTGCTGTTTTTCTTGGATAAAATACAATATTAGTCATTGGTTGTCTTCAAAAAGCTATTTTAGTTGTTCCCACAATATATCTTTTAATTGCTAAGTGCAATCACAATGCAACAATTTTGGTTACAGATGCTGAAATCCCAGAAGATGAAGACTATAAGCTCAAATATGTATTCAAGGGACCTAAAAAGGCTCATAACAGATTGTACTATGTTTATGGAAAGAAATTAGATTCTCAGGATAATGGGATACAGAGGAGTGAATATCGACCAGCTGGTAAAGGGTTCAATTGGCCTGAATCATACAGAAAAGCAAATAATCTGTATTATGAAATCACATTTCCACAACAAGGCATGCATTTTCATTTTCTTTGTCTCAGTTTATGTAGTAAAACTCTAAGTTTTAAGAAGATCATTCAAGACACTGTTCAAAAGTAGATGTGTTTTTAAGCAGAGGGGGAGGTGTTATCCTTGTTGTAACAAATTGTGTCAAAAATTGTTTGGACTTTTTTTCAGAAATTTTAATGTCTATGATTTAATTATGAAAAGTTATAAATCAAGCTTCTTAAACTCAATGGTTATGGCAGGTGTCCAATTAAACAAGTCTCTATATTTCCTGATCAAATCCAATCAACTATTGTTACTAACTATGCATTTTCTTTGAAAATTATAAAATAGCATGGAAGAAAACTTATCAAGTATCATACTGTTTTATGTGTTTCTGTATTTCCATGTTGCTTTCAAATTTTGCAGAACCAAAAGGCTTAAGTCACCCTTTGGGAAATCACATTGTGGGCCCCTTTAATATATACAGACCATAGTTACAATGCTTGAAAGCTTTTAGAATCTTTGTATAAGGGCTTTAAAGTGTCACAAAATCTCATTACTTTTTCTTTGAATGTTTTAGATGACGATTTTGCAGACTTTGATGATGATACTTTGAGTATTTCAACATCAGTTAGCAGTGCTACCCCTCCATCAAAGAAAGACAACATAACGTAAGTAAAGCTTCTGTTACCAATTCATTTGATAAATTAGAATCTTAATAAATGGTTAGTTGAAAAAATTTGCCCTCATTTCATACATTTTTGTCTACTCATAGTAAAGGTGAACAGAGTTTAGAAAGATTACCAAGCATTGTTTTGAAAAGTATGAGGTGGTGCGAAGGATGATACCAACTCCACCTATCTACAATCTGCTTTAAGAACCCTGTTTGTGATGTATTGGCTAGTAAATTTGCACCTTAAACGTAAAATTTTCTTGCAAAATTCTCACAAAATTCAAAATTATCGGGGCAGTAGCCATTGATATGGAATTTCTGTTACTTTTCATGTCATGCAGCCTCTGGAATCAGCGGGCATTTAGAATATTAGATTCAGAGTGTCTATGGAAGTGAAATTTCTTAGTAGTAGTTTCTTTGTGGTTGTGATAACATCAGTTTTTCTTATCATTTTCTGCAGGCTCAAAGTTACATTCAGTGATAGCTGTAGCTCAGTAAAAGAGCGTCTATCATTAAAGCTGCTGTTGCCTTCATTTCGTATCCACCTGTTGTTAAATAAAAATGAGTTGGGGTATGGATAATTTTTTATTTTCTAGCCATATCCATTATTTTCTTTTTTTTAGATTCAATCTTTTTATTGTGTAGAACTAAAAACATCCACTCATCACGCATCCAGGACCGAACAATACTTTTTAAATGAATACTTCATATAAGTGCAGGTCCAATTTTCTAAAATATATACACAGTATAATGTTATTTGACCATGAGTTTTGTTTGTAGTTTTTGATGAGCAGTGGTCAGCAAAAATCTAAAAACTTTTCAAATAAAATCAGAAAGGCATATACCTTCTCAAGGTGCTATAAAATGGATGAATAATTAATAATAAGCATGAAAACTTCAACTCTGAAGTAGTGGTTGGAAAGGAAACCACTCCACCACAGATAACACCTTAACAACTCACATGTAAATTAGGCACAGCAAAATTAGTGCAGAAAAATTTATTATAGCCCAAAGAACATTGTTTGTTGCCTGTTTACAGCTTTTAACTCAATGAATTACAAAACAAATATTCTATCCATTGTTGTAACAATTTGTAGTAAGAATCTATATTCATTAACCTCATTACTTTTGCAGTGATGATGAACAAATTGGAGATTTAAGAACTGAGGAGCAAGGTAGTTTTGAAAGATTTCTAATACAACTGAAACTGACATAAACAAATAGGCACACTGTAAATTACAAACAGCATTTTCAGGGAGTCTCTTCCAATGTCTACTTTTTTTGTAAATATTAAATAATTTTTTAACTTAGTATTAGGGCTCTTAAGATGATGAGCACAACCTTTATCTCATTTGATTGTACATAAGTCATGTTCTTACTGTAACATGTACATACAGACTTAAGTGTAAATTTCCTTGATTAAATTCAAGAAATTTTTTCTGCTTGCAACTTCTCAACTGAAGATTTGTTTTACTAATTTTATAGAGAAATAATTAATTTTCATCTGATATTGTGTCTTATTTATAGCTATTTATAGAGTGCCAATGTAGCTACCTTTAATACTTGTAGCACTTTGCCTAGCAGTCACGCAAGAAAATAAATTGTAATTTCATAAACATTAAAAATACAAGATTTGGACGAAAAATAAAATAAATTTACAAAAACTGTCTCATTTGCATACCAGCAATTTAGTTTAACTACTAAACAGATGAAATTGCTAGTGCTAAAATTTGAGATAATCAAGAAAATATGATATATATCTATATATATTATTTACTTGTGTAAAACTCATACAAAACAAAATTAAATTGTAAGAACAAATAACTCTGAATGATTAGGTAAATTCCAACACTACACCTGCCAATATCACACAGCACATTTGTAGATCACGAGGTGAAAAGCACTGAGAAGTCAGTGAAAGTGCAAGCTAATTGAGGCATATTTTGTAGCCGCCAGCCCTAAATGATGGTTTCTGATGTCTCTCCCCTTGCAAATAACCACATTCCCAACCAATAATCTGCCCATAACAGGCTCTTTCATGCTTTTAGCATTATGATCACTAAAAAACTAGTTATTTATATTTACAAGCGATAATGGTCTACTCTAAATTTTGAGTTTGATATTTGAGATAAACCTACAAAACAGTTTTTACAAAACTGATTATCATCACATTAAGCAGCTCAGAAAAAAACATTGTTTCAATCTTGCATGTATGTGTAATCTACAACTACACACCATTTTAAAGCTTAAAGTTTCAAATAATGCTGTGGCGTTTTCAGTATTTTATACTGGCACAACAAATTTCAAGGAATAAATGTTTGGGAGAATCTTAAAGATTCCATCTTGTACCTCTGCTAGAAAACAATGAACATAAAAGTTAAATGAACATAAGGTACTCGCATATTGCTAGCAGCAATTTTGTAATTTTCAGAATGTTGATTCTGTAAAATATTTGTTTTATTATTATTAGGTAAACAGTTTATAAGCTTCAAGAAAATTTTTTAAAATGGGAAATTTATAAGAAGACATGGATTTCCTTTGTATGGCATGTTGTTAGTGCAGGTAAAGAGTCATATAGAGAATAATTCTATCTATTTCATAACAAATTGTGATAAGTGACATGCAATGAGTTCAAGCATTTGCCCAACTGGGTTTTTTAGAATATGCAAATGTTGGGTTTCAGATTTATTCACCGCAGCTGATCTGTAACAGAGTTGGGAATTACAGTATTTTTTGCAAACTGCAATCCTCTAACATGATATGGAAAAGTGTCATAAGACAATTATCAAATCATTTTGACTAAAGGAGTGAGAAAATCAGGACTCTTTTCAACTTAAAACCTGGAGAATCCATTACCTTTAGCCACTCAAATCTCAATAAGAAATTTTAGAAATTTATTTTTTGTGTAAGTTTGAATAACAGATGAACTTACAGAGTCACACATGCTGTTTCTTTGCATAAACATAACCTTTGTGTCCAATTAAAGATATAAGAACTAATGCAATTCCAAACCCCAAAGCAACCACCATTCCTCCAGAAATTTTGAAGATAAAAAGCTCCTGTGAAAAATGAGTATCACAGTAAATTAAAAATATTTGTAGGATTCAATTACTAGAAACAAAATTGCATTAGCATCACAAAGTAATGGGAAAAACATTGCTCTAAAGTGTTTTCATATAATTTAATATTTAACCTGTGTATATTTCACCCATTTGAGCTGTTGGTTTATTAGCCTTCCGGGGAGTTAAATATTTGTTCACATTGTATCACAAGTAGAAAAAATGGCAAAATGTGATATGTCTTTCTCATGTGGTCGTTAAGTCTTTCACAGGGGCGGTGCCAAGAAGGGGGGGGGCTCGAGTTGATAGAATTATTAGACTAAAGAGCCATCTTTTGAAAAACGCACTAAAACGCTTCACGATATTTAAAATGCCTATTATTTTATGTGGCACTCATTACGCTAGCGGTACGTTTGAAGGGGCTGGCGGGAGGTTGGCGGAGGCCTTATGGATATTGGAAAGAAGTGGCTTCCCTGCGAGCGAAGCGAGCAGAAAATTAGATTAGCTTAAAATACATTTCAGAATACTTTTTGCAGGTATTTTTTTGCAATCATTTAAAACATTTTGTTATTTTTAAGGCATGCTCTTATTACGTTAGATTAATACAAGTCTTAAAATTAAATTTATTACTTTATGAGGCCCCATAGGCCTCGGCGTATTCCTTCGAAATTAAGCAACTAAAGGGTTATTCTTTTCTGTATATATTTTTCTTTACTCTTTTTATTTGCTAAAAAATACATTTTTGCAAAAAAAGGGGGGGGCTGAAGCTCCCAGCTCTTCACCTGGCGCCGCCTATGTTTCATCGGTTGATCTCGAACGGATAAAGTTCTTGGCAAGTCATGAGAAATTTACTGCGCTTCTTTAAGCATTACTGATAAATATTATTTAAAAAATTTTATTTCGAATCCCGTTTTTAGAAGCAATTTGATGGAATGATTATCACACTATCCCCAGTATGACGAATGTAGTTGAAATTACTTGCATTTTCATACAAAACTTCGTTTTTTCTGTATTGCGTCGCCTCTCATTCTTTTACCAAACTTCTGCCTTTTACCAAACAACTATTTTCTTTTGAACTTATACGTTTCTTATGCTTCTCTTTGAGCTACAGTTCACAAGGTCATTTGAGTCAAAACTTCAATTTTCACAAATGATTAAAGTTTTCTCCGATTAACCTAGCTTTCTACCAACAGCTTTAAATCTTCCGACTGTCCTCAAATTTTCCGACTGGATGAAAGATTGGGGGGGGGGGGGTGTCACACCACCCAACATCCCCCCTCTCCAGTATTTACGTGCCTGGTCAAATTTTTTTGGTATAATCAATAAAGCATCGGTACAGGTCTTTTTAGCAGAATTTTAATACTATGACTAATCAGCGCAAAGGTTCTGTTGTTACTGCAATGTTGAGTGTCTCCCTTTGTTTGGGTTTGGCTCGGAGGTTGACTTCACTTAATCTCCAGGCCACTTTCTTTATCATTTCTGCTGTGACTTCGTCTGCATCAGGACTTTTATCAACGAATAGCTTCTCTAACTTCTTCACTGAGTGGTGGTGGTTCATTTTCACTTTGTTGCAATTTTACAGGTTGTTAATCTTTTCATCTGTTTTTGACTTAATCTCCATCACAGAGAACGAAACCATCTTCATTTTATTCTTTTAAAGAGAGTGTCGGGAGAAAAGGGATGAAGTTGACAATAGAATCAGTAGCACTGGCAAATGTCTAAGACAAGCAATCCACTGTCCTGCTGCCAACAGCTTCACCATAACCCTGGCATGGGGAACTAATAGCGTGCCATCCTTGCTCAGATAAACCTTAGGGTGAAGTTTAACTTCATACACAGGATGCTATGTTCTCTCATCTTTCCCATTGCAACCTATGGACCAGAATGCTGGGTCCTCAAGTCTTCAGACAAGAAAAGGTTAGAACGTTTTGAATAAGGGTGTTATCGTCGGATCTTGTGCATCAGTCAGACAGAAAAGAAATCGAATGAAGATATGTTACAAAAGATTAGATGTGAAGCCGAAACATGACTGCTGAACACCATCTACGCTCGCCAGCTAACTTTCATCGGCTATATAATAAGACACGACAGCATCGAAAAGACTCTCCTCCTTGGCATGGTTTACGGCAAGTGAGGTAGAAAAAACAAAAAACTCGACCGAGCGACCACATCAAAAAAATTGCGGTTGGACACCCGTAGAGATTGACAGACTTGCACAAGATCGGAACAATTGGAAAAAACTTGTGAACAGGGCCATGGATGCTCAGAACCATTCTTGATGATGATTAGAAATGAGCTGTGCATGATTCATATTAACTGATAGTATGCATTTAAATAAGAATACAGATCACTCCATTTGCTGAAATCCTTGCTTGAACTAATGGACTAGATCAATCAATGAAAAATTGCAACTATGAAAATACCTGGCAAATTTTACTTGGAATTAAAAAAAATCGACAACAAACCTTTGAGCTCATTATTGCTGAAGATGGCAAATCATCACTTGCGTTGCTCCCATCATGTGAATCAAGCTCACTTTCTTGGTAGGGAACTTCAGTTACTAGATAGAAGTAACACAACAAATAATTCCATAGATGTACTCATCACAATGTATTGTGAATTAGAGCTTTCCTAATACCGAATTACTACACACCATGACCAAGTACACAATATAAAAATCATCCTTATTTCACTCTGGTTTAGCTTGGTGTCCAAATCAGACCTCGTGTAGTTTTTAATTTGAAAGTTACTGTTTACCAGTCTGTCATAAAGTGCTTGATGCCGTATAGACAGAGTTGTACACGCTATTTGGTGTATAAAACAGGACGGTTCTAAGTTAACAATAAAGGACTATCTCTGTTGGGTTTTGCCGCAATGAATACATAGGCTGCTAGGTTCTCTAATCAATCCTTAAGCACCCACAGGCAAGCAACAAAGCAGTAGTTTCAGCCCCGTTGTACTTATACATCACGGAAGCTCTGTACCTTCCCACTCATTTGAATAACATGAAATTAACCCACGAGAAGAAGCAACATACCTATTCTTGATTTGTAGAACTGGTAGCCTCCAAACCCAACAAAAGCAATAAGAATAATGACCAAATAGAGAATTAACACAGCAAAATCAACCTCCATTGCAGCCAAACCAAGAAAAATTGTCACCACTGGAAAAAATATTCAACTTGGAGTTACATTCTAAGCGTTTTTGTAGTAACCCTATACAAAATTATAGATATTTTTCTAAAACCTTTGTCAACTGTTACAACCTCGTTCATGCTAAACATATTTTTCTCTAAAAAAATTAAAAATAACGATTTTGCCTTGAAACTGAATGAGAACATTTTGGCTATTGGATGTCTTAACCTCTCAAAAGAGTTCCATCCACAGGCAAAGCCTGAATATGTGTCGACAAACTGTATTGGGCTAGAAGTACACTATACAAAACTGCTATTGGAGCAGAGCAGACAAGGGTAACTTTTACTCCTGGGTGAAATTTGGGATAGCAGTTACACTATGAATCTCTGCTTGCTCGTACTCCTACATTCCACTGTGTTTCTGGCCGGGAAAGCAGTGTGCTTTTGTACTCTTATGCAAATAGGGCACCCGATTTATTTTTTTATGATAAAGCTGAGAGTATGTTCTGTTATGAATTCTATCTCAACAAAAAATGCATAAAATGGCATAAAACAACCCTGGAAATTGAAAGATAGAGAATAATGTTGAAGTTTATTCATCCAGGTTCCTCTTCAATGGAACGGTTTGGTAAGAAATGAAATCTGAATACGAAAATTATTATCTGTATGACGACAAAAAACATCGTGGTTCTTTAACTTTAATCATCGATAAAATCAATGATAAATTGACATATTCGACAAAATCAGTGCAACAGACAATCCAGTAACAGAACATAATGAAAAATCTAATGAAATAAACGTTTCGACCCTAGCTATGTTAGTTGTGGACACTTACTTGCCAATATGTATGTGACAGCTCCATTTAACCGATGGAAAATATTAAACATATATCTCCTATAGAATTAATAAAATACTTTATTATAAAAAATTTATCAATGATACAAACATGAAAAAGGTTGCTACTTTATAGTATCTTAAAAAAGAGACAAAGTTTGCATGAGAGGACAATACAAATGGGGACAAACATAAATCTAATTATACCAGAAATATCAAAAAACTCTTCACTCTGAAATAAGTCAAAGAAAAAAGGTGATAGATCATGATTATAATAATGACTAAAACTAAGTATCAATAAATTGTTTGTGGGTTTACTGTCAACTGCAGATGAAAAAAGGATATTTTGATCTGGATTGAAGAAGAGGCGCTATCTAAACCGAGAAAACAAAATGCATAAAATCAAAAAACCTGCTCACCTTGAGGAGTTGACTGCAGGCCTCAGCATTCCTGCCGCTGTCTAAAATTTACAGAAATGAGAAGACTAGCCTTGAAAAATGAGCATGTTTATATTGTAGAAAGCAAATATTAACAGGCATGAACATCAATGCTAAAATAAAATTTAGGTGAACCACCGAGTTTTCTCATATAATGGTTCCCTCCCTTCTTCCTAAACAGGATACCATTAGCATCAAGATCACCTTACAAAGCATCGTATAACGGACGATGACTAAATTCAAAGGTCAAAACTTTTTTCCTTGTGAAAAAGATATATTCCTCCAAGCGAGGAGATAACCACAAGTAAATTTTCCATGGCAATATAGGCATCAATTACAATTGTTTCACGTCAATCGAGAATCCAAAGGATTTTCCATAGCTTCCATAATCTATCCACTTTCTAAATACATAGTATAAACAATTCGAACTACCCCATACATAGTATAAACAATTCGAACATAAAGCAGGTACTTAAATGCCAGTTGCCAAGTTTTATGGGTTTCAGTGCACAGCAGTAGGCAGTTGCGTATCGCCATCTGCCATTGCAACCTGGAACGCAATGGACTTGATAGAGAATGGGGGAATCTGCCCATGCCAGTTAAGAGGTGGAAAGCCTTGATGAACATTGCATTGAAGATATACTTGAGATCTCTGGTATATATATAGATAAAGACAAAGGAATAAACACCGTCCAGGCAAATCTCTGACTAAGATATACAAAGTCATTTTTCTCAAGGAACTAAATCGAGAATGATGTTAGATTGATCTTTGATGGGAATTTTACATACCGTTTGATATCATTATTCAGGTTTAGTGATAGCTATAATCATCATCGAAATCAATGCACTGACAGCATGCAGAAGAATGAACAACAAAACACGTTGTTACAAGAATATGGCTATGCAACCTCAAAACATATGATCATTGAATTCTACCAGAGACTGATGTAACAAAAACTTGGTTTGAAAGGACAGAATCGGCACGACACACTTGGATGATACCACTTGCAGAGATAAAGGAACGAAACTGTGAATGTGCAAAGTCCAGACAAAACTTGATTATAAGATCTCTTGAACTCTTCAACTATTTGAGATGTTAGGGACCGCCGATTGGTCAAAAACAAGGAACCAATCAAATGCGCCAGTCACAAAACCCTTCGAATTCGATCCGCATCATATTTCAAATTTTGAACGAGCCGACTTCAATTTTTCTTCCTCTCGTGATAATTTCGAGTATTTCTTCCTACCTTCAGTCATACCCGACGTTTACACTCTGAGAAGTGTCAGAAGAACTGTACTAAAGTATATGATGTTTTCCGTCTATCATCAATTGTTAAACAGGTTGAGTGAGATTAAGGAAAGCAGAGCTACAGTTTGAAAATTGAATGCAGAAACGATGATCGGTCCCGGTAATTAGTTGATATCTGAAGATCAGGTAGATCTGTGGATTCTTACAGAGAGTCGTTATAACTGAATTCGAACAATGACAAGTTTGTAAAACTAGAATCAGATGACAAACAGAACTGGATGAAACCAGAAATTATATGACTAAAAAAGAAAGAAGAGGAAAAAGGAGATTAAAAGGCATAAAAATATAGCCATGTTAGTAACGAAGTCCATTGAACAAACGTACCTGTAAAACGACCAAAATTATGGTGATAATGCCAAGAATTGGATGAGCATCCATTTCCTAAAAAAAGTTATACAAAAAACTGTGATAGGAAATGGTTTCTATTTAAATCGCAAATGATCAGATGTTTGATGCAATAAACCATTGAACCTCTCCTATTTATAAAAAAATCAACGTAATGTCCTTTGCACTGAGGAAAGGCCTATGCTACGATATATGAGGTATTCTTGTGCAAAAACGGAGGATCTGAATGCTGTTATAAGCAAAAAACATTTTTGCACATTTCGAGCAAAAAGATTAGAAAGTGACAAACGAAACGCAAATCCAGCCATTTCACTTGGTCTTAGCTGTAATTGACTCTTCAGAATGATGTTTAGATAGATAACGTAATGACAACCACCAATAAAGTTATATATTCCTCAAAGAATAAACAACCATGAAATGTTACTTGAGTCTTTCAAAAAAATCTCAGGAATACAGAAAAAAGGATCCCCCAAGCAATGCAATATATTAATCTATTCAGGATGAAACAGGCTGGAAGTTAAGGTACAGGCTGAAAAACCCGAAAATTTAGGGCAATAATTAAGGTTTTTATTGTCATCTTGTTAGATATTTTAATATTCCTCAGAAATATTTGGGTCCTTAAAAGAATCTAATTCATCTCTACTTACGGTGTTCCATCCTTTCGCCTCGACCAGAATTATGATAAATGCAATTATGACCAACACTGTGCTGCAGAACATGGCGATTCTATGGAACTGGAAAGAATTTAAACCCGCCTTGATTTGAGAACCATTTGAATTAGCTTTGAATAATGAGATAAGTTAATAGATAATTAGCTACTAGCATAAAGTATTCAATAGTTTCATCAATTTATCATCAACTGGATTTCAAATATTTCTGACCTCGGCCTATAAGAAATGCTTCTACCCGGAAGCATATGAATAAATACCTTTGTCTTGAAACTCGGCAAAGCTTTCAAGAAACATAATTAAAAATGTAACATAAATCTACAATTCCGAATAAAATAGCCGAGACAAAGTGCAATTTTTGAAATTTTATTCTCTACGTTGCTCCCTTAAAATCGCCTCTACGTTGCCCTACTCTTTCCCCCCAAGTCAATATTAGTTTTACAATTTATGGCTCAAAAACATGCAATATTGAATCAGGGGAGGAGGGAGTTATTTAAAAGGAATGGGAAAACATAAAAAATTCTTGTAGAAAAATCTCAACAATTTTTGTCCGGGATTGTTGCCAAAAAGCTTTCAGCGTCTTAAAGTTTTGTTTTGTGATGTTGATCTTATGGAGAAAAAAGTTTTAACGATGCCAAAAGAAATTTAGGAATCCAGATGGCAACAACTTTCCCAAAGCCTATTTTTGTCAAATTTTCAATGTATTCGTACTGCTGCGAGGGCAAATCCAAACTGCAAAGGAAATAATAGAGGGCTTTCGCAGTTTAGATTTGCCCTTGCAGTAGTATAAATGTATTGCAGATTCAACAAAAATAGGTTTGGGGAAAGAGTAGCAACAACTAAAAGGAAAACTTCTATAGCCAAGTAAAGACGATAAGAATGTATCATTGCGCTCAAAAAGTTCATATCGATTGATTACCAAAAAAAATCATTGTTTTTGACTTTGCATATCAAATCATTATTGTTTAACAGTCCTATATACTCAATCAACAAAGCGGTGTTTTCGTACATAATAACCAATTAGCTTTCAAATTCTTGAAAAACAATAAATCGGCAACATTAAATTCATAGCATACAAGTTTTAAATTCGAATTCTTTCTTTTGACGCCCTTGCAGCAAGAGCTTGTCCTTTTTTGAGTGAATCGAGGTTTTATAATAGGGCTTACCTTGAAAATTTTGCAGCCAGAAGCAAAACTATGATACGACACTCCATTTCAAAGGGTTCGGCCTTGATTTCACTTATAAACGTCAAATCAGAATCGTTTTGATGTTTCTATCAAATCAAAATGCCTACTGATAGTAAAATTTTAAACCCGATAATCTATTCCAGTTTCTCGCGGGAAAATAAAATGGGTTGCATCTGCCCCAGGGCTACTAGCACCTCTTAACGCAATCAAACTAAAATATGAATAATAAAGGGAATAATCTTTGGTTCTTTTTAAATTACCTGAAACCACCAATTCATTCCGCAGACCTTCTTTCCCTGCAAAGAACCTCTCATATACCGAGCAAAAAAGATACCAGAAAAAGCAAATCCAATCCAAGCTAGCACCATTAAGGAACCTTAAAAGATAAAAAACAAAGTAAGATGGCATGGATTACATACACCATGAAGGTTAAAACGTCCGTAAATGTGCGAGGCAAGGGCAATTCATGGTTGCTGTTAACGTTAGATTTCCACTAAAGCAAAAGGAATTCTGGGAAGTTTCAGATAAACAATAGGATTTCTACGAAAGATGTACGAGATTTCTATGGAGTGATTTGCTCATTGCATCAGTAGATTCTGTTGTTCAGGTATTGCTGGATGGGTCTGTAGGGCTGTCTAAACAAGGTCAAAAATATATACCTTATAGTTCTGATTGTGATACTCTCTTTATTGGGATACTTTTTTGTCAAGTATGCTTTGCGCAGCTCGAATAGATCAAAATGTTTGTGCACATGCTTTTATATAGAAAGATTAATATCCTGAAGCTGCAAAAAGCAATGAATTAAATCACTGAAACCAAGCGTAAAAAGGCAATAACGTTGATTTTAATCACATGAGCCGGAATTTAGTCCCAAAACATATGTCATAAAGATATATTAAGATATTTGGAAATAAAATAACTTCATTTTAAAAATCTTTTTAGGCAAATTCTAATTTTTTACTTTAAAAATCTTTTTAAAGTTGCCCTGAAAGTGTTATGCAAACACGCGCAGAAGGTTATTCTGGTGTTTTAAAGAACTATTGTTTGAAATTTGAATATTAGAGATAAAGTGCTTTGATGGCATTTGAAACAAAATCCTTTTTGCTTTCAATGTTGCTAAGACAAATACAACTTCTTTTCAATCTGCATTTTATGCAACCCTGAAACAGAGACAACCCTCCTAAAATCAATAAATTTTGAACTTAGATTATCTCAAAATCGTGTATAAAAAGTCAGCAAAAATTCACGGGACTAATAGAGGCAATTTCTTCAGTCTTTGAAATCCCTCAAGTTTTCAATAAAAGTGCCAAAAATTCTTTACGAGGATTGGAGATAATGTCAATACAAACCATGAGCAGCGATAAGGCCCCATCCAAATGTCGAAACACGAAAACTGTGTTTCTCCGTCACAATTACTTTTGAAGAAGTCCAAAAATAGTCGCCTGTACCATGTTCCTTAGCATGGATCTTAGATCCTAAGTATCAAAAAACATTTCAGAAATAATATAATTTATAATTCCGAATGTTTAAAAGGACAAGTACTTCACAAGGTTTGATCTGCACAAAGAAAGATGATTAAAAACATAAATCTACTACAACTGCAGATCTCTAAAGCAGTTTTAAGTATATGAATGTTGAAAACTTATACATAAACATTGTTTGTAATTCAAAATAGCATGGAAAAGCGGAAAAATACCATACTAAAAGTACTTTTCGTCCGATAGTTTTTCTTTTATCCTCATAAAATTTTACAAAACAAATGAACTACAAGACGATGCCTAAGGAAGCATGGAAATACATAGCAACCCTGTGACCAATACATTAAACATATCAATTTAAAACAAGAATTGCATTAAATATTACAAATTACATACAACAGATTACACATGACCAATAACACTTATCGAGTTAAACAAAAAAAATACATTGACAAAACAAATGTCATTCATTTGTCAGACATTCGACATTTGTCAAGGTATAAGCGTCGGATAATGTCCGAAAGGTAAGCAGAAAAATTACTCTGACGTTCATACTCTGATTCATTTGTACGTTTGAAGCTGACGAGTGTCGGACGAGTAGGACTTAAGCATGATATCTTTCCGCTCTTCTGTACTATTTTCAAATTTTGCGGTACCCCCCGGCCGGTTCACTCTCGATGTCAAGTGTTAGCACAAATGTCTTCAATATCTCTGAGAAAAGGGTTCAATTTTGTCATATATCTAGGACATAAAAAATAGAAAGAAGGATGGATGATACGGAAATCTTAATATAGCTTCTAATTTTTCTTTGTTTGGCCTTATTTCAACTATTTGATTTCAGGAAAAAGGTATAAATTTTTTTTTGGTTCAAAGAAAAGAGGAATCAAATTGGAATCAAATATGAGAGATAAGGGTCAGTTTTCTAGACCCTCAGTCACGGGTGCTTACACTTGATAGTGTGAGATGACACACCGGGGCGGTACCAAAGGCCTATTTGATTGTTCATAATCTTCATAAAAACAGGCACATTTCCGGAACAAGAGTTAAAGTCCTATCAAACGGCTTAAAGAAAGAAAAAATAGAAAATTTATATTAAAAAGGGTTCAAATGATGCCATGGTTAATCAGAACAAAAACAATTTTTCAGCAAATGACAAATGGATGCTTTTATGGACTTGTTTTCGATCTGAATTGACTTAAGTGCTATTCTGAAATCAGAAAATTACTCAAATTCTTAAACAGTTGTAAATAAACAGATTCTTAAAAAGCCTTTATAATCTCACAACAACTTAAATACAGCATTATTCAAACATAAATCGGTAAACAGTGATCTTTCTTGCTTTAGTTTTCAGCAACGCATTTTTTTCAATATGATATATAAATTTATCGAACGATTTATGATTTTTTATTAATTTTTTTCATCAGGATTCTACTTATTTTTTATTTTTTATCCCAAAAAGTTAATTTAATATATATATATGTGAGAATTTTAATATGAGATTTGTTGACATCATACCTTTCATTTTTGTTTCCCCCCAAGATGCAATGATATACCAAGGTTTTGTCAGATCAGGAAGAGACGCCCCTTGTAAAGGCGTTTTAAACCTGCAACGTAAAAAAATGATTAGTTTGAAAATCTTTAAAGTGAACAGCAATACAGAACAGTACGACATGTCAGACCAGAGACACCATTCGCCATTATGCACGTTATCCGTCTAATGGGAATCTATGATCAAAAGCCCTGAAAATGTCGACAAAAACTTTCTTTATTCACGTTGAACAAGGTCTGAGTTAAACGACGCCAGATTGTGAGCACTCCGGATTGATTTTTACTTCGGATAGTTGCTTCAGTTACACGACGCTGGGACAAACGTTTCGCTTCACCCCGGAATGATTTTGAAACGCTCAATCCAGAGCGATGTTCACTCCGGTACCTCCCTCCTATGACATAAAAGCTTGTCCTTTCGGTTGCACCACAGTTTCCCCAAACTGAGCAACAGTATCTAAAATGGGGCTCGGAAATGCCAGTACATATTGTCTTCAGAATGTCCTGTGTTAAAAATTTTTTGGCATGTTTTAGAAAGCCAATTGCTCTACTGATTTTTGTTGACAGTACCTTGATGTGACCTTTCCAGTTAAGGTAGAAGCTAATTTGAAGGTAGAAGCAAAATCAAACACCATTATCATTATGACCTTATTTATTGGTTGCAAGGCCAGTAAAAATATGAAAAGCCAAAACGACTTTCAGATTGAAATAGCAAAATACTCACCGACAAATGAGCCATCCATTAACATTTGATGTAACAGTTGGATATGGTTTGATTTGTCCGGCCTAGAGAAACGAGTTAAATTGTCAAGAAATACAATCAACTTACAATTGAATATCCTGTGGAATAGATTTAGAGAAAATGCTTTTTTGTGATGAATAAAAAATTTTCCATCTACCCTGTCTTTCTTGCTGTTAAAGCAAATGGGGGTTCCAGGTCACGCAGATAATTTGGCAACTACATACTATATAAATGCACTGTAATAGAACAGCCATGACAAATTAGTGACTGGCAAATCAATAAATCGTTGGTAAACAATAATTAATTTGTATAATTTTACAATTGCTCTTACCAGCTCCTTCATATTGAAATCGGTTCCTTCATTTTCAAATGACTTTAAAATTGGCTCTTTTGACTGTCTTTTCATGCAGATTTGTCCTACTGTCCCTCCCTTGAATGAGATGAAATTAAAGAACTGAAAGCATTCAAAGCGTATCAGTGCATCATAGGATGACTATTTTAACCGAGGGGCAAATCAATTCTGAAAATGTTGTACGAGATTAATAATCAGTAGTGATTAATTTGTGATTAATTCATTTTTTGTGCGATTAATTTGATTTTTTAGGGATTAAAGTGATTAATTAGTGATTTATTTGTGATGATCTTGAAAATAGTCAAAGATTTTTCAAGTGCTCTTGAATAAGCTCCTGTGAAAAAAAACTCAGTTTGAACAGACAAACGAAACGAAAAACGAAAAAATCAACTCAGTTTGCATAAAAAAACGAAACGAAAAACGAAAAAATCAACTCAGTTTGCATAAAAAAACGAAAAAATTTGCCACACCTCACACTAAACAACAATATTTCATTAGCGAATGACAACCTATCCTGCCACTTTGGCGGAGATTTTTGCAACGTGCTACATGGAATTGAAAAAGAAAAATTTGGAGTATCCTAAACAACCGTTTCGTCGATGGGAGCGATCGAGACGTTCTTCATCACTTTGGGAAACCGCGGAGAATCAGATTGCAAAAACTCCAATGTTTTTGAGGGAATCTTTAGACAGGTTTACGTAGTTATTCGAAAATTTCTCTGCTTTTTGTTTCCTGTCAAATATGAAAATTGGACTAAGAATTTACTGCAATCCACTCACTGAAATTCTTGCTTGAGAATATGGACTTTCCATTGTCATAGACATGGTTTGGCTTTGTAGCTCTGACCCTTAGTAAACGATCAGTCGACAATTGTGTGCTTTCTTGGACCAGATACAGTGCTGTAGTTTTACGTATATGAACGCCATTGTATGACACAACTTTGCCTTTCCAAGGGAACTTGACAGTGAATACTCTTTCCCTTTGAGAATCTCTGGACCAATTCCTTGCGCTTCTAAATCATTCGCATGTTCGTATGTTGGAAAACCACTCTGTGCGCTCGCATTTTGCGCAATTTAATCTGTGATAAATCTTCCTTTACTGCTATAATTTTATCATTGGACAACGTTGCTATCTTAGACCCTTCCAGTTCTACATTCTCCCCTGGCCGATTTTCAGAAAAATCCATTTCATCATCAACTTCGCCATCATTTTCTATCCCATGTTGAATGGCCTCTTTAACACGTTTCAACGCAAGAAAATATTTATCATCATATGAATCAAAATGAATGTTGCAGGATTCGGCAAAATCTATTGCATTTCACTTTGCGGCAAAAATATTCTCAGTAATATCTTCAATCGTTAGAGTAGACAACGTATATGAGCTTTCTTCGTTAACCTGTGGATTCTGTTTAAAATTCCTTGCATTGTAAAATTGACAATTGTTGCGAGGTTGGAGTCATTGCACAAAGGATTCTAAATAACTGCTCACAGCCTTGAAAGCCACAGCACCAGATTCTAAGTGCATCTGGGGGAAATACCCCCGTAGCAATTATAAACTAAGTTCAACGGCATGTGAACGTTTACTTTAGTGCACATATAAGCGTTGTTGCTGATAAAGAAGGCATTATCTTGGCATTGATTGTACAAACACCTCCAAGCACATCATCAATACTTTTGCTCCTCTATCACTATTTGTGTCTTCTTGACCAAGTGTCAAATGGCTCGGACTGATGATGACGCAATCACAGCTCAGCGATCAACGAAATACGAGTGAAAATGGTTGTCGGTCAGAATCCAGTTGCACTCACATATGATATCTTCTCTTTCTCCCCCTCCCCCTCCCCTGATGAAAACAAAACAAATCTTTGGTGATTTAAAGATTTGTTGAAAGCTTCAAATGTTTGTGGTTAATTTGACTGATGGAATTTCTTGCGATCAATATGATTTATGTTGCGATTAATGTGATTTTTGTCATCAATGTGATTAATTGGTGATTAATGTGATTAATTTATTATTAGATTGTGATTAATTTTGAAAGTGCACATGAATTTAAGCAGTGATTTGCCCCTCGATTTTACCCTTGTCATCTAATCAGTAAAAATTAATCTAGTCATCTTTTTTGAAGAAAAAAAACAAATTTAAGATAGGCAAGACCAATGAACAGGGGAGTGAGGTTAAGGCAGTTATCATGAACATTGCACAACTACTTAGCAAAACAGGAAAGTCAGCAGCTCTGAAAATTTTATTGGGGTCAATAAATAAAAACAATGTTTTTATAAGTTATAATGCATCAAGCTGAAACCAAATCCATATCATTAGCATTAGTGATCAAACTGAATTGGTGATCAAAATAAGAAAGGTATTGGAAATACCAACCATCATTCTAGGACTCATGTTGTAGCCAAATGCAACCCAGTCACTTGATTTGACTGACATCATTATATTAATGAATTTTGACTGATTTTCATGGAAAAATTCCAAAACAACTTTGCAATTCAGTGAAGAACAATTAGGAGGCCAAACAAGGCAGCCTGTAACACTTCCACATGCCTGAATAAAGACAGAATAAGATCTTGTTATCCTCTACTAGAAATTATTCATTTTATTGTTCACAAAGAAAATAATAAAAATAAAATATAAAAATGCTTCACCTTCAAAGGGTTGTATTCAAAGAACTGGATGAATTCTCAAAGATTGCAAAGGGCCATATCATATTTCATTATTATTTAAAAAAGAGGGAACTTCTAGAAGAGTGTGACACTGAAATGTATGAAAAGGGGGACACTTCTGGAATATAAAATGATGTGGGATTAAAAGATCTTTTTCAAGTGCTTTTCCCCAACCTTACATTGGAAGGAGCCCCTGCTAATTTGAACAATTTATCTAAGACTTATTTCATTTATTCCCAGATTTTTTATAGTAAATTGCCCCTCTGACTGATACATAGGGTGCCTTGAAAAAGACCATATTTGGTAATTAAAAGATGTAGGGTAAATTTTCAAGTTAAGTAAACAGAAACAATTTTATAGGAGCCAAAGAACCAGGAATAAAAACTTAAGCTTTTTGAGGAAAATGCTTTTTAGAAGAACCATAAAAAGTTTAAAAATATAGGTATATAACAAACTTGCATACTGGTGTAGCGGAATCAGAGTTCTTTATTCCTTCAACTTTGATGATAACCAAAGTGAATATGAAAAATCTCACAATGTGGTTTATCTAAAATAAAATAATCAACATATATTGACCCAGCAAAAACATCTTGAATGGAATCAATTCTGCACTTATTATTATAATAATGTAAAGTAAACAAATCTCTGCATTTCTGGCTTAAATGAGACTAAAAGAAGTATCTAATTGTGTCAGACTAAAAGCTTTAGTTTACTCAAATGTTTGCTTTTCTCAAAGCCATTTTCAAGTATCCAATTACAAGCCTACTACCTGTAGATGAAATTGTCAATAATCAATCGGTACACTCTCCTTATTTTACTTCCAATTAAAATTTACAATTATAAATTCAACAGTTGCACTTTTTACAAAAATATAAATGCACAAGGATGGTATACTGGGATGCATTACACAGACTGCTTGGTGGGATTACACAAGTGATTAAAATGATCTCCCTATGAATAATCTTAAGGCAAAATACCATTTGTAAAAAGGCCAGTATGGATTCCACGGCAGCTGCATTCCCAAGAAATTTTTGCAAAATTACGTGTGTTCACTTGCACACCTGAATATGGGGTTGTTTGGGCGTGGTTTTGGGTGTGGCTCAAAATAAAAAGTGTTTTACAAATATGGCAAAATGACTTTAATTCTAAAATTGTTAGCAACTTGCATTGTCAAAAGTGCTCAATCCTTTCGCAGGCCTGGCTGTTTGTATTTTTATAGGTGAGCTGTGAATTGCTCCCCTCATTTGCTGTGGTGAGCTAAATCAGTAACACATAGAATGTACTTTAAAGACAATCAACAGATGACTCAATAAGCCCCTTTAGTATCTGTCGGTTGCCTTTAATAGCCTCAGTCAGGAGTATGCTGGTTTACATTTGCATTTGCTTTAACTGTGACTTAGGCACCCCTTTTACTTGAAGTATTTAAAAGAACAGACTCTTTCAGTTTCATGTAAAGCTGGCACAACACATAAACAACAATTCTCTTGCAAAACAATCTTTTTGTTGCACAAAATTTGAAAATGGCTTTGAAAAACTGGGTTTTTCAGTATATGCTGCTGGATAGTGGAATTCCATGTTTTGGTTGCCGTTTTTGATCAGCTAGACAGAGTACCTTGTTCTCTTTGAGAAATAGTTTTGTTTTTATTGCTGGAAGGGACCTGCTGTCTTATCACATCCCCAATCTACAATTCCTACATCCCCAATTTCTTTGACGTTCCTTCCAAAAATATGCCTGTTATCATTACAAACGGACCTTTCAGTTGACTATCCTTTTCCAGATCGGAGTTTATGCCTATCATAACAAAGATCGCCCAACAAGCAAAAAGTTAATTGCAAAAATTGCATTGACAGAAGAAATTGCTGTTACAAAAATAAACCAATTAACCCTTGTACGTTTTCAGGGTTCTCTGAATAGGAAAAAGGCAAATGAATAGAAATTTTAGGGGAGCGATTCTCCCTTCATGTTCTGTTTAGGAGAGCAATTTATAGCTCGCCTCAGGTTGCAAGGGAAGTGTGGAGGCAAGCCCGAGCTATTGCTCGCCTCAAACGGCCAGGCCTGCTTTTGAAATATTGGCTGCTAAAAGTTTCAGACCTGTTTTCACTCTCCTGTTTAAAAATGAAAACATGACTTCATTAATGAAAATTTGTGAGCTTTCATAGTAGGGTCAAAACTGTGCCAGATGGCAGAGCAAATTGTTTAGGTTCCAGTGCTATCGTAAGCAGAAGGGCAAGCCACCAAGTTTGCCACGCTTCCAAAAATGCAAGGAGCAGGGTAAACGGGTCACTCTGGCCCTGTGGAAAACTAAAAATTTTTCTATAACTTTTTTAAGCTACACATCAGAATACTTTGCAGTCATTCTCTTTCAATTGTTTAAAACGTTCTATTATTTTATTAACCTGAGTTCCAGACAAAAAACTAAAAGTATTGGGTCAAATGTGCACTTTTATCACAAATGCACTCTTGCACCAGATTGCAAAATTTGGGTATGTGCGGGGAACGCATCCCCTGCGCAATAATTTTTTGCTCAAATCTTGTCCGCGCATTTTTGCAAATTAGATTAATCCAAGCAGTTGGAACATGGACTTTCGTGTGAATTCCGCGCATAGCCTAATCTTGAGCTCTAAAAGTGTTATTCAAATATGAAATATCACAGCTTTTAACCTGTCATTTTGCAACATGATTTGTTCCCGCGAAAGCGACAGAAAATAATTCCCTGTGCACAAAAAATACTTTGCAGTCTGGCTCTTGCACTCCCAGCTAATAGCTTGTGCACTCCCGAGATCTTGTCAAAAACTGACATGAAATCCAGACCGGTAAAAAGGTACCCATTCAGCCACCATCAGACGTCAGAAAACAGTTAAATTTTTTAACAACTTTTTGGAAATTTTGAAAGAATAATCCCCTTTTTAACATTGACTGCTCTCTTCTCTATTAGCCTAGCTACTGAGAGAGCCTCAATAAGGACAAGGAATTCCCCTGTACATAAAAATCAATTTTTTCATAATTTCATAATTTTCTTCAAGGTATTTGTCTTGCAATAGTTAATTAGTTCCGTATGTTATATTTAATTGCAGTTAACTTTTGCCCCTTTGCATCGTATGTAGTGGAATTCTAAAATTGTAAAAAACTGACACTTACTATGGAAAGTGGGGGGGGGGCATTATATTGAAAATGTACAGTTCTAAACATAAGGTAACTCAATAATTTTCATTGGGAAAAATCTTATTATCATCATACAATGAGATCTGAAATTTGTGAAGTTTTTTATTTTCATAAATTCGCACTATACTAGGGTATAAATTTTCTTTGTGTGGGACGTCAGGTTTGATTTTTATAGCCGCTAGTACTACGTCCGTCATTCATCATCCACCATCAGCAAACAACATTTGAAAACATCAAACCGTCTTTCCTGGACAAATTGCCATACTTAATGGTTTTGCCTTACCATTTCTGGAGATAAATCTGTGAACTTGATTCTCTTTTTCCCTAACCTTCTGGTCCACAACTGCATCCTTTTTTGGTTGTCATTCGAATGGCACTTACCCTTTCGCCGATGGTATTGTTGTTGCTGTTCCCACTGCTTCGTCACAGTTGTTGTTGCCAACCAGGAACCAAGTCCATGAACCATTCTAACGTCATCAGAAGAAAACCAAAAAAAGTTAGAGGTCGAATGTTGATCCACTGGTAATCGAGTCTATAGCCAGAGGCGTAGCCAAAGGGGTTACATCCCCTCAACCTCGGACTTGTCTGCAAATTTCTAGATTCTAAGTTTATAATCTACCCTCTTTTTATGTACGAAGAATGAGTACATATTTATAAGAACCAGTAAATTGAAGTTCAGGCTGGCTGTTCTTAATTTTTTCTAAAATCTGGATTGTTCATGATTTGTTCTTAAATCATTAGGGTGTAAACAATGTAATTGCTAGCTCTATCGCGCACGAGGGAAGTGTTCTGGCCGCATTTGCCAACAAAGTGAGTCAGTCATCCTTTATTTCTCGACACGACAAGTTTTAATTCAAAAAACTTCTCGTTTTCGAAGAAAATTACGTTTAACAGTAGCTCAGCCTCAGGTTGTTCTTAATTTGTTCTTAACTTTTGACCAATTTTGAGGCTCGTGTTCTTATAAAATTGTTCTTATGAAAAGAATGTATAGCTCAAAAGAGTTTAACTTCGACGATTACACGCTTTTTATAGCCTTCCTGATTTACACGAAATTTGCCAACAAAGGACAAGGATGAGGACAAAACAGGCCAATGAAGAATAGTAAGACGAAGATAGGGGTGCAGACAAGGATGAAAAGGAATGTAAGCTGAAATAATCTGCTGTATGAATGTGCACCTACAATGCCTGCCAAAAGTACTAGGAACACCCACTAATTTACGCTGCATTTGATATCTTTCATTACTTTCATGAAAAAAATTGCTATTTCCGGCCCTTTCCCCCTCAAACAATGTTGATGATTTAGAGAAATATCATAAAAGAGGCGCAAAAGAAAGTGCTTCCTAAAATCCTAACCCGTTTGATAGTAAACCAAAATTGTTCCGTGGGGGAGAGGGGGATGATTGGTTTTGACCTTGGAAATTGATGTCAGTGTTCCAAGACTTTTGGCAGGCATTGTAGTAGAAGAATTTTGACAGTTTACACTGAAAGCTTTGCTTTTGCAGGTTGAACTTTTTGCATTTGTTAAGCAATAGATTCTTTGAAAAATGCTGATCATGGAAATTTGATCAGTGTTAATTTCACGGGGCCTTTCTCTATGCAAAGTTGCTTCTTCATTGACCTTGTACTTTTACGCAAATTAATTTTCTTCCTTGCTCTCTTTGTCTTTTGGCCTTCTTTCCTAGGTTCATTTAAAAGCAAAACTCGGAAATTTTTGCCTTTGCTTTTTCATGGCACTAAATATGCATTCAAAATTAAGGAGCTTTTATGGAAGATTTGGTACTGCATTTTAATCAATAGAGGTCAAGAAATTAGGATCTTTAGGGATTTGGCCTTGGGCTAAGATCTTTATAAAAGCGTATAATCAATACTCTTTGATTCCTTCACTGTCCCAATGATTTAAAATCAGTTAAACCTATGGTACCTTTCATTCTTGATTCTCCCACAAGCTCTATATTAACGATTTTTAAGATATTCACAGTTGTGCATAACGCTTTAGAGAGCCCGATACAGATCATACTATAACAAGAACACGAAAAGGACAAGGAATGGGTCAAAAATAGTATTCACTGTACCACCTTTATCTACAGATCAAAACCTTTCTCTGTGTTTCTTTCTCGATTTAAAAACGTTCCTTTAAAATTCAATATTTTAAAAAAACTTGCTAAAATTATGTCCACAAAATCAAGCCTAATTAGGTTTTGGTTAGTGAGATAAACATCCTTTAAAATTCGTTTCCTACTTTTAATGAGCTAGCTATTTACTTCCTAATCAAAGCAGGTTATTCTGAGCAATTCTAGACAGGTTCAAAAAACTACCTCAACACACTTGAGAAATAAAAATTTTTTTAAGAAAATGGCCACTATCTTTAGCTCTTATTCTAATGAGAACGAAGTTTTCTTCATGATAAAATTTTGCTAAACAGCTAAGCTAAAGCAATTCTAAATACTAGCTCCAAAAAAGAACAACAATAAATTATCCGATAAACGATTACAACGGGGGAATTAAATTCAGCTAGAATTGTTGATATACTAAATAATTATACGGTGAACTTGAATGACCAACAATCCTAACGTTCTAAGAGCAGTTTATAGTTTTCGCGCGCACTTTTCAAGTAACGGCCCTCCTCTCTGGTACTACTTTGTCCAACCCCCTATCTGTCCTTCCTGCAAAGTCTTTCACGAGATCAATAAAATTGTGGTTTCATGGATAAACTTAGCTTTTGCTTTTGAACGATACAGCTTTTGAAAAAAATCCTCTAGTCATTAATAGGTCGTAGACCAGGATCAGTATTATATTTTTTCGTGACTCTGAAACGTGTATGCATGTGTACTGAATCCAGTTAAGCCCGCCACAAAATCACCTTGTCATACACAGACTCTGCACCACTGTCATCAGTGGGTGATACAGAAAAAACCCCATGATTATTGTATTCTATTAGCATAATCAAGACAAATCAAGATTTTTTGCGCCCCAGATTATTGGCTTGCTTTAGTAAAAATCTGATTCAGTTTCCTTTTTGCTGCTTTCAGAAACTCATGAAGACAGAAGTAATAAACAAATTGGTTCATGAAAGCATTTGTCATTGTAATGGTACATGAAATTGAATAAAGCAAAAGCACTTGCCCGTTGCTGTTTGATGATTTGAAAATTTTATTTGATCAGAATTTTGCAAAGCATCTATTGCCTAACAAGAGCAAGAAGTTCCCAAAACTGCAAGAGCAAAGCATTCAATGCAAACTGTCCAAATTCATCTACTAGTTACAAATTACTCCCCATTTTCGTCATTCTCTTCGTCCGCGTCCTTGTATCCATCCTCGTTCTCGTCCTCGTCCTCGTCCTCATCCTCATTTTCGTCTTCGTTTTCGTCCTCGTCCTCGTCTTCCTCTTCGTTTTCGTCTTCGTCTTCGTCTTCGTCCTCGTCCTCGTCCTCGTCCTCGTTTTCGATTCGTTTTCGTTTTCGTTTTCGTTTTCGTTTTCGTTTTCGTTTTCGTCCTTGTCCTCGTCCTCGTCTTCGTCTTCTTCCTCGTCTTCGTTTTCATCTTAGTCTTTGTCTTCGTCCTTACTTCGTATTCGTTCACGTCTTCGTCCTCCTCCTCGTTTTCTTCCTCGTCTCATACCAAGCTTTTGTTGTCCGTTTCTATCTTGTTCTTTTTTCGCTTCCATTTTCGTCTCTGTCTTCTTCCTTGGTCATAATCGTCATTGTAACTGCCGACACCATCACTTTTTTGACTAAAGATCGGCTTCAAAAGCCAGCTAATTAAATACTTTCAATGAGAGTACATACCTGAAAACTATATCTATGATGCATTGCATCAAATAAAACTACCAAACTGCCAACGTGAAAGCCTTTTCAAATGTGTAGGCTCTTTACGCCTTTAAATATTCTCAATTTCCTCTTTTGGCAACTTATTCTATCTCATTATGCCTTCAAATCGAAATAAACCGAATCTCAAGTAGTAGATAGAGCCTTTTAATTTTTTGGCCCGAGTTCACTACACCAGATGGGTCTTCAAAACGGATTGGTTTTCATTTCTGATTGGACATGCAAAATGTACCTACATTTGTACAATCTTGTCGTTTAAAGTAAAAAAGCTATCCTTCCAAAAATAGAACCTGATTTACATGTCTTGACAACAGTATAACATGTCACCGCGTGCTCAGAAGGCGAAGGCAAAAATGCCACAAGATTCAACCAGCAAAAAGTTCATGTAATTCGACAAGGCAAGAAGGTACAATGACAAATTTGGCAGATCGGGTTGAAATAAAGCTTCACGTTTAAGATCAACGTGAGAATTTGCATCATTTTCTTAAGGGAAACCTTAGGAAGATTTTTAGATATACAGATTTCCTTGATTAGCAATTGATTGGGCATGAACTTGGTCGAAAACACATTATGCAGGTCAGAAGGTGCCTCTTGTGTCGAGGGTAAACTCGTGGGTGTGTCTCGACAGCAATGGCATTGACCATGCTGCACCACTGAAACACGGCCTTTTCTGTTACTGTTATATATATTATGGTTTCACCAGCACCATGAATTTTGTCTGTTTTATAAGCACATATTCCAAGCTTCTATGTTATCTTAGGTTTTGCGTATATTAACGATATATTTGTGTATAGGACGGTTACCAAACTATAAGCAAACCGTCTTTTTTGTTATTCTTTTTCTATTTGTTTCCAACAAATGCAGAATGCAGCTTAATGTAAATAACAAGAATACATAGCTTAGTATGAACATTGCCTGTTGAAAAACAGCACAAATTACAAAGATCCAATGAAGAGCCCACCAATCAAACGTCAATCTAATTAGAACATTTCTAAAAAAATGCAATTACGAATGTCTTTTGGCTTAAAATTCCAAAATGGCTTTCTCAAGATTCAGAATCGTGCATTGTTAATGACAGCTAACCAATCTGCTCGCCGTTTATTCTGCATGTTCTCGTGAGTTTGACTAGAATGTGTATGAACTATTTCATTTTATTGAAAAGAGCACATCGTGAATGCAGATAAAACGTGCGACTTTAATTTTATGTTGCAGGACTTTTTATGATCTTCTCCTTTAATAAAATTCTGAAAACAGGATACTTTTGCTGGAATGAATTTCCGAAAAAATGATTCCTGATATCTTCAATTGGCATACCTGCGCTGGAAAAACGAGACAAAAGGTAAAAGGTTCTGGAACTTTTGCCGAAAATGAAACCCTGCTGGCAGAGACATCAGCGTGTAGTCAGTGTATTAAATGTACCCTCCGGGCTTGACAAGTTTGTATAAGTTACTTTCAAGATATAAAACCAATTTTTGTTAAAAGTATGTTAAAGTGCAAGTGTTTAAAACCTAAATCCATCACGCAGGATCTGTCTCATGGTTTGGATGGTAATAACGTTACATCGAGTTACCATTTTAAGTCTGTCTACGCCTGTTTAGTGGACTGGAAAATCAGGCTTCAAGGATGTAGAGAAATAAGCCAGACCCTACTTATATTCTCTGGAGGTCTACCAGGTAAGGATATTGAAACGAAATTTTTGGCTCTCTAGCCAACATTATCTCGGTAGACTGCCCTAATATTTTATTAACCTTGTCTGTAAGAAACTAACCCATAACATGGCAAAAAATAAGAAACTCTAATATTTCTGAACGACGGAATTGATAAATATTAGCATTGTAAGGATGAAATGGAAATGCTATGTTCCGACGACAAATTGCCTATTTTCTATTTCATTGACACAAATTATAGAAATAAGAACTCGTTCTTTGAGTTACTGAAAAAAAGCTTATTAGAATATGGTATGTAACCTTCAAGAAAAATTAAGTACAAAAATCAAGCAAGAATTTTCACGAGCTTGTTTTCTTATTACAAGATACCTGTACTAAAGCTTGGGTTGCACTCCTTTGTCTTAACCTCAATGAGAATGCAACAACAACAAAATTACAATTCCCAAACTATTGCACAAGATCTTATGCATTGCGAAAATGTTATTTCAAACCAAATTACAACTACTTGAAATAAAGAAACTTCTTAAGCAGTGATCTTGCTGGACGTGAGATGTCAAGTTGCTTAGGGAAATTTGAAGGATACCTAGAAATTTGAGTATATCTACAACACCTGCCAAAGCATCGGCAAACGACACCAGATTTTAGCTGAGGAAATCAAATATATGTGATATTCTCACTAATTATCTACAAAATTTAATAACGATGTAGATGTACGTTGGAGGGAAACCTAATTGACATCGTACATAACATCACATTACCGTTGGAACGAAGCCAATATTTACGTAGGGCAGCCCATTGTGAAATACAAATACTTTAACTACGGCAATAAACTCTAGCATTCGAAATTTTCGTTTCCCAATCGATGCAAAGAAAGCGGCAGTTTGCCCACTAGATAAAGGGAAATCAAATCGTACATTAGAAAGAAATTTCCGCCCACTTAGTGTTCTCTATACCTTTTCAAAGATATATGAAAAAGTCTTAAAAAATCAATTGGTTCAACATTTAGATTACGCGCTTTCAGTCTTCATTGCTGCGTATCGACAAATGTATGCAACCCAACATGTTTTGATACGTTTGATAGAAGACTGGAAGACTAGCCTTGACAATGACACTGGAATCTCGTTGGTGCAGTCTTAATGGATCTTTCGAAAGCTTTCGATTGTATCCCACATGATTTGCTTATCGCCAAACTGCATGCGTATGGATTTGATGAAAATGCTCTAGTTCTAATTTATTCCTATCTGAAAAGACGAAATCAGTGTGTTCGGATAAACAATTCATACAGCTCTTTTCAAGAGGTTATGTCTGGTGTACCCCACGGATCTGTGCTAGGACCAGTCCTGCTCAATTTTTACATAAATGACTTATTTCTATTCATAAAACAAGCAACGCTCTATAATTATGCAGACGACAATACACTTTCTTATTTTTCTAGAAACATGCGTGATCTTGTAAATACCTTGCAAAAAGAAACGGGAATCGCCTTACCATGGTTAGAACAAAATGAAATGATTGCAAACCCTGAAAAATTTCATGCTATAATTCTTAGGAAAAACAAGACAAATACTAGTGGAGAACAATTGATCATTAATGGTAAAAAAATTCAATCTGAGGAGACAGTGGAGCTTTTAGGAGTAACGTTGGATTACAAACTTGATTCCGACCCACATATTTCGAATCTTTGCAAAAAAGCTGCAACACAATTGAATGTTCTTAAAAGATTAAAGACGTTTATTGGTTTCCAGAAGAAAAAGGTTCTTGTCCAGAGCTTCGTATATTCCAATTTCAGCTATTGTTCTTTGTATTTTCATCGTCTAAATCATTACAGAAAATTGAACAGATACAAGAACGCGCCCTAAGATTTCTCTATAATGATCATACAAGTTCGTATAGCGATCTGCTTGTGAAGGCAGACAAATGTACGATGCTTGTCGCTCATCAAAGAATTCTATGAATTGAAATATTCAAGACAGTAAAACAGCTAAACCCACCTTTTATGCAGAGTATTTTTAAATTACGTTCGTCAAATTATTCATTAAGAAATCCGAATAACTTAGCCCATGTTAGACCTAATCAAACAACATTTGGATCCAAATATGTCAATCGGGCCACAGATTTGGAATGGCCTACCCAACGAGTTGAAATCCGCAGAAAATTTGAAAAGTTTTAAGAATCTAATAAAACAATGGGACGGACCGAATTGCAAATGCAGTGCCTGTCAGTTTCTGCCAGAAAATGCAATTTAATCCTTAATTTTGTATCCATAATTCCTTTTTATGTACTAACTGGTAGCTATATTCGATTTTGATTAGTTAACATTGTACATTATGTATATATTGTTAGCTATTGTTTCTTATATCGAATTAAAGTAAATTTACAACATCAACAAAATTGTGTTTCTTTTCTTTCAGTAAACTTTTAGGGAAGGGAAAAATACTACAGTTTGAGAATTATTGGGGGGCTTCATCCCTCCTAGCCCCCTGTTTCCGACGGCCATGCATCATTATTATACAGCTTCTCAATTCACAAATCATATCCAGTCCTAGGCTCATTTAAATGTTTCTTTGAATGCTATTAAAGCTAAATATGCTTTGTTCAAAAACCGGTATTTTGATAAAATTCTTGAAAGCCCCTTTGGGGCCCAAATGCTTGGGAACCCTGAGTTTTGTGCTTAAAGATGCACACTGTGCATTACGCCACTGTGTTGAGGCTACATTCCCTCATCACAGGAAGCAACTTTAGGCCATTAGCGCATTGGCACAAGTTTCTCAACCTAACCCATACAAAAACCTAACCTTAAATATAGCTTGATTGACTCATCGGCACATCGTACATCGGCACAAGTTTCCAGCTAACCAGAAAGACTTTAATTGTTGAAGCTCCATATCGAGTTTTGACTTGGAACAAACCTTTAGGGCCCAGTTAGTCAATGTTTTGATAAGGTTAATTTTCCTTTGCTTTGGGCAGAAAGAATTTCTATCGAGTGTATAAACCCTGAAAATGTAGGCCTGCGAAATACACTGGTGAGACGTCTAGTGCCAGACTTTTCGACAAAATATCTAGAAATGGCAAGGTTTCGTGAAAAGTTAACTGAAGAGCTGGGTGAAGGCTGTTAAGTCACTTTAGAAAAATGTCGCACTCTGTTTTGAAAATAGTATGTGTGTCATCAACATATGTACAATCAACATAATTCTCAGTATGCTTCAAAATGTTTGCTTGTTCAAAATCAATTTATATTTAAAATTGCATTTAGATTGAATTCAAATTTTTCAACGTCCTCGACCTTCTTCTGGATGAAATATTTCCCTGTTAGTCTTCCTTGTATCTTTTGAATAAGAGTATTTTAGAAATCGAATTTAAGAAAGATCGTCTCATGTTTCGCCCTTACGCTCTCCTAAGTGAAAAAGAAAAGTTCAATCACAACAGTAAATTTATCTCACCCCACCACTCTACATTCATTTGTAAAGTTATATATTGGCCTTCCTCAAAACTACTGCATCGTTGGAAAACCTTGCTTCGGCTCACAACCAAGGATCCTTAATTTTTTCTGGGCTCTGCAAGCATAATACTATTATGACATATAGTATATAGAAATCAGAATTCTATTTGTCGATCAATAATGTTCTTATCTAAAGATAGTCAGAAACTGAAACTGAATCTTCTGCGTTCAAGTCTGGGCATCGTTAGCCTAAGGTCCAAGTCTAGGGCACGGGCGAGGCATCGTAGGCTCCTAAAGAAACACATAACTGCATTGAAGCAGTACGTAATTAAAGAGATATACAAATTTCAAAATAACATGGAATAAACATGAAGCTTTCAACTCAGACTTACATTTTAAATGATTTTTCTGCTTCTCTTCGTATACATACCATTTATTCCAAAAGCTGCTTTCTAAATTAGCTCGTGGTTCGTTTTACACATCGTGCTCGTCACCAACCGCATCAAACAAGGTACTGTTCTTCTCGTTAGTGGTTTTTTTAAATCTGCACCAAACTACTTCCTACCTGCCGTGAACACGAAACGAAGATTTTCCTACAAATCTTCAGGTATCGCAACGATAAAAAATCCGTATTTTGACTCTGCTTCAACTACATCCAGAATCATTTTTCAAATTGATCTGGCATAGTTGAAAAATCTAACACAACGTTGACCTTGAATGCTTTTTAAAGTGCATTCTGGGTTTTGCATACTCTTTGCATTCGTCCGTTAGCAAAGAAGCATTTACAATGATATACCATTCCCAGTCGAGTACAAAAAGCACGTCAAAATATTGTCTAAAGAAAACGACGATAATGTTTCTGCTTTCAAATTCCCTTGACTCTGGTGTTGGGTCTTGAGCTTACAGTGCAGGAAGTTGCGTTCGTTATTGTTGTCAATTTTATCAACAAAACCTACAATCACTGCCAAAAGTCTTGGAACACTAACGTAGGTTTTCAAAGGCAAATTCAGCCACCCCCCTTTCCCCCTCGGAACAATGCTGATTTACTATAGAAAAATGAAAGGGGTTACGGAGCATGTTTTTTCTTGTAGTTTGTTTGATACTTCTCTTTACTTTTGCCTTGAAGCTTTAAATTTAGCCATTCTAGAAATGTGAACTAGTACTTACAACATGTTTAAAGTTAGAAAGTCTTGAATCTTAAATCTAAAAGAATCTAAAAATAAGTGTTTTGTTGTGATACGAATCGATTTATTCCCTTGCAACTAAGCGCTTTCTACTAGCTATTGGATAATTCTTAGCAGACGAAAGCAAACAGAACCAGCTGAGTTCCAGCAAGAATAGACAAACTAACCAGTCTGGCCTCAATACCCTGATTCCAAACAGCATATCAATTATTGCCATCAAGCCAACCAAATTCACTTTGATAAGAGCTCAACCTTTTTCTTTTACCCTGTGCATAGTAAATTTTTTATAAAAACTGAATTACAAACTCCATTGTGAAACAAACAATAACAAGAAGAATTTCATGAAAACGCAAGAAAACCAACAATAAAAACGCAGGAACAAGAAGACACTGAAAAAGCTTCGGAGTCCAAAGCAAGTACAACCTCGTGAAGTGATGATCATAATCAGAAAGGTATTACTATTCAGCCAACAATACAAAAGATTCCCCAACAAAGCAAGTTGTAAAGGATTAAAAGTGAGGAAGCGCCACCCAAGTACACCCTGTTGAAGCTGAAGCACACCATAACAGATGAAAATTGTCCCATCATGCAAAATTAGTAGGTAAATTAAAGGGTCAGCTGGTTTTCCTCGGACAAGGAACTGAAAGGTTTCGATGCATAGTTTGCCCACTACCTAATTCATAATAGATAGCCACCTGCAAAGATAACATCAATTTCAAACGAAGTCATCGATATATTTTGGCTTTGGATTAGCTAAGTTGCTCAAGTCATGGCGTGTGTGAATAGCGTGGAGCCCTTGACAGAACCAACCCGAATCATACTAAGTTTCTTCAACACAGCCATTGCACTTCTGGCCACATTGGGTAATGTGTCTGTCTGTTATGTGTTCCTGAGCAATCGGAGTCTGCGAACAAGATCGAATTGCTACTTGATTTCAATGGCGATCACCGACTTACTAGTTGGCACGGTATTAGAACCATTGTTTATTGCTCAATTTGCTTCTAAGGATCTGGCTCAAAACTGCAACTTGAATGCGACAAGACGATTCACAACAGCAGTGCTGACAGGAGCGACAATGGGCACGATTGCGTTGATCAGCTATGATCGCTTTGTCCATTTGTCAAAAACAGTGCATTACAACAACTACATGGGGAAAACTAAGGTTGCAGTTCTCATTGGTATAACGTGGGTTCTTCCGATCGTCAGCACTTTTTTGAGATACATCGGAGACAAAGAAATAGTATACAGTGCAAGTATTTTTGTGTATGCACTAATCATGGTGGCAGTTACCGTTGTTTCTTATATCAGCATCTTCAAAATAGTCAGAAAGACGAGAAATCAGATCCGCAAAGAAGTGTCAAGTGATGTCACCGAGCAGCGACAAACGGGGCGACTTCAACGAAAATCAAATACCGATGGAAAAGTATTGAAAATGGTGTCGATCGTTGTTGCTTGCTTTTTCATCTTTATTTTCCCAATATCCATTTTCCATTTCATAGCTGCGTCATCAAAATTGCTGGCAAAAAAAGACGTCGCATCAAACCAAGATCAGCCAGACAACCAGATGGTTCTGCTCTATTCTATTGCAATGACAATTTCAATGGCGAATTCAATCGTCAATCCATGTATATACTACTTTCGTCTGCCTGAGTTTCGACGTGCAGCCAGAAGAACATTGGATAGCAGATTAGTTGACAGTAGACATTGAGCTGTGGTAAAATGTAAAAGTCTGGGTAGAGTTCAAATGTAGCGGTAGACTGAAATTAAACGTTTCGCTCAAAATCTCTCCCTTCAACAATGCCTTTCTATATGATTACCAGACCAGAGAATGACTGTTGTCAAATTGATTCCTGTCATGTAGTTAAGTGGGTAACTAAGGAAAAAACCTAACTTTTGGGGTAATGGGCGTGCGGTGTCGGCTAAATTTCCTGACACTTGAGTAACAGCGTTCTAAGGACTTTTGAATGCTTTTGTATACTGAATGGTGACAGCCTAACACAAATTTGGTGATAAGCCGCAAACAGTCCTTCAACTAGGAGCCTAGCTAGGGAGGGTATTTAAGGGGTGTGACACCCCCAATTATTCACGAGGTTGTCGGTAAATCTTCAGCTGGTCCATAAAATCTTTTGTTGGTCGGTGAAATCGCCTATCTTTAGGTGAAAAAGCACATAATTTATTAAGCTATGTCTCTATAGGTAAATTCTAATTTTGATGACCCCTTAGTTTGGAAAGCCAAGCTACGCCTCTGCCTTCAATCACGTACACGTGTTTGTAAGCAGTACTCATTGGGTTGAACACTGTCTACCTATAACCTCAATTTCAACTAAACAAAACCTCCACAAATTCCATGCTCAAATAACCATCTGGTCAGCTCTGCGCATACATAAGTAAGCTGCAAACACCTGGCACGCTAATATTTGTGTAAAAAGCAAACTACTTTCAGGTATTTCGGTTTTTACCTGATCGGACATATTGTAAACCTTTGAGGGCTTGTTAATATGAGCAAATTTATCCCATCTCTAAGCCCATAATCTGGCAGGTGGGATGAAATCATCGAATGTTTATATGCAGATTCTATCCCACCTTCCAGCTGTAAATGGAGAAAATCATCTCATCTTCCAGCCTGATTGCTGACAAATGGGACAAAATTTGATGGCGTGTATATGAGTATTTCATCCCACCTTCCAGCTTAATAGGAACCTTCAGTCATTAATATGGAAAAATTTCACCCCTTCCAAGTGGGATCCCACCTATCATGCAGGGTGATTCACCTAACCGGGCTGGCTCGTTTGCCATGTATAAACAAGCCCCAAATCATCAGCCAGTTGATTTACTCGTAAAGAGCTTTGTGATAGTATGGCACTTTATACAAAAAAACCCTTTCAAGCAGATCTTTGGAATTAATAACCAGTACGACGACAAAGAAAAAGACACCATGTATTCGTCAACTTCTTGCTACATCATAGACAATTCCAATTAAGACATTAAGACCATTCCATTAAGACAGTTCCAATTTAGGCAATTCAGTTACGACAAGTCCATTACTTTAAATCAAATAACGTTTCGACTCTGGCTAGAGGCATCTTCAGTATAATTACAGGCGAGAAAAAATCAACTTAAATACGAAAGAGCTAAACAAAGGGGATGGAATACAATCATAGAAGGAAAAGGAAGACAAGAATGAATACAATAATTAACGGGTATACGATGAATCATCGATAGTGCGGACAGCAGCTGGACACTTTTAAATGTCCGCCAGTGTCTGGAAGTTTCGGCCTTATCTCCTTAGAAAGGAAGTAAAATGAAAAAGGGAGCATAGCAACAAGACAAATAAAGATAAAAGTTTCATTAAATAGATAAGAGACAAGAAATGCAGCATTAGATAAAAAGCAACTTTTCTGTTACAAAAAGCTTGAAGAAATACGTCTTATCAAGCCAGTCAACCTGCACTCTGTTTTATAAGAACAATTTTTAAGGAGTACGAGCCACAAAATTGGTAAAAAATACGAAAAAATTGAGAACAAACTGAGGCTGAGGTAATGTAACTTACTGAGGTAATGAGGTAATGACCATTTGAAGGACGAGGAGATTTTTACCATCTTTGGGCGTTATTTTGGTAACTTGTCGGCAAACGATGGATGGCTTAGTTACGAGCATCACTTTCTTGGCAAATAGAGTTCGAAGACTGCCATAGAGCACAATATTTGGGGATTGTATTAGCCTGAATATTCTTTAAGAACATCTTAATGAAGAACAGCTAGCCTGAGTTTTAGTTTTATTTAAGATTTTGAAGAGACTGTTATAAAACTTAGAATTTTTAGATTTCAATTTTTTTTAATTTAAATATTACTTGTTTCAGGCAACACTATCTTTTAGCTGTAAGTTGGAAAACTGACTGAGTCCTGTGCACCAAGGAACTCACTCTGGATCCACCTCTGTCTAATAAATGCTAACCAAACTTTTTTTAAACTATGCCTTCTTCCCTTCCATCTTGAAGCTCAAGGGGCGGTCCAAGCAGTCTTCTTATGTGAAAAGACAACAAACTGCTTATTCATGTAATTTATACCGATTTCATCAAATACATCTTTCACGTAGAAAAAGGTTTTGGAAAATTACGGAATGAATACTTTTTAAGCTGAATAATGTTCAGAAAACTTATTTGGCATTGAAGTAATATCCTGTTTAGGGTAAATGCTTTTGATCAAATAACCTGGGTACAAGAGCCATAGGCAGTCGGAGAAACGAATTTGTAGACCGATGCAGTGGCCTACAGGAAAAAGGATTCTTTCAATCCCCACTCAAACAGATATTCCTGCGACTAGATTTAAAACATATTTCTGACACAAGATTATGCAGACTTTGGCACCCAGGGTATTGATTGCGCAATACAACGGAAAGTACAAAAGTTTTAGTTGACTTAACAAAGATTGAAAGATGGAATTGAAACAAGTGCACTGCAGGCTCTGCGTAGACGATCCTTGCCATTTTCAGCCATAGCAATATTATCGAGGGGTTTGTCATAAAGCAGCGCCCTTGTATTGTAAAACTGTATGCGCAGTAATTATCGAGTTGAATGTACAGTCGCGTTGACAGAAATACGAGGGGGGGGGGGGGATTGTGCCTCAAAACTTTTCCACTTGATCGTCTCTTTAACTTCAGTCATTGGTCATTCTAGCATGGTTTTTAGAAGAGAAAACATATAAAAATAATCTGTAGCAAATATCTACCAGCACTGAGCACGAATGTTGACAAAAGATATATCGGAATAAGGAAACGGCTGCCTTATTGTCTCATTTCTGCTCTTGAATGTAGAGAAAGTTTCAAAATTTTGTTTTCTTAACTAAATATTAACCACCCTAAATAAATATATAGAAGTATATTCTGTGTTATGAGCAGCAAATCGCAAGCTAGTATCCTGTAGACAGTACCTTTTTCATACTGAAGTTAATTCTTATAATTCTTGCATTTTGATTAAAAGCAAGTGATGATTAGTTTGGTTCATGAGACCAACCATGTAGATCTACAACGAGGATCTAACGTCAAACAATCAGAAATTTCTAGATGAAGAAGGGGTGTTTCTAGATGACTTGCAGACTTTTTTGCCAACTGAATAATTACTTTTGCTAACTGAATAATTTGCTAACTAAAAGGGGTGGTTGGTGACTTGCTAATGGATCTCTCAAAAGCGTTTGATTGCATAGACCACGGACTATTAATTGCGAAATTAAATGCCTATGGATTTTGTAAAGATGCTGAACTATTGATTTATAATTACCTGTCCGGTAGAAAACAAAGGGTGAAATTAAATGGTTCATTCAGCACTTGGCGAGAAACCTTTGCAGGTTTACCACAAGGATCACTCCTTGGGCCTCTTCTGTTTAATTTATACATTAATGATTTATTTTTAGTGGTAACTGATACTGCAGCATGTAACTTTGTTGATGATACTACGATTTTTGCAGCTGACTGTCAATTGGATAAAGTTTTAGAACGGCTAAAAACTGACGTTCTTGTTTTATCAAAGTGGTTTCCAGAAAACTTTATGAAATTGAATACAGGGAAATGTCATCTTCTTACTTTTGAAACAAACTAAGATCAAAATCGGCGAGGCCATTGTTGAAAAAAGCTCTGAAGAAAAACTGCTAGGGGTGATAATAGATAAAAATCCTAATTTCAAAAGTCACGTCACAAACTTATGCAAAAGAGCCAGCCAAAAACTGCATGCCCTTGTTAGAGTATCGCCATTTATGGGTTCTGATAAACTACGTCTCCTAATGAATAGCTTCATGAAAGCTCAGTTTAGCTACTGCCCCCTAATTTGGATGTTCCATGACAGATGTCTGAACGCTAAAGTGAATAAAATCCACGAAAGAGCACTCAGAATTGTTTATAAAGACAGTCATGCTGACTACAAAGCATTGCTGACTTTGGATAATGCAGTATCAATTCACCAACGCAATCTACAGTACTTGATGATAGTAATATACAAAACCAAACATAACCTGAATCCTAGTTTCATGAGTGAGATTTTTGAAACAAGAAATATACATTATGATTTGCGAACTAAAAATGATCTTCGCATTCCAAAAGCCAGGACAACTTCTTATGGTATAGAAACTGCGAGATATTTAGGTCAAAAACTGTGGCAAACACTACCTCACAGTATAAGAGAGTCCCAATCATTGGCAACATTTAAAAAAGAATTAAGAGCACTAATGCGAATTATTTTGAGTGCCTGATATTGCAAACTGAGAGGGTTCACACTTTTGAAAAATTAATTTAACGTTGGATAAAATGATCGATGTGTTGGCAATTGTGCATGGGAACGTTCACATATTTTGTACTCAAAGATGGCTGGATTAACATAAACGTTTACGGTCATTATTACGGCCAATTTTTAAATTTTGTTAAAATAATAATAATTTAGGGAGAAGGAGATTTTTCCATATTGCCTACTTTTGATTACGTAATATGTGCATATTCCCTGTGTTGACTTCACATTAAAATGCTTCAGGTTTGGGTGTAAAAGTTACGAGAATGATTTCCAGAAAATCGATAGAAACCATCCAACAGCGTTTGGCATGTGGATGTTGATTCTAAGAGTAAGGTTGTATTTTAAAGGTAGAAAAAATTGATGCAATGAGTGGATTTTCCAGCGAACTGGAATCATTAAAATTCGAAAATTTTCTAACCTTTTGCGGCAACCATGGTGCGGCCTCAGGAAGTACCATTTGTTTACTTATTTATTGCGACACGGGCAATAATCTGCAAGCTAGCAAAGACTTTTAACCTACCTAAGTAAAAATTGTTCTTATTCTATTTAATGAATAAATGACGTCTTTTTTATTGCTCGGAAAAGTTTAAAACGTTCAGAATTTAGAGAAATCACGGAAAATAATCTACAAAAACTTCTTAATATATGTCCTTTGTCTTTTTAGGGTTTGTTATAAAAGCTAGTCCCCACAAAAATATTAATCTCGCTCTACGAAGCTACTCTTTATTGTTTGCTCTTTTTGCAACTGGGATTCCATGATTTCTCTCCAATTGCCTAGCACCCTGTCGGAAGGTCAAGCCCCTCCGTCGGAGAAACTCTAGCGCTACCACTTATTGGCGCCCTTTTGGTTGCTTTTCCCGGTGGGTTGAAAGGTAGCCAGTCCGCCACTGGCAGTGAGCTTCTGGTTACTCACTTGACCACAACAGCACATGCTCGGGGTTCACCACAATCAGGCAATATTTATCGAACTTCAGGCTCCATTCTGTCAGTTCTATCTCAACGAAGCAAAAACATTCGGACAAGATCCATACGTAGCCCCCCCCCCCCCTCTAAATGTTTAGCATCCGTTAGGCAAATGGCAACAACAGAAGTATTTTGTAATCTATCTATGTACTTTTCGGCCGACCTTATTCACGCTTTAGACCCATCAACGTCTGAGAGAGAAAAGGAAACTTCCTTACACGTTAAATGCATAAATGACCTATGTAAAAATGAACTAAACAGGTATTCTATTGGAAAAGCACGCGGTGAAAAAAAACAGGGAAAAAACTCAGGCGAATTTAATTCAATTCAATGCTAATAGAATCTATTCAAGAAAGAATTTTGATTACAACAAATTTCCATTTAATTTTTTTAAACTACAAATATCTATCTCATCTTATCTTTTTCGTCTTAATTTGAAGGTAAGCGTTTCCACAATGGTTGTTTATATACAAACGTAGCATTTTCATACTCGTCGAAATCCTGCAATGCAAGCAAAATATGAGTTAAGCTGGAGAGGCCTAAAGTCACATTGCTGTATCAGCGGTATTCTGGTCGTTTTCAACTGAAGAACTAATGCTTATTTCGGAGGAAAAACATGAAAAATATTTCTTCGAAGCTGCTATTTCTATCAAAATGTAGAAGATTCGTATCCCTAGGCAAAATATCGATCAACTTTTTTACATTTTCAATTTAAATCTTAAAAAGCATCATATTTATATTGGCCCGCTCCTCCTTGCTTTGCGTAGCTCCTGCCTAAAACAATTATGGCTCACGAAATCATCTACGTTTTGCGTTTCTGCTTCTGTTATCAATACCGACGCAAGATTTAATGAATCCAAGATTTAGTGAATCCAAGATTTAGTGAATCCAAGATTTAGTGAATCCAAGATTTAGTGAATCCAGCAGTGCCTCGTCCTTTCGACATAGCACAAGTCCGGTGCATTTGATTTTGGGTTATCGTCATCACGACATTACTCTGCTAGGCATAAAAAGTCTTCTAAAGTTTTACTGTTTCATTCTTTTTTAAAATATACTCAATTTCTTGAAACTCTTAAAGATCGCGTTCGGGTAAAATCCATCTTTAATTTGCAGCCCAAAGCTGATCAAATTCGTCTTAGAAAATAACTTGGTTTAGAAGGATGCGCATTTTAACAGGTTGCAAAATATCGCATGCAAAACTTGCCATAGGAAAAAAACATTTAAGAGTCTCAATACAATTTTGTATTCACTTATCATAAAAGTTTCAATACAAAGCTTCAATACAAAGTTTTAATACTTTTTAAGCCCTAACGACTATTGAAAGGTTTCGTGGCGACCCATAATCTTATTTAAACTTCACGAGACTGTTTTGTGTTGTGTAAAAATACTGTGTGATCAAACAGCATATATCAACATTTCAATTTCTCCAGAATGAAAAGATAATAAAGAATAATCTTTTTGCATTCATACTGACTTTGCTAGTAAACTTTCTTGATAAATTTAACCACTAGGTGACATTGGCCAATTATGTGCTCCATCAATGAAGAATTAAACTTGCATTTGACACGCAGATTCTCACAATCTGTCAATTATTTATGCATCATAAACAATCAACTCACCCTTGTCATCCATTTCGTGTCTTTTTCTTTCCTTTCCTTTGCGTCTGCTCGTTGCCTTTCTTCTAACTGAAGGGCAAAACATAAAATGCTTAAATTCAAAACTGGCCACAGATTTTTTTGTTATCTTCCGTTCGAAGGGCTTGGTAGGTAGCCAATACGCAATCAACGCATAGGAATTTAGACTACTAGGGAGTTTCAACATCAAGGCCAAGAACGAACTGTGATGTCTAATAACTTACAACGCGTATGGGTAGAATCATGCTTCTCACTTGAGAATTGCTATACATTTAACTCAGATGAATGGATCGGTGATGAATGGATAACTTTAACAAGAATGGATGAATGGACGAATGAATTGAAACAGACGAATAAATAATCTTTAACATGGATAAAGCAGAAGACTAAAGAAAGTAGAATACAATACAGAGAGATAGAGCACTAACCCCATGTTTAGCCTCAGTTGCCTTTTCAATATTTCCCATTTTGAGATTTCTAGTAACTTCCTGCCACAATCTAGAAAATGCAAGTAATTTGCTGAGAAACAAAGATCAAGAAAGTAAGCTTGAGGAACGTCTGGAAACAAAAGAGGTCTGGAAACAAAAGAGGTCTGGAAACAAGAGATTCCTATAAAGTCATAAATAAAACACCAACCTAGTACATTACAAAGAGGGCAAACGGTTAGTCAGATTACTTTGGATTGAGTTAAATTCAAAGTAATCTGGTAATACTGGTAATACTACCAATTCAATTCCTGTTGTCGATTGAACACTATGTTAAAAAAGAATTTTCATATCGAATAAATCACAAACTTTTAAAAACAAAATTCGTTTTTTTTTAACGTTCGAAAATCCAGTGAAACAGATAACACTCAGAAAATTTATTTTTCCTTCTTGTTTCTTTGCCGATTCAAAACGAGAGTGACTTTACGCAGCTTTGTGTGTTCTTGACATTGTTTTTTAAATAAAAATATTGCTGAGATAAAGAAAGCTGAGATAATCACGCGATGTATTAAGAAATTTCTTGTACACTATATTTTACACTGCTCTATGTGAACCTTGAACGACGTTAACTGACAGTGGGAAGTAGCAGCAAATTTCACCTTCTTGATTCGTGTTTCTGCTGCTTCGCTATCGATTGAACTTGCTTCTTGACAATTGGCATCGTAAATGTATCCACGAAGACCTCTGGCTCCTTCTGATTAGGGTACATGGCGTACATTACGCCATTCCATTCACCATTAACTGACATGATCGGCTTCTTATCACCTGGCCCACTACAACAAATAATATGAAATGATTGGAAACTAACTTCAAAGCTTTTTTCATACTTAACTTAGAATACTTCAATTCAATGAGCATTCTCGTTTTTAAAACCATCATGTTCGGATTTGGATTCAAACAGATTCGGATTCGGATAGGAGGCAGAATTTTAGTCTACAAGCACGTTTTCGTGATGCTAGCGCGCATGTACTTTATCTTACATCGACAAAAAACAAAATTTTATAGGCTAAACTGTGATAAGCAACTGATAGTGCAAGGCTATCTCCAGAGCAATTTTTGAAGTCAAATCCCTTCGAAGTTTTGAAACTTAGTGTTGTCATAAAACAGGTACATAAAAGCACACACACAAACACTATGAATAAGTGTATCCAGACTAAAGGTATGTTGGTGAGTATGAGTTAAAGAAGCCGTACACTGCAGTTTAGGGAGCATAGCGGAAAAATCTTGATTGGAAAACCACCAATCACCAATTTTAAAAAATCCAAAGAGAGAAGCGTACTGTCCCATCAATCAAGCTTTAATCTAGTAGCAAGTCTACAAACATGGTGTTTTTAAAGACTCGGATATTGCCTTTTTTGCAGAAGGACAAATATAAAAAAAGCAGTTGAGTTAACTGTTGTTGAGAAAATTTCGACGAGGAAGATTCAGCAAATATGCATGGTAGATTTTTAGATATAAGATTCAAGATTACTTTACTCAAAAGTTGTTAAAATATGATAATAGATTTAAGTATGGGTATTTTTAAACAAGGCACCCTTTAAAATGCTCAAAACAGGCCTTCAAAGCTTGATTCTACAAGAAACGTGATTGATCGATTTTCTGGAGAAATCCAAAGAAGACAATCTAAGCAAAAGCCAATCAATATTTGTCTGCTATGATGGTTTAGGGTAATTTAAAAAATTTGGCCCCATAATTCCCCGTGTAGAGACAATCTCCTGAGCATTTTGTAGCTTTGTAGCAACAACAAAAATTTAACGGCAAGTCCACAAAAACTGAGCTATGATCTGATAATGCTCCACAATTAATGGCAATATATTGCCACTAATTCTAAAGTTTACGTCTTTATTTCTGTAGGTTAACCTTGCAGCTCTTTATCGTGGTATTAATGCAAGTATGTTAGTAGCCACCAGATGCACCGAATATAAATAGAAATATATACTGGCATTGCAGGAAAATGGATTTTGGCAAGATGGAATGCAACGGATATCTGAAAGTTATAATACCTTTGTTATGTTTTTTTTACTTTTAACTCAAACAATAAGCAATGGGAAAAATTGGATATGACGCGCAAAGGTCGGGGCTGTAATTTGGAACAATCGTTTTTGGTTACTGCTTGTTAGTAATCACGAAAATAAGCTTGGTTTTTCTTTCTTTCTTTCTTTCTTTCTTTCTTTCTTTCTTTCTTTCTTTCTTTCTTTCTTTCTTTCTTTCTTTCTTTCTTTCTTTCTTTCTTTCTTTCTTTCTTTCTTTCTTTCTTTCTTTCTTTCTTTCTTTCTTTCTTTCTTTCTTTTTTTTGTTTCGTTTAGATTCATGCTTTGTTCTTATAATTCTTTCTTATCTTTAGACCCGGTAGTTAAGCTCCGTATTTATGACAATAAAGTGAATAGCAAAAAGCACAACCACTTACAAAACCTCGGCAGTAACTCGATGCCTCTTTCCACCGTAAAAAGGCTGAAATAACAAAAATTTCAATCAATGAATTCTCATGGCGTTTAGAAATGATGGAAATTTCAATACAATTCTAAAGTGGTTGCTAGAGCTTTTCGTCTTTTCAGCTAAAAGCATATTGAATCCTGTTGAACAGACTTCAAGAACTCAAAATCGCAAGGAAGGGCTCAAGAGCAGAATGTATCAGAATCCGGAGCGAGTAAAAAATTAATTAGAGAGCTTCTATTTGACATTTTGCAATTATAGAAGCATTTAAACAATTTAAAAGAAAGTTGATATGAAGATTAACAATTCTTTCAGGTTTCTTTTATTCAATCTAGCAAAGATTCGTCAAAACATTGTAAAGTTGAGTTCTCATTAGATTCATCAATGCTACCTTGGTGTGAAACTCTACATCCGCTCTGTAGCCTGTTTTTGCACACGTGATCTCGGTTTTGCCTCCAAGCTCAACCCAAGGCACTGTCAGTATTGATCTGCAGAGATAAAGGGTACGTTAGAACAACGAAAAATCGAAGAAAGCGACTGTCAATTCTCTTATTGCAATGAGCAAGGTCGCCTAGAGGGGGGCGAAGGCAAATTGACCAAAGGCCTCGAGGTCTAGGGGGCCACACAAAGTAATGAATTCCATTATAAGAATTGAATCAATCAAAAGTAACAAAAGTATACAATCTTTCGTGCTGTAAAATGTAATAGAATAAAACTATGAAATTAAGTAAAACTGTACAAGGAAAATAAACTAATTGTATATGACGTTGCGGGCCGTTGTTATTAAGTTCTCGTGGTTTAGTGAAGTGTTTAAACAATTGCAAGAAAATGACTGCAAGAAATATTTTATATTTTTTTTGGTTGATCAAAAGGGTATGGTCGCAAAAATTTTCCGCTCGCTCAGCCTGCAAGGGCCATATTCTTTAATTTCGTCCCGGGACGAACGAAACCTCTCTGCGGCCCTCGCCATGAGGTATTTATTCAATACCCAGTGCACCAAATAATACATAATTTCCACAGTGACCATCACTGGTATTGTTTACGGTTATTCGACACCCAGATTCTCATAACTTTCATAACTCAACCTAAGCACCTATGGCAATGCTTTTGGTATCAAAGAAAAACAAGGCCTTGTCCGGAATGGCGCGCGAAATTATGTTTGAAATTGATGTTGATAAAACTTAAAAAAATCTTCTTAATTGACCGAAATATTATGATATATAAAAGTTACACGAGAGTTTATACCACTAATCTTATGATGACTAGATTTTGTAGCCTGGTTCCTTTCAAGGCCACCTCTACAAAATTGCCTTCTTTGATGAAAATGTTATATTCCATGTTTATAAAATACAAACGTATAAAAACAATTTGAGAGTTAAATAATTTAACAACGCACATATTTTTTAAAATTCATCGTTTCCATTTGGACGCATTTTTATTTTCATTTGATCGACACATTTATATTAAGAAAAAACGCAAATTTTGGAAACAGCAATTATACATAGAAATGTGAAATAAAGCGCCTTGAGTTCCTTAGGAGCTTGTTTTATGGAGCATCTCCATTTTGCTCGGTGCAAGACCTGAAAAATCTCGTTGAAATCTCGAGGGGCAAATCACTCCAAGAGAATCTCGTACACCTTTTGTGAAAATCCTATTGTTTTATCTGAAAATCACTAGAAATCCTTTTGTTTTAGGGAAAATTTTGTACGCTATTTGCAAGAGTGAATTGCCCCTCAGAAATCTGACTTTACGTAGAACATTACCAACATTCTGACTGTTCAGTTTAGCTAAATAAAGAAGCGCACCAAAACTTAAAATGCCAAAAACACCCGCGTGCAATTTCTGAAATTTTTTTCTCAAAAACTCCTGCCTAGTTTCCAAGATAAAACAGAAGGATTCAGAGCAGTCTGATTATGGTATTGAACATAATGTACATTGCGACAGGAAAGGAAAACAAGAAAGTCAATTTTTAAGATTTCTATGCTAAAGCTTGTCTGCCCATAAAATGAAGTAAATAGAAATAATGGGTATAATATAATTAACATTTCTGAAACTTAGTCATGTTGCTACATAGAGTAATGGCTTTGGCTGCCTGCCTGGGAATCTAGGTACGGTCTAAATATTTTAAGTTTGTGAATTTCAGGGATTTTTACAGGAAAGAACTCTGGCGCCAGATAATCTAGACCTCTGAATTTTAGGTGTGAGCTTTCCTTATCAAACCCTTCACCCACTGAAACTATAAAGAGCATTGACGGTCTAAACTTGTTAATCTTGTGCAAATTTTATAGGGAAGTAGACTTGAAAACAAAAATCATAAGAAAGCTTCGTGAACTTGACTGACAGCGCAACAATTAGAATCGCGGTTTTCACATGTTTTATTAAGATTCATTATTGCGAAATCGAAATTGTCAATAAGTGGTTGGACTATGCCAATTCGACATCGAAAATTCCAAAAAACAGCGAAAAGTAATACTTTTTAGCCTGCATACAACGCTGTTTACTAGAGAACATCTGCGTCTATAAACATCTGCGAGACGTTTGCGCTAAAATCCCCATAATCTTACTCTATTATTAGCACCACGTGCGTAAAGGACGCAAAAGAACAATTATTATGATGGGTAAGCAAGAAAGCTTGCGAGACAAACCTTCCTGCTAATTTCAAAACAAGCTGAAAGCGAGAGGCATGGGACGAGCAAGAAACACGGGACGATGTGTGGCGAGGGAAGAAAAACCAGAGATTGAGCGAAGTATATTTTTGATTTAGGGAAAAAAACAAGTAAACGTTCATCACAGGGGCGCACTTGGAGTAACATTTTTTCTTGAAGGGAGGGGGGGGGCTAAAGGCAATATTTCTCTAAAAATTACGCCAAAGTAGATAAATTTCCGAAATTCTCCGATAAATTTTATTCTCTCCTGCCTACAGTGGCAGACACCGTGGGGGGAGGGGGCAAGGGGGCCGAACGCCCCTAAATACTTTGGAGGACAATGGTCTTTTGTTCTAAAACAATGGGGAATGTGACGTCATAGGCTTGCCCCCCCCAAGTAGGAAGTGATATCTATGCAGGTTTCATCAAAAAATGCAATAAAGTCAAATCATATTACAGCTCAAACAAAACGCTGAAATATCATATCTGACAAGAAATTGCTTTGATTTTTTCGATAACAATGAGCTTTCGCAATACAAAAACCGCAATACTGCTAAATTTCGTATTTTTTTCTGATGCGCATAATACGACCACCATTTTGCACTTAAAACACAAGATCATCTCAAATAAAAAGAAGTATGAAGTATACCGGCCGTATGCGCTTGGAAAGGTCATTGTGTATTCTTCATCGTGGTCTAGAACATAGGTTCTACCTGCAAGGAGAGGTCAGTCTATGATTTGCATTTAATGAAGAATTTGCGTTAAATGAAAACAGATTGGCACATGAGAACAAATTCAAAAAGAGATACACTTATCTCAAGATCTGCGCTTAGTAGTACAAAATATTGACTAGTGAAATAAGCACAACCAGGTGGTTGTTAGGTGATGGTTGCGCAAGAGTCTTTAATGTTAGATTGGAAAGTGCAATATCCAAATCAATATATCCCCTAACGATGAGACTATGGATTGACCCAACAAAAAAGTTTGCGGGAAGCGACTTCCTCAATACAACAAGATCAAGCCAACTGTTTGTTTCTAGGTGTTTTGTGGTAGACCTTGATATAACTGCAAGCTATATTTAGAAGAGCTAGTAATATACCTATGCTAAAGTTGTTATTGAAGATACTGTGAACAAATAATCAGGAACCTAAACTTTTCCGTGAAACTTTGCTGTGCAGCGTTGCCAGCAATCAAAACGTGCTGTGCAGCGTTGCCAGCATGATAAAGCACTACTCTCCAATAGGCCAAAATAACAGTCAGCGGGAACATGCAGTAAATTATAGCATGACTCGCAATACAAAAATAATGTAGAAAATTGAAATAATATTCCACACATTATAAGCGCTTCACGTATGCCACTGGAACGGCCCTCAATCTATTTACGACGATAACATTTAATAGCCACAGTAAAGGAAACTTAACTCATTACAAAGAAATTTCAAAATACCTTTGAATTTAGAAAAAACACAAAATCGAACTTGCCGAGAACTGGGGCCCCACGTGGTGCCGCCATAGATGTAAATTAGTATATTCGTGAAGGTGTAGTGGTGTATATTTTACTGTACTAACTATCATGTCAGGAATTTAGAGGAAATCATAGCCAAAATTTACTTTAAAAACAGTAAACCGGAAAGGGGCTTAAAATAATGAATTTTCATAAGCATTGAATTTCGTCGATATAAAAAGAGTCTGAGAACCCAAAAAAAATCATGAAAGGGTTAGAAGCTACGTGAAGTCACAAATTGACATGATTAAAAAAATTACGTGACAATTGCGTTATTTTAACAACCTCACCTTCCCCAACCATATTAACTCCTATCGAAAGTCCAAGGAATTTTGACTTTGTCCAGATATATGAATTAAAACAGATCCTTTTATTGTAGCACTCGGCATAGAAAGCAGAAACTGAAGGGAAAAAATGTATTTTTCATCAACGAGAAATATGAGGTTCCTACTAATAACAGCAATGGTTATCTATTTCACAGACGCTATGTTTTAAACTTGGATGCTACTTGGATGCAAATTTTTTCAGAACTTTTAATTCAAAGTAGAGGCGAGAAAACATCAATTTACTGTTTGGGGAACAAGAGGCGAATCTTAAAGTCACGAATCGGGCCTTAATTGTAACCTAAATCCTTCGGTATGCACCCAAACTATCAATTGCAACTTCCATTTTAAAGTACCGGATTAATGAAGCAGTCTTAAAGGGTGTTGATTCTTGAAAGAAAACTACGATACGATGAATCGTTCACTTTAAGTCAAAACATATTGGCACAAGCGAACAGAAAAGGCAACTGTAACATTCATTTATCAAAGCACGTGTTGTTGTTGAGCAAAAAAAAATATTCACAAAAAGCCAATCTTTAACATCGAAAGAAAAAACGTTTTTAGTTCAAAGCTAAATGATTGCTTTTAGTGGAGATTGGAAAGGAGATTAGCTTGGAAAAGGAGGAGCGAACAATTACTTGGTGGATGATGAGACACCTGCTCGGCCAGGAAACTGACATCTTCTTTCGTTGCAAACGCAACTGGACCGTCAGAAACAACATCATCCTAAAAATAATTGATTGATTCAGTAAGAATTTCGAAGCAACGTTGATGCTGGCTTTATTCCTTACATAAACATTATCAAAGGAAATCCGAAATATCGCTCTAAGTTTGATAAAGATTGCTGATATTTTCTTGGTATGAAATCAGGTTAGATATCAACTTGGTTTGTGATCTTGACACAAAGTGATTAAGATTAATATTTCAGCGTGAATAGCGACTGAAAAAAGTTGTGTCCCTGAATAGCTTGTTGGTATCAAAGTTAAATATTGTTTTGTTCTGAAAACATCAAAAACTGATTGGGACACAAATTAATTAATAAAGAAAATATTAATAAAACTTTGGTTATGAAAACTGGTTCTTTTTATTTGTGGCTTTTTCAAGTAAAACAATACTTTAAGACAACCCGACGCATACTTTGCTTATGACATCCCAAAACAACATTGCGCTAAATAAAAGATAAATTGAAAAATTGGGCGATTTGAAACCAATTTACACAACGCATAACATGAAACTGTTTCTTGTTCATACCTTCACAAAATAGGATAGATAAATAGCGTAGTAAGGTAGAGAATATGGCTTATTGAACCTTTTATTAAAAAAACAATATATATATTCAGGTCAGGCTTTGCAATGTTTGCTTACAGGACAAAATTGTTTGTGTTGAGAAAAAGAATAAGAATCCTTTCTCCGAAAAACTTTTATACTAAACGCCTGGACATTAAACAGGAATGAAGTTAGTAATTTAAGTTTGCACCCCTCCCACGATACCTCTAGCCTTCAGTGTGTAGAGAGAGAACACTTATTTGACTGTGGATGAATGGACCCAGTGGCGTAACGCAGTTTAGGCGACCTTAGTTCGAGAACTAAGGGCCCCCGACCAAAAAGGGCCCAAAAGGGGCCCCCATCAAATTTTTCGTATTTTGTCCTTTTTTACCATGTTGGCAAGGTTTCCTAAAGCCATCCCAAAAGTTCTTACTAAACAGTGTTGCTAACACAACACTGGATTCATTCATTCTGTTTTGTTTTGTTTATTCGCTATAATTCTTCAATAGCTTATTTCAATTATACTGACAATGACAACTTTGACATTGGCATTCAGAGGGCACAGAGAGCAGGTTCATGATAATGTGTGTGAAGGTGGGAATTTCTTGGCATTGGTCTCTCTTATGGCTGAATATGATGAATTTCTAGCAGAAGTTATATCTCTTCCAGGTAGAGCAACAAAATACCTTAGCGCTAAGATCCAAAATAAGCTGTTTCACTTGCTTGCAAATACTGTATCCTCGACTTTGGTAGAAAATATCAATTCCACGCCATTCTGGAGCATAATCTTGGATTTCACCAGTGATATTACCAGAGTCGACCAATTAAGCGTTGTTATTAGGTGGGCAAGGGTAACAGAAGATGAATGCACAATTGTAGCAAGCTTTATGGGTTTTGTGAAAATAAATAACGCCAATGCTGATGGAATAGCAAATACAGCTTAAGTATTTTTGGAAAATCTTGGCATAGATTTCTCGAAAATAAGAGGTCAGGGCTATGATGGTGCGAGTGTGATGGGTGGAATTCATCGTGGCGTACAAAAATTGATAAAAGATATGGTTAATTCTCCCGTTCCTTTTGTGCATTGTGGTTGCCATAATCTAAACCTGGTAGTAAACGATGCGGCGACATCACACGTTATGAGTGAAAACTTTTTTGCTATCCTTCGAGATATCTTCAGTTTTTTTGGCTCTTCCTTGAATAGATGGAGAGATCTTGGAATCGAAGCTGGGAAAGGATCACTGACACTAAAAAAGTTATGTACGACACGTTGGAGCTCTCGCATTGATACAATGCGAGCTGTGCATGACAAGTATCCCCAGATAATGAGGCTTCTGACGCGACTCATCTTAACATCCAACAACAAGAATGAGCGTGACAACGCAAAGAGTCTAAAGAAAAAAATTGACACACTAGAATTTATTATTTCCCTTGTATTCTTGGAGAGAATACTAAGATCAGTCAATGCAGTATCAAAGGAGCTTCAGTCCCCTAGGATTGACTTGTCAGTTGCCTCTAGACACCTTAATATTGCACTCTCGGAGCTCCAATATCTTCGAGAATCATGGCAGTCTATAATGCTTACTGCCACAGCACTTGCAAAACTTTGGGATGGATCGCTAGAGTTTCAACAAAAGAGGGGTCGAAGGCAAGATATGAATCAGATGAACTTGTTGTAGATGGAAGACTGATGGATCCTGAGCAAAGTTTTAAGATAAACGTTTTCTACAAGACTGTTGATACAGCATTGATGCAACTGACAGAAAGGTTCAAGGACAAGCTATGGTGACGTCATTATTCAGCTGTCTCTACCCCAACAACCTGGCAACACTGAGTCCTGACATGCTTGAAAATGCAGTACGAGTAATTCGTGAGAAATATCCAAATGACTTTACAGATGAATTAGATTCTGAAATGAGATAATTTGCAACCGAATTCAGAAAGGAGATTGCAGTCAAGAAAACTGTTCTAGAAGTTAATAACCTCGTGCTTCAGAGCCGTATTAGTTCATCCTTTCCAGAAATGTACAAGCTATTAACACTTTTCGTCACTTTGCCAGTAACTGTTGCATCGGCAGAAATATCATTTTCAAAGTTGAAACTGATAAAGATATATCTAAGATCTACAATGTCACAGGAGAGACTGGACGACCTAGCAACTTTGTCAATTGAGAACAAGGAAGCAAAGAAAATTGATAAAACAAAGCTTATGAAGGATTTTGCCAACGTTAATGCACGTAGAAAAGCTCACGTTGTGAGCAAGAACACCTAATTTACTGTTGGTTTTTTCATATGTAAAAATTTTCTTTACCACATCACGTGCATTTTTCGAGGTTCTAAAGGGCACGGTTTTAAACATTTTCCCATTACCCCGAACCCCTTTGCCCCGTAGAGCTCACTTCACTTCGCAGTCCCTAAATAAGGACCCCATCTTAGTAAATTCCTAAGGGCCCCGAGTGTTTCTGTTACGCCACTGAATGGACCATGAATGTTTTGTTCCGAGTAGCTGACACAAAAATTATCAAAAATTAATTTTGCAGCTGTCTGACATCTATCTAGATTCATTATCGCGTTTATCTGATATTTATCTAAGTTAACATCAAAATGTCATCTACAGCTTCTATGAATAACGTATTTTCGAAGAATTATTAAGCATATCTTAAAAGCAGCAATTATAACTAAATTAGGCACTAATAGGCTGAATTCATCAAAATGCTTCATCAACACTTCGGAAACACGCCACACACACAGTCAACGGAACTAATAGAACACAAAAACTATACAGACTTACAGTTGAATTGGATTTTTCGTCAGTTAAGTCATATTTGCATTGAAATATTTCTCCAAGTATTGGGTTATACGGTTTCTTTGCAACAGAGCCCTACGAAACAAATCAATTGAAGTTTTAGTTTACCATTTCTTGTACTAATTTCAAAATAGTAATTTTGATTATAAAGATGCAACATTTATAAGAACTGTAGAATAAGTTAGCTTTAAACGCTTTAAAGGACGTGTTAAGAAAAAATGTTATATATTTACCTCATAAACTGGGACTTTACAGATTTTACACGTTATTTTTCTAATTGAGGGTAGTAAAAAAGCCCATTTTTCGGCTTTGGCCTAAGTTTGTTTACACTTTCCGGGGCTGTGATTGTCTCTGCGGCGAGAGGGACCACGTGATTTAGCGCAAGCTCCCAGCTAATCAAGATTTGAGCCCTATGCTATAAATCGGACTATACAGCTTCTATTTTCAGAAAGTATACAGAAAGTAAATGATAAGGAAATTTCAACAATTTAGAAACTAACCTTTCTTCCGGCATGAAACGATGACAAATACCATTTCAAGACCTGGATCATTCGGCTCTTTGGGTCTTTCAAATCTGGAATTCTATATTATGTGAAATCAAAAGCAATTATTGCACAGACAAACACAAGTTTCAATGTACTTACATTATCCATTCTTCGAAACAACGAACTTGATTGAAAAGTGGTATATGGTATATGTAATGTCCTGACTCTTTCAACATGCGTGTTGATGCCCTCAAGAAATCCTTCAGCACCAAACAGAAAATCGATAACTTATAACGATAATTATCATAAATGATGAAGAAATAGTCCTTGTCACCACAAGTGTAGTTATTAGAAAAGTCAGTAAAAATAAAATAACGTCAGAAAAAAGAAAATAAAGTCACTAAAGACCTTTATCATTCATGGACCATAGAGACAAACAACACAACCAAGTACACCTATTTGGTTTCTAGTCGCTTAGGTCTAAATGGAAATCATAATAAGTTTTACAGTTTTCCTGTAGCTTTCACATCGTTTAATCTTACATAAATAACTATTGGCGAAAAACAAGATGGCTTTAAGCAAGCTCGCAAAACTTTTTTTGTAAAAAATTCTGGTAAGGTTTGAAATCAGAAGGTATGATTAAATCCCATGTATCAAACGTTTATCCCAGCATAGTAATACTAGTTGAAATCGATGCGACCTGAGAAATACCTGAAAAATGCTTATCAATTACGACATTGACAATACTAAATTTACCACAAACTCACCCCTTGAAAATATCTGGATGAGCAAAAAAGTCAGCATACATTTCAAGCAAGGATCTCCTTTCCAAAATGAAAGTAGGTAGTGTGACCTACAAGAATATAGAAAAAGACTTGAAAAAGAATCACATTCACGAAAATTTGGAATAGAGGATAGCTAAAATAGAAGGTTAGGGCTGCTGGTTTTATCTCTGAGCTTACTGTCCATATCAAAACAGTATAAGCACTTTTAGCGAGAGACGACATACACAAAAACCATGTCAAAAATAGTTTGAGCACCACAATATTCACGTTCAAAAGTTGACAACTCCAGGATTTAACTACCTCTCCATGTCATCAATACAATTGATATATTCCCCCCCCCCCCTTCACCTTTTAAATATTGATACCTTAATTAGAAGTGGTAAGGCGTCCAATTCTAGTTGGATTTTAACTGACAATAACGCAATATTGATGTTAATCAACATTTTAATTGGGGGAGGGGGGAAACACTTTTAAAAACTGTGAAGATACTCGTTAGGGGTCTCAACGAATTTGGCAAGGATTGAATGTACCCATGAAGAATGGCACTGTAAAAATAGGGTGGATGTCTTCAGAATCACACAATCAGAGAATATGATAAAAAAGTTTTGGGGAGTACACGGAAGCCAGATATAAAGACAAAGGAATATTTTATTTGCAAAAAAGAATCTGTGTATTGATATTTGAAGAATTACATCGATCTTTGAAGCAGGCATTTTCAAAATAGGTGACAGTAACAGACTAATATAAAATCACTGTACAGTGATTCAAGATCTATTCACCTTGGTTAAATCCATTCCGATCTTTACTTGTGACAGAAGATGAGTGATAACTGAGCCTTGTTGCTCAACTGGCCCTCCTAAAAAGACATACTTGATTATCAGGATAAACGAACCAAGTTATGCTAAAGTAATCAATAAATGATAAGATTTAAAGCTTTGAATTACAAGAGCTAGTACAGGTGATCTGCAGTCTAGTGCGGTCGTCTTGAATGGCAACTTCAAGTAGCTTATTTGCCTCTTCAAAAAGGTTTCGAGGGAAGAATAGTACATACTTCTTGTCTAAGCCTCTTTTACCACAAAATGCTAGCATATTCATTGTCTACTAGCTCTCTGGATAAAAACGATGACGTTTAAAGGAGGGAACGAACCCTAATTTAACCAAAGATTCACCTCATTTGCTTAAAGACAAAGCTCAGTGCTAGCTCGATCTGCCAAACCCTACCCCCCTTTCCCGACCTCTCTCCGTCCTAGATTGCTTAATAGCTCACCTTGTCCACTCTTTTCTGCATCGTCATCATCTTCCTCGCAGTACGATACTACAAGATCAGGAAAAAGTGATAATGTGAATGACATACTAGGATAACAAAATTGGCAAATAGTACTCAAGTTCGCGTAACTGGAGTGTGGAGCCTAAAAAGAGACAAAGCTGGTGACCACAAATCCATACTTTGTTGGGGATTTTCACAAAAACGTTAACATTAGGATATTCGAAATCCTAAATTACTAGTCAAGCTTTTAACGTATAAAGAATATTGGTGCGGCTGCTTGGCGTTGTAAGAAATGAGAGAAAAACACGATCACACTTAAAAACAACTCAGGATAGGCCTTATGGAATTAGTTTCAATTAGATGCAATGACCTTTGAGAAAATGTCAAATTTGGCTGCTCAAAACACAAAAACCCAGGGCCTTGTCTTGAATTTTATCCAAAACATCATTTGAAAGCTATTTGACTGCAAAAAGTTCACCCCGAGGCAATGATCAAGGTCAAATCCTGCTCAATTTCAAGTCGTCATTTAGATCAATACAATGAGCAATAACATCATGAAAAGGAACAAAAAGACTAAAATTCTGTCCTCAATCATAATCTGGATTCAAATATTTAGTAAAAAGTGTTTGAAGTACTTTTAAAACTAAGTCATTTATTGAATTTATGCATTTGCATAAAAATCACAGTTAGCTTTGATATGCAGTAATTGAAAAGTGTTTCTCAGTGGGCTCCCTCATCTCAACTTAAAATATTAAATATAATGACGACACGTTTCGGATAATTGGCAGAGCCCGGTCGTCCTTCCATCTAGCAGTTTTGGAGTCGATCTACATACAAACGAAAAAGCCGCCATTGTGTAGACAGAAGGAGTTCGTTTTTTCTCTTGGACTCCAGTGGTAATTTTTCTTTAGGCTCGCGGCACTGATTGGTCAACTATACCGGTCTTGCGCTTGCGTTTTTCTGATTGGCCTATTTCGATCCACAATTGGGTGTATATTTTTCATCGTGTTCTTTCGGACCCTAATTCTGACGTTTTATGCTCTGAGGAGTGTCAGACGAAAAAGCTTTTAGTATGCTGTAAAATGTTTGCTTTTTTCAAAGCAATTTCGAAATATTAAAATACAACCTTCAACAAGAAAATTATGAGTTTAAAGAGCCTTACTTGTTCGAGCTCGAGATTTCTCGTCTTGGTGACTACGATGATGAAAAACAATATTATATATACATATATGAAGAATAAGTTATTATGCACATACACTGCCTAAATTTTGATGCAAAATTATCAACAGTTTGTGTTGTTCTGTTTCTTTACACCTTTATTATCTCTTGAATTTCCAATGTATTCTGGACAGTAGTTCTCTCAATGCATTATTTCTAGATGTTTGCTCTAAAACCAATTGAAGGAGCAATAAAGATATGCATTCAGTTGCATCAAACACGGCATCAAGCACGGCATCAAGCATTTCAAACGTTACAGCTCTGACAGTTTTTCCATGAATTGATAATTCTTGACCGTGTATCATTTGACTGTATTTTCCAACACAAAGGTGGCAGCCACCCCAAACCAACCCCCCCCCCCTAACGAAAACATAATTTCTCGATTATCTTATCATTTTAGTACATTTCTCCTTTTATAAATATTAACTCCTTATTATCAAACTATCGCTCTTATTTCTAACTTATGAAATGTTGATTTTGGGTTAAACATTTTGATCTATCATTCGAGTCAATGTTTTAGAGCTTTAATGGTTTTATGTATATCAGTTATTTTTTCGCATGAAGTAGAACAGTACCCGCAGATTGGATTTTAACGCAGGGGGCATTGGTTAGAGTCAAAAACTACACATCCAAGGGTCTGGAATTCCGGTCGCTGACATGACTAAAACTTCTCTGAGAGTGAGGGGAGTAGCCAGCCCCCTGTAATTCCAGACGGTGTGGTCACATCAAGAGGAAGGACCAGGATAAGCATAGCTTCTCAGTGTTCTAAAACCATCATCCGATGCTAGGTCGAAAAAACACAAATACTCCAACAGTCTACCTTTTCTAATGCAAATTATCCAAAAAAACAACAAATCCATACCTGATTACGGTATCTGACAGCAACTCTGATGTGTGACCTAGGCCAGTGGACGCCTGGACATCTTCACCAGTAATTTCATTGTACTCATTAGCATCAAAGAATTCTGCATCGTCGTCATCATCGTCATCGTCACTACTCGAGTAAGAGGTACACGGTACAGTCTCAACGGCCCGTAAGGCAGCTATCAGCGAGCTATTGTCCATATTGCCATCGTCTGATAGACCATTTTTGTTTTCAAGAGGTAAAGCAGCCGTTTCGTCCTTGACTTCTTCAATATCAATTTTAGGCACAACTGGCGTTTGTACAACGGTATTTGCTTCTGAATTCACAGTAATGTCTTCAAAATCGTGTCCAATTTCCGCCGAACTTCTTTCCCCGTTACTATCAATTTCTTTGCCAGTGTTTAGTTCTTTCTCGGCAGCCTCCGTGCTTTGTGTCCTACTGTCACTGCTACCATTCAAGCTGACTGACTCTTGGTTTGTTGGTAATGCCTCGCTTGCAACTGGTTTTATGATAGATGAATCTTGAGATAGAATCGGTACAGGCATCTTTTTCAACATTGTTGTCTAAAATAAGAAAGACAATGCTTAGGTGCCTTGTGATTAGAGGTAAGATAATGAAGATTTCTGTTCACCGGTCTGTTTATTAGTGCTTGATGCTCGTTTGAGACTCTTCGAAACCAGGAAGTTTAAAAAGCTCGTTATACACTCCGGCACAAACAATACAGCTGCGTGAACATTGCACAGCAATACCCTTTTAAAGCCCAACTACCCAACAAAAATTAATAAAAACAACTAACCTTTGCTAAATTAAGCAATTCCAATGTTTGGCCAATCGATTCAATCATTTTCTAAAGTAAGACAAACGAGTGGATGTCACAAAAAGCTCTGCGAGCTCAAATTATTTCTTTCTAAAGGACACATCTATCACAGGTCTTAGTCGAGATCAGTTTGAAACGAAAGTCACTACACTGCGGCGTCTTCACTATTTTTTTGCTACTTCTGTGTTCCTACACTACACAGCATAATACTTCTTACTGAATAAGTAACATGATGTTAACATATTCTATGCCAATACTGTGTATACCGGTAAATAATCTGCGATTTAAACAAGAAATTATATACTCGAGTGAATGACGTCATAATTGAAATCTGAGTTAATGACGTCATAATCATAATCAGAAGTATTATAAGTGCAGAATATTTCAAAACCAAGCAAATATTTTAAATTTCTAACAATCAAAGTAGAAGCCGATGGGTGCAAGCTTTGAATTTGATATTATCAAGGAACTGAAAAACGCAAGAACATGAGAATATGAGGGTTAATGAACTACAAAAGAATAAAAATGGCGTGATCATTTAAAACAGCGAACCAGAAGCAAAATTTTAGGGAACTTTGCCAAAGAAAGCAAATAATCTAAGTTCATTTTTAAAACGCACATATATGAAACGTATTGATAGTATAATTATAATTTTGTTTTATTCAGATAAGCTTCATTATAAAAGTAGTTTTCTGGGACCAAAATATAATTGCAAAAAGACTGCTTTGAAACATGCCTTTGAAGGAAAAAGGCGTTACTTAAACTTGAAGATTAAATTAGGAACTGTAACTGCTGAGATATATCATAGAAGTCCAACTGGTTGAGGACATTAGGTGACTTTTTGATATTCCAGTCCATTATTAAAAAAATTGGCTATTGAGGAATGAAATGAAGATCGAGTACGGTGAAACAAGGATGTAAAAACAGGCAAACTAAAATACTTACAGTCATTGAATCCTTTAGAATAATGCAATGCTATGAAAGAAATTTATAAGAAACTTTCAATCTCAATTTAAGCAGCTAACTACCACAAACATGCTCAAGGAAAATTCAGCAATAAATTACATTGCACAGGTTTGTTGTTTGGAACACTTTAGAAAACTCTAAAGAGCTTTCGAGTCAAGAACCCACAGCATTATTAATAACAGTTATTGAAGAAATTATATTAGTTTGCGAATTATGTATAAGGCCTGATGTTAACTTGAATAGAAAGGGAATTGAATTGAATTTTCTGTCTGCATCTTGAAAAAGCATAAACAATTTTGTCTTTTCACAAAGTGATCTGCTTGCTGCGGAGGTAAATTCACAAAGATCTGATGCTAAGTAATTTGCTTCTAAAAGGCAAGGTTGCGAAACGAGAAACCACATCTTCTTGCAAGTCATGCTCAAAGATATGAATAGACAGCTGCGCAATATATACTCTCCTCGGTCTCTTGGAAATTCCCGCCAACACTTTTCTTTGGAAGATCCAGAAAGTTAAAAAAGATAGCATAATTGCAAAATAGAAAATCGTCATCGAAAAACATAAAAGCAGCTTCATGTACCTCCGATGTTGTACCATTAATCTGATTCTCTAAAGTCTAGAAAACAAGAAAACCTTGATAAATCTTGGGTATTACAATAGCCCTTTTCACATTAATTTGTAATACAATCAGCCAGATTTTAAGAAAATTTATTTGTGATTTCATCTTTTAGATATCAAAATCAGGATATTCTAGAGTGGATATTGATGCTTTTTCAACAACTTCTAGTTAATCACAACATTTGTTCAGATTTTGAAGATTAAAAAACTATCAGTCGTCAAGTAGATTCCTTCACTAAGAATCAGGCTTCAGTATTTACAAATCAATTGCCATCGTATATTGCGCTACCCTCTTGTAAAGTAACTCTATCATATAAATTCTTAACAACGCAAACTTACATCCCTGGGTCATTTAACAGAGAAGTGTTAATCTCATTTACCTGGAATAAATCAGAGGCATCAAATAGAGGATTTGCCAAATATGATAAACATTTTTTTTCTCAGTAAACTCCTGTTTGAAAATTCTACTTTTTCTCTAGCAATTGCTTTTATTGATGCATTTCTTCTACCATTTCACTAAACATTATTTGGCATGCATTACCTGCTCATTTTGGAATGATTTGATACTTAAATTTTTTTGAGGAAGAATTAGCTTTTCCTGGGAAAAAAGACTGTCACGGTACCCACTTTCATCCAAAATATTGTTGCTTGTGGAGATAAATGTCAAAGCTATCTGAAAAGAATCTATCGCACCTCCCCAAACCTCTCAGCCGTAAAAAATTTTATAAAACAGCATTGCTAAGTATAGCGCACCAACTTCTGAAATTTAGGTGCGTAAGGTTAATACCTTAACTTGCTGTGTAAGGATTCTGAAATAGGCTTCTGCCTCTGCCATTCTGTGGTTGAGTTCTTCTTCGGTAGGAACAGAAAAAGCAGGGAATTTGTCATTTTGTGAGTGACAATTGATTGTTTCCTCTAATGCTTTGATCCAGTTTTCCCTCTCTTTAGAATCACGAGCTAAAAAATATAATACATATTGCCTGATGGCTTGTTGGTTTTAAAAGCTTATTCATGCAAATTAACCTTTAAGTTGGCTAAGCAACAATAAGACCTCATTCTTATGGCAAAAGTGAACCACCTATAAAAAGTTGCACTCATCTAAACCAAAAAGCACTCACAAACCTATCATTGATTGACTGCTCAACTCATGTTTATGTTAAAGGTGATAATTTTCCTAAAGGAGTTGGAAAAGGGAAATTTTTTCTGGGCATATCTATTTGGTAAGTAGGGCCTTCAATGGGGGGGTGGGTGCGTAGGCACGCGCCCGATGTCTTCTTTGGGAGCGGTAAGTTGCGTGTCCAATGATAAATATTTCTCTTGGAGGGAGAGCGATTACCGGATGCTCTTGAAAATCCACTTGAGAAACACTTTTTCCGATCATTAAATTTCCGTATTTTCTTGAGCCATTCCTATTGCTTCGGCTCACACCGTTTGGGTCAAAACAAAAACCAAGGTTTCCCCATTCCTCTGTTTTTGTCTGTTTTCATATCCTTTGTTCGAGCTCGTCTTGAAACTGAAGATGAACGAATTCGTTCTTAAATGACTCCGTTTAAAATTTTCTCATTAAAAAAATCGTTCAAAATTGACTCCGCTCTCCAATGACTTCATATCCGCTGTTCTCATTAAAATTATTCGTTTTCAAAAAAAACTCTGTTTTAGCTTGAAAACTTTGACCACCATAATCAAACGTCTCCGTTTTTGAGCGTATTAACAGGAACGCAAAATCAAAAACAATCAATTCAACTCCGTTTTCGTACAATTGCCCTTTGATATTTGTTGGTCAAACGGGGGCTGCTACTTGTTTCCATTGTATTTTTATCTGTTTTTCTTTAACTTTGCTGAATAGAATTGAAACTTTGTCATGTTTCTAAAGTCACTGAAACCTCTCTGTGTCGCACAGGCCCTTAACGATAATTTAATCGCTTATAGAAATCACTCTCTTTGTAAGAAATAAATAAAAAAAAGCATCCAAACTTTCGTCAGAGTGAGAAGGTGATGATAAAATCTAGAAACTTGACCTCGCTGAAGAAAACATTACCACAACTAAACAAGGTAGCATTTAGTGTATTTTAAAAGTTTCGTCAAGTATAGTGTTTCAATAGAAAAAAACTTCTTTGGCCGCGCATGCTAATTTCTGCCGTGAAAGCCCTGGGTAAGCATTCTAGTACCCCCACTGGAACAACCAATTGTCAAGAATTGGAACCCAAATACCTTGCAAAGTTTTTGAGTTAGAAGTGCTTGCATTTAAAAAATTGAATAGAATTACCGTAAATCCTCGAATTGGCCCCCCTTCAAAAAAGCCCCCTCTCCTCGAATAAGCCCCCACCCTAGAACTACAAATTGTCAATAAGTCCCCCCTCCTCGAATAAGCCCCCACTGCTACTGTAAATTCTCGAACTGGACCCCTCCATTTAATGACTTTTTCCACCTGAGGTTGCCTATGGCGTTTTATTGAATTACCACAACAAATTCATACTTCTGGTAGTAATTAACTAAATGCTCATAAAGAAATTCCTACTAGAATAAACGAGGTCTTTTAATAATGTCTTCTTAATGTCTACAATAATTTTATAAGCCCCCCCCCTCATATAAGCCCCCCTCTTCGAATAAGCCCCCATCAAAAAATATCAAAAATAATAAGCCCCCCGGGGGCTAATTCGAGGATTTATGGTACAAAGAAAGGAATATTCAGTTTGGTGACACTGTTGAGTAAACTTGATGTTACAGTGCAATTATGATGATTTTGCCTCCATACCCAGACAATTGTCAGTTGCAAGATGCTAGTTGCAATAGCAGATGTAATAAATAACCTGTTGCCCTTGAAACAAAAAACCCTCAACCCTTTTAATCTAAGTTGACAATCCGCAATGCTGAACTATATGCCCAGGCAGGGACGCTCAAGGTTGACTTTCTTATGCCAACCTTGCTACCATTTTTGGTAAAAATATCAGCAAAACTGGCTGTTCAAATCTTCATAATTCTTTGCCAATAAGCTAGCCAGCTATTCAATATTAACACTTTTGATACCTCATGCTCCTTGAAAATTTTTTTTGTGTTTTCAAAAACTCCTTTGCTTTGTAAGTGCTCCTTTTCAACAAGGAAAAAAATAGCAAAGCCATGTTTTGGAATTTCTGTACTTCTTGGTCAAACAGTTAGCTGGCTATTTGATACTTAATACTTTATATACCTCACACTTATTGACCAATATTTTATGTGTTTTCAAAGTCTCTCTTTCTTTGTAAGGGGCCCTTTCTACTTGCAAATGATTTACAGTTTTGATCTTTTTCTTCCCCTTTCCATTCTTCATAAAGTAAGGCCCTTTTTTGAAAAGAAATTTTGCAAAAGGAAATTTGCTTAAATGTTGTTTCTTATATTATAGTTCACAAGAAAGTGAATTCATCTTTGACTCACTATGCCTGTAAATAAAGAATATGATTGGGATTACTCAGCAAAATTTTGTCAACCAACAGCTGGTTTAGGCGGGTATCTTCATGCCTGCAGTCAGTTGCGTTTATGTGTGGTTTATGGAAAAGTCATCCAATAAGTTGGCAAATGATTTAATCAAAAATGTTTTTAAACAGGCTTTAATACTTGGAAGAAAGGAGTAGTATTGCAAATCATACTCTATGAATTATTTAGGTATTTGAATGAGTGCAGTGAGAATTTCAACTTTTTAGAACTAACAAGCAAAATTTTAAAAACTTTGTCTGTGGATAAACTTCAAACTTAAAAAGTATGTATGCTTTTTGTAGTATGTTCAGTTCTACAATCAAGTTCATCATTACACAACTTGACCCTTTCTACCTCTGGGTTCTTTGCACACAGAATAAGGCAAACACTGGCAAGGGTAATCCATAGCAGTTGAGACATGCAACCATTTTTAGGAAAACACTTGTTCCAGAATATCATCTTGGTCATTATTTTTTGTAATTAAAAGGAAAAGACAGCTTTGAGCAAAAAAGTTGATCCACAAACCTTGAAAGTGAAATATTTTCTGATCACTACTTATTGTAAATGTACTATCATCATCATCATCAATCCCAATTTGAGCACCCTTTATAAAGATAGACAAATTGTCATATGAATGAGAAAATACTGAAGTATCATCCTTGGCAATATCATTAAAACTCATATAACCAAATTAAAAAAAAATTGAAGCGGCTAGCTTCAGTAGAAGTAGAGACTAAGCTTTGTTCTGTAATCTTGATACTTGTTGATGATAATCAGAAGCAAATTGAAAACTTGGATGAACACTGGGAAGGTTGTAGGTAAAGAGTAAAGGCAATTGCCATCCTGCCTTAAATATTTGAACACATGAGAAAAGAGTTCTGTTATACAGTCAATCCCCTCAAAAATGTACTGGATTTTTCATAATTTAAAGGGCCCTTCTAGAAAAAATACATAAAAATTCATTAAAGGTTTTCCCCAATCCGGTAACAAGAAGCTGTACGCTTTTTATGAAAAAAATTTCAAGCTTACATATTCAATCAAAATGGAATTAATTATTGAACTTGCAATACTTTATACATTGATTCAAATGATTTACAAGGATATCACTAAACATATGTTCAAGCAAAGTTGTTGATTAAGGCCATTTAAAATAACTACACTTAAATTTTAGTAGATTCATTTTGAAAACAGTGAACCATTAATGGGAATGAATAATCAAAGATAATTTCAAAATAAAATGTAGCAACATACTCTTAGTCGAAGGCAGCCTCTTCTTGCTCCTCGCATCATTTTATCCTTAGACTAAACAAATAATATGTTATTTAATTAGCCTATCAATATTAACATTTCATCAATCGATTGTTCCTAAGGGTAAAAACCGCTTTGTAGAACTTGTCATAAATTCCAGGCTGGAAAACTTGCATAGATGCTCGGAGCTATGCTGGACTTCTTGTGCTTGCACCTCCGACATTTTGACCCATAAAATCAATGAAGTAAATGTAGTTATGTACTATAGTTATGTGATGTATAGTTATGTGAAATATACTATAGTTATGTATATAAAATTCATTGCTCACAGCTCAAATGCTTCCACTCGCAGGTCAGTGGCAGACACTTGGGGGGTGAGGGGGGGCCACTGCCCCCCAATACTTTAAAGGACAATAGTCTTGTATTCTGAAACAATGGGAGACATGATGTCATCTTATTGCAACAATAGGCTTCTCCCCCAATATTTGACCAAGTGTCTGCCCCTATTGCAGGTGGCAGCTGATAATGTGTCATTGCTTGCAATGACATGTCAGCACATACAAGTATTCTAACCTGGCACAGCACATGTGTGTGATGGTTTACTAATTGATATGTCAACAGAACAAACTTTAAAAACAAAATAGCGTCAGGCTGATGAACTCAATTAAACTTGTATATTTGATGTGCCTATATTATAGTCTTTACTGCCCAATATATCATGCAGACTTAACAGTAAACCCTCAAGAATGTGGGGCCGAAAATGGCATGAAATTTGCAATGGGGGTAACGCTTTCCCCACAAAGACCAAGTTTCCAGTCTGGCTCAGGACTAGTATTCAATTTGTTTAAGAATTTTTTCAAATAGCAAATGTAGCTGAAGACATGTGCAAAACATGAAAAAGATCAAATGCATTCAAACTGTGGAAGCTTCACTGCAGTGCAAATCACTTTAAATTTCTACAGTTTCAATGCATTTGATCCCTTCACTACAAGAAAGGTCAGCCTGCAACAGGAATTTCTCAACAAAATACTGATAACTAGAAACGCTTTCAAAAAAGTATCTTAGATTTTTATGGGCATTGATTTGAGAATTAAGGACCTTTCAAAAAAGATTAAATTAGCTTTGCTGAGTTCCAAAACTTTGCAAACAGCATTAAATTCCTAGAGATAAGAAAATGAAAGTTTCAAAAATGCTTAAATAGTACATTTCACAATTATCTTCCTCATATGAGAAATGCTACCAGAGGGAGAACATTATAAGGCTTAGGCCCATTCTTTACGCGAATGTAATATATTCTTCTCTTAGCCGGATGAATCAATTCCTAAAGATACTTACCGTATAGTAGGAAAGCAGTCCTGTATTTTCGTCCAATACAAACCAACGATATTGCCACCCTTTGACAACATTCGTCCATTTTGATAGCGGCCCCTCTAGTTTCACAGCCATTTTATTTCAACCTGACTTCCCAGTCAACATTGCTTCCAACGTACGACCTCCTCCACAGCGGCACATAGAAATTATTAGGTATTGAAGGTATTTATTTATCGGGGGCGGAGGCACGAGGTAGGTTCTAAGAAATTGTGCGATTGGATACATGTATATAATGTATATAAAATGAATGTTTCAATTGCTTTTTTTGCATGCCTCCTCAACAGAGATGGGGGCGTGGCAAGCTTTGTTGGAGGAGGGGAGGGAGGGATTTACTTGAAAAGTCTTTTATTTTTGATGAAAAACAGCAGATAAAAAACGACTAGTAAAATTCCGGAGCTCATTGTGAATTCCATTCGATGGTTCTACTGAGAAATGGACACAAGGCATAATTGAAGGCATCATATTGGCACAAGGCACAAACTAAAGAGCAGGGCGGATCCAGGATTTTTGGTGACTATAGCTCAAATCTTTTGGGATCGGGACCACGCCCTCCTTGCTTGTGAGACACGCCCACTATATGAGCAAATGATATAACCATGTGTGTTTATAGTTGCTTCGTATTCATAAATATTCCTTCCAACATCCTTTTTCTATTTCCAGTGACGCCAGAGAAGGGGGTGTGGCGTTACAACCGCCCCTGTTGCCCTTTGACAGAAGGGGCAAGGGTTGTTTTTAAGAAAGTTCCCTTGAAACTGGCCAATTGTAATAATCAGAGAGATTCATATAAAATTCTGAACTTCTCAAAACATGTAAAATAATTCCTTATCCCGAAAGCTAGCCAATGTTGAAGATACCTACAGAAGATCGAAATAAAATTGCAGTTACGTATGAATTTGTAGAAGCTGAGAATTATCTTTCAAAAGCCCTTTTACTCAAGCCTGCCCCCCCCCCTCTCTTGCCGCTTGGTCGTTCCACCGTCCCTGTCTATTCCCTAGTAGGTCCTTGCCTTTGAAGCTACATAACAGGGGACCTAGGATGTGAAAACGAGCTATAGTCACTGATCTATAAAAAGACTGGATTGAGCTTCTAATGTGACCAGAGTGTCGCCATCCTAGAAGAGGGCCCCAGAACAGCCCATGCAAAGAGACGGCCTTCTCTGTCACCCCTTGCAATGTTTTCAGCTGCTCTGGCCTTGTTCTTTTTCAGCAATCATACACACAGCATTGCAGCTCTCTCGTATCCATATCGTTGAAGTATTGGTTTTGAGGAATGGCTTCCCGCTATTGTTTGGGGCCCTCTTCCTTTTGAAATTGAACGGGCTTCAAACTTTGGTGTTTCAAGACAATAGGAAGCTCGATCCAGTCTTTTTTATAGATCAGTGGCTATAGTCCACTGTTGCTTTACAGGGGACAGAGAGCGGAGAAGTACCGTGGATATGCATATTCTATTGGTTAAAAGGCCATTTTCAAACCTGACTATAGCTTCACTATAGCTCGCGCCAAAAATTATAGTACGGGTTTCATTGTCTTCGATGCCTTTTCCAGAGCAAATTCCCAGACCGACTATAGCTCGGAATATCCACTGTAGCTCAATTTTGGTTGGTTACTGTCAACAAAGAACGAAACTTCTGATTCGTCTAAGTTTTAATATTAGACCATTCTGTGCTCAGTGCTTTATATCCTATCTGGAGAGGCATTGTGATGACACATTGCCAGCATTGCATGTTTGTTAATCACATTTGATAACCTATACCGCTGCTTTCAAATGTTGAGAGGCTTGATAGCAGAGGAAGAATTAACACTTAACTTTGAATTCCGAAAATCGAACACGGAGATTTTGACCATAGCTCGAGCTACAGTTGCTATAGTCTGGATCCGCTCCTGAAGAGGGCCTGGATTTTTTAGATTTAGTGCAAACAATTAATCTTCAAATCATTAACGCTTAGTTTGTTTACCAAACCTATCATCCATATCAAGGAATATCATATTTAACCATCGGAGTAACTACCTTGATTCTCTGAACTACGTAAAACGTTTCTTCCACCGAGCGGGTTTTGCCTGAAATTTCCTATTGGGATTTCTTATCGAGATACTATTAGAGGTGTGACACCCCCACACCCCTGGTCCTCAATATCAATTTCTTTCAATTGTTTTCTAGGGTTAAATTATCTTCCTATTACTTATATAAATTATCTTATCTGTTACTTGCAAGGAATCAGTGGCGGATTTAAGGGGGGGGGGGAATAGGGGCAGTTGCCCCTCCCTCAACGAGTTGAAGCAAGTCTGGCGCCCCTTTTTTGAAAGGAAATTGTGCGTCCCTTTTGAAGAATGAGAATCAGACGAAAAAGGTTCTTGGACCGATAGGGTAATTTGCTTCAAGTATTACCTCAAAGTTATGTTGTTTATTCTGAAAAGGTATCTGAAATTTTTGTATACAGCGTACTCTCGTAACCAATTTTTGAAACTTTTTCAGCGCCCCAACTACTAACTGGCCCTCCTTCAAATTTGCTCTGGATCCACCCCTGAATTAAATAATTTTGAAAATAAAGAACTTGACGTTGTTAAATTTTGCCAGCATAGCTTTCAGTTATCAAGAGGGCTATTGAGATCACACAAGAATGCAATGCAAATATAAAAAAGTCATATCGGTTAAATCAAAGACTAGGTCCTGGCAGAAATTGGCAATGATATTTTAGAACTTCCCTGAAAAAGAGGAGGGGGCGCAGCCACCTATTCTTTCCTTCCTTTATCTTTTATTACATGTTGATTGTAATATTATGTTCAAATTCTTTTTTCTGTATTTAAAACAGTATTGTCACCTCATTGTTAGGGGCCAACTTAGCCAAGACATGATAAGAAAAGTGTTTTTTCAGAGCAATTGAAGGCACCCAGCAAGTTTAACTTATGTAGCAAGATGATAAGAGTATTTCTTTCTTTAATACTTTTTTTTAAATTAGAAGTTCACACCAATAACGTCACAGAAGGCCAGTGGAATTGGCCTCCCGTTGACATCAAAAACAAATTTGCAGATGGTTTATCAATTTACCGATTGACTTTTTCTTTTAAGCAAACAACCTAAAAAACCCAAGGTATGGTTGTATGTAGTCAGGTGTGTAGTGCTATGAAAATTGAAAATAAACAGGAGCAATCGCGTACCAATTCTCGAAAAACAATGGTAAAAAGTAGAAAAAGGGCTACTTTCCGGTGTTTTAACAAAGGGGGTCAGCTTCTCGGATGTTTCAAATGGCAGTGTCCACGGGGGCTTCCCTGGGGCGTCGGGGTGCTCAAATTTTAAGAGGTAGGCCAAGAAACCAACTTTCCGACAAATTTTTACATTAGCGTGCGAAAACAGTATTTTTTGCAGCCCGCGTATTGCTAAAGAAACTTTTACTTCCGAATTTTTTGACAGAATAACCCAATAGGGTGATAAACATGTTTGGACTTGATAAGCTTGCATGTGGCTTTTATGAATTCATTCTAAATGAAGATGAAGGTTCAGAAGAAAAAAGGGACTTGGAAATTCTAATTTGAGTAAAATCAACAGCCCCTGCAAAATCTTATGGGTTAACCCAAATTATGTTTTCATTCACGCAAAGGGGACTTAATTAAGATGCCAAGCGTCCCTATTTTGATTCGCTTGTGAGTTAAATCACACTTCATCGCAACACATAGAGCACCGATGCCTCATATGGTCAAATCGAAGCGTCTCGTATTTTAAAATTTCGGTATAATTAAATGGTTGCATTTCAAACAAAGGGATGATAATATGGTCGAAAAGTTACCTAACAGCTCACGTTTTTTAATTAAAACACGTCTTAAAAGAATAAATTGTCAGACCAATAGAAAAGATTAACAGCTGCCACTCTGATTTCACACAGAGGGATCATTTTATATATATAATCGTTGTTGGACTTAACAATCTTTTAAAATATAATTTGCGCAGGCTAACGACACTTACCGGCTTTTCCATCAAATCAATGGACTATAATTTGTCCGTGAAAAGTAATATTTGTTTCCGGTTTGAGAAGTAGAACCCATTGTAAACGTTATTTTCAATTATCGCCACTTTTTCTACCTGATCACGCACCCTAATCACGAAGTTTCAAGCACATTAAAACGTTAATTAACCATTACGAGAAATAGCAGAAAATCGGCATAGCCTTGCTTGCTTTGGTTTATTACAAACGAACATGGCTTCTTTCGCCGATGTGATCACAAACAGTCTTCTGTTATCAAAGATTTTTGATTTTTTACCAATAGATGATGTCATGGAAGTGCGGATGATGAGCCGTGCGGTCTATATATGTTCAGAACGCTATATGCACCGTCGCAAAAAGATCAACTTTGGGGAATTGAAGAGAAAAGGAAAACTCGGATACAGAATATTGGTAGCGAAATTGGCTTCTTTAGCAAGGAACATATATGAGCTTTATTTTGAAAACTGTGGCTTATTGATTACAGACCGAATTTTGGTCAGATTTTTATCACAAAACACAAGCATGAAGAAACTCAGTTTGAAGAATTGTGAATCTGTTCTTCTTACAGATGACTCCATTCATGCAATTGCCTCCAATTGTAAAAAGCTCGAGTATCTTTGCTTGGATGGGTGTAACTGGTTTACGACAGAGGCATTTGTGCATATCGCGAACTGCAAATCGTTAAAGTGGCTTAGCGTAGAGAGATGTGAAACTATTGATGAAGAGAGCTTGGAAGTTGTTCTAAGGGAAGTTAAGAGACTGGAAGTGTTCAAACTGAGATACTGTAGGCAGCTTAGCAGCTTTGTATTGAGATTACTGGGAGAGCATTGTCATGGCCTAAAGGTTTTAGACTTTTCAAGGTGCAACAAAGTCGATGTCAGGGCTGCACAATATTTAGCTAAAGGGTGTAAGCACTTAAAAGAGCTTGACTTTACCTACACTAACATATCGAGACAAGCTATGGTGTTATTAGGAAGTGTTTACTCCCATAGTCTTGTCTGGGTCTCTTTAGCTGCCACTTCCGTAAATAGCGAAGTACTGGCAACATTTTCCAAGATTACAGGCCTAGAACATATTGATGTTTCCTTTTGTCATCACGTAGAAGACAAATCACTCACCTTTCTATCTCAGTGCACTAAATTAACGTCTATCAATCTGGCTTCAACTATTCATGATTGTAATGGGACAATAGAAGCAGTTGGACGTGAATGTCTTCACTTAGAAGAACTGGTCCTTGCAGAATGTAGCTGGCTAAAGCCAAGCAGCTTGATGCAACTTGCCAAGAATGGAAAAAATCTGAGGAAACTAAACATTAAAGGCTGTAGGCTTATTGACGATGACACTTTGTGTGAGCTGTTTCAAGGACATTCTAAGCTTAAGTCAGTTAACATTGCAGGTTGCAGTAGACTCATTGGAAAAAGCATCAAGGATCTTGGGCTGTGGTGCAAGGAACTTGTATCGCTAGATATTTCAAATTGCTACTCGTTAAAAGATGAAAGTATTGCTTGGCTGGTTGAAAATTGTAAGGTTATCAAGATTTTGAAAATGGATGGTTGCTACTGGCTGTCTACGGAAACGTTGAAGAGAATTGGCAGACATTTGGTGCAACTACAAGAGCTTATAATACGTGGCTGTAAAAATGTTACCTGTGAAGCAGTTAAAGGTGTTTTGAACAACCCAAAGTTGGACTATATAGATGTCACAAACACATTACTTTTGATGGATGATATTTTGGAGCTTAGAAAAATGTGTAGTGGTAATGTTTTTATAGAGAATTGATCAGCTTCAAAAAGTATTAGTTTTGGGTGTACTTTCTTGGAAAACAGCCCAAATTCTATACGCATACTGTTAATAGTGAACTTCCCAAAATCTATTTTGTCACAATCGCATGGCAAGAAATCTGTGCTGCGTTGAATGTTAATATTAAATACTTTTACATTGTCTATGAGTCAATACTAGTCTTAGCATCATACTCAATTTCCACAATATTTCATGTGACATAGTGGATAAAGTATTAGTACTGAGGACATAATCAAAGGAAAGAGCGGTAGGTACACACATTTTGATTCTGAGCCTGATGAAGAAGGCAAAATGGTAATGAGAAAGAATTATTAGAAACTTAGGCTAAGGACCCTTTAGCTGCAAAATAATGTACATAGGGGTCTTAACTGGACAATCCATACTGCAAGGGCAAAAAGACACTTGATGCACAGCAAACTGGCATTTTCAAGCTACTAGTTTGGCTTATATGATGAAACTACAATATGGGCCTTAATGATGAAAAATTATCAAATTTAGTCATAATGACAAAAGAATATCTCTTGATTTTGAAGAAGAGGATCATTAAAAAACTGATGGTCAGAAATTTTTCCATCAATAACACAAAGGCAAACTAAGTATATATGGAATAAAATACTTTGCCAATAAACCAAGCTAGCATGATGTCATTCACTCTATCATGAAGTCAATTCCCGATATATTGTCTTCTTTATTCTCTTCCAGCCTCTTGTATATTTCATCCTTAGCTTTTTCCCTCTGTTCCTGTGCAAGCATTTCATTTGCTCTGTAATGTTCACTTAGTGGATTGTGCTCCTGACTTCTGCAAATCTCCAGCTTTGTTATAATTTTGTCAATTACATCTTTTGGTTGCATCTTGAAGACTTTAACCATGTTTATTATTTGGTCAAGCTTTAATAAAAGTTTAGATGTGTCTGCACCTTGCCCAATGGTATTCTCAATATAATCTTCAAGGGGATTCCCTATACTTGCCTTCAGTGCTGCTAATGCTATTTGACTTGGTGTATAAATAAAAAATGTATCTGCATGTAGTGCCTTTATTATAAAAGTTTCAGCGTTTTGCCTGAACTTATCAATGTCTGTTAAGCCTTTAAATCTTGCCTTCAAGTCTATGATAAAGCCTTCCATCGGTCGAAATGAATTGTGAACTGTTAAGTGAAAATGAAGCTTCTGCATTAACAGAAGCTCATTTGTGATTATGAAGTCCTGTACCTTTTCGTATTTCGGTGCTAGCTGCTGAATAAATTGGCTTATCGAGACATTGTATTCGTCCACTTTTGTTGCAAGATAAACAGACAAATAGGCCACCTCTCTCGGGTGATATTCCATAGGAGAGGTGTTTAGATAAAATCTTTTAAAGTAAATTGCCGCAGTCCCAAAAATGGTAGGAGGTGGCGTTGGTTGAAACATGTTGCAAAGATCTCGAACAAAACATACATAGTAATCAACGAGGTTTGTTTGTTCTTCGACCGTCAAGATGTTGGTAGGATCACGGTTCTCGAAGCTATCAGACGTGTATTTGTTCCATGCTTCTTCACGGTGAGAGAGAAATTCCTCTTGACTTTGAAATGTCCAGAACTTGTTCTGCGTACTGCTACTGTACATAATTTGTGCACTGACAGCCGAAGTATACACGTTATCAATCTTTTTTTCTGAATTTCTATTCTACCTTAGGCCAAAAAGCGAAATCGAGGTTGTGGAATCCCGATATGAACTGTCTGGTCCCTTTAATCGGCCTAACAAACTCCTTACAAATTCTCTCGGATATAACGAACTCTCATTATTACAAATCAATTTTTAGGTCTCTTAATCATAATTACCCTCGATATAACGAACTTTTCATAAATTTTTCATCTGTTATTTTATTTATTCATTTTCGGTATTCATTTATCATTTAATCTGGTGGAAAATCATTTCTATAATCGGCAATACATGCCGATGATACATTTCAAGCACTGGCTGATAGACTCAGAGCACGAGGTGAAGGTTTGATTGCGTCAGAAATTACTGCGAAATAGTACATTGACAATAACGAATACTTCCTTACATATGAGACATTTACGGTGGCCCACAAGGGTCACGGCACATATTCATGATATCCACACATCTGCAGTGATTGAATTTTAAGTGGTGGTTGAAGAATAGATAGAGACTTTACTTTTGCTATGCAGCTCTGCAAGTTATCAGAGAATTCAGCAATCAGTGTGCCAAGGAGGTTTCTTATCTTCTGTAAAAAAACTTGTTAAATGGGAAGCTGTTTCTGGGTTATCATGTATCCTTCTGGGTGGCCTCATTGAACTGTGAAACCTCTCATAAATTCTTCGAATTTTCAATAGAACATGTCCCAATTACTGTTTCTAGAAACTTCTACCCGTGCACCGAATCATAAACTTCCAGTCAAGTGTGACTTTGTCTATAGATCCCTTACTACAATACAACCTGTATTTTCACCAATAAAAACCTTTATTGCCACAATATCCATGTGATTGTTTTGTTGCGAGCCATACCAGCTTCCCTTCTGGCATCGAAACAATAGTTTTCTGGATCGTTGGCTTGCTGACGACGTTGAGTCAACATCATTTCGTGGCCACAAGCAATAGAAATCGGCACACTAATCACAGGGAAACGGGCATGCGTTGAATAGCAAAAAAGTTACGGAAAAACGTCTATATATATGCATTCCCCTCGACCCATCTCACAGTGTACTCATTCTTCGGACACAAAAATAGCACGGCTCTTGCAATGTACGAAGAATGAAGAAGAATGGTACTTCGATATTGTGAATAGGCAATGATGATGAAACTGATGGTGATGATGATGATTATGATTGATGATGATGATGATGATGATTATGATTGATGATGATGATGATGATGATTGATGATGATGATGATGATGATTGATGATGATGATGATGATTGATGAGGATGATTATAATGATTATGATGATGATTATGATTGATGATGATGATGATGATTGATGAGGATGATTATAATGATTATGATGATGATTATGATGGTTGATGATGATGATGATTGATGAAGATGATGATGATGATTGATGATGATGATTATGATGAAGAAGATGATGATGATGATGACGATCATGATTGATGAGGATGATTATAATGATAATGATGATGGTTGATGATTGATGATGATGATGATGATGATGATTGATGAGGATGATTATGATGACGATTATGAATTATGATGATGACGATGACAATGATGACGACAACAAAGATTCCAAATGTGGTAAATGCTGTAATACGCTTCCAGTTTGTTTCCCAGACAACTAAGAGCGTTTTATGCTTTATGAGAAAGTGATTCACAATTGACGGTGGAGTAATATCTCTCGGGCTGATTCGTTTTAGTTCACCGTAAAAGCTCTATTAAGTCCCGGGGGTGGGGGCTAATTTTTTTCAGTCATAAAGGAGGGGGCTTATTTGATATGGGGGCTTATTAATTATTCAAAATAAAAACACATTATAAAAATGCCACAATGCTCTGGGATTTCTTCGAAAGAAGCAATATTAGTATCCACTTGACTTCTAAGGCGCATAAAGAAATCTTTACATGGGCCTTATTTAATGCACAATCATCATACCAGTCAAGAGAACCATTCAATACGCGTGGTTTCTTTGTTTGGCATCAGTGGCTAAAGAGGGGGTCTTAATAGAGAGGGAGGGCTTATTTTAAATTTTTGCATGGTAATGGGGCTTAATAGAGAGGGCTTAATATAGAGGAAGGCTTAAATATGCCGATTTACAATGATTTACAGAGATTTATGATCATTTGAGCTGATCCACGATGACATTCGAAAATTTGTCATGACTCATGATGATTCTCGATCACTCATAATGATTCACGATTATTAACGCTGCTTCATGGCGATTAATGCTGGTTCACAACCATTTGCATTCATTTACAATAGTTCATGATTATGCCGAGATATCGCAAACTTGAAGAGTTTATTATTTCATTCGAAGTTTTATAGTTAGAAAAGGGGCTTGTGGTCACTGTTGTAAGTTTCTGAAGCTGAACTTTTTAATTGTGTCACAAATGCTGGAAGTCTCTTTATGACACATCCATCTAGGCACTGTTCCATTGATAAAACAGCTTTGCCAATAATTGAAAAATTTATCAAATAAAAAACCTTAATTCCTACAATAGCCATTTCTTCAATCGAACGAGTGCACAATTGCTGGATTGTGTGCTGCAGCTTCCTTTGAAACTGTGCCAACTTCTCTTTTGGCACGGCCAAAATAAAAATTTGCAAAATTGACTTGCTGGTGACGTTGAGTCAACATCATTTCGTAGCCGCGAGCAATAGAAAGCGGGACACTAATTAGAGGAAAATGGAAATTCTTTGCGTAGCATTCTGTTACGGAAACCGTGTCACTTCGTTAGTTACTTACTTACTTATTTACTTACTTACAGGGCCCCTACTCCTATAAGTACTCATTCTTCGTACATAAAAATAGCACGGCTTTTGCAATGTACGAAGAATGTGGAGGAATGGTACTTCGATATAATGAATTGGCGAAGTGGACAAAACTGATGATGATGATGATGATGATGATGATGATGATGACGATGATGATTGTGCTCCAAATGGCGGCACTGTTTGTCAAACTTTTGACAATACCAAACATTTGGAAGCATGTATTGGATGAAATAGGCGTATTTTATAGCAAATTTTGGCGGGAAAAGTTTACAAATTTTGCTAACGTCTTAAGAAACTTCATTAGAAATGTTTGAATTACAAGAAAACAATTTTGTTTGTAAAAATATAAATCATGCACTAAAAAGAAAAAGAAAAATTAGCAGTTCAGCACAGGGCTGGATCCAGAAAAAAATTTTACCGTTGCAGATTTGCAAACGAAAAGGGTGCAAAAGTTTAATAACATTAACAACTAAAAACAGAGACATCTTGTTTTTCTGCATAAGCTGCTCGAACAGCTGCATAAGCAAAATATCAAATCAGTATTTTAGGTTGGTGACATTAGCCTGAAATGAAAAAAAGTGAACAGTTGTTGAACACTTTGTGAAAGACATTAAGGCAAATGCATGTTTTCTGTTCTGTCGGCTGCTACTTTTGTCATAAGAATTTGAATATGCATCAAAAAAGCTATCTTTCCTGAACAATAGCATTAGCAACATGGATCCAAATAGCCTGGAATGAAAAAACAGTCAACAGTTAAGTTGAACACCTTGTGAAAGTCATTAAGATAAGGTGTAAAATTGATAAGGTGTAAAATTTAATTATTGCATGCCCTTAAGCTCACATAAGTGCATCTGGGTTTGATAAATTAATAATTATATGTCGATTATGTAGCTTTTTATTGCTGATTGATTAATGCAGTCATTGAGCTCAATTTGTCATGGAGGTTTCAGTGATATTTCAATCATTGAGCAGACAGAAACATTTGATTTACACTAATTTGTTTATAAGAAACTGGCTATAAGAAACGAGTACTGGACAGAAAAAATTAAGAAACTTCAGTACTCGAAGCAAAATAATTAAGAAGCTATTAAATCATAATAGAACTGAGGACAACGAAATTTTGTAAAATCCAAGAACAAGATTGCCCTGTTGGCCTAGAACTTAAGACACAAGGGGTAAAAATATACTTCCCACATCTAAATACAGCATCGGAACGGAAGCGAATTTCTTGATGTGATAAAAAAGGTCACGAACATTTCATAACATCATTCATGAAATCATAATTAAGAAACTCTTAAGAAACAATGAGTATTGCAATTTCCAGAACATTAAGAAACTGGAGTACTCAACATCGACCTTTGTATCTTATAAGAAAAATGAGTGTATTTGATACTGTGCTTTTTGTGACAAATGCCTAGATTTCAAATTAATTTTCAAATAGATCCTCTCAAAACCACAATCCTTTTTAATCTAAGTTACCAGAAATTTTCATACTGATTTGGAAGACCATTAAAGTAAAGTATACCCAGCCAATACGTGGAGCTTCCCAGTTATAAGACCTGTCAGTTAGTCCGGGCTGGGTTAAAGCAGTGACATTTTGAGCCATTCGAGAATACAGAGAAAATTGTTTTTGAAAATATTGTTCAAATTCTTTCTTTAGTTTATGAGAAGTGAAATTTTTAAAATCTGTATGCGTAGTGACTTTTTGATTAAAAAAAGAGTCATTTTATATGTATCCAGTGAGACTTGATTCCCGTTGCAGGGGCTCTGACACATTTTGGAAAGTGGGAGAAGGGGTGGGGCAAGGGCATTTCACAAAACTCTTTTGCTTTGTAAAAAGTAGGGCCGTTGCCAGAGGCCCTGCGTCGTGCCCTGCTTTCCATTTACTCGTGTTTTCTATGGATTACAACTTCATAGAGAAAATCCCTTGATCCTGTAGAAGGGACAGTTATCTTTGCGTATTCGGCTTTGTGTCTATCACAAAATAGACAACCTACAGACAACCTTGGAACCATCTTTAAGGTCCAGCTACCAGGCCCCGAAAATCTTTAGTGATTTGAATAAGATATTTTTTTAAAACTGAGAGCAAAAGGGTATTGCAAACTTGAGAATGCTAACTTTTTTGGCATCCAGATAAAGTAAGGACTGTCCCTGGAAAAGAAACTGTAATTAAAAGCGATAATTGGACAGATAAACTGGATTTTAACTCTGATAGTCAAAAGTCGTCAATTCTCAATCCATATTTACAAATTTAACGGCTGTGCAGCCGTTTAGAATTAAATGAAACAGAAGTGACACGAGACAAAGTTGCTTAAATTCCCTGCAGAAAATTTCATTTTCATGAATAACATCATGATTCGTGATTTCTACCTCTAATTCTACCTCTAAAACTGGCCTAGAGCATTCTTGTCCAAAAAGCCCTAGTTACACTATACTATTGAACCCGGGCTCAACCCGTGTTAAAAAAACTTCTATCAGATAACAATCTGCACCGATTGTAGGTAATTTTCAGACTGTCTGTTTCTACAGGATCCAAAATTATGCATACATTAGATTATCAAATCTTAATATACTTTCAGTTGATGTAAGCAGGGGCGGATACAGAATAAAAGTTGACGGTCGCACATAAACAGTACCCAGCAGGCGGTCTAGGGGTCCTCCCTCGTGGTCAAGGGTAGAGCCACGATAGGGACCCAGCCCCCCTCCTCCCCCCGGAACCAGAGCAACTAGGTTTAATTTCAAGGGCAAAAACCCTAAAGCTCACAATGTCGATTATTGCAACCACTATAAATAAAAGGAATAATTTCACCTTTTTTCAAGAAAGTCATCTCGATTTTTCGTCTAGAATATTATTTTCATGTCTTGTAAGCGTCAACTTTCTAAATGCGATTTGTCCCGCTAAGCAAGACTGATACACTTTGATTGATGAAACGCCTTAACGGACGCCCTTATCTTTAGGAGTTGCCTCACCAACGAGGTTTGCAGACCTTGTAGTAGTTTTGAGGGTGGCGACGGGACTGGGGCCCTGAAACGTTCAAATTGTTCAGTCAAAAATTTTTCCCTTTTAAAAGGTTTTCCAAATTTTCCAGCAAATCCAAACACGCAGTTGAGACAAAATATCTTGAGATTCAGAAGTGCATACTTCCTGTGCACCTCTTCCGCATGAATAAAGAAAATTGGGATTTTTCTCCTTCACAACTTTCAACCTCGTCCACTTTCTTCCTGTGCCAGCAGTTGTGCGGCACAGTAATCTAACATAGTGTTTACAGACTTTTCGTGCCGCACAAATATGTGAAAACTTGAATTTTGATTGGTGAGATTTGGTAAAATATTTGCAGAACAAAGAGCCCTGCATATTTGTGCGGCACGGGCGACATGCCTAAAAATCATACTGTTTACGGTCTAGGATGGTCTTTGAATTAAATTGTGGCATTGCGTGTGGGGTCGACCAAGGTTCGGTCCTGTGTTTATTGTGTAAAGAGAGGTAAATGTATTATCTGTAAGGTGGGAAATAAAAGATTGTGGTAAACATGATTGCCTTATTTTAATGACTGAAGACTAAAACTAAATTCTGAAAATCTGACGGTCTTCCGTGCGACCTGTGCGACACCCTGAATCCGCCCCTGGATGTAAGATAATATGAATGAGACAATCTCTTTCCAGGTTTCGGGCCATCAGAGTTAACAAGGTCTGATGAAAAAGCATAAAAATTATTTTCATTGACATGTGTGAATGAATTCAGTTTCAAAGATTTTTGCTTTCCAGCGCATCATTTAAAATCTCTTCTACCCCGCTGCACATATAATGAGTAGTAAATTAACATTGGACACAACTTAACATGGTTTTAATTACCCTTGGTACCAGAGCCACAAATTTCCGAGCTAGGAAATAGAAAAGGGAGCGCAGAGGTGGAGGATTATATTATCTATCTGACTTTTCCTTTTTCTCAGATGACTCTCCTCTGCTTCTCCGCTCCTATCTTCTATTTCAGTACTCGATTCATGTGGCTCTGGTACCCGGGATTAGGTTTTAATCGACGCAATTTTTCAGTACAAGTTAATTTATGTACAGCGTTAATTTTCTTTAGCATTATGGACTTTACTGCAAGGTATCAATCTTTTAAGATGCACACTATTGATCCCAGTAGGCGTAGGATTCATTCTTGATCATTGTTCTATGGTGCTGCCCCAAACACCAAAATTGAAAAGACAAGAAAAAATCTGTCCAGGCTGCAGTGAGAAAATGCTTCATTTTGAAAACCAGAAGTATTATCATTGTTCTGAATCACCTCATTATATGAGAGAAGTTGAAATCGTACCTGTTTATAGCAGATGTTGCTGAGCCTGCGAGCAGCCCCTACTGTTTTGGTAACATCACTGAATTGAATCATTTTAAACAATGTGGTAACATCATTGAATTGAATCGTTGTAAATAAGTGACTTCCCCACTATTTGAAGTTAATTTTGGTAAGTTTTGATCAGAAAGGTCAGCAATTTAGTTCCTTGCTAGCAGGCTAGGTAACAATTATCAATCCCAAAGTGATTTGCTTTTGCACTAGAGCGGCAACTAAGACTGTGGTTTAGCTGGTAATGAAAAACTCCATTATCGATGCTGCTAACAAAGTCCACTCGTCAGCTTAGTCTAGCCCTGCCACAGCAAGTCGGTTTCGCAGCAATGTGTCAAAGCAAGCCTTCGAAACGTACCCAATGTTCTCTGTGTTGGTCGCGCAAGTATTAAAGGTGAAAATTTTGCGCTCTTTCTGTTTATCGCAACTCAGATATCTTGTCTTGATGGCTAAAAGAACATCTTTTTCGCTTTTCGGATCCCCGTCAAAATCATGAAAGTAGTCGGTAACATCTACCTTGGCAAGCTTTGCCTGCAGCAAATCAACTTTGTTCAGAAATAAAACAATTGTTTTGGATTGGAACCAAGGAGAATTTATGATAGATCTAAAAACCTCCAAACTTTCCTCCATTGCTGTTCTTGTATTATCTTCTGAATGCACCATGTCAAATTCGTTTACTGCAGCACAGAAAAGTAGCAACTCAACATCATCAAAGTGGTGTATCCACTTGCGACGCTCTGATCGCTGTCCACCGACATCGATGATCTGAATTGGCACTTTTTCATAGAAAAAGGTCAATGTACGTACTCCAGTTGTTCTCAAGCGAGAATGCAGGATATGCTTGTTGGAAGGAACAAAATCCTCGCAGCATATTACATCGATTTCACTTAGCAGAAATGCCATACTCTCAGGGCATTCTAGCTGGTCTCTACAGAGCTCAAAAATTTCCTGTATCATAGAATCCGACCAAATTCTTTGAGACAGCGCCAGCAATTGTCTTTCCTCGCTTAAATCAAGAGGGAAGCTTCTACTTGCCATAAGCTGCTTAAACTCATCGATTGCTTGGCCAGTATTTTCATTGACTAGGGATGTCCTAGTGGTTTCAAATTTGGCAATTAATTTATTAATAGAGCTGATGATGTTCTCTGAAATGATCCTTTGATACATCTGTCGCTCCTCCTTTGAAAAGCCTTCTGTGTTTAAAATTTGCATCTGCCTGAATACTGTCGACTTCCCAGAGTTAGAAGTGCCAAGGATAAGGGCTTTAGAATTTAGATCTGTGTTGTCATCTTGGCTAGCATAGCCAACTACATTTTGAAACGAGCTTCCAGGAGATTTGAAGTAGATACTGCAACATGATCCCATTTCGGTGGAAAATGGCAGAGCTTATCAACTCAACTCCTGAAATCAAAAGTTTTAAATCGCCATAAAACATAAAATAATGTGTAAAAATTCTCACTATATGCATACATTATTCATTCCACTAGCAAAGAATCCTCAAGCATCACGGACAATACAGCGAAAAGCAGTATCTAATAAAATATTGATTTTGGAACATTTCATAGAAGCATTTTAAATCCTTGTGAATAACACAAGGCCTTAGAGGGCCTAAGTTTTTCAATCTCGTTTTACAAGTTTTCAAAGGGCCTCATTTCCACCTGTGTTTTTCAATCTAGTTTAACAAGATAAGCTCATAAATTTCAATCTGCTGATCATCAAAGTGTTTTTTATTTTTCAAATATTGGGTAAACGTTTTATCTAAAGGGTCTTGCATCCCGATAATTGAATTGTAATGCGAGAAAAACTGTCAGTTTGATGACAATTGCTGAAGAGGTTTGACTTTCTAATGATGAGCAAGCAAGCAAGCAAGGAAGCAAGCAAGCAAGCAAGCAAGCAAGCAAGCAAGCAAGCAAGCAAGCAAGCAAGCAAGCAAGCAAGCAAGCAAGCAAGCAAGCAAGCAAGCAAGCAAGCAAGCAAGCAAGCAAGCAAGCAAGCAAGCAAGCAAGCAAGCAAGCAAGCAAGCAAGCAAGCAAGCAAGCAAAGCAAGCAAGCAAGCAAGCAAGCAAGCAAGCAGCAAGCAAGCAAGCAAGCAAGCCAGCAAGCAAGCAAGCAAGCAAGCAAGCAAGCAAGCAAGCAAGCAAGCAAGCAAGCAAGCAAGCAAGCAAGCAAGCAAGCAAGCAAGCAAGCAAGCAAGCAAGCAAGCAAGCAAGCAATGCAGGACAGTGGCGGAATTTACAGGGGTGTGAGGGACGATCGCAAAAGTTTGTCGGCAAATCTGAGACTTTGTCGGAAAATTTAAATCTGGTTTTGGTTTAAACAAACTTCGTTTGCTCATGGCTAAAATTTTCGACGGCAAACCTTGGCAGTCGCGCGGGCAAACCCAAAATTAGGGGTCTGGAATGCAGGCTAGCGCTTCTTAACTTTTGATTTGACAATCACGTTTCCCTTATTGGCAAGGAGACAAGTGAGTATGCCAATCACTAACAATCCCTTCTATTGTTTTTTTCTACACCAAAAATGGTCAAAACGCTCAACAGGGAGGAGGCTCAGCAGGGAGGAGGCTCAGCAGGGAGGAGGCAAAACACAAATCCAGTCGCGCAACCATGGATGGTAGAAAACTATCCTTGGATCAGTGGCGGATTTAATGGGGGGCAACTAGGGGCAGCTGCCCCTCCCTCAACGAGTTGAAGCAAGTCTGGCGCCCTTTTTTTGGAAATTGTGCGCCCCTTTTGAAGAATGAGAATCAGAGAATCAGATGAGAAAAGTTCTTTGACCGATAGGTTAATTTGCTTTAAGGATTACCTCAAAGTTATGTTGTTTATTCTGAAAAGGTATCTGAAATTGTTGTATACAGCGTACTCTCGTAACCAATATTTGAAAATTTTTCAGCGCCCCAACTACCAACTGCCCCTTTCAAATTTGCTGTGGATTCGCCCCTGCCATGGATGGTAGAGAAATACCCATGGATAGTAGGAAACTATACATGGGTACTTCTCTACCATCCATGCGCGCAACTGTGAATTTACGATGTCCCCGAGAGCTAGCATATCCAGAATAACTCATATCCAGAATAACTCATATCCACAATCAAAATTTATCAACAAAATAATAAGCCGAGAGGACAGCCGCTAGTGCTTGGACATAGCGGCTTGTGCTTGGACATAGCCAAGAACCATGTAACGCAAAGAATTATAACTTAACTACAGGTCAGCTATTGACGATTAAACCAGAAAAGAAAAAGAGAACAGCTAACAGATTTAAACGCATTACAAACTTTGTATGCATGAAAATATACACAAAGTAAGTATGACAACTAAAAGTGTGTCAATTCAAAATCCAACCAATGGGTCATTAATTTTAGAAAAAGTTCTTTCTTATCGATGCTATAAATTTTTTACATGCATTTTCTGGCCAAATATAGAATTTCATATGTCAAAAATTTTCTCGCTACCAACCATGGTGGCGGCTTTCAATAAACCAATGAGCAATATAAACATCCCCCCTCACTAGAAATGAAATGTCCCGTCCCCCGGCTCTTTCCATGGTATCAATGTTCTGACTTCAGCAGCTGCCCGCTCAAACAATCAATGCACCTGGCTGCTCAACCCATGATCGGGAAAAACATCGACCCTTGTTCAAATTGCAATTATTACATGAAAAGAACAACTTAGAAAATTAGAGTCCCCCCTCCCCGTGAAAATTTTACGACTACATCCCTGATAGAAATGTGGGAAAAGTTTTTGTCGGTTTATTAAGTGTCTTTGCCCGCCCCCCTCCAGAAAAGAAGGTCAATTTCCCCCACTGATGCAGGGTGAAGGTGAAGTGAAGGGGCACTCAAGTGGGAAGGAGCATACTGATCATAAGCCCCGTAACATTCTACAAACTCTATCAATAATATTCTACTAATATTCTCGAATTATATGCAATCTAAACGGTCGTCCTGTTAGCACTTGACATCTGCTTCTCATTTTTCAGAGTTTTAATTACAAGCTTCTTTATTCAAAAATTTGCAAGCTGTCTTTGTGCATGCCCACTGAGAACTTGCGGAGAGTTTTCATGGGCTTGAAAGTCCGTGATGTCAACTTTTATTGTTTTTGTTATTGTTACGAAGCCTATAACTAATACCAATAACCAGTTATGCGAAAACAGAAAGTCTCTTGAATTAAAAAAAATCATGAAAAGAATTCGAAAATGTTACAAAACTTCATCAAATTATTTTGAATTTCAAAGTTTTGTAACTTGCTACGTTTGCAACAGATGTTTATTTTGAGGCCCGTGTTCTTATAAAATTTTTCTTATCAAAATAAGTGTAACTGGAGAAGGAGTTGCATTAACGTAGGTTGAATTGAAATTTCGGGGGACAAACATTTTCGTTTGCAGGGATACCTCTTACAGTAAGGAATACATTCTAAGACTTTGAGAAACATGCGGGAAGGTGGCAATTAAAACCCCTGCTTCCGGTTCTGATAGCCTTGATTTAAGTATGACCAGAAAAAGGATTTAGGGTGGCCAGAAATGTTTCCTGGCCCCCTCATTTTTGCGCAGTTCTCTTCCTTTTATGCGCAAGAAGACAGATTCAATGCGACATAAACACTAGGTAAAACATTGTCAAAAATGATCCGTCTTTTTGGTACCACAAAGAAGCATGTCAGGCGAAAGTATTTTTAGTGAAAAAGATTTTTAGAACACATAGTATCATAGTAAAACCATACTGAATCATTCAAACATTGCTGTATCGCTTCGAAGGGTTGCAATCAAAGCAGCCTTCCAACAATTTCATGAACCTGCTTGGGGGGATACTTGTATTTTCACCAAAACATTCATCATTTTTCATTCAAACGATATCTCTTTTCAGGATTCAAACAATGTTTTTTCCAAATCAACAAAAAATAGTAGCTTAAGCTTCTCTAGCCTCTCGGGAAATACGGTGTTGCGTGTGATCCTTAGAATGTGATGCGGGTATTGATTCGATGTAGCGTGATCATAATGAGAAAAAAAGGTACATTTGCTTGAAACAAATTAACGATCTTGGATTCATAGCGTATCAAGATGAAGTAAAACGTACCTTTTCTCAATCGGCTATTTGAGGTTTCAGGATAATTTTGGTTTATCAGTTTAAAGTAAATTTGAGCATTCGAGGAATGTCGTTACCAAAACCAAGAGTTTACAGCCAACAGAGTAAAACAAAATTAAAGCCCCTGCAAAAATATTTGCTTTAGCTACATAGGTTCACCTGCTATATTTGATGTCTTCACCTGTAGATTTTTTTTTCAAATGAGCTCGTAGAGAAACGATAACGATAAATGTTTGCTTAGTAAACAAACTATTTATATTTCGGAATTGTTCCTATAGTTGAAAATAGTGGATGCATGAAACCAAAAAAAACATTTGTCAGGCTTGTACATGAGTTTTTAAGTTTAATTTTTTAGCAAAGATTTCCGCAAAAAAATGTCTTCGAAGTTGTACAGAATAAGAAAACAGCACTTACTCTTGCAGGATGAAACTCTTTGCTGGTGAATTGATTGTGCTGCAAAGTCTGTTCAAGTTGCAATCGTTGTAACGTCTACCCACTAATGACAGTAACATAACCTTACCAAGACAATTTATGCGGAGCTAAAGAAGGCATAGATATAACAGTTGAGTCTCGTTTCTGTATACCTCGATCCCATTCACACTGTCAATCATCTGCCAACTGTAATCTGTCAATGCAACTGGTATGTAGCTAATGATTACTCAATAGAGTGGCAAAGTGATGACGTCATGAAAATAGCTTTTAAAATTTCATAAAATTTCCCGCGATAAAGGCCGATGAAAGATTTGTAATTTCAAAAGGTTTATAAGCTCAAAAACCAAGGCCAAATTTCAGTGGTTCGATGGCGGAGGGGGGGTGGGGAGGGTGGGAGTCTGCACCCATGTGATCGTATTTCTCACTGAGTCTGCTACCCAGGGTCAGGATGTATCTTCAAGTTCAAAAATTACGAAAAAAAAATTTTGTGATGTCATCACTTGGTTACTCTATATTTAGTCACTGTAGCCGCAAACACAATAGTTACGAAATGGTTACGACTAAAACTCGATACATGAAAAAAATTTCTCTGTGAGCTACGTCTATAATTGGGGAAACCAAAGCCTTTCATATAAAACTCAGAGAAGGGGTAGGTAACTGATATATGGTGGGAGCTATGTACCATTTTTAGGTGTACCTGCTATTCAAAAATGAATTAAAAATTTACTATTTTATACAAAAACGAATTAAAAATTTACCATTTTATTCAAAGTACGAGTTTAAAATTTACTGTTCTATAAAAACACAAAATTATGTGTATATAAGAGATATATTGCCAACGAATGACTTGAAATCTCTAAGAAATATATTGGACATTAGGCTTGATCTTTATACAATATGCAGGTGAGCCCCGAAAGGAACAACCTATTTTTTATTCAAACATTAAACATCGTAAAGGATTATGGGTTTTTACAGCCTTATTTTTTCTTTCCTTGACTGTAAAAGGTCTTAATTGTTGCTTTAATCTTCATTTTGCTCCCTCTAAACTTCTTATCTTGTTTTTCGGTTCACAAATGTTCATTTCTTTTTTATTCGCCAGTTATGCTATTCTATGGAAAACTGAGACTTAGTGTTGCTTCTCTTCGTAAGAATGACTGTTTTAGTATGAAGGTTACTTTTGCCTTTCGTGCATTCATAGATATTTTTTTATTCGATTTGCACTGGTCATTTAAAGACTAAGTGCGTGGTTCTTTTTAGCATATCGTCAATTATTGCAATTAATATTTGCTATATTAATACATGTATATAAATATCATAATATATAGAAAACAATGATAAACAAAACTTTATAATAAGTTCTTTTAAAGTTATAAAGTTAAAAATGCTTACTTTTATTTTCATGGGAGCGTTATTTGCGAAAAAATTCTTTATACGAAAGACCTTCAAGAGATCAAGCCATGAATGGATAATACTTGGGTGGAGCTTAGCTTCTAAAAATGCATATATTGATAAGCTCGCCCCCTTCTACTCTTCAATTGAAAGTAAAGAACCTTTCCTCCATATCTAAATTATGTAAATTTGAACAAGCATTTTAGAAACGTATTGCTACTCGCGGGAAGTAGATTTCAGTTTAACAGGTGTTTCTAAACTAAACTGTTATATGCTTCATAGGCTTTAGAAATCCGTGAACAGTTCTATACAAATTACTTGTTTTTCATCAAGGAAGATAGCATCATTTAAAAGAAATGTCCTTGTTATTTTCATTGTAGAAGGCTGCACAATTCCCAAAGGGTTAGCCCTGGTTTGTGAATGTGCAGCTTCGATTTTCATCTAGTCATGGACGTTGTTGAAGGAACTCTGTAATGCTATTTAGACTTATGAACAAGTCGTCGATAACAGCTTTAAAGATAATTGGCACCTTGCCTTTAGCGGTTTTAATTTGAATGCGTTGTTCAATTTTAGTCATAAACCTATAGAGATAGACTGATCAGAAGGGTGTTCTCGTCGCATTCACCTATAACTGTTGATAGAATTTACCATATAATGTAAAGATTTCCATGTTTGGAAAGCAATACAATCATCTGGTTGCTGGGCTTTTTAGGAGAGTTGTTTTCCTATAATGGTGTGTATTCAGTAAACTTGAACAAGTGCTTAATACTGGTGACACACTATATATTGTTTCTATCCGAATATTGGGTTAATGCGGAAATATGACCAAAAGATTGAATTTCCATGTAGTAGCAAACTGATGAGGATACTTTTATGGGCTTTTGGAAATGAATTGGATACTGCAGCTGTTGTATCAATGATTGATATAAGATTACTAACTTTTCATTGATGTTACCAGGGCCCAAAAAGGAAGTAGCGTAGTAGCGGTGCTGCCAGGAAGACATAACTTGCAATGTTCAATTTCCCAGGAAGAGAGAACAGGGAAAAAGGGAAAGGAGGGAATGAAACAGAGAATGAAGAGGAAGGCAACGAAAAAACAATAAAAGGAAATAAAAGGAGAAATGTAAGCTTTGGAAAGATTGATTTGAAAAGATGAGCGATATGTTCATCAAGGAAGACTTCTGTAAACTTGATATAGTCCACCAAGTGCCGGTGTTGGGAAGGAAGGTTAAAGGCAGTCTGTCCCCTTTTGTGCTCAACTTTATTTTCACGGGAGTGAAATTCATGCGCCGTTGAGCTTGATCGTTAATTAAACGATTTAAACCAATCAGAAACAGCTTTGATTCCAGGGCTTTCGAATCAAATGGCTGTGTTCCCGTTGTAGTGAAGCTGTGGCTAGGAAAATTTTGTTCCCCGTTCGGTTTGTGTGACGGATGTGTCAACAGCGAAGAGAAATGCTTCCATCATTATCATTCAATGCCAGTAATTAAATCTTATTGCCCTTTCCGATAGCTTTTTGCTCGCAGTTTCAAATGTCGTCCACTACCGCAACTAGGCCAGCCAAAGCGAGCAGCACAGTCCGTTAAGGCGGGAAGACCTATTGTTCATATAAGCCAATCATTAAGGGGACAGACTGCCTTTTAGCTGGTCATTAACTTGCTACCAGGAAGGAAAAATAGCTGCAATAAAGCTTTTCATCTGGTGAGATAAAAATCTTATCAAAAGTACTGCGAAAGGGTAGAGAGAGAAAAATTGTCACAAAACAGACACTGCTAGAAAGCACTTTTGAGTCATGTTTAACATCATTAAAACTCTCAGGAAAGAACGCCAACTAAAAAAGATGCAACATTACAAAACTATTAACAATTGATCGGAAAATCTTCAAGGGCGATTTTTCTTATATTCTCATGAAAAATACAGAACAAACAAACTGCAAGACGATACCACAAGGGAGCATGGAAATACATAGCAACCCTGTGACCACATTAAACATATCAACTTCAAAATAGAATTACAAGAAGTATTCAAAATTACATGTTACAGATTACTCAAAAAAATAACATTTTCAATTATCATTTTTTACATTGAGAAAAAAGTAAAGAAAGACAAATTATATAAAAGAGATGATTTCAAAAACTACTTATTAGAACCTTTCAGAGGTCTAAATATATTTTAATGTTGCCTCGATCTTTTGTCTAAGTTTAAATAATATCATAACTGCTTCAATACCAAGAACAAGCAGGAAAAACAACATCTATCTGAAAAAATTAAATATGCCCTCAAACTGGTAGAAAGGCTACAATTATACGATTTTTCACTTTTCTTTCCATCAAAAGTTTACGACGAAGTGTGATTCACTCGTAAATAAGAAATTTCTTATTTGTGCTATCATTAAGAGATGAATTCTTGAGCAACTGGAAAATTAACAGAAACTTTGGGCAACTGAAACGGTGGCGGAAAAGCATTTTTCAGGTTGGGGGGGGGGGGGCAAAACCCAAGCAAATTTGCCGACAAATCATAAAAGCTGTGTTATAACCGACACTTTCCGGCAATTTCCGCCACTGAAATGAAAGCTAACTCGTAGGTTGACTTACGATAGAGTGTTTAGTCTGTAGCAAATGAATAAATTACTATAGAAATTAACTACTAGAACCCAGAAGGATTCTTTTCCAGGATACCTCGGTTAGTCAACTCAGAGAAAGTATGTCATGCTATCTGAATCTGTCAGTGCGTACCGTAAAGGTCCCATCCACAGACACGTGGTGCACAGAGACAAAACTAGTGTAACCAGATTTAATGATAAATCGCAAATGCCTGGCTTCTGTTTCTGGGAACTAGAAAAAACGAAAACTGATGTTTAGATACACCTTACTGCTACTTAATGTACCAGTTACAATGCTTGTCAAAAGTCTTGGTACACTACGCTAAAATTCCGTATAAGTGCAGTAGCATCCACCCCCCTCCTTGAAATAATGTTGAAGAACAACAATCAGAAAACTTAAAATCCATTAAATGTAACTCTACTAGCTAGTTTAAGTAGCAGAAGTCTCAAACAAAATTTTTCAGGGGGGGGGGGGGAGAAGAGGATTCTCAAAAAACGATATTTCTGTATCTTTCGGCCAGAAACTTTCATTTCATTAGAATATTTCATTGGCCGCAGGGTGTTCCAAGAATTTTTGGCAAGGATTAGCTTGCATTACAGCATCACAACGTGTCATTAACTTGATCAGATTAATGGGCGTGGTCAATAATACTCTCCGTACTCTTAGGGGTTCCGAATAAGCGACCCCAACTTTTTTCGAAGAAATTTCCAACCCCACCGCTCTTTTAGGAAAGAGCCCTTCAAAAAAGGTGAACAACTGAGATTGAGTTTACCTAGATAAGGAATGAGAACCAGGGACGCCGGAGCGGGGGGGCATGAGGGGGGCAGCGCCCCCTTGCCTTTCACCAGGAGGGGAAGAGGGGGCAAATGTGCCCTTTTTAAGAAAATTACAATTTTAAATACAGTCATTTTTTAGTTAATAATTTAACGTTAACAACAATTACAAAAGGCTTTTATGCTTCTATTACTCTTTTTTGCTCAAAATAATAGATGATTACAAAACAAATGTTAGAATTAACGAAAGCATTATAACGTTGAAAATTACTTCCGTAAAATTATCGTAGGCCTCCCACTACTAATTACTGTAACCAAAGAATAGAGAAAAACCTATTGCTATTGTCACATGCTTTCACTCTCTCCCAAAGTTAAAGTTCAAATCCCTTCAAATGTTAAAGTTCAAATGAAATAAAAGAATGGAATAATTTCTTTTTCCACGATGCCAAGAGCGGATAGAAGGGTAACCTTTACGGCGGACATAAGCGCCGATCTAACCACTTAAGATGCCCTTCCTAAATTTTGGCCCCCTTGCCCTTTAACAGTTTCTAGGTTAGTAGCCCATTCTAGCAGATCTTTGATAGTAAGCTTTAGTAAGAAGTGTGCTTCATTGGGCTGAATTAGCATTCACTTGTCTATTTTTCGTATGTGTCAAATTTCCTTTAAGATGTTCGAGAAGTGCAGCCCGTGCCGAGTGGCGATTCACTCTTGATATGCGTACGAGATTTGGCTTAAAACAAAAGGATTTCTGGGGATTTTCAGATAAAACAATAAGATCTTCACAAAAGGTGTACGAGATTTTCTTTGAGTGATTTGCCCCTCGGCCCGTGCTCTATTGCGGTCAGATAGATTACACCAAATTTCCACCAAAACATATGAAAATTTATGAAAACATCAACAAACAGTTATATTCATGAAATAGATCATTTTTCGGATATCATTTTGTATAAATATGGGCAACATTGGGGGCGCACGTGGACGGCTGCGACCTTGCTCGCGAAAATTTATCAGTTTCCAATATTATGCTAATGTTTTGCCCTTTTTCTTTGTGCTTTGTTTTACGTGCCCTGCTGCTCTTCGGGGTCTCTTGAGGTTGCTATGTTTAAATAGCAAGCCATAATTAACGTTCTGCTGGGGGTGGGGCAAGTTGCCTACACAGAGACATTATTCAAGACACTTACTTATGAATTATCTCTTACGAGTCATGACAAAGGAACAGTTACGCATAACCTTTACGTTACGTTCATAAAAAGCAACCATTTTAAATAATCAAAGCATGTCATCCGCATAACCAACCTGTGACTGAAATTCAGCTTTTTCAAAGGGGGATGAGTTTCCCTTTTTCAACTTATCAGTTAGAAATAGAGCACTTTCGAGATGAAAGACACATCGAAACCCCACAACACCCCATAATTTCCGTCGCTATAACTAACGTATTTTAAATAATATCGACTCACATTGAAACTGTGCTGTTGTAATGACCCATTTGTTGCCGGTAGAGCTAGAAAGGAAAATATAATCACAGTTATCGAGCAAATTGTATTTTCAATCGAAATAATATTAAAGTTAATATTTAAAGGTCTTGTCAAAGCATTCACTTGGGCAGGTCAAGACGATTCTCGTTTTCATTACAACCTCTCACAGAATTGTCATAGTTTGCTGACTGCTGACAGTTATTGACAAGGAACACCTAGCATCAATGAAAGACAACGTCTATAAACAACAGTACTTACTTTTTTCTGCTAGAGGCTGAAAGTCATTAACATTGTCAAACTCAGTCTTCTCAATCATGATATCTTTAACTACAAGAAAAAATATAGCACTGATACAAACTATTTTGCCACCATATGTAATTATGATAGTTCCTATTCTTTAAAAGTTTAGTACAATAGTACAATGAGATTTCAAATACTAGGCAACCTAAAAGTCAAATTTCAGTAGAAGAAGACAGATCTCCACAAAACATACTTCATGCCTGATGATTCAAACATACAAGTATTTTTTTATATATTGGAAGAAAGAATTGTAAAATCTGATCCAGTTTAAACAAGAAAAAAATATAAATGCAAATTAGACTTAATGGTTGTTTCAAATAGATCTTCACTTCAGATATGATTTAAAAGAATTCCAAATTAAACTTAGAAATTAATAGAAATAAAACAATATTGAAATAAATAATGTCAAAAAATTTGACTGTTCAACAGAAATTTTCAATACCATCAGAACACTCTAATTTCAACCCATTGATCTTTGCATTAGATTCGAATTGAATAATAAACTCATGTGGAAACAGGCCAGTTGAGCACCAAAAGGTTGACAGGTACCTGTAATTGAAATCCTCTGTATAAAAACAAATCAAATCATACACAAAACATAATAACTGGTCATTTTTAAATGTAATTCATTGTAATTCAGGCTATGATTCATTCAATGGAAAGAAGAAATACAAAAAAAATTGGCATTATTTGTTTTCAAATTTTATTCAAGATTGCTACCAAACAAATGAAACATTTTACTGTCAACAATTCAAGGGATTTGCTCTGCTCTTGGCCCTTATCAAGTCTAAGAGGTGTCATAGAGTAAAGCATAGGCAATGAAGTACTATAGAAATGACTAATTATAATGGCTTACATGGCACTAATTATGGCTAATTATGGTTCAAGTAGCATGAACACTGATAGTAAATTACAAAAATATATTGTCCCGGGCCCTCAGTATCCGAACTAAAGGTAACTTAAGTCTGTTATGCCACTGGTTGTACTTACAATATAAATGACACTGAGTGAGCTAGAAAAGTATACCATATATTTTGATTTGGCAAATTTTTCAATAAGGCATTTATTGTTGAAGAAACATTTCTCACCAAAAAACACATTAAAATTTGTTCCACATAGTTATACTATAACAGATATAACACAATATAATTCAGGATATATTTTAAATTTATATTGAGAAAAATAAATGATGACATAAAGATATATCTCAATAATATTTTAGCAACAATATGAGCACCTTTGTCTAACAATAATTTAAAATTTCATTTCAAATCTTGAGCCACTCCTTGGGAAATGGCTTCATAAAAGCATATTTTGAGATGGCTTGCAGTTTTTGGTTTAGGATATACAGGTGATGGTGTTACCTCATGATGTAGCAATAAATATCTTAGTTTCTTTGAAACATTTCAGAAAGATATCAAGGCACCTGACTGTTTAGGAATTTCTAAAATAAACCGAGCTTGAGTCTTTCATGTATCATATGACCAAACTTTTACATCCCCTCAAGTACCTTGTTGTGAAGCTCTGAATAGTACATGTTTGAAAGGAGGCAGCCATGTACATTATCTGAAAAATTGTCTTCTCATGCAGTTCCTGATCAGCTTCATTTGTTTCAGCTAACCTGCACAAGTTTTCTTAAGGTGTGAAATGTGACTCTTCTGCGAGAGTGTTTGATCAATCTGCATGCTAAGTTATATAATCTCCTTCACAATTTCAACCTGTCGATTATGCTGAATACCAATTTTTAAACATGATGGTGGTTGATGAACTGTTAGTTTGACCAAATATGATGAATATATCTTTTCAGGATTTGCCTTCAATTCATTTGCAGAGAACCGCTCAAGCATCAGACATACATATATCATCTTTCAACATTTCAGCTTTGAAACTGTAGTGCATCTGTAGATTATCAGCAGGTCCAAGTTTGAAACATTGAATGAAATTTTATTTAAGCATGGCTAAAATATAAAGGCTGAATAATGTAGGTCTCAGAACCAGGGCAGGATTAAGCCTGTGGGAGGCCCCCCTTTCCAGCTTCATCCATTAATCATCCGTAAAATCATCCTGTAAGGTCACTTTGAGTTAGGAAATGCTAAGAAACTCTTCTTTTCAATTGGTTTCAGTTTAGAAAAGGAGCGAATAAAAACAGGCAGATGATTAGACAGAAGATACAATATTCTCATTTATGAATATTCTCGTTTTAAAATGTTGGTGCCTCAAAACCTTCATTCTGTGACTGACTAAATATACAAATGTGTTTTAATGATGTGTGTCTGGTAATGGCTAGTCTTCCATAAATTATTGGTGGGAGGCCTCCTCTAGGTGGGTGGCCCAGGGCCTGGGCCTTTGCCTGGGCCCTTTAGACCCCTGCCTTTATCCAGCGGTGCTCAGAACATATCCTTGTGGTACACTTTAGGGGACCTAATCAACACTTTTTGAAGCACAATGGGTGATCATTTGTATCGAACTTGTTGCTAAGATCCTAGCTATTTTGAGTGTAGTTATCTTTTCATTCATATTTCAAAGAACATTACCAGTAGAATTTCAAAAACTCACAGCAAACTATCATCCCAATTTTTCCTATTTTAATCATTTTTATCCTCAAAATAAAAATTACGATGAAATCAAAATTATTATAAGGTAAGATTATTATTTTAAAAATAAAAGAAAAAACGTATTATCTGCAGCTAGAAAATCATTATAGAGCTTCTAATGCAGAAAAGTATTGATTTTGACAGTTTGCATAAGTATATATTTCATCCCGTGATCAATTCCTGGTAAATTGCTAACTGAGAAAATTAATTGGCGTAATGACGGTTAATATACAAACCCATCTATCATGTTTACTGGAGGATGTTGTTCATCTCTTGATGTCGAAGAAATAACACGGCATCCAGAGCCGTATGAAGCGACGTCCATCATATTGCCAACAAGTCTATTTGCATAGCTCGATTCTCCAAGTCCACTTTTGAATTACTTCCTCCAGTCTCACTTTGGCAAAGAGGCGACCGACACGCAAAGTTTGTCTCCTAAAGGATTTGCAATCAAGCTGGAGCATTTAAAGATTAAAAAGGAAAATTAACTCAGAAGTAAGATTAATACCGTTTTCGCCCATCACTCTAAGTTGTTGATTTCCAGAAAAAGTTGCATTAGATTGTTGGTTACAATCTAATACGATGAAACAGCCTAGTTGTTTTGTGACTTCACCAAGAAAGATGAGACCCACGCTATGCCAAAATCTTAAATACCCCTAGATTAACCAGGGGAATGAAAACGCCACGAAACACACATCTTACCCTAGTTATACAAATCAATTTCACAGGAGGCTGAAAGACTCCCTGCATTGCCCATAAACCAGTAGAGCAGATACAAGCAAAAAGCGAGGAAGCGTGGCACAAGAAAACATAACGAAATAGTAATAACAACAATCTCATGCAATTTAGTTAAAGCTCAAAAGCCCCTCGTGAAATTAACTCTGATTAAATTTCATTTATTCATCATTTAGATTGTTGGTTCAACAAATCCAAGCAAAAAATATACCTAGCAAGCACTTTCACTAAGGGGGGTGCCAGTCATGCATTTGCTGACAAATTAGGGTGTGGCCTGAATACATCAATTTTTGGATGTTGAATTTTGACGCAATTGATTTTGTTTATCAAAGAGTATGCTCTCGTTAGTCAATCCTCGTTTCGATTTTCGAATAACTGAGGGTACTTTCTTTGATTTTACCCTAGGGCCTAGAAGTCTAGTTTTGAGCAATGTAATACCCTTATTAATTCAAATAGTTCAGCACGTTGAAATATAGCCTTAGTTTGTCCGAGCAGAACTTACTGACAGGACCACCGAGAGGTTTCCGAGGCCATGGAGCAAAACCGAAAGATGACTGCCCTGTCTACAGGCGGAGCGTGCAGGACTTTTTTGCAACCACGCCCTTTAGATTGTCTTAAAATGCATTTCAGAATATTTCTTGCAGGCATTTCTTGCAATCGTTTAGAACGTTTAACTATTTTTAGGAATACCTTTTAAAATGAAATTCATTACTTTATGTGGCCCCCTAGATCTCATGGCCCTGAGGCACTTTGCCCCTTTACTCCTCCCCTTGACGGCCCTGCTTACAAGGGCTTCCAGTAGCTCCAGGATTAACGTACAGAGTTTTTCAATAAACTTTGACCCTTCCCAAACCCCAAACCTTAGGTGGAAATTGGGTGGCCCTGGATTTCGGAAATTGGGTTCTAGACTCCGGCTACTGACAGGGAATCGTTTAAAATTTTTGGGGGACATTTGGCCATCCGTGATACCCATAGCGCTATCTGTAGCTATTTTGAATTGCTGAGGGCTTTTGGGTGATTCTTTTTCGGTCTTATCCTCGTCTTATCCCAACTGTTTGCTTAAGGGGAAGTGCCGCACCCCCTTACCCCTCCCCCCGTGCTAGCGACGGCCCTCAAGCGGTGATAACGTGCTTCGAGAAACTTTGGATTGTTGACGTTGATGAGTACTTTATGTTTCAAATAAAAGAAGAGGCTGCACGGAATAATCCCATGCAAGTGTTATTTCTATATTCTAATTTGAAGCGCTGTCCTCAGTCTTTTACCCTTTTTTAAGCCCCGGCCAAACGACTCGATTTTTTCCTCAACAAGAAACCGAGTCATTTGTCCACCTTGTCGAGCGAGTCAAATTGCGTCGAGTGATGTCGAGTGAAGTTTGATCTTTGTCCAAAAAGGTCGAGTGAAAAAGGTGTTGTCGAATGAAAATCGAATCGTTTGCAGGGGCGGATCCAGTGGGGTGCGAAGGGGGCTCGAGCACCCCTCAGATTTGAGAAAAAACTTTTTGGGGATTAAAGCTTATTCTACCGCAATTTTGTTTATTATTATTTAAACCATTTAAATAATACCGGGAAGTATGCACATCTCCTGAAATTGTTATTTCCGCTTCAATGCCCCGTCTCACAACTGTTCAACATTGTTATTTCAGTCCATGCATTGAAGTGTTATGAAACTCCCCCTGGTTGTCATGTATAGCATTCTACAGACTCGGAAAGCATTGTCTCCTCTTATATCCAGCCACTTAAGGAACCCGTGGCCTGTAAATTATACGAGTTTCTGCACCCGTGGAAGTGAATCTAGCCAATCACGGTGCCAGGTCGAGGGGTTCTAAACTTTGGCGCGAGAACCCATGGATTTCAAAAATCCAAAACATCAAAGAATACCGACAAACCAGGGGGAGTTTCTTCGCTTCAATCTACAGTCAAATGTATAAGTTTCATGACCAGGGGGAGTTGAGCTTGAACAGGGGGAGTTGAGGTTGACCAGGGGGAGTTGAATTATGATACAGCACGCGACGAATGCTTAGGCGCAAATTTGCAATATGTTTTCGTGGATCTTTTGACGATCTTTACCTGATGCTCGATGCTGTAACGGCAGAACTTGTAAACGCTGTGGTTTGTATAACAGAACGGTTTCAAGTTTCAACTCCGTGTTTCATGTCTTATTCATAGACCATGAGGTATGATTTATATTCAGAGGATAAAGCTTGCCCGAGCCCTTGTTATTCTTTTTTTAATCTTCAAGAACTACATAAAAAACATATCAAAAACTTGCCCTTACTATTATTGACCAAAAGGGGTTTCCTTTTTATACCTACTTATATTCCTGCGAATATTTTTTTCTCTAAGAATTTCAAATACATAAAAATACTCAAAACGCCAGGCCCATAGCGAAACGTTCAGGGCCTTCTTTGTTTGGTTTGGCGTCATATGTCGATGCATGCTGTGTTTGAATCCCTGTGTTCAACTTTTGCACTGCACTTCAAGGGCTTCATTCCACCAGCCACGTTATTTTTTTGGTCAAGCTGATCAAGTTCTAATAAATGGCTGCAAAGAGTCAGAAATTAAATTTTGCTTCGAAAATTTGTGGGCTCGGGCCTTTTGCCACTGCGGGCCATCATATCATATTTTACTACAGTTTCTTTACTTTTGTACCCTAAGTGAATATAAGAGGGGCGAGCTGCAAATTGCGTTCAATTGGCATAAAAGCTGAAACCAAAAATTACTATATAAATCAAGGCATCCAGGCTTTTTAGTTTATGGAAGACTTTCATTTCATTATGGCTTATTAGCAGGGGTACGGAGTTTGTGCATAGCAACACCCTGGGTTACCAGCTTACGTTTTAGAACCCCTCAGAATAATTTCTAGATCCGCCCTTGGTTTGGCCACCTTTTCGAGTGAGTCGAGTAAGCGCACGCGCAGTTATCATATCTTATGCTTAGTTATTTTCAAAATTGCTAATTTATTCGAGAGCGGGGCAGCCAAAAGTAGGCAAGGAAGCATAATACTCTGGGGCCTCTAGGTCTAGGGGGGAAACGGGGACCTTTTATAGTGATGAATTCCATTTTATGAATTGTATTAATCAAACGAAACAAAAGTATGCCTAAAAATAGTAATTTGCTCTCTTGAAATAAAATATTTAGTGACTGTTACTGCATGCAATGAACGAAAAGGGTCTTATGACGCTAGAGTTCGCCAAGATTATATCAACAGCTTGAGCTGCTTTGCGTCTCTTTGTCTTCATTTTGTTGGCATGAGTGAAAAGTCGAGTAAAAATCAAGCGAAAAATCGATTCGTTTGGCCAAGGCCTTAGTTAGTATCTTTGCTACTGTATTAATCATAATCACCATCAAGAAAAAGATCGCAGTTTCATTAGCAATAAATATTACTCGTAATGAATAACTGAAACAAGAAGGTGACCGAACACTCGAATGGTCAATAAAACGAAATAATCTACTGACAATTCAAGTTTTAATAGCGACTGAAAAGGAGCTAAAACTTGCAGTTTAAATATTCTATACTCTTGGGCGGAGTACACTGACTTCCCGGGGGTGTGCCTGCCAGCAGGTTGTCATTTTTGGTTTAAAATTCTAGGCCAGGATTATACCTTTTGTTTCTTTTTCCCAGCGCAGGTATACCAGTTGTCAATGTAATGTTGTCAGGTATCAAAGTCGTTCCAGGATAGAGTCATGAAATGCGAGGGGTGAATCACTCTTAAAAATGGCGTACGAGATTAATAATCGCTAGTGATTGATTTTTGATTGAATCAATTTTGTGTGTGATTAATTTGATTTTTATTGATTAAAGTGATTAATTTTCGATCAATTTGTGATTAATCATAGATTACAAAATGCTCTCAAATAATTTTATGCGCAATAAACATCGTTTGAACGCATGACAGTAAACTAATTCATAAGCTAAATCAAACAACAATATTTCATAAATTAAATGCCAACCTATCATGTCAGTTTAGCAAGATTTTGAAACATACTTGATGAAACTGAAAAAGAAAAATTAGAAGTTCAGCACAGGAATGGATCCAGAAAAGATTTGCAAAAGAAAAAAAGGTGCGCAAGTTTGATAACATTGACAACTAAAAACAAGAGTTATCTTTTCTGAAGAGCAGCACAAGCAAAATATTAAATCAATGTGATAGGTTTTCTTCTTCATGGATGTAGGCAGGGATGGCGCCAGAAAAGAAATGCTGGGGTGGGGGCTGTAATGTCAGAGTGCCGACAGTGAGTGAACCACCAACAAAGATCTAATATAACACCATTTCCGCTGTGGTAATTCCAGTTCAAAAAATGAAAAAAATTGAAAAAAATAAACAATGAAAAAAAAAATAAAAAAAATCACGAAGTGGAAGTTATAAAAGTGCCGACATTGCTTAAAAATTTTCAAAAATTGAAGGACCACCGGTGCCGCCATCCCTGGATGTAAGGATGACAATAGCCTGAAATGAAAAACAGTGAAAAGTTGTTGAACACCTTGTAAAAGACATCAAGGCAAATGCATGTGCTCTGTTGTGTGGGCCGTCTACTTTCGCCAAAAGAATTTGAATGTGCATCAAAAAGCTATCTTTTCTGACCATTAGCTTTAGGAACATGGATGCAAATAGCTTTGAATGAAAAAAAACAGTGAACAATTGTTGAACACCTTGTAAAAGACATCAAAGCAAATACATCTGCTCTGTTGTGTGGGCCGTCTACTTTCGCCAAAAGAATTTGAATGTGCATCAAAAAGCTATCTTTTCTGACCATTAGCATTAGGAACATGGATGCAAATAGCCTGGAATGAAAAAAAAACAGTGAACAATTGTTGAACACCTTGTAAAAGACATCAAAGCAAATACATGTGCTCTGATCCCTGCCCATCGCAAGTAATATCGCTATTGGAAAATGAAACTGTCATTCCTGAAATTTTACCGATAGAAAAAATTACAAGTTCCGGAAATATGGAACTTGATTATCAAGCCTTATTTGGGGGAAAATACAAAAATATGAGATAAATCATTTCCCTTAAATGTAACAGTTGCAACTGCAACAGCCGAAGCTGTTTGAATCCGCCCATGCAGTGAGAAATGACTGCTATCAGGCGTGGTTTTCGGTCAGATCAACTTCAGTGGCATTTGGGCAACAAAAACAGCAATGGTTGTTTCAGTGACCCCGGTATCATAACGAGGCCTTTATTTTTGCTACATCGCAGGGTACCTAGAAAATCTTGTTGTTCTTTTGTTAATGTTCTCAAGCGTCTGTTTGCAGATTTTGGGATGTGTTCATGAAATGTTTGTAAAAGTGTGAAAGAGACATTCTGAATTTTGCATTTTTAAATAACATATGCGGATAGATGTGGTCAAAGATTCTAATATATATTTATATTTAATTAATTTCTGTGATTAATGTTAAATTTTGTGATTAATTTGATTTTTTCAATAATGTGATTAATTTGTGATTAAAGTGTGATTATCCTCGAGAGCGTACGTGATTTTAAGCAGCGATTTGCCCCTCGACGAAATGTTTTCTGACACGCACAGCACATACCCTTCATTTTTATCCAAAGTGAATCCCCGGATGGAAATCTGGAAACCAATTCAGAAAACAAGTTAAAGGGCAAACTTGCAAAGAAGTTGCTGGACAAATGGAATGAAGACTGAGATAATTCAATAGTTGGGAAGAAGAAATGAAAGATGAGTATGAAATGGAATAGTCAATTCGAATGGAAACATATGAATAGATTTGCAAAAACGATGTATAAAGCAATAGAAATGTGAATGAATTGATTGAAAGGACTTGAGAAGGAGCTGTACATTGACTAAAAAAGAGAGAATGGATACACTCGCTTCTTTTAATTCAAAGGCAGAACCAGCCAATTGAGGCTCTGGTGGCTTTATTAATTTGTGATTAATTTGTGATTATTTAGAAATTGAATCATAGATTCAAAAGTGCTCTCAAATAATTTCATGCGCAATAAAAGTCGTTTGAACATGTGACGGTAAACAAATTTATAGGCTAAATTAAATGACAATCTATCATGCCAGTTTGGCAAAGATTTTCCAACATATTGATTCAGAGAAAAATTTGATTGTTGAAGATTTATAAAAGAAGGTGCAAAGGTTTAAAAACATTGAAAAAACAGAGTTATGTTTTATGAACAGCAGCATAAGCAAAATTTTAAATCAATATGATATATGATGGGTTTTCTACATCGTGGATGCAAAATCAATTTCTCATTATCAGCATCAAGCACATATTTACAAAGATGACGATTTTCAGTTGGGTAAGACATTGGAAGATCTAGCTGGCATTATTTTGCTTCAATTAAAGGTTGATTCGCACGTCATTGTTCTTTTTAAGAGTTTCAGAAGATTCACCAAAGAGAAAACAATAGAGGTTTTCTTGAAATCTTTAGTTATGATTATTAAAATCTCCCTTGCCCCCCCACTTTTCAACCTGCGTCGGAGCCCATGGACTTATATATTTATTTGCTTAGTGAGGCTTTGGTGACGCGCAACAATTTCTGAAACATAATCAAATATGGTCCACACAAGAAGGGTCGAAGGCAATGGATTCGACCTGCTATAACAGGATCATATGCATACCCTGAAAAAGAGCTTTCAGGTTTAAAGATCTGGTGTCACAATAGTATGTGCACTCTGTGTAAAGCACTGTTTATTTGAGACAAAACTACAAATCTACCAAATCGACGCTATCTTAAAATCAAGACTGCTTTTCCAAATGTTGACCTTTCTAAGAAGTTGCATAATTATATATCTGTCATTGCATTTCCTGTGACAGAGTTCAACAGTTCCATTAGTGTTTTCAAGATTTTTCTGTCATTGAGAAAGAAATTAAGCTTTTTTGGTGGATGCAGAAGAAGTTGAAGAAATCACTGCGATGAATCTCTTAAGAGCCTAAATCAGCTTCTCTCCCTCTCTAACTTCTATAAGAACTTGGTTAATGTATGTATGTATGGATGTGAAATAATCTTTAATGTGAATTACAAACTAAGTTGGTTCACAAATTAAAAGTACAAATAATCTAAATATAACCTAAATATCAATGAAAAATAGTGAAATGTTAAATAGTATATGCTACATACTGTTCAAGTGACTTTTGAAAGCCCCTTAGAATATATAAGCATCACCGACTGGCATTTTCTGTTTTAGGTCCGTGATTATCTGTAACGTTCATAAACATTTCTGAAAGTTATGATGAAGCAGCACCTATAAAGGCTTTAAAAACGAGGGTTCAAATGTTGAACACAATCCGCTGTTTGGGAAAACAACACATTGCTGTAGTTTCAAGAGTGTATCGATTTGGCCAGCACTATGATTATACAGGACTGGCGAGCAATAATCCAAGTGACTGAGGACAAGCAGGACAAGAGAGTTGGCAAGGAGGATCAAACTACCCTCCGGCACGAAAGGTTTAGCGCGTCTTATTATTTGGAGGCCATGATTAATTTTTCTACAGGTATCCTTGAAATGTAAAGAGTAGTCCAAGTGTTGCTCTAATGAGAACCCAAGACGCTTGATCCCAAGTGTCCTTTCGAATGATGGGAAAAGGGCTACTGTGGGAGGGCCCGTGTGGCAGGATAGATGTTTGGGATCACTGTTTGGGAATTAATAAGGCTTGGTAGATCATTTACATATAATAAGAACAGAAGTGGTCCGATAATGGAGCCCTGAGGAAAACCTTTTCTCTCCTAGATCTGATATACAGAAAGATGGGTTGCCATACAACTATCAAATTTTCTACTGAACATCCTTCAGTCAAAAAACAACTTCTTCATTGGCCCTCGCAAATAAAACTTTTGACAACTTGCGTTTCTGTGGTTAGGTTGTTCATGGAACCGAGGCTGCAATGTAGGAGGGGGAAGGAAGGTCACAACATTGCTGTACTGTGTGATCTCAAAAAGCTTGCACGCATAAAATCACCTTATGCAAGATATGGATTCTGTTCTAATTGGGAATCTTGTGGAATGTAGCAAGAAACAGAGTATGCAGCCATGGCCGTTGTGTTCTTTCGACGAAGACTTCATTCTCGTCTCAGAATTCTCCGAACTGGTTGGACCTCGACCTGTTGCGACTATCCCAGAGGATGGTGGAGCAAGTTTCAACAAGAATACATTCACAGTGAGAATTATGTCTGTGGACTGCACGTCAACTGTATCTGCTGAACCCGACTCGCATTGTGTTAGCTCGTTCAAGACTGTTGGTGACACGCAGGTTGTCCTTGTTGAACCCTCTGAAGGTGCTGTGGCCTATGTTCACCATTTCACATTATACGACATCAATGCTCGTGGATACGTACGACCCTTCTGTATGGCCTATGTAACAAATCAACACAATAAAATAATGAAGCATTTTCGCGAATTTCGTGACCAATTTTCAAGAATTTCTGCTTATTTTAAGTATGGTAATGCAATCCAGTTTTTAGAAGATTTACAAACTAGACTTGAGTACCTGAATTACACAAAAAGAAAGCTCTCAGAGAATTTAAATGGTAAGCCAATTGGCACAGTCTATGAACTGCCACGTGATATGAAAGGTTTCAAGTTTGAAGACCTTGAAGCATACGAACGGGATACAGTTGAGCTGAAGAAAATCACAAAATCATACCTCAATGGTGACATCTTTGAAGAGCAAAAAGAGCATTTTGGTGAAGCTTTGAGGGAAGTTATAGAAAAGGTAGGTGAAACTTTGTACATATGATTTTTCAACATATTTATGGTATCATTTGAATATTTACTTCATTCAAAGTTGTAAAAATTGATCAATGTTTTATGCTTTTGCAGCTTTTGGCAAAACTTCTAACTTGCATGCCAGGTTGGAAAACATGTATGATTTTGCAGACGCATCAGTGTGACCAACAGCAAATTTTCAGCTGCAACCTGCAAGTGGAAGCATTTGAGCTGCAAGCAATGATGCCCACATATACATTACTATAGTGTAATATATAAATTCCATATACAGATCACTATAGTATAATATTTTGGGTCACTAGATGTCAAGGTGCGAACACAAGGAGTCTAGCGTCGTTGCAAGCATATGCAAGTTTTCCAACCTGGCTTGCATGTTTTTCAGGAGCATCTCATAACTAACAAACATAAAAGAATTTGCAAGGGTCTGTAAAATGCTTGTAGCCTATATGACAGTATTTTGTTAAGTTCTACTAAATCTCAAAACAGAGATGATATGTTGATTCCTAAAAACCTCTTATTAATTCATTTTGCAATAAATTTGATGTTTCCTCTATTTGCAACAAATATTAAAATAGCAAAACCAAAATGTTTCAAGCATCTTTAAAGCCAGGGACATGCTAACTTTTTCAACATGAGGACCAAATTTACAACATTTCATACCATATAGCAGCAGGTGAGGCCAGGAAGGGTGGAGCATAATTTGATAACATCATTCATTGAAAAACTATCAGAGAATATTAACATTGTACTGCAACATTTCTGGTTCAACAGGTTATTTTGCCGGATAAGATGTTTCTTTCTGTCTCCTGATTTTATCAAATTTGAACTAGAATTAGAAGAGAACATGATTTTCCACATATGTTCTTTGTGTCTCAACCATTGAATTTAGGTCTGTCCTTTAATAGCAATGGAGCTATTCTCATTCTAGTGATTTTTGTGTTACATCTAAACTTGCAGTTTCAAGTTTTTGAAGTACGTCTGTTAATGATGCTATTGTAAGTCCTCAAATCGGCAGCTTATTTCACAAAAAATTAGTATGGGATCTATTCGAGGGGGAGGGGGCTTGTTTGAAGGTAGGGGCTTGTTTGAAGGTGGGGGCTTTTTTAGCAGCAGCCAAAATATTGCTAGGAGGGTAAATTTTCTTCCTCTCTTTGAGGCTGGTCAGTATGCTTAAAAATTCTGATAATAAGGCAAAACCTAAGCCCATGGGGGCTTATTTCACAAAAAATTACTTTAGGGTAGCAGCTTATTCCAGGGTAGGGGCTTATTCAATGAATTACCGTAATGCTTTGCTATGATATGAATATTCTATTCTTGGCAGATGTCAGCCCAAAAATATGTTAGTCCCCTGGCCCTGGAATTGGTTGATCAGTCACTGCTGGATAGACCACAAATTCCTGAAGTTTACTTCTAAGAGCTAAAGAAGGAAATTACTTAATGTATTGCTTTTTTAAAATCAAGTCTTAAAACTTTAATATACACGATTTTGATTTACTCCAGGTGGAAGCTTCTAGCAAAAGCATTTTAAAAATTCTGTAGCCATTAGAGCAAATAAATTTTTGTGGCATCTCCAGTTTTATTTATTGGCAATGCAATCATCTTTTTGTTGTTTTGTATGTTTGAGCAATAGAAGACAAAGCAATGCCAAACAGTTTCACTCCTTGTTGTTTTTGTGAAAGCTTGCATTCGATGGTAGATAATCTAGGACATAAAAGTTGAAAAAGCAATTGCATGCAAGATCTCATGTTTAGTCCTCAGTGGTTGTATATTTTTAGCCTGCCCAGACCCCCAGCACAAAAAACTCATCTCCATTGTGTGTCTTTTGCACAATTCGGTTCAATTGTTTGTTGTTATGGTCACAATATAAATTAGACTAGTAGCATAATGATGAATAAACTAAGATGAATCAAAATGAGTTTCAAATCCAGTGCTCTAATGTTTTTAGACACTTAATCTTGAAGTGGTTATTACCTATATCAAAATTTGATTACAGAGATAATCTATTCTCTGAAATAGCAAAACTTGTTTATATTTGATAGATCAAAGTCATTGCAGAGGTTTTTATAGAAGATCTTTATATAAACAGGACTCTATTCAAGTGCGAGCAGACGATGATTTGTTCATATTTCGCCATTTTTAAGATAAGCTAGAGTCTGACCTGCAGTATTCAGGATATCAGAAAAACTTTTTTAGTAATATCATATCATAAAAGTAATTTGAACTGAAATTACAACTATCAAAGCCTACTTTGCCAATTTTGCTTTCGATATTTAAGTGAAATTTGCAGATCTTTAGGATAACTGCATAACCTCCTTTTGAATCAGTTAGATAATGCATTTTCCTTGCAGGCCTCAGGCTACTTTGATGTTGTTGATAGTTCTACTGTTCTTGAAAATCTTGATGAAAGATTTGGCTCATTGGAACCCCGTTCTATTGGTATTTCTTCTGGAAGGAAATTTGACATCCAGCTACGTTGCCTGCGCGAACTTTGCAGTTATTGCAAAGAGGAAGCTTTTGGCTTACTGAGAAATGCTCATTTTTTCTTTGGTAGCATTGGACTCTTATCAGACGCTACATATTCCTTGAATAACGAAACAGACGGTTATACAAGGCGAGAAAATCCTTCAAAAATATATTCAAAACAAGGCTATTCACAAGCTTGTAATGTATCAAGGGAGTTCTTTTTAAGTGCAACAAGCAAGGTCCATGCAGCCCAAAAACATATTTCCCAAGGTTCACTTCCGCTGAGCACAATGTCATCTCTTGGTGTCAGTTCTGTATGGACTATTTCAAGCGGGCCTTCAAGAAGTGGAAGTTATGAAATGATAAAAACGAGTCATGGTTCTTCTGATGATGAATATGTGTCGGTTAAGGACACTGACTCTGTGCCTTCTGTACCTACATCTATTGTTTCGATCAGTTCTACGGGCCTTGCTGACTACCAGTCTCCCATTACTGCAACTACAGCTACAGTTCCAAGTGAATGCTTTCCTGGTACAGCTAAGCGTGTTTCCAGTGATACTTTTTTATTAAAGAGTTCTTTATCACTAAACGACTCCACAAAAGCCACAAATAGAGCCGACGAAACTGATTCTGGAGTTGCTTTTAGCTCTGGCCACGTTAGCTGGAGGGACGAGGAATTACCTTTAGACCATATTGCAAATGGAAATTTAGTACCAGCTGCTAGACAGACAAGCATCGAATCAAGCAAGAGCACCTCATCTAGAGGATCGAAATCTGTAACTGAGGTATTGAAAGGAAGTCCAACAAAATCAAGGACATTAAGCAAAGTTAGTATTGACAGCTCATCGAGCAAAGAGTCTACGCCATCTCCATCACTATTTTTTCATACCCCTTCACAAGGATCTGATAGTATGGATTCAATTTCCCTATTGAGTCTAAGGAGCTACTACAAATTTTTACCACATTTGATATATTCATTAATGATTGGGAGGCCAGTCATCATAATGGCAGACAGGGGACACAAGTCTTTCGTGCATTCAATCGTTGTAGCTCTGCTTCCGTGTGTTCCTGGGTATCCGAAGAATAAAAACTCTGTTATCATGTGGACTAAAGGACCTATACTTATCAGTAACCTAGCAACAGTCAAGCTAGTAGGACTAGCAAAAACACGCTCTTCAGATCAGGTTCCAAGGTCCATTGCACCCTATGTTACAGTTCTGGATTTTGATAAATCAGTACTAACCGCGCCACCATATCGAGGCAAATACTTACTGGGCTGTTTCGACGAAAAGAAGGAGTGGCCCTCGGAGGCGGTATTTCGAGATTATTTACACTATGCCCAACTCGAGCTAAGTGGCCAGGCGCATATGGTTTTCTCCTGGCTGTTCTCAGACCCAACAAGAAAACAGACCACCTTGGGCACCAAGGCAACAACAGCTACAACTCCCGTTATGAAAGTGGATGCTAAAAGCGTTATAATGTCTAAATTTGCAGCTGATGACGTGAAAATCATCCTGTTTCTAGTCGAGATCCTGAAAAGTCATTTGCTGGGAAGTTACTTCAAGTCAATATGCAGCGAAGATGACGAAGAAGAGCACAGTGGTGCAGCTTTCGCGTGCATTGATCCCGCTGCAAAACTTTCTCGAAGTGAAACGCCAAGCGTGAGGCTAAACATTTTAAAATCTCAGGTTTTTACAAATAGCTCGGATTCCAGAAAAAAGTAGCAATACGGGCTTATTAGCAAAGGACTCTGTTTTGCATCTTTTTATTGGTTAAACACTAGTGTGCCCGTCACTAAATTGAGATTTACTTTAATGTTTTTTCTAAATCAGAAGCTTTTCCGATCCGAATACTGGAAGTGCAGTTTCTATTACCTTCCGAACTTCACTCTCACCTTCCCTTGCCTTTTCTCCCCCCTCCTAAGAATTCAGCCCTCTTTAGAAACCCAGAGGTTGCCGTGAAAGAATTATTTTCTCAAAAGTTTTTCTTTTTTGCGTGGTTTTTTTGTCGCCTGACATCATTTAGGAGGCTTGAATGGAACCCCATTTAAAAGTCGCTTTCTTCTGTAATGCCACTGTAGTCGCTTGAGTTGTATCAGGTATTGTGCACTCCTTAAGTTTGCGAATAATAATTGGCTAACACAACACAATCTATTGTCAGCAAGAAGAATAGGAAGAAAGTTTGAAAAATCTAGCCATATTTGTATGTTTTAAGACTTTTCTCAACTTTTTGCGTAAATTTATTGAATTTAGAGAAAAGCTTTGTATTTGATTTTGAGGAATGGTAACACATTTGAAAAAATTTTTAATAAAATAACAGAATCTTACGTCACGTAAAAATTCTGTCCGCAACTGCAGATTCTTGAGCTATAACATTCTTGCAATAATCTGAGCGATATAAATATTAGAAAATTTTTTAAATAAATTGTGTATGTAGATAAATGGTATCTGTTTCTAGTCTTATGTTCGCTAAACAAGTTTTATAAGTGATAATGATTTTGATGTTTATTCGGGATTTTCTGACATGAACATGAACATTTGGCCAAAGATCGTAAATTTTGGCTTAAGCCATCTTTCAATCAATAATTTTTCAGTGAAATCATGCTAACTGATTGGTCAATTCCTGATTGAAAGGTGGTCCCCTTTATTACCTGTCGATTGCCTTTAACGATGCTAAGGAATTAATTAGGTTCTGTTTACAACTGTAAGTGATTGGTTCCAGTGTATTGATTACGAGATGTTTGGGTGTGAATGCGTCTCTTCGTATTTCTACTGATCGCTTTAAGGTACTATCCCCCCCTGAACACAAATATTGGGAGATTCAACTTTGTTGATGCAAAATCTTTGAGTATACCATGAATGAAACTTTATCATGTCACAGAGACCAAAATGGTAGCTTAAATGTTACCATGGCAACCATATCAAGCCCGAAAAGTGTAAAAATTGTGCCGCACTAAAACAATTTTCAAACAAAAACGACAAAACCTAAAGACCTGAAATTTTTTGTGATGATCAATTACACTTAGAGGAACAGAATGAACCTCAGCCATCACTGTGTCTGTAATAAAAATATGATTTTTCATTATTTTTTATTTTCGATGAAATTTTTCAGCAGAAAATATCTCATAAACATGTAAGCTTTGCTCACAGGCTCTTAAGACTGCTTCATACTATTCTGCTAACAAAGATAAATGTACCCTGAAAATTTCAACTCTCTGGTATATGTAGTTTTGAAATTAAAATTGTTAGGAGTACTGAAAGACGAGTTTTTAGAAAACGCATTTAAAGATAAGTCTTAACGTCAAAGTTAAAAAATGTCACTAAAACTCCCCAGCACCATAACTGTCTCCTTCCTTCTGTGTATCCTTGTCATTTCTTGACTTTCTTCTGCTTCTCAGCTTCTTTCTGGATAATTTTGTACTTTTCTTTACCTGATACTCAGCAGCATAAATGCGACTGACATCCAACTCATGGCACAGTTTATCAGTAAAGAAACCTCGTGGCAATCCCAATCTTTCCAAAACCAGACAAGTTGCTATGGACCCCTCATTGAAATGAGCAACAGCATCATAGACCCCAAGCTCAAAAACATCTCTGCCAACATATGTAGACTTAGGAATTCTGTCCCAAATTACACGATTAAAAGACTCATTCTGATTTTGGGTCTTTCCATGAAGACACTTTTTCAGCAAGCTTTCTTGACTCAAACGTGCAAACACAGGTTTCATTTCTGCAACCACTTTTAATGGCAGTCCAGGTCCTGGCTTAAATTTCTTGGTCTTTTCAGCAATATCCACCTTGAAACCACACCATGAATCTTTCCCATCTGGACAGTAACTGTGATAATTGTTTTCCTTTGATGATGCAGAATGGAAGAGTGTTGCTAATATTGCTTTTTTCATCGATTCCAAATTACCAACATTGCTTCTAATAGCTATTCCGTAATAATTTTGAATTTTATCAATAATTTTTTTTGTTAATTTGCCTTTTCCCCCCAACTCTCTTTTTTCCTTTTTCAATTTCCTCAATGCAGTACCCATCCTTTTTTGAACATGTCCAATGCACTCCAACTTTTCTACCTTCTTTCCAACTGACTCGTAAACATCTTTTACAGAAAGATAGCTTTTGCTGTCACCATCTCCATAAAACTTTGTGTAGTGAAGGCCGTGCTTTTCAATGGATCTGCTAAACATACGCACTGCACCTTCAGGTTCCATTGCTGGTGCAGACCCCCTGTAGCTTGCTTTACATCCAATATGCTTCTCCTTAAAATCCTGGTACTCTTTGGAACTCTTGTCAAGCTTACTCTGCAATTGGCATTGCTTACAGTGCCTCGACATGGGCTCAACATCCAAAACCTTTCCGTTGTCTATTGAAAGAGCCGCAACACAACCATTTAGCGAAACAAAACCCCTTTTTTGCCAGCATCCATCTACAGAAACCCCACAATCAGCACTGTTTTCACCAATTTGTGTCTTTTTTACTTCTTCTCCTGCTTGCTTCATACTGTCATTAGCAACATCATATACCGCTGACAGAAGTGTCTTGTTCAATTTGCTGAAATTGTTCTTGGTAGGCAAAGTAGGGATATTCATAACTGCACAGAATTTTTTAGCACCTGAGTAACCAATCCCTATGCTGCGCATGCCATATACAAGGCGCTTGTTTACTTCAAATGCTCCATTTATTTGCTTTGAGGTGAAAAAAATATGTGACCATTCACACTCTTTGCAAACTAGCATCAGCCGACTGGCACAACCATTCTTTCTTGGCAAGTCATCATCAAGGCTCAGTGACTGTGTCATACAGTCAGGACAAACCAACATGTCAAAAACGCCTGAAAGAATGCCAATGTCAAAAAAGCGATACCCTGTTGCTAGTTTTTCAGGTTGCTCAACATGCTTGACCCTCCTAGCACCAAAAAGTTTCTTAAAAGAAACAGACTTTCCAGCTAGTGGGGTGGACACAAGTGTATCGGCGTCAGGATGTTGCGTTGACGAATGACTAGGCCCAGCAACTGGTGAACAATCTTGCTGTAGGACAGTCAATAAATTCCTCTTTGGTGGTCGACCTGCACGCTTACGTTTAAAGCTACTTTCATTTTTAACAATCACATGTTGATTTCCACAAAAGGATCTTTTTGTTCGTTTTTTAGTTGAGTTCTTTCCCATTTCGAAAAATATTTTCGGTAACAAGTTTGGTTTCACGATGGTTTCACTAAGTTAAAAGCTTTCAAAGAGAGGCTGATCGCCTCTATTGGGTGTTTTAAAGATGGCAGGCCTTATCAATGTTACTTTGAAGAAAAAGTAACCTTTGGGACGCTCTAGGAGCAGTGTAATGAGCTTTAAAGATGGATATTTCGTTGCTAAGGGCGTTTCTAAGGAGATTTTTTGAAAATTTCAAACACCTGGTTCTAAAAAAAGGCGAAATTTCCTAGCTATATCACAAAATTTATCAAAGTCTATATACCATCTTGAAGATGAATAATTTAACTTTTAGATCCTCTAGGAAAAAATTTTCAGATAGAAATTTTTTTTCTTCAAAAACAGAGGGGGCTAGTACCTTAAATAAAACGAGAGAGAATAGCTCCAAAAGAACCACGATTCTCTCCTCCTGTTTATTGACAGTCATATACAGCAGTTTAGTTTGTGATCATCAAGGAAAAACCACTGTAGCGACCACACAACTCTTGAACTTCCCGCCAGGGCTTCGAGTGATAATTCGCATCTGCAATGACCCTGAAACGGGGGTTAGTGCATGTCTGGAAGACAGGTATGATTCATCTCCCGAACAAATGAGGATCCATTGATAAATCTGGGACATCTTCTAAATAGACTTCCTCCTCGTGGATAAAGATGGAGGCTCAATAAGGGGGAGGGGCTTAATAGAGAGGAAGCTTGAGAGAGATGGGGGCTTAATAGAGCGATTACAGTATTGTATCAACATGTTAGAGAACATGAGGTTTTAATATTGAAGAAAGTAAGACTTTATAGATTATAGTGACTAATGCAAGGAAGGTAGGTAAGCTTTTAAAAGTTTGCGTACTTACAACCCCCTTCTCCACATAAATTGTCTTAAAATGAAATTTAAGGTAAAAATCCGGTCTGCGGAAGGAACCATTTAGGTAGTTTAGAAACCTTCACGTCTTACAATTAATTAAGAGTCAAGCGATGCTAGTTTCTCCGTCGATTACATATGATATCCTCTCCCCCTCCCCTTCCCCCCGATGTAAACAAAACTAAGCGTTAATGATTTCAAGATTTTATGTAACGCTAAATCCAAATAGACTGACTTTCTTGGGTAAATGTATACCTGGTGACCAATTTGACTTTTCGGAAGAAGCGTCATCTGCACTTCAAAATGTCTAGAAATTTTCCAATATAGAACATTCCAATATTCCATGGTGGGAATATAGGGGTCAGGTGGTGAAAGGGAGAAAATGGTGAGAAAATGTCTAAACGGAAATGCATGTTCAAACTTTCAAGATTATTTTACGATCAACGAACGCGATTTGAGGATTCAGAACAAAAATATTCCTAAGACATTTTATAGGTTTTGAATAAATTGTAAGAATATCTCTACTTATTTACTTAATTATTCATTTATTTATGTTCCCTTTGTTAGGACTAAAAGGACACGTGTCGATAGCAGTTTTTATTAACTAAAATGTACAAAAATTTGACAACAAGTGCTCTAAAAGTATCTTCATGTGAGAAATTGTGATAAATTCGCACAGATAAATTTTGTCACGCCGGAAATTTTGTCATATCTTTGTCCAAAAGTTTGTCACGCCGAAAATATTTGTACTTAACGTAGGCTGCGCCTCTAGTTTTAGGCTTGATTTGAGATGCCTCCCGTTTTTCGAATGAGCTTTTCTCCTTTCCTCGACTGATGACAATACAAATACATGTTGTTCAAATTGTTGGGAAAATGATTTAGAAAATATAAATTCAATTTTCTGTGATATTTGCACAACTTGGATACATTTGAGGTGTTCAGGCCTCCAATATAATTCAATATAATATGAAGATGTTTTTTATTACAATTGCTTGTTTTTAGCGAATATTAATTTAATGAAATGACGTCGTTGTATATTACAAGTTAAAAATATTTTCAATGTTTCAAGCATAACTTTTCATCAGGTAAAAAAGAATAGGAGGAGTAAGGGCGCCGGAGCCACGGGGGCAAGAAAGTGCTCTTTTCAAGAAATTAACTTCCGAGCAATTTTAGTTTATATAAATATTTCGAATACTAATAAAATCTAGGTTTGAAGCATCTGTTGATACCTACATGCAAGATAAAAATCAATTTTTTCAGTTTTGATGAGAACTTAAAACCAATTTTCAAAGCAATTTGACCAGCAAAAATATTTTCATTGATAAGTTCTCTTTAACTTTCATGATTAGGCTGAACAGATTTCAGATTGCTGACACGTATCCCCCTTTTGTCCAAAATTCAGTTTACCTGCCTCATTGCAGCTCACCGAGTTCTTTTTGCCAACTGTATAGCCAAAAAGTGCCCTTGGATTGCTCAGGTGCTATACGAAATGAGCAAAGGGAGCCTTTTTGGGCGATGATCTAAATGTTTCTTTTCGATCTGCTTTTAGAAACATCAAAAAACAAGCTCACAACAAGGGTTACCGAAAGGTCGTGGTGATGGAAAATTGTCCATTGGCCTTAAGGTTTAGGGCGCTCTCAAAGTTTCCAGTTTTTGAAAGTGATAAGTAAGACATAACAAAGAAAAAGCTACAGAACAATGATCTTTAATTGAAATACGTATGCAACATCAGTTATATTTGATTCAATTATATTTAGCATTGGTAATTTAGATTAGTTGGCTTTGTTTTGCTTGAATATAGCTGCAAATTGTACCAACATTAAGAAAAAAGCAGTAAGTTCAGAGGAATTATATCCAAAAGTTATATCAAGCCATGTAAATGGTCGTCAAAACAAAATTTTGTTTTAATGTAAGGAGAGGTTGGGTCCAGCCTTCCTTGATGGTTGATGTTGGGGTAAAAGGAATTTCGAGAATGAAGTTTGACTGTAGTCTTGATTTAATTATTTTTTGATGAGTGTTGCCTTCATTTCTGAGAGTCTTCAGGGCGTGGCAATGCAAAATTTTTCTAGGTGCTACGCACCCAGAACACCGACCTGGTCTCCCATGACAGGGCTTTCACCTACAACCAGGCTTCGTCACTGGCTAAACGACAGTTCGCGATCTGTTTCATCAGCAGACCTTGACACCCCAAGGTGCCCTTTCTGCCGGTCCTGCCCCCGTCGCATCACGAAGCTTCTGGCGCCTTTGAGTAACTGTTAAAAAGAGAATAAAAGAGTAGAATTGAAATATTTATCATGTGGAATGCAGTAGTAGCACGATACAGACAGAAGTGTAGCGAGGGGGGGCAAGGGGGTGGCCCAGAAAGTTAGTGTCTGAGAAAAGTGCAAGTCTGCAATAAAACAAGTACCTAAGGGGGGGGGGGGGTTGATATTTCAGACAAAATCGAAACGTTTAAAAAACTGCAAGCAAACGACTGTAAGAATATTCTGAAATGCATTTTAAGCTAATCTAACAGGCGTGGTCACAAAAATTTTCTCCTCGCTTCGCTCGCAGGGGACCCTCCTCTATACCTCTTCAAAATGTTTTACAATTTTTCCTCGTTTTAGGGCAAAAAACTCCTTCACGTTCTTTAGACATTCCCGATAAAATAGAAACTTAAATGCTAGAGCACTTCAATCCTTAAAAACTGGATTCTAAAATGCTTGTCGGGGGTTTTGCAGGTTTTGCTCCAAGGAGAAACAGATTTTTTTGAAACTTTCAAATACTGTGTATTTTTTAAGTTATTTGCTTACCTATTTTGGAAAATCAGTTTTACCCGTAGAGTTTCCTCGACTTACACAATTCAGAATATAATTGTGAAGGAAAGAGAGAGTTGCAGAATGGGGTCAGCCACGAAAAGCTACCTATGACGGTTAATGTGTTTGATGAGCCATCCATTATAGCCATCAGTGGCGGACTGGCTACCCTTTAACCCACCGGGAAAAGCAAGCAAAAGGGCGTCAATAGATTTTAAAGTTGCTTATTTTTGGGGCTTGTAAAACGGGCCCGGAAAATTTTTGCCATATTTCATCCCTAAAATCCTTTGCAATTGAAAACACCCTATTTAGAATGTCGGAACAATTGGCATTGGCATGAAGAAGACTCTCTGTCAAATTGACTGTATTTGAAATGTCTACACGACTGGTTAAATTTGTAGGTATCAAGTGACGTATTGTTCTCAATTTTATGTATGAAATGATGTTATCAAATGATAGATTTTGAAAGTTGGACTAAAACTCAAACTCAAACCGGTTTTCATTTAGCGAGACACTCTCTTCCAAGACTTTATAAAGAAAGCAGCTTCTCTGGCCTAGGAGACGAGATTATTTTCGATAAAACTCGATCTCAAAATCTTTAAAAATTTGACGAAATATATGACTTCGTTCTCATCAAACGGTAACAAAAAATTTTTTTAAAGTTTTGCAGCATAACATTGAGAAATGTAAAAGGGTGCCTCAGCACCTGCTAGCCTAATGACTATGTTGCTCCTGCCTCCACGCTACAGTTACATGTCATTTACTAAAGATATGATTCCAGTTCATCAGCGTGCGATATTATGATCAGGTATTGAACATGTGCTCAAAACCGTAGTTTTGTCTGAAAGATATCTGATAACATATCTTGGACAAATGGATTTTAAGAGATCTTGCTGCCATCCTTTTTGCGCAAATTGGTGATTTTGCAGATTGATAGGCTCCCTCTCTATGAGAAACTGTGCGTAGAAATGGTAAAAGGATAAAGAATTTCTTAAGAAAAGGCACAGTTCCTTCCTGGGACAAAAATTTGAAAAAAAGATTGGAAAACTTTTATAGCTAGTTGTAAATTTGAAACCAGTTTTTTTTCAAAACAGCAGGTTTAACTTTCCATTAAGTTTTCTAGAAGGTTTTTACATGAGGGTATCAATCCTCAGCAAATTCTGTATAATTTTTTTTAAAAGATGGTCAAGATTTTGGACTTCAAGTTAGTGATATTTTCTTTTGGTACAAAACTCCTGGTTTTAACGTACAAAAACAGGATGCCTATGAGTTGTTCGTTTAATTGCAAAACATAATAGCTTGCCACGGACAGGAAGTATTGTCCTCTATCATTCTTAGAGCAGTTTTCATTATCAAGGGATAGTTGATGGCCCAAAGAAAAAAGCACTACATATTCAAGAGAGACAACACAAACAAATGTACATATTACTGCAATATTTGAAAACCCCCCTTCTCCCTAAACAACTATTTTAACAACCTTTAGCAAATAGCCAAAATAACCGAAATAGCCATAACGTTTATGTAAATCCCCCCTCCCCATCTTTGATTACATACTATGTGAACTTTCCCATACCCAATAGCCAACACATCGATAGTTGATTAGAAAAAACACATGGTAGTGCTCAGCTAATTTTTTTTCAAAGCGCGAGCCCTCAGTTATTGGATAACAGACACTAGGATTAATTTGCATTAGCCATAAGTCAAAAAACTAATATGGTTAGTCAGAAGTCATTGGTTTCACAAAATTAATTGGCAAATAGTCTGCTGGTTAGCTAGTGAAAATCCTTACTACCCCCTCAACCAGGGGCGGCGGGGAGCAATAATAAATTGCTATTAATCGCGAGCGAAGCGAGTGAACAACGTGGGTCCGGGGGCCACGCCCTTTAAAAGGGCGGAAACGCCCATCCTTTACAAGAGGGATACAGATATAAAGTTATCACTGCTCCTAAATGATGGTCTATTTTCCAAAACTACGCTCGTTTCTGAAAAATCCACAAAAATTTCTATTAAGATACGAAATATTTTGAAAAAAAGAAAACATTTCGTCTAAGCTCAAACATTATTGTTGTTTTTATTTTATTTTTACAACAAACGTGTATCGCAAATTGATCATTTTTTCAAGCACATCTATGAAAAAAATTGCAGTTATTTTCTTGAAAATCGTTCGAGCCGTCGCTGATTGCTCTCTCTGAACCTGCTAACAACATTCTGATAAAATGTTGGTTGCTTTGCCAATGATCGCAATGTACCATGCTCAACTTGTAAGAAAACAAGGTGTTCCTTTCTTTCTTGCAGCATTCTTGATCTCGATTCTGAAATCACTCTTTTCATACGGCTGAACACTCTTTCGCAGTGTACGCTTGTGAGTGGGGTCACTGCTGCAACTTCCAGGAGAACCATTGCCTGCGGAAGAGCATCTGCAAGGTCCGTGCTATGTATTACAGTGAGCAGGTCTTGCATACTCAATGTTTCTCCGTGTGCAATGTCTCCCTCAAGACCCGTACTTTCTCTAATTTCAAATTCGTCAATTTCTTCCACGTCTATCACCTCTTCCATCACCTGGTCACCAGAGCTACTTTCCTCGCGATGGCTTGCTTTATTACTTCTGTGCCTTGCTCTCCTTTGCTTCATGGCTCTGTTCCTTTCGTTCGCACATTTACGAAGAAGCAGCGAGATCTCATGGTTATTGTATAAAACTTCCAAATTGTGTTCCACTGAATTTATGTCATGAACGGCAAATGGGTACAAATCTCCGAATTCTCTGATGAGCTCTTTTATCTCATTAGGAGGCCTTTTGACATTCTCTGCAAACTTGGCGGGGTGAATCAGATCCATCCACTTGAATTTTTTGAGGTTCTCGAATCTCCATGAAATCTGCCCTGAAAACTCGATGCATACTTTTGATGCCACAATCGACAGCTTCTCTTTCCAAGCATCTTCGGATCCATTATTGTGCGTTTCCCTTCCTCTCCATCCTGCTCTGGCTCGTTCTACGGGGAAACTTGGGTCCGCATCGAGTGTAATTTGCCAAATGTCTTCAAAGCTTAGTGCAGCAAGAAAACGTTGGAAGTCGTCGAGCATAGATCTCAGCTGAACAGCATCCAATGTTGGCTTCTGCATAACGGTGATAATTGGCGTGCAATGCTCAAAGATCTTCCTGTACAACTTCAGTAAACATAGAAAGTCAACATTTTGGATGTTGGCAAGAAGACCTCTGGCTGTCGTTTGGGTGTCGACTTTCTCTCTCCCATTCGAAGACATCTGGTATAAGACTGTGCCGATTGTCTCGTAGCACGAATCGATTGCAGTAATGGCTGTGTCTCGAGAAAGCCACCTTGTATCACCAGGCTTTGGAAGATTATATCCAAGGTATCGCGTTCGCTTGGGACTGCTTCGGAAAAACGTTATCAGCTTGTCTAATATTCCAAAGAATTTAGCCACTTCTGGGATTTTCATCGATGACTGCGACGCACAAAGTGACATCCTGTGTGCAACGCAATGGTTGTAGTAGGCAAGTGGAAAGTAATCTCGCATTCTCTTTTGCACACCATTGAGCTCGCCACTCATTGTCGCCGCACCATCATATGATTGTCCAATCAGCTTTCTCTTTCCTGTCTCAGGAGTAACATTGTAGCTCCCTAATATTTTTATCATGATCTTTGTAAGCCCATCAGCAGATTGATCGTCAGATGCATCTGTGAGGCCAAGCAAATGTTCTTCGACATTCCCATCATGAATAAGTCTCACTGAAACAGCCGACTGCTCCGTGTTGCTCAAGTCACTGGTGTCATCCATCATTACGGATAAACATCTGGAAGCACTTACTCGATTTCGAATTTCATTCTGGACTTCTTGGAAAATGCATTTGATCAATTCGTTTTGTGGGTCGTGGGAGGTGTAACTTATCCGTTCCTTGTCTAGGAAAACTCGCAACTCTTGACTGTAGTTCCCTAACAAGTCCATCAATTCAATGAAATTTCCCCTGTTTGGAGAGAATTTGTCTTCAGAATGCCCCCGGAAAGCGAGTCCTTGGGCAGACAAGTAGACTGCAACATCAATATGGTGCTTCATCATCTTTGAATATCTTGATGCATTTTCATTATGTCTCAGAATTTCTCTCTGTCTTGCTTCATCAAGTGCACTGGCCACATCCACATTCCCTAAAAGCTTGTACGAAGCGTGACATGTCATGTGACTTTTTGATTCTTGGTGCCTGTTAGCAACATTCGACAAATTCCTGCCATCAGATGCAAATCCAGTTGGTTGCACGAAGCAAGCCTTCATCTGAAATAAATTATGTGAATAAATTGATAAAAATTCTTCTATTATCACCCACATTTTTATAAAAGTTACAGTGGAGTTGCAACCTTGTTTTTTATATTTAGCTCGATTTTAGCATCAAACTGCTCTTAATTTCAAATAGTTGTTTGTAGAAATCGAGGAGCGTATCACCTTCGTACACCTTTGGCAAAAATACTAATGTTTTAAAAAATCTCGGACGCCTTTTGGGAAGAGTGATACACCCCTTGGTATCTTGGTAGTAATGGAAACAATTACAGCAAATGTAGTCTTTACCTAAACGCCTAAACGATAGTTAACTATGCCTAAACCTAAACATTAAGTTATAGATGGTCAGTTTCGTAAACTTGAGCATAAGTAATACTAAAATGGCTTCTTGTAGGGACTATGACAGGGACATCTGATCAATCGGTGTCTTGTGAATAAGTGTGTTCATGAAAATGCCACAATTCCTTGCGTTTGTAAAAGGTGGCTACATATGCAGGGCTGTTTAGACTACCGCGGCTCTCCGCCGCTCGTTAAAAGCCCTGCTATTCATCTTCAATTTGTAATAGCAAAGCCGCTATAAACGAGACTTTCCGACGAGAGAAAATAGTAAATAGAAAATAGTAATCTTCTTACCTTCAAATGATCTCCCATGACTAAACATGGCCAGCAGAAATATGTATTCTTCTCTGAATCACCACATATCCAAGAAAAACCTCTATACACAGCTTCACACGAACGACTTTTAACTTTAACATCGGGGCATGGGCGTCCGTCTTTTTTAAGACGAAGGCGCTGTTCATGAGTTAATTTACCTCCTTGCATAGATATGAGGGAAAAGACAGTTGAAACACCCCATCGTACACCACCTGACGCTACTTGATTCATTTTGTATCTGAAAAGGTCTCTACTCTCTTCCCAACGTTTATCGAACTGACGATTTGTATGCGTGATCGCGTGTGAGCTCTTGCTATTCATTCCAAGAATTTAATAGCAAGGCTGTCAGATATGCGTATTTCACAATAGCCCGTTGCGTCACACCATAGCCACACTATGGCGCAACTCCTATTAGTTTCCTCCGTTTGCTATTCAGAAGGGCCAAGTAATAGCATGGCCATCGACGGCCACAGCGTGGATCAGAAAGGTATACACGCGGCATTCTTTGAATAGATTAAGTCGGGCAATCGCAATATCAAAAAGCACAGAGGGGTCAAATAAATCAAGGAATGAAGGAACTGGATAAGGAAATCAAGATCCAGAAAAGATTTTACTCGTATAATTTATGTTACATTAATTTGTCTAATACAAAAGCAGAACATTTCTTTGGAAAAAAATTGCTATTAATGAAATAGCATAAATAGCACTGTCCGCCGCCTCTGCCCTCAACAGAAATTGAATTAATTCAAATATTGTGCACTTGCTTGAAAAAATAACAAGTTAACCAAATAACAAGACGTTTTATACTCTGAGGAGTTTCAGACAAAATATGTATGTTTAAGACTTCTAGTATGTTTAAGAAAATTTCTTTTATGAAGTCATTTTCAAAGCAAAATATGTTCTTTACAAGGTTTTCAGAAAATCTTGCAGAATTTGCAGATTGGGAAACTTTGCTTTCAATCTTAATATTGCTCAACTTAAAGGTGAAGCTAAACTTTTTCTGCAAACGTACTTTGGGCAGTTGATGATTGTAGTCAATTTTAGTTCTCTGCGAAGATTAGTTGCCTTTTGAAAGTTTTCATGGTTTTGCAAAAAATAAATTTGGGCAGAGGGCGCACCGGGAAATTTCCCAGTGTCCCGGTGGGCCAGTCTGCTTCTGATAGCCATAGCTTTTCCAAAAACACAACAAAATGGGGCGTTTTCCCAATTTCTTACGGGTTTGATCCGCAAAATTTTTCCCAAGGGTCAACCCCCGGACCTCCTGGTTTCGCGTTCCGCTTAGCTTCTCCAATCTTCCAATCCTGGCTACGCAACTGCATCGAGCACGTCACCACAGACCGGTAAGCAGTAACTTCATAACCCATATTTGTATTTACTTTCCATGTCTTTTGCAAATCAATAAAAACTGGTACTGAAGCGTTCATTTCTTCCGGTCGTATATAAATCAACAGGCATTTTTGAAAAGGGTTGTTTGATAAAGGAGATCAGGATGAAAAAATAAAGTTCAAAATAAGTTGTAGAATTAAATAAGATAATCAGGAAGGCGCAGGATTTTGATCGAATTGGTGACTCATAGAACAAACGGATAGTAGAGACCACAACTACTAATATTTCTATGAAGCCAATAAGTATCTAGAAACAAAATTACACTTTTGAGACTTTCTTATCTTTCTCAGCTCTCATTTTCAAAGAGAGCTGTTGGGGTGCTCTTTGGCAGAAAGCTCTTCAACTTTTCAGTTTCCGTGTCGGAAACTATGTTTCGAGTCGAGGGGAGAGTATCAATAGAGCGGCCAAATTTACCAAAAGAAGTTTGACACCTGACCCTCAACTGTTAAATCAATAACTCTACATCCACCTCGTGTTAGCTGTAGCGAGCAAATCCCGGCCCTCACGAAAGTATGCACATGTACGTGTGCAGTCATTATTCAAATTTGAACTGGCTGTCTTAGCTCGAAATTTTATGCTGTAATCCGTACCAAAGTTCGTGCAACCAGCGCACCGACTGTCCACTACATTGCATAATGCATGGTACAGACTCTCAGTCGAAGAATTAGAATAGAACAACAAGTTTAGCCTGGTCTACATGTACGTGCGCATAGACTGTTTTGAAAGACAGCATCTACGCAGCCCACATATTTACTAGAGGTGACAAATGTCATTCTGTTGAAGGAGCTGTTTTTCTGGGAGAATCTTTGAGGATCAGTTTCCATCCGAAAAACAAAAATGATTAATTTCCGCGTAAAATGAATTCAAACATTCCATGAAACATAAAGTAACCCAAATCTTCTTCTTTTTCTATTACCATATCATTTTGTGCTGCGACTCCTCGATCCTCTCCATCCCGCCCAGGGGTTCAGAGGGGCTGAGCCCCCCTTGTTAATGCCACAAATTGGCAAATTTCTACTTTTGCTATTGTTTTTCACAACATTTTGTGCAAGAGCTCCCACTTGTTATTTTAGTAGCACTACACCACTGATTCCGCCGTCTCCTGCATTGTCCTTGGAAAGTGTAAATGTTTGCACCAATGCCTTGCAATGTTCGTACTTGGTCCTCCTTCCGAACTAGTAAAGTGAATGCCATCTCCTGACATACATTTCAGGTTTTCCTGATATACTTACTGAAATGCTTCATTGAAAAAAAACAATTCAAGTTGATGGGAAATGCAGGGGGCAGGGGAAAGTTGGCATTATTTTACGGGTTTTTGCTGTAGAATTGATGTTTAAATCGAGAGGTATACTGCCAAGACTGAAACTTTAGAGAATGACGATTTGTGCGAGCGGCTATACTTTCTTCCCATTTCCATAATGTAACAACCCAAGGCTAAACTTTAATCAAACTGCTAACATAATCAACGACGGTTCTCCGCGAACTCTAATACTTATAACAATATCCCAAAATATATAACAACAAACGAGGTACAGCGAAGTCTTTCTCAAGCACTGCCTGTCCTAAATACAAACTGGGCTGCAAGAGCTTTCACAAGCCTCTTGGGCGCTACGATTAGCTTCGCTGTACCCTCTGAATCTCTCTCCGAATCTCACTAAATCTAACTAAGTACGTATATTTATATGTACAAGGAAGTGCTGTGTAAGCGAAGACAGAACATTCAAGACGCAAGAGGGATTTCCTAAAAATCTACATAATATTGTACAAAATAGCTGCGTAAACAAAACAAAGTGTAATTGGTCAATAAAATAATGCTTAGGCTGGCATTATTTTAGCTCTATTACATTGCTCTTTTTGTCACTCTGGCGACGTATGAAATGGTAATTAGTGAATGCAATGGCGGCGCCAGCCACTGCGGAGTGGTAGGGTAATGGGTGTGGCCATATATACCACGCCCCTTCTGCCACGTTTCAATGTTTTGTGCAAGGTGATTTTTCCTTTGGCTAAAATATGATATACCCCTACCTAGTGCTTTTTGATAAATTTTTAGAAAAAATATGCGAAACATATTTTGAAAAAGTGGGGGGGGGGGGGTGTTAGAACACAGGGTTCCCATTCATTGCAGGACATCACATGACAATTGCATCATTGCGCTGCAATTGCATCAGCTTCTGTGAATTGTATTATTCTTAGGGTATATAAGGGGTGGCTTTAAAGTTAGGTTCAGTCTTGCCGTAAGCTTTGTCGAACTCAGTGTACCTTGTCGCTAGCTTGTAGAATTGTGTTTGCCGTTACATTGTCGCCGTTAGCCGTTTAAGATATTTTTAGTCGTTTGCCGTGAACTGATGAATTAGAAGAAGTGTATAGAGAATTGGATAACAGTTTTTGCCGTATTTATCGTGTACGTTTCTGCGAACGACCTACGAACTCACATTTGTAAAACCCCCTTTTTAAGTGGTTTTACATTGGTTACCCCGTGTGAGGACAGCCGAGCCGAAGGAACAGAAGATGAGCACTTATCGATACCTTCGAACCACAGACGACCAGCCGATTTGCAATTACTGCAAAAGAGTGGGACACGTGGTCAAATATTGCAGAAGACGCCCGTTGAAGCAGCAACCATTGCAAGGAAAAGCTTCTGTGCCTGTGAATGCAAAAATGGGCCCAGTTTTTGAAGCCGAAATTCGGACGAGAATGACAACCCAAACCACAACTGAACCCTTCGTTGCTCTGTGCAAGTTGTTCCGCATGTTAGAAGACATAACAAAGGAGCTTGCTAACTCGATGAAAGAGCAATTGGGCCAAACAATAGCGTTCGACGAGGCAGAAATTTTCAAAACGCCCCTGACAACGATATTCAAAGAAATGACGTCAATCACCGATATACTGTTAGCCCCATCACATCTGTGCAGATCATCATCACCATTATTCTCATTACCAAAAACGAAAGAGTTGCAAGGCATGTTGTATAAATGCGAAGAAGAAACGTCACAAGAAGACCAAGCCAGGAGGCTTGTTTTCAAAGGAGGGGGCTATGTTAGAACACAGGGTTCCCATTCATTGCAGGACATCACATGACAATTGCATCATTGCGCTGCAATTGCATCAGCTTCTGTAAATTGTATTATTCTTAGGCAGGGACGTCACTTCACTAATTTTTTGGGGGGGTGTAAACACTATTGCCCTGCAAAATTTTTCCTGTAAAACAAGTATAGATGTACTGTACTTATGCATATATTACATAAGTACATATATTATTTTGAAAAAGCAACACAAACCAACAATCGCAATACAAAAAGTCAATAATTAGTCTACTTTCACACTAATTTACTTAATTGAAATTCTTCTCATTTTTTTCATGCCATACTTTTAATACTTTATCAAGTGGGATAGTGTCTGTTAGGTCTTTCTCACAAGCAAGTAGAATGAGATCATTCAATCGTTCATCTTTCATCCTTGATCGCAGCAAATTTTTAACAATCTTAAGTTTGCTAAAGGTTCGCTCGTCTTTAGCCACAGACACAGGTGCTGTAAGAAGAAGGCTGTAGCATTTGTAAACCGTTGGGAAAAGTCGTCTGTTTTCATATGAAAATTTGGCAGCCTCTTTGACGGAAGTTGGCTGGATCTGTTGCTGTTCAATCATTGACTTAAAAACATCTAGCTCATATTATATAACCCCTGCTTCAATATGAAAGCCTGGTGGGAAAAGCTTTCAAAGATCGTGGACTGTTTCTGGGTTTATCGTTTTGAGTGGTGGCTGCAACGCCATTGCCAATGGCTCAATTTTTTTTAAGCATGCCTTGATATTTTCACCATACTCTGCTATCAGAGAATCGAGAACAACACACATTTCTGTTCTGTAGAAGGAATTAAATTTAAATTCCGCTGATCTTTCTGGACCGTTGTCAATCTTTCTTGGCTGCAACCTGAGTCGATATTTCCACTAAACTCAGCCGCTGAATCTATTCCATGCTGTTTAGCGCACTCGTTTAGAGCATCCAACTCTTCATCCATAGCCTTGTTATCAATGCGAATCTTCTTAAGATTTTCTACTGTTGCTTCAATTAACTTCATCGCATCTAGGATGTTAAGCTCTTCTGCTTGGAGTTGCATCGTCAAAATCTTTGTTTTCTTCATAATTAATCTCATGAACATCAATGCAAAAAGAAAGTCAAATGACAGACACTTTTTCTTTATGTCTTTACCCTTCACTTTTACCCTTCATTTCTGTGCTGTCGTCACTGACAACTTTTTCAATTGCTTTGAGTATGCTTTGTAAACTTCGCCACACTGCTTCTATCGACTCTGAAGAGTAGACCCATATCGTTTTAGACATGTTGCGGAGTTTCAAGGAGTACTCATCAACTTCTTGAACTTCTTTATTGTAAATTTTGTTTCGTTTGGAGCTGGCACTGAAGAAAACATATATATATCTTGAAGATTATCGTATATCGACGTAATTATGGCACTTTGTTTTGCACAATGCTCTTTGAAAGTATTAGATCGATGCCCTTGACATGGAATGTACGTGTCTTTCAAGAATATCTTGTAGAACCCTCTGTGCCCCTGCAATTCTCCCAGAAATATTATTTACGAAATCGTATTTTTGGAAGCAGAGATAATTCACATTAATTTCATTTGCTTCCAGACACTTGAGAATACATTCTGCTGTCTTATCTCCATGTTTGTCATTGCACTCTTTCATTTCCACGACTCTCTTGCGCGCAATTCCATTTTCACCAATATATCTTGCAGCCACAACCATTTGATCCTTATTGCTAACATCGGGTGTTGTATCGGCCGAAACCGACAACATTTTAGCACACTCAATCTCATATTTTATTCTTTCTCTAACATTCTCCCCCCAGATCTCTAAAAGTTCATTTTGTGAACTAGAATCATGTATTTCGTACTGAAAGGCTTCAATCGTTTGCTATCAAGCCATTCTTTCATCTGTAGACAGTGCCTGGACAGAAGATTCACAAACTGGACAAAATTGCCGTTCTGGTCTTCTGCGGAGCCTCTGAAAGCAATTCCTTGCCTTGCCAATGTTCTAGCAATATCAAACAAAATGTTCATTATCGATTTGCATTTTTCTTCGTCAGCCTTCTCCTGAATGATGATGTCCTTCAGATGCCTATTCATTTGAATGTCAATATGTCCTTGTTCGACTGAAAACCTAGCAAAATCAGCCAATGCTGCTTGGTGTGCTTCAGAAGAAAAATGCTGAGCAAGCTTGCCACTTTTCATTTTATGCCATGATGCGATACCGTTTATCCAAGCAGTGTCACTTTTTCTTCGCGAGGGGCACGGAAATAAGAAACTCACTTTACAATACCACAACAAATCGGAAAAACTAACATATGTTTTGGATTTGATAAGAAAGTAAAATGAATTAAGATATTTTGTGAAACTTGATTTCTAATCTCTTTTGCCCTGCGAGAACTACTAATTCCTTCTGCTTTGCCCTGCAAAATGCTGTTTTTCAGGATTGGGGGGGTGAAACACCCCCCCAAACCCCCCCAATAGTTACGTCCCTGTTCTTAGGGTATATAAGGGGTGGCTTTAAAGTTAGGTTCAGTCTTGCCGTAAGCTTTGTCGAACTCAGTGTACCTTGTCGCTAGCTTGTAGAATTGTGTTTGCCGTTACATTGTCGCCGTTAGCCGTTTAAGATATTTTTAGTCGTTTGCCGTGAACTGATGAATTACAAGAAGTGTATAGAGAATTGGATAACAGTTTTTGCCGTATTTATCGTGTACGTTTCTGCGAACGACCTACGAACTCACATTTGTAAAACCCCCTTTTTAAGTGGTTTTACAGGGGTATTACCCCCATATTGGCGCCGCCACTAAGTGAATGCATTAAGTATTGACAATATGTATTCAAGAATTCTGCATATTTGACCGTCGACTTAACAGGGGCACAGAGGTGCAAAGGCCAATTAGGGGATAGTGGCAAAAATTCGAAATGTTCAGCATTCTTTAGTCTGAGACCCAGATACTGTTGCGAGGTATTCTGAAGCTTCGACTGCATAACTTTGGACTTAATTATGGCTTTTGTTTTGAACAATTTTGTCCGAACCTTCCATTTTTGTCAACTTTAATTCACAGTTTTAACTGTGGTTTTCAAACTTTGAAACATATGAACTATGTAAATCAAGTCTACCTGGTAAATAAAGCATGTATTACACTGTTTTCCCCGGGGTCTGGAACACAGGCTATAGCCCCCCGGCCCCTTCTTCTCCACGGAGCATTTAAGCAACATGGCTTATTGAACTGGGAGAACGTATTCAAAGACACATCGTTTTCCTTTCTGATTGTTCAACTCGCTGGATAGGTTCTTATGCTGTTCTTATTTTTGTTGGAATTCAATCATCAATGTTCTGATAAAGTCTATAAAGTGTGTTCTTACAAAGAAAAGACTACGTACACATTCAACACCTTAAGAAAAATGACATTTATTATTGCTATGCCTCTCCCATATTTGGAAAAACTGCTACTATATTTGTTGGTTCATGCAAAAACAGGTCTATCTTTCAAGTTTCACAACAGAAGCAACAAATGTCCTGTGACACACGTTGTGGAAAAAACGCCACACTTTACTCATTTCAGTAGTCTGAACGAACTGCAAGGCCAGAATCAAAACAGGCATCTAAAATGTCTGCCAGTCGCATTCCTCAACTTGGCCTCAAAATACGGCAGTTTGGGCTGCGATTTTCTGGAGCCAAAAGAGTAACATGTGGTCTAGGTTTGTTGGGGTCTCGAGAAGGAAGGAAACTTGGCCTAGCCACCGCTGCACGCTGTTGCTCGTCGTCCAGTTTCAGCATTAAAGAGATTCTTCCACCACAAGATGCGTTTGCCCAAAGACACATTGGCCCAAGAAAGAGCGAGAGGGATGATATGCTCCGTTTCTTGGAGCTTGAGGTGAATTTCTGTTTCCGTAGAGGTGCTGCATATTTTTATTTCAGCAAAACGATCTGCCGCTTCCAATAAATCGACAATGCATTATGCCTCTCTTTGCAACCACCAAGAAACAGTTAGTAGGCAGCAAAAGATGCTTTGGATCCATGCCGAGCTAAATTGTATTTTGAGATATTGTTCTAGATAGTTATGCAAGGTCTGTAATTCATTGTTTGTTAGAAAATGGCCAAATAAATCCATCCAAAAGTACATGCGCAACCCAGCATTATAAGATTCTTTAGTTTTAGATAGGGAACAGAAATGCGTCATTATTTATCCTGCTCTCTCTCTGTAACACATAATCTTTCTCTATCACACAAAGGGTGCCGCCACAGACGTCAAAAGATTGTTGTCACTTTTCTCCCAAAGAATTGTTTGCCAATTTTTTAAAGCCCCGAAACCATCTTCCAAGTCGACATTATGTCCACCTCTCTGTGCGATTACAACAATTTTATAGTATGTTTTATTGGTTCTAATCTAATGCAAGCAATGAAAGAATGGATGCATTAACTGTCTACCATTAATTCCATACTTCTATGACTCCATTAACTGCTTACTTCAATTACTCCTACCATGTAATCTATTTTATGAAAGAAAAGTCTTTATTTGTAGTGCAAATTCAGATACCCTGAAATAGGAAATAAATAGATACAGGCATCATCTATGGAGGAGTACTGGGGGTGTGGCAAAATGGCAGAGCAGGAATTCAAAAGCAGTGTCAAGTTATTGCCATTTTGCTTATGATTGCTGTTTGTTTATATACTTACTATGTAATATATTTTGAGCAATGTCATGCTAAATTTTTAAATTGTTTTAATTTTTTTTTCATGTTAGACTGACACATTAGTTAAAAGACATTGCTTTTATAACTTGAATAAATGTCTTTTGGAATCAGTATAATGTCACATATTATTATTTGAAACTTGTTTTAGTAGCTGTTAATGGTCTAGATACTAATTCATCATGCATTTGTCTTCTACAGAATATCAATGATTTGATAAACTTGACTGTGCCTGAAACAATAAGGCTGCAAAATGAATTGAGTCTTGACAATCCGCTTAGTAAGTAATTCTACACTTTCTAACTAAAATGCATGTACACCCCTCTCCCAAAAGCATTCAAACTGTCGGGCAAAATTTTTGGCCTAATTTTTACAATTGCCATGTTAGTGAAAAAGTAAGATCAAATTTTAGCAGCAAAATAAAGTGATGGCGTCAGGAAATAAGCAGAATAAATATATAAACTAGCAAAAAATTTTTTTTGAGAAAGTTTACTGGGAAAATTTTTCTCAACAGCACAAAAATGTTTATCTTTGGGCACTGGTAAAAACATAAAATATGGATGAAGCTAAGCAAATGGTCATAAAGTTTTTACGTCGCCTTTTATGTTGCCATTTTCCAAGAAAACCTCCTTGAAAGTGCCAGAAAAATTTATAATTACATGAATCAGCCTTTTTTCTTTCATTGAGACAATTCTCCATGTCACACAACTAAGGATGCAAGCCACTTTTCTGCTGCCAACTGAATCCCCACTCTTCCAGGGCCTTCTCAAAGTCCAGGCCCAAAAGTAATTGAAAATGCTATTGGCTTCTTTGGCATTTTATTAAAGATTCAACGAATATAGATCCTCCGAAGACCATGCAGCAATTATTTGATAAAACCTTTGACATTTGTACCATTATTCTTCTCCATTTCATTGAAAATTTGCAGAGGTCATTTCCTGGCCCGGCCTGTGTTGCCCTTTTGTCTAGGAATACCACCATCGATAATATGAATTATGGACTTGAAATTAAAAAATTGTGTAATTTAAACTTCGTTTTATGATTGCCTGAAATTTTGAAGTGATTCCTAGTGTCATTCTATAAATATAAGCAACTAAATTTTATTTTTGTGTTCACCAACTTGAACCGACACCATTACAACATTGGCTTCCATTCAAATACATTTGGGAGGGGAATTATGAAGCTTACAGAATTTTGAAAGAATATTTTTGGTTTTTATCAAATCCAGCAAAGTTTGCATTGCTATAGCAAGAAACAGTCTTATTAAGATGTTGAATTAATCACAATATAAGATAGACCTACCAAAATGACACATAATTGTAAGAAAATATTATCTGTAATCAAACATATTTATAATTTTAATATTGTTTGTAAATTTGCAAAAAAGTTTGATATCTGGCATTTATGAAATTAAAAGGGCATATGGATTGTGTTAGAGAACAAAAATAAGCTTAAGACTGAGTTTTTGTCCCAAAGCTAGAGACAGGGTATCAAAAATACATTGTGTATTTTCTATCTCTGTGTGCAGGTGAACAAGAATGTCTGGCAAGGCTGAGAGACTTTGGCAGGAAAAACCAGGTGTGGAGATCCTACATAGGAATGGGCTACTATAACTGCATAGTTCCTACAAGTATATTAAGGGATGTTCTGGAGAACAAGGGATGGTAGGCTATTTCAGCTTTTTGAACAAGATTTGTAATCACTCTGAAAGCATTTTGGTGACAGGTGTGTACAATAACATCTAGGGACTAACGGGGGCAGTGACCCCAACCTTTTTTAATATTGGATACCAATCATGCAAAGTTTATAGAGTACTGTCATGCCCAGAAGATCATTTTGCCCCTCTTTTCATGTCAATTTGTGCATGCTGTGCATCTGGAAAATAAAGTATTGGAACAAGAACTTGTGCTTTTGGGTATGGTTTTAGTGTAAAGAAAATTTATGGTTATTTTAAATGTTTCAATTTATAACTTAAGATATTTAAGATATTGTTATATAATTACACTATTAAGTTGTTTAAAGTATGTATACCATTGAGGGCCATTGTTGCCAAAGACCATGCTTGGTAGGTCACTACAAAAAGAGAAAGCATTTTCTGAATATAGGATTTTGTTGCAACTTCTTATCAAAGTTTTCCTGTTCGATCCTCAGGACAACCCAATACACTCCTTACCAACCTGAAATTGCACAAGGACGTCTCGAATGTCTTTTGAACTATCAGACAATGGTGTCAGATTTAACAGCACTTGATATGGCAAATTCATCACTGCTGGATGAAGCAACAGCAGCTGCTGAGGCAATGGCATTGGCCCATCGGTATGAGTTACCAGTTAAAAACTACCATAATTTGACATACCCAGACACAAATACCACAGATCATATGACAGCTGAGGGGTCAAGGGTTTATGGGGGGCTAAATATGCTAAAACCAACAGCAAGCGTTTTTTTGTATGTATGGTTTTAAGTAAATTTTGGCAGAAAAGGGGGGGCTAAAGCCCCCAGCCCTCTGTATCCACGCAGTCCCTGCACAGCCATGCAGAAAGGAACCGGCAAAAGGTTTTTATATACCCATATGCAAATCAAAAGAATTCTTCTTGGAAAAAGTTGATGTTTACTTACCAACTTAATGTTTCAACATGAATTCGAGGATAGTATGTTTGTTTACTTTAACTTGATACACATATCTCTGAACGAACCAGCAGATCATTTGTTCTCTATTCTATTTCTTTGCATCATATTTAACCATCTTTTGCATTGTTCCTGCTCAATGGTTTTATTAATGTTCCTTGTTTTTTTGTGGTTCCTCAGTTATTGAGATTCTCTTTCTGAGAGACTCATTCTCTTCAACATAATTTTTCTTTAAATTTTCTGTTAAAAATTTTGTGCAGTGAAATCTTTTGACAATATAATTTTTACCTGGTTGTGAAAGCGCTTTCTATTCATTGCTGAAATTTTCAATAGATTTAACAAGAAGAGAAAGTTCTATGTTGATCAGAACTGTCATCCACAGACTATTGCACTGGTGAAAACAAGGGCAAGGTATATTTTCTGAATCCATAAGTTCAAGAAAAAGTTTTTCTACCCTCATGTCTTGCAGTAAATCAGACAAAGCTTTTTTGCAACAATAGTTTGAAGTTCTTGGGTATATTTTAGGAACTATGGCATTGTCGTTTGATGTTCACAAACAGTTTATCTATATGTCCAAGTTTTTCTTGTGTTTATTATTGGCTGATAGATCATGGATTAAATATCAGGATGTTTAGTTGAGGAAAATAAGTTTACATAGATCAGCTGTTGATCAGATTTTCATTTTATATCATAAAAGGCTTATACTTTGATTTTTTAATGTATTCTTATCTTCGATTAGTACCTGTTAACAATTCGTTTTAATATTTATTTCTATGAGTATCTTCAATATGATTTTCTGCAATTGTTGATTCAAGGACAACTGGCAAAGGCGTTGAAGTTATTGTTGGTGATTGGAGATCGTTCGATTTCTCAGCAAAAGATATTTCTGGCGTTCTCTTTCAATACCCTGACACAAATGGCCTCCTGGAGGATTTTTCCGACCTCGTTTCTGCTGCCCATGCAGGAAATGTTAGTATTAAGACTAGTTCATATTTGAAAGAATTTCTAACATCACATAAAAATGCAATCAAAGTCTGTAAGGAAATACCCGAGGAAGTAAAGGCTGGAGACAAACTCATTTCCACCCTAAGGATGCTTTTTTGAGGGTGTTTGTTACATTTCACTGCGTTTAAAGTATTGATCCAACTTCGAAAATCCTGAGGCAACAATCTAGAATTCAATGATCACCCATTGTGGCTAAGATCATACTAAAATAGGCACAAAAGAGCTCTTTTATTCTTTTCCTCTGATACAGTTGCCAAAGAAACTAAGATAAGATATTTTCGCATATTTTGCAGGAAACAGTAAAAGCATTTACATTGTATTAAATCTTGATTTCGAAAGATAACTAAACTCTGATTATAATAAAACACTGGTTTGAGTTGCTGTGACAATTTCTAGACTTTGATTGCACTGGAGTTCCATGTAAATTTTTTCAATAAAGTTATCTCAAAGTTATCTCTAAAAACCTGTAGATTTGAATTGCTATCTTTAAAATTCCCTTCTATAGTCTATCTTGAAGGTCTCTTTATATGGTCTAGCTTATCCAAGCCTTTTATAGCATAGCTAGAAATTTAAGAACGTCTTGCAAATGGATTGGGATTGCTGCAATAGCGAGATTGTACTGCTGTATGTTCTTGAAATAATCATGCTTCTACTTAGGTTAAAGCGAAATTTGCAAAAAATATGAAAAATTTTTAACAAAATTTTTGTTAACATCGGTCAGCATGCTCTCTTTTAATGGATATATTCATATCCATATTCATCTTTATCATGATACTCCTTCACTTACAGATTTACTAAAATAAAAAAGTTCGGATAACTACGCTTTTTCTAGTGTTTATGCAAATAACTGATAATTCGTTAATTTTTTTAAGGACAAGAAGAAATTCCTCTAGACGCAAATTAGTTGGCTATGATTGACGTACTTTTTATTTCATTTCTAGAATTTCGTTTGATTTCTGTTTCACGAGAATGTCCTCTTGGCATTTCATCTTTTTGAAAGCTTTCTCGCTACAAACTATGTTTCTTAAGCCATTCTGTAAACAGAAGGAGTTCGTTTTCTCTCTTGGACTCCAGTATTAATTTTTCATTAGGCTCGCGGCACTGATTGGTCAACTATACCGGTCTTGTGCTTGCGTTTTTCTTATTGGCCTATTTCGATCCACAATTGGGTATAAATTTTTAATCGCGTTCTTTCGGACCCTGATTCTGACGTTTTATGCTCTGAGGAGTGTCAGACGAAAAAGCTTTTAGTATGTTGTAAAATGTTTGCTTTTTTTAAAGCCATTTTCAAATTCTGTACCGCAAAAAATTGTCATTCTATAATTTCTTGGTCTACCTCTTTTCTTTGGATATAAGACTTGGAAGTATTTGCAGCTACCTTATTTACTTGAGGTAATTCACCAAAATCTGTGCTAGACAAAACTAACAAAAAGGACAAAACAGTGACTTTTTATACATTTTTCAAATAAAAATGCCTTAATTTGCCTCCATAAACTATTGGATTGGCTAAGTCCCCCTCCTGTCTTCCTTCAGCTGTCGTCCTAGCTTTTGTGTTAATCTTTATCATGCTCTTTGGTCTTAGGCCCTTGCTATCTGTGCAACTGATTTGCTGGCATTAACAATGATAAGACCCCCAGGAGAGTTTGGATGTGACGTAGCAGTTGGCAGCAGTCAGCGTTTTGGAGTGCCATTGGGTTAGAGCCTTTGTTTTTAACTTTTTAAACTTCATGACAGGGGATCTTTTAACACACAAACTAGTGGGGAATTACCCCACCAGGCCCTTACGTTTCCCCACTAGCTGGCCCATGATTCCCCACTAGCAAGTGCTCTTTTGTTGAAAATTGTTTTATAAACCATTACTGCTTGTCATGTCATTGTCTTTGATGTATGTGTCGAATTATGTGTTGCTTCTTTCGTCTCATCGCAAATGTGAATTTCTGACTCTGTTTGATCCTCTTGCACTACACCAAAGCAAGGTAATGAAATTCACGGGAAAATTAACTGTCCTAGAAACAAGCCTGAAGTTGCCTTATTGTCCCGCAAACATGACAAGATCTGAACGCTCGTTATTTTGTGTGTTTTATATGTAACTTTTCGCTGCATGGGAGTAAGGACTGATGTGCAAGACCTTGAAGCTTTTCATACTATACATACTCGTCTCTTTGCTTTTGTTTTTGCCGTCAGTTGCGTCACGTTAAGAAAAATGGCCTTTTATGTGAATTCACACCAGTGAAAATTTCTTAAAAGATCCCCTGCTTCATGGCATCTTGACATGACAGTTATATTTTCATTCTTATATTAGTCTATTTTGTGCAACACTGAAGGCACAAAATGAATTGTTCATACTTGTAATAAAGGCTATTGATAAGTGGCTGGTTTGAAGATGCTTAATGCCGTTTTGACAAAGCTACACTTGCTTTGGTGGGTAAAGTATTTATATGGGTATACTGTTGACTCTAGAGATGCCCTCATAATGTCATCATGCTACCCTATGTCGTGGCTCAGATATAGAGTCGCAAAATGATGACGACCCAAAATCTATAATTTTTCATTTTTGGCCAAAAAGCCTAAAAAAGCATTATGAAATGCCTCTATTTGTTGAAAATCATTTAAAAGTGTTGCAAATAGACTGAAGTATGGCCCCGTGATAATGGACTCTTTCTACTGCAATTTCGTCTTGGTTCTAACTTTATGAACCAAGCAAAAATGGCAGTAATTTATTAAACGCTTGAAATCTTGCATTTGCCACATCACACCCAATTAATAACTGGTTTAACTAATTTATGCACATATAAAGGTATATTTTAATGTTTTTCAGGTCATTTTGGCAGAATTGAAACATTCTAATAAAATATTTTTGAAAACGCCACCTTTTTGCACTTTTAAATATAGATGCTCCATATATTCTTAAAACACGGACTTACGTCCGAATTTTACAGAATCGGCTTCTTTTCTATTGAATATTCAATAAATTCTCATCGCAGGATATGGTGGGCCACATGCAGCTTTTTTTGCGGTTCGGGATAAACTCAAAAGAATGATGCCTGGAAGAGTTATCGGAATCTCAAAGTGAGTCTGCTGTTTAAATCACAAGCTATGTCGATTTATTATTGTTATTATCAACTATTTTCATACTCGATGCACCCTGCATCACTTATTAAAAACTATCAAAAATTGCAACTTAGTACAGTAAACAATGTATTAAAACAACTGGATTAATTGCTGCTCCCCCAAGGGAGGGGGGGGGGCATGTTTTATTAAGCGAACGTTATTATTTATTTAAAATGAGGGATATAATTCCGATCTTTCACAGCCGAGTACTGAAGCCTGAAAATTTTCACTGGGTAAGAATATTGGTAAATTCTCTCAACGATGAAAATCCTCCATCTATTTACATTCACCGAGTTTGTATTGTTTGTCCCAGTTAAGATTTGCATCAACAGTGGCACCTTATGACTTTGCCTTCTGTACACAAGTAAGCTCCGGTTCATTTATCTCCAGTCAATACGATATGAGCAATGCGTTTATCTTGCGGATGTGGCCTATAATCTTGAACTCAGTCTTCTACCGGCTCTTGCCAACTTTGCTTATTCACATCTATTCAGAAAGGTTGAAAAGTTCTTGTTTGGCATTTAACTAGTCTCTCGGCTGTATTCAATGCGATTGTTTTATGTCGGCTATCAGTATAAACAGTAGCCTTGAAATGCTGCACGCCATCTAATTTCAATATGAAGAGGAGTGGACCAAGACAAGAGCCTTGAGAAATGCGACAAGTGATGTCTTTTGTTCCAGATCGATGCCCATTCAAAGATCAGAGCTGTTTCCTTTTATTTAAGTATAAAGGTAAACAGTCTTGTTCTGAGGATTGTGAGACGTGGGCTGCAATGATGAGCTTGAGCTTGGTTTTATCTCATTTTCATAAACATAACAACTATTTAAATTATTAGAGCTATAACTCGAAACTCTGTTGTAAACACCATAACTCGCGAACTCGACTCGATTCAACTCAAAAACTGCCACATCTATCTCGCATTAGCACGAAAACGAGGTTGTGACGTACGCATTATAACAAGTCCCTTCTGGTGCTTCTTATACATCATGCGTTTTGTTTTTTTCACTAGAACTTTGTGATCAGCCGTATCCATCGCTTTCTTTTGGTAAAGAAAGGTGGTTTGATTCAATTTCTGTCTATCGATGTTCCCATAGTAGTAATCAGTTCTTGAGATCAAGAATGTTACTGCAGATTAAAGCTGAACGATTCCTCGAGATGATATTGGTATCTTTGTAAAACACTGACCGTGCAGTATTCTTACAAGCAACCTTGCGTACAATGAAATAGCTGGAATTTGTTGCTCATTATTTACATCTTTTTTGAGCCAGATTTAAGATATGAGGTTATTCTTGCCACTTGCCAAAGATCAGTGAAACACAATAAACTGACGAGAGTTAAAGGTCGTCATTAAAGCAAGGAACAATGTTTAGCGTACATCGGAATAACGATCGATGTAGGCACTAAATAAACCATCCATCGACTTACATGCCTTTTTTAATCCAGCGAGTCCTATTAAACGTTTGGAGAACATGGAGCCCGAGAAGAGACGACGTGCCCATTGTGTGTCTTGATTCATTTGTTCGTTGGCTTCCTTTCGTGGGGTATAATGAATATCCCTTGCAAGCAGCGTCGAGCCTGTTGTTGCGACGATGTCTGGGATGTGATGCGAGGTTTTATGAGTAGGTTTACCAGGTGCTGCCCCGGGGTGCTGCCAAGGATGAATTGAGCGGGCAAATAGCGACACTTGTACCCGAGTGCCGTGTTGTCTTGTAGAGCTCGGTTGTGACAAATCCAGTTGAGTTTGGTTGGGTTGGAAAGCAACGTCGAAGGATGTAGTCTTGGCCATGATTTTTCGATACTTGCTAGCATTTTCGAGCTTGCACATTTAAAAAAAAAATCATTGATTTCTTTCCATTTTCTTTGAATCCCCTGCAATTTCTTTGTTCAATCCATGGCAGTAATTTCTGACAGCAAAGTGCATCTTTTTGGTTACTTGATTACACAGATGCTTGAATGAAGACAAAATTTCGAGTTTACTATTGCTCACCCTATGATTCAGTCCTAACCCTGGTTGGTTTGATTGAAAAGGCTGAAACCTCTCTATCAGCACCTTCACCACCCTTCAAAAGCTTTTTATTATTTATTTAAAGTCTGTTTTTAACTGGATGTCACGTACACTCCAAATACCCAAATCGATCATATCTCAGAAATTTTTTCGTGCCCACCTTTCTCCAAGCAATGTTTATACTTTTTGAATATCATGCAAGTTAGCGATAACCCAATACCTCAATAGAAATCCCCGTTAGTGCTTTAAGACTTTAAGAAATGATTGTAGTTATATGTTTTATTCTTTGTTTATGTTTGCTTTTGTTTCCAGTCAGATATACAATTTTTCCCTATCTTTTCCGCAGGGATTCATCGGGTAACCCTTGTTACCGACTGGCACTGCAAACAAGAGAGCAACACATAAGACGTGACAAGGCTACAAGCAACATATGCACAGCGCAGGTGTGACAAGCTTTATTGTCGGTACTTCAACACGCAATCAATAACAAGGCTGATTTGGATGTTAGGGATAGCATCAAAACCTGCTTAGTTCAAAAACGTGCTCTTTAAGTTCTCTTATTTCAACAGCATTTGCACACGAGTGACTTTCAGGGTAGTTTTGGTAGCGTCCCAATTTGAAATGGCATCTAATTGCTGTTGAGAGAAACTGGTTTTGATTTTCTGTTGAGATTTTGAGTCAAAACGGTAGCTTCTCCTAGCCTTGTTACCAACTTGCTGCTTAACTGCAGGTTTCAGAGAGACAGTTTCTTTTGGTTTGTCAAAGTTAAACTGTGTTTACATATAATAAGTGCATGAACTCTGAACCCCTACACTGGAACTACATCGTCTTAACGGCATTACTTAATCTAGGGAATTGCCTCTTAATATTATAATAACCAAGTATAGTACAGGTGACAATAACATATCATTGGTAGAGCAAATAGAAGGGATGTGAGAATTTCACCAAATATTATTTCCTGTGTCACTATATCATAACAATGCAATAAAATCCACAGATACGTCTTAGATCAAATGCATATATTTATATAATTTTTAAAAGTGACCTACAATTCGTTCTTAAGGACGTCAAGTTCACTGTCGTCTAGTGCAATAGCCATTGGAGAATTTAGAATGCTAAAATCTCAAGGCCTCCTTCTTTTGCTCTATTTACCATTATTATTTCCACTTGTAGGTTGTATTTTATCAAGTACATAAGGCAAACAGTCATAGAAGGCAACCTCTATGTGACTAGAATGGCTAATCGGGGAATTTTTCTATATCTCTGTTACAGGCGTTGCTGGCAAATATGAGTGCACTCTTCGCGATTTACCATGGCCCCAATGGTTTAAAGAATATAGCTACTCGTGTCCATAATGCAGCTTTGATTTTGCACGAAGGTGAGCTTCAATTTGCCCATTTTTAAGGGGCTTATTGCAGTGAAGTAGTATGCTTCTAGTTTGTGAGAAATAGGGGGCATTCTACGAGTGGTCTGAAATTCAGGGTTGCCTTTGAATTGGACAGCACTGGTGGTAAAAAGCAGCTGAATGATAATTATTGGCCCTCCCCACTCCACCAAACAAATGTTTTAATTTACTTGCTCAATTAATGATGGATATATGAAATGCAGTCGTTTTGAATCATTTCCAGGACTCGAAAAAGTTGGGCGTCATGTTGAAGAAGGGCTCTATTTCGACACATTAAAGGTAAGCTCGTCAATATATACATTTGAATTTGTTTTACTGAATGTCTTACAGAACCAAGAGTTTTCTTAAGAGTAGGCTTTACAGGCAAGTGTTAACCAGACCCTCCTAAAAAGTTTTGTGCCTGCGAGCACAAACGGTTTGCAAGAGGTGCCTGCAAGATTTGTTCATATGTAATGCGTAGGATATGAAATTGTTCAAAATAAGAGACTTGGAGTAAGGTTTAATTACGCAAAGACCAGTAAATTTTAAAAGAACTACTTTAACAGAAAATTACTTCAGAATGACGATGGTTTTATCAACAAAAATAATACTATAGATATTAGCTTACGACAAAAAGGGAAAATTTGCAGATACTTTCAGCTTTTTTAATATTTGGACCATTAACAGCAATCACAATTTCCATCTATTGCACGCTCCACCCAGATTGGTAGTTTGTCCTGAGTTTTTTTACACGGAAGCCTTCAATCAATGACTGGTTCAACCGATAGCTTGCTGCAGCAACGCAAACGGAATGAATAATCACAACTAAATATTTGAACATCTTGTTCTTGCTGTTAGGAAAATCTGTTATTCTCGTTTTGCTACATAAATCACTTTAAGAAAGCGGTAAAGCTAAATATTAACATGGTAAAACTTATAGCTGAATTGTTTCTATAAATTCTTAAACAATTGAAAACTTTGAACAAGTCTATCTAAGACCGCTTTTTCAGATGTGCCTGCAGACGTAATTTGATCGGCACGGTTTGCCTGCGAGTGCCGCTCGCGCACTTTAGCGAGGTCTGGTGTTAACGTCGTTGTTTTATTCGTTTAAAGGTTAAAGGTACACCCGAAGATGTGCAAAACATTATAAAACGAGCTAGGGAAAGAAACGTCAACTTGAGAAAGTTTGACAGCGAAACGGTGAGTGGCAAAGTTGTAATTGTCATATTCTGTTCACCAAGAAAGAAATTCGTTGAAAACATAACTATAAAATTTGGTAAGAAGCCTGTCTCTAGAAGCAATGTCATGAGGAAAATGCATGTAATTAGAAAAATTAAACTAAGCTGTAAGATGTCAGACATCAGAGGTATAAAAACAACATTAGAGTTATTAAAGGGGCAGGGGAAGGTTGAATATAGCTTAGGACTAAGTTGCATTGAACGAATGGGTCTTTCCTGCATAGGATGCCGGGAAACGTTTTTGATGATGAGTTACTGCTGTATTGTCCTCAAAACAAAAAAATTTTGCAGTATAGCTCTAAAGATATGACACCTTTCAGTCAAAGACAGTGAGAAAGGCCATTGAAAACAAATGGACTAAATTGGGCCACGCCCAAACCAAGCCCAAACCCTATCGTATTTTTCTTTTTTCTAAGGAAGGCCTTCAAAGTTTGAGAAAATTGTCCGAAAGAAGGTTAAACATTTTCCGAGCTCGGTTGTTCAGAAACTTTTTTATACTTGATACATGCTCGGGAACCTATTCTGGGTACCTGTGCCACTTGGACCGGGGCCACCCTCACCCCATCCTCTGGTATCTCCCACTAGGGCTGCCCCTTTTAAGTGGAAGTAGTGTTCCAACTAAATGCTGATCACTTAGTTTGTCAATCTGTCTTTTAGCACGTTTAGTAGATCAAAAAATTTATGGATTAATGTATATAATTTATGATCAAACATTTGTTTATAAGATTAAGTTGGAGTTTCGTTGACGTATAACCACTCAGTTTTTATTTTCAGCAGTTTTAGGGTGCTGTTTTGTTTACAACAATTCCAACTTGAAGTACACCATTAAAATAAAAATAGAGTTTGACAACAGATATTACGAAAGAAATAGTCTCTCTTTTTGTTTTTTATAACACACCCGTTGATAAATGTTTGTGGATATACAATTCCTTAAGGGTTTTTTAATCATGGTTACACAACCAAATGGGAAAAGCCCATTGTAAATAAGGATTATACACAATTTATAATGTTAACGACATAAATTTGTGCATTTATGGTTATGTAACATTCGAGCGTCCTTTTAGTGTATAGAACAGGGCCTATGTTGTAGCTCTAAGCTCACGCTCAATGCGATCTCTGCCTGCCGATCACATTAAGTGTGAAACTCGTGTGGCAGCTTAGAACCGTCCTGTTCTATACACAAAAAGCTTTTACAGCTCTGCCTATACGGCACCAAGCACTTATTACCGACCTGTTTATATTAATTTATAGAGCAAAATCATTATTTTGGCACAAATTTAAACTAAATTTATGCTTTTTGATTGAAAGCTCGTCGCTAATAATTTCTTTTGTAATGCTTGTTCATGAATACGGGCTCATCCTTATGTAATTTCAGATTGGAGTTTCCATGGATGAAACTATAACAGAGCAGGATCTTGACGATTTGCTGTGGACGTTCGGAAGCACTGCTTCTTCAGTAAGACAATTTTGCTAACACAGGTCTTTTCTTGCACCGATTTTGACGATTGTGGGGAATTGGTGTTTATTTCTTTATGCAACTATTACAGCAATATGTGATTTAGAAAATTCTGTCTAGTTCTCATCAAGTAGAATCTATTAGAACCAATAGAAATGAAGATTTTTTTCATTTCGAACCGACTTCATGTCATTATGTGTCGAGCTTTGCTTTCCCATTCAGTAGCCCTATGATTTTAGTAAGCGTAAAACACAGATTTGCAACTTAGAATCGCCCAGTTCTATACACCTAAGCGTGTACAGCTCTCTCTATACAGCATCACGCACTTTACGGCAGACCTGTATATTATGAATATAATTGCCTTAAATGAATTTCGTTGCTTTGTCGCGAACTACTGTTATAAAATCTGATGAAAACAATTTTTTAGGCACTGGTGGCTTCAAACATGGATAATCCTCCTGAAAAAAGCATACAAAATAGCACATTTAGACGAATGAGCGAGTATCTCACACACCCAGTGTTCAACAGGTACGCTTGATTCATACATTTCTGCTTAAGACACAAATATTGGGGGTTCTTAAATATATCAGATAACAAGGATAGTGGTTTTGAATAAAGAATCTTTTCTGAAAACTTTGCTTTCTCTCGGTTCTCTAAAGACATTCAGCTTCAAAGATCAGTCTGCTGATTTCTTTGTCACCTAAAATACTTAATGCTGCCATTGAGGACCTTATCGTCCATTTTTGCACATATCTTTTTGCTATTTTTACAATTTATACCCATCTCCACATTTTTTCGATGGAAAATTGATATTTTGTTTGAATAAATTCAAATTTGTGTATTTTCATTTTAAAGCTATCAATCAGAAACCAATCTAACAAGGTACATGAAGGCGTTAGAGAATAAAGATTTGTCGCTGGTTCATGCAATGATACCGCTGGTATGTAAGCCTCTATGGATATATCAAAGGCTATTTATGAAGGAAGCTTGTCAAATGCTTATCCTAATGCTTTCAGAACTGTGAAAAACCGTAAAACAGCAGAAGTTTAAAGTATGCTCTATCTAAAGTATGCTCTTTACCTCGTAGTTGGCAGAAATTTGATGTGTTTCCTTTTGACATATTTTTTACTTTGCTTAGAAGTCATAATTCTTATTGGTTCTTCATGTTTCTATTGTTTCCTTCATCAGCCTCTTTGTATTATAAAAGCAGAATTACAATAAATAATCTGCGATGTAGGAAAAGAAGGTACCGAGCTGTAGACCTTCTTGAAACATCAGAAACGTCAGATTGTTCCAGTCGCAAAGAATCGATCTGCTTTGATTTGAATATCTGATCTGTCACAGATTTGATTAACTAACCTGTCACTAATTTGATTAACTGATCTGTCACTGATTAGAGTAACTGATCTGTCACAGATTTGATAAACTGATCTGTCACAGATTTGATTAACTGATCTGTCACAGATTTGATTAACTGATCTGTCACAGATTTGATTAACTGATCTCTCACATATTTGATTAACTAATCTGTTACCTATTTGATCATCTGATCTGTCACAAATTTGATTAACTGATCTATCACTGATTAGAGTAACTGATCTGTCACAGATTTGATTAACTAATCTGTTACCTATTTGATCATCTGATCTGTCACAAATTTGATTAACTGATCTATCACTGATTAGAGTAACTGATCTGTTACAGATTTGATTAACTGATCTCTGACAGATTTGATTAACTAATCTGTTACCTATTTGATCATCTGATCTGTCACAAATTTGTTAACTGATCTATCACTGATTAGAGTAACTGATCTGTCACTTATTTGATTATCTGATCTGTCACAGATTTGATTAACTGATCTATCACTGATTAGATTAACTGATCTGTCACTTATTTGATGACCCGATTTGTCATAGATTTGATCAACCAATCTGTTACTTATTTGATAATCTGATCTGTCACAGATTTGATTAACTGATCTATCACTGATTAGATTAACTGATCTTTCACTTATTTGATGAACTGATTTGTCATAGATTTGATTAGCTGATCTATCACTGATTGAATTAACTGATTTGTCACTGATTAGAGTAACTGATCTGTCACTGATTAGGATAACTGATCTGTAACAGATTAGAGTGACTGATCTGTAACAGATTAGAGTGACTGATCTGTCACTTTTTTGCTGATTTTATCGATCTAAATTTCCCAATGATTTTTTAAGAAAAGACAGCCTTCTGTCAATTTTCAAACGTCTTTTTTTTGACACAGGGATCCTGCACAATGAAACTCAACAGCACCACTGAAATGATGGTCAGTATTTAGCATTTAAAAATCGAAATGCCAAATTACCTTTCAGAATAATTTCTCACCTTTTTTGTTTTGAAATGGATGCAATGGAAACATGCCAATGTTATAATGCTTGTAACTATTGAATATACAACTTAGCTAGTGCGATAAGGTAACTTTTCCATTGCTATGGTCTTTCTAGATAGGACAGTATATCAATAATAAGTTTATGATGCAATCTCTTTTTTGTTCGAAGGCAATCACATGGCCAAAGTTCACAAACATTCATCCTTTTGCTCCGAAAGAGCAAGCAGAGGGCTATTACGAGTTGTTTAGAGAATTGGCAAAAGACTTGGCCGAAATAACTGGGATGGACGGCACATCGCTGCAGCCTAATAGGTAAGTCTTAGTCGACATCTGTACAAGCACTGTTGCCGAAATAGGTTAGAATGAATCTATTCATCAGTTTTTATTTCAAAAAAACAAGGTCGAAGGTTAATGATTGGTTTCTCTCATATCGCTACTGACGTCACTGCACAGTTTGAATGTTCAATCGTACTACAAACTATAATCCTGGAAAGAAGGAAGCCTGTCATATTCATGCACAAAGTTGTGTTCATCCCATTTGGTATTTGCATTAAACAACGGATCGTATGAATATGTCTACAATAGTTAGAATGACTTCGTTTTCTCACTAGAGCGCTTTAAGTCTTGTCAAAGGCTAAAAGGAACTGGTATTTCAAAGAATCTAACCAATTGTCCCACTTACTTCAAAGCTAAGAAGCTTGTGCGTCTAAATCACCGAATAAACATAAGGTTGAGAATATTGGGAGTTAGAATTAGTCCGATATAAAATCGTGGTTGGGGAGGACGGTGTGGGGGCTGGAATAATCGGGGTGAGAGTTGTTAAACTCGGGAATTGGAGAAGTTTATGTAGGTACATTTAATTGGAAGAAATCATTTATAAATTGTGTTCCCGAGCATCTAAATTTACAAGAGTTTATTTAATGTTACCATTTGTTACGTTTTTGTGTTTTTAAAACATAGCACTTCGGCAAAACTTTAAGTATTAGAATCAAAAGAAATTATGAAACTGAGTACTTTTTCTGAACATAGTTTCTTAGAAAACATTGTATGTGTATATGGTTTATTATTTAGCAAGCAGCACCACTAATGAAGTCCGTATCTTAAAAAATACCAAAACACTCATTCCCGATTGCTCTATAATTTTCCTGTAGAAAAACTTATTCCCAATTGCTCTATAATTTCCAATTATAAGTGCTACTTGTTGTTTTGAGTTTTTTGATGAATGTCTGTACGTGCTTCTAACACTTAAAAAACGCCAAATCTCGGAGTAACGGCATATTACGGTACAGCAAGCTACTTCAGCTCTATCTATACAACATTGAATGTAAGGCAAATTTTGAATTGTCATTTTTATTGTATCAAGCTAGTAATTTTTAGTTTTAATTTTTTAAAACCTTCTCTTTCCTTTGCAGCGGTGCTCAAGGAGAATACACTGGTCTTATGTGCATCAGCGCTTATTTGAAAGACAAAGGAGAAGGACATCGCAATGTAAGCAAGTCCTCCTTTAACTGCATGACACTTTTTCAATGAAATATCTTTTTCAAATTATCCTAATCGCATATTTTTTGTTTGTGTTTATTTAATGAAATTTATTCAAAAATGTAAAATCTCGTCCTGTGTTTTACGTACTGTTCAGTTCCGTTAAGTCGTGCCCCGGATAACTCGAACCTTGACTAAGTTTGACACATTTTCAATTTTCTTTGGATTTTTCCACCTTGTTCAAACAAGAGGGTGAGATTTGGCATTTTTGAGTCAAAAGTCGTTCAGCAGATAAGTAGAACATTCGGTTAGTCATGTCAATTTTCTTACCTCCTTGAAGGCCGACTTAAAGGCACAATGTCCCGCGTTAAACCCAGCCGCAGCCGGCAGATTTTCGTCTTTGAAAGACGAAGATTTTTGTCTTTGAGTAACCGGCACCCGGCAGATTTTCGTCTTTGAAAGACGAATATTTTTGTCTTTGAGTAACCGGCACCCGGCAGATTTCCGTCTTTGAAACACGAAGATTTTTGTCTTTGAGTAACCGTCACCCGGCAGATTTTCGTCTTTGAAAGACGAATATTTTTGTCTTTGAGTAACCCGCACCCGGCAGATTTTCGTCTTTGAAACACGAAGACTTTTGTCTTTGAGTAACCCGCACCCGGCAGATTTTCGTCTTTGAAACACGAAGATTTTTGTCTTTGAGTAACCGGCACCCGGCAGATTTTCGTCTTTGAAAGACGAAGATTTTTGTCTTTGAGTAACCCGCACATGGCAAATTTTCGTCTTTGAAAGACGAAGATTTTTGTCTTTGAGTAACCCGCACACGGCAGATTTTCGTCTTTGAAAGACGAATATTTTTGTCTTTGAGTAACCCGCACCCGGCAGATTTTCGTCTTTGAAACACGAAGATTTTTGTCTTTGAGTAACCGGCACCCGGCAGATTTTCGTCTTTGAAAGACGAAGATTTTTGTCTTTGAGTAACCCGCACACGGCAAATTTTCGTCTTTGAAAGACGAATATTTTTGTCTTTGAGTAACCGGCACCCGGCAGATTTCCGTCTTTGAAACACGAAGATTTTTGTCTTTGAGTAACCGGCACCCGGCAGATTTTCGTCTTTGAAAGACGAATATTTTTGTCTTTGAGTAACCCGCACACGGCAGATTTTCGTCTTTGAAAGACGAATATTTTTGTCTTTGAGTAACCCGCACCCGGCAGATTTTCGTCTTTGAAACACGAAGATTTTTGTCTTTGAGTAACCGGCACCCGGCAGATTTTCGTCTTTGAAAGACGAAGATTTTTGTCTTTGAGTAACCCGCACACGGCAAATTTTCGTCTTTGAAAGACGAAGATTTTTGTCTTTGAGTAACCCGCACACGGCAGATTTTCGTCTTTGAAAGACGAATATTTTTGTCTTTGAGTAACCGGCACCCGGCAGATTTTCGTCTTTGAAACACGAAGATTTTTGTCTTTGAGTAACCCGCACACGGCAGATTTTCGTCTTTGAAAGACGAAGATTTTTGTCTTTGAGTAACCGGCACCCGGCAGATTTTCGTTCTTTGAAAGACGAAGATTTTTGTCTTTGAGTAACCCGCACACGGCAGATTTTCGTCTTTTGAAAGACGAATATTTTTTGTCTTTGAGTAACCCGCACCCGGCAGATTTTCGTCTTTGAAAGAGGAAGATTTTTGCCTTCTCAGAGGGCGCACATGACAGATTTTCTTCTTTGAAGCACAGAAAGGAAATTGCTTGGGGGGGGGGGGGGGGGGGGAGTTTCAAGAGAACATCTTCATGTGATCAAAACTTAGTCGCTTATTGACCACTCAATCTGTCTTCGAAAGTTTTGTCTTTGGGTCCGCATACGGCAGACTTTTGTTTTTGACTTTCAAAGACCGTCTCCGAAGAATAAACATTTCTAATTTCGACGACTCTCTTTGGAAGATATAATATTTGTCTTGACAAGCGCGTACGGCAGATTTTTGTCTTGAAATGCTCAAGACAAAAATCTTCGTCTTTCAAAGACAAAAGTCTGCCGTGTGCGCTGGGCTTTAGTCAACCATTCAGAGTTAGCAATAGACTTTGCAGCGCTTTTCGAGAAAACATTGCGAATTATTCTTACGTTGCCTACTGGATACGTAACAATAGGTCTATTGTGTAGTCCAACAAATGGGAAATTTAAATGGTCAGCGAAATGCATCGGGACACAGTGACTTCAAACGGTACAAATTTTGCAATGAGCTGCTTCAGACTTAGGTGCTGGCATGTTTGATTTATTTTGATGCATTTAAGTAGCTGATTTCCTAATTTGCTTATGTACTATTGTTTTGACTGTTCTTTTTGCACTCAGGTCTGCATAATTCCAACGTCGGCCCATGGAACGAATCCTGCGAGCGCACACATGGCTGGCTTCAATGTGGAGTACGTGAATACAGACAAAGTCGGTGGAATCGATCTTGACGATTTGAAAAAGAAGGTTAGTGTTTCCAATTGCTATAAGTATTGACGGATAAGGGTTAGGCATGTCTTTAAAGGTCAAACTCGCTTAAACCAACGACTTCAACAGTAAACTGTGCCTGTCCCCTCTCCATACTGTAAATGCTACAATCCTGGCCCAAAGTTATTGGACTGGCTGGCAAATTGTAATATTTTTGAAAAAAGACGCTCCCCACCCCCACAGCCAATGTTCATATGCTTGTTTCTACTCATTTCGAAAGTTGGTACTTTTGTATTTTCCAAAAAACCAACATTGCTTCAGGGGTTTTGATAAGATTATTGGGGTAAAGTTGCAATTTTAATGGGTTTTTTCTCCAGTCTACTAACCTTTTGGCCGGGATTGTAGATTTCTGCATACTGCCATTGAAAGTCTCTATTTGATTTCTGTTCAAAATTCTGTGAAAGGCCTTTACAGGTACCTCTTTGTTTCGTCAATCAAAGAAGTTTCTCGCGCATTTTCAGTTGTTACAGTGCTTGTTGCAATTACCAGAAAGCCGTAATTAAAAGCCAAGAAATAAAGAGTTTCATTTACCTAATAGGATGCGATGAAATGATAGAGAGACTGGACTACTTTTAAATATTTATAGAATTGCTTGCCTGTAAATTTAGGTCCCAGCGAATTTGTGCTAAATATCTTTATGAAAAGCAGTCTAGAGATGATATGTATAAGTCTCTGTTTGAAAAACCAGGATATCAGGTGTTTAAATTTACATTTTTTATTGACAGTCAGCTTTTCTCCGGGAGTCACCAGTTGTATGAGTTATTTTGAAACCATTGACACAACGTAATGAATCAATGTTTTGATTGTGACTTTGAATCGGGAATTTTCTCTTCAAGGTTGAGAAGAATAAAGATAAGCTAGCAGCAATTATGGTAACATACCCATCAACAAGTGGCGTCTTTGAAGAATTCATTCGGTAATTTCTTGTCCTTGTATCTTATCATCAGGATAGAAGAAATTAAGTGGTTTAAGACCTTAAAATCATTCTTTGACAACTATCCGGGCTTATTGCTTAATATTTCTCTATAAGCATTGTCTTTTAAAAAAGTTAAGATTTCCATCAGATTGCTAAGGTGTCATTTAATGCGCCATTCCTCCTTTGGTGATCCGTTCGATCCCCGCTTGGATATAAATGTTCATTTACCTTATTGGTCATTATCCGTTCTATACGATGAAAAGTGTCAGGTGAATGGCACTTAAGTGTTCTTTGTTTCCGCTCATCCTTCCTATTTTGAAAGATTATGCAATTTTTAAAAGGTAGAAAAATGTTTTATTCTGTATTTTTAAAATTTGGTGAAACTGCGTCATAATCTCAATTGTGTTTTTATTGTCCGCTTTAGAGAAATTTGTGACATGGTTCATGCATATGGTGGACAGGTGTACTTAGACGGAGCAAATATGAATGCCCAGGTCTGTATTTGACAATGCTTCTACCGTATGCCATTCAAGATGCGATGCCTTTTGAAATATAAGCCATTTGATTTGCTATGGTAAAACAAGCTCTCAAATACAAGGTGCTAATAACATATGACGGCCTGCCGGATTTGAAATATCCATTCTCCGGTCCCAGATTGTAATTCCCTTTTTCAACATCTCAAATTCCAAAAATGCACAGATCGTCCCTTTGTCTCAGATTAATGCATTTTGGGCGCTTAGAATAATTAAGGCTCTGGCTCTTTCCATTCTGAGAATGTAGCCCCATGCACCTGGGATAACCTCTCTTTGCTCGCAATTTTTTTGTATAGGTGGACAACTTTGTTAAGGAAATTTTTTCTTAGTATTGGCAAATTGAATGATGCTCTTTATGTTCATTTCTAATGTCTTTAAAGCACTACACACTGATCAAGAAGATGTTCCCTGTCGTCCCTCTCTTTTGATATTGACACCGTCTCGTTTGAAGGTTGGGCTTTGTCGTCCTGGCGATTATGGTGCTGACGTATGCCATTTGAACTTGCACAAGACTTTCTGCATTCCTCATGGCGGTGGAGGTCCAGGAATGGGACCAATCTGTGTGTATGTATTGTTATTGTGTATTGCATCTAGATATCAGCATTAGTTCACAAATTTTAAATAAGTCCCGTACTCGATCCTTTTATATTAAAAAGTCTTGGATGATGCAGCTGAACCATGCCTTAGTATGAGTTTGGGGCAATGGCCTAATTTTTCAATAAATTTTTAAACCATTGTAAATATGATATCGACATTTCTGCGAATATGTTGGTTCAGTATTTTCGAGCTTTGAATCACTCGTCTTATTTCCAGTAAGGGAAAGTTTCGTCTTTTCAATTTCAAACTCTATTGATATAAGAATATTTTGCATAATAGTTCTAACTCGCAGGACCATTTCAATCCATATTTTCCATATACTATGCAGTCTCTTATTTGCTATTCATCCTATTTAAGGAAGAAGCATCTTGTGCCATATTTGCCGACGCATCCGATTGTTCCCCCTGAAGGGACAAGCGAAGAAGGCTCAAAACCTTTCGGGGTCATTTCCGCCGCTCCTTATGGTTCTAGTGCAATTCTGACGATTCCTTGGGCATACATAAAGATGATGGGTCCCAAAGGGCTTAGAAAGGCCTCTCAGGTAAACAGCTTGCTTTAAATTACGAAATCAAGCCAGGTTTTCATTATGTCAGTATTTTTTCGTCCTTAGAGCAACAATCTCACCATCCTTTGCGTCAATTCTTATGGTACTAGGCACTGTTATACTGGGAACCACCCTGTGACAAACGCTTTTCAATATGCACCAGAATTAACAAATATAGTGCCTCTGTGATAAAAGATTCTTCTCTCTTTAAGTTGCACAAACTGTTTTTTTCTGGCTCAAAGGAATGTCAAGAGGAACATGAAAAATTTTACGTAGAAGGCTCATCTTAAAGGACATTGTAATGCAAGATCTGGCTCTTTCATGTGTATTTAGATACTGATGTTTCAGCGCTCTTTACCAAGTTATTTTACTTTGGATTGAGGATTTTAATCAGTTATGCATTACTAATGATTTTTTTAATGGAAGTATAGGACAGACCAAATCGTTCCCTGATGGTTGATATATGCTTAAAACTAGGAGTTGCCACTCACAACTTTTTTTATCCACACACCAAAGCGTATCACAGACTGTATAAATGTGCTCTCTGAACAGATTATCTGAAAATGCTTTATTGTATAAAGTAAAGATGCATTGCAGAGGCGATTACATTATTTTCATTCGTTGTAGCTTGCTATCCTAAACGCCAACTACATGGCCGCTCGCCTCGATCATGACTTTGACATCAGATTCAGAGGAAAGAATGGTTTGTATTTTATTGACTAGCAGTTATTCGTACCATGCTTTAAATGATTCGATGTTGAAATTTTTGCTAGTGATTATTAAGCTATCACACAACCTTTATTGAATGATAAGCTATCACACAACCTTTATTGAATGATATTTTGCAGGGTACTGCGCACATGAGTTTATTATAGACTGCAAAAGGTTCAAGCCCTCTGCTGGCATCGAGCCTATCGACATCGCAAAACGATTGCAGGACTATGGTAAATCAGTATTTCCTTTCGTATTCTCAAGTATCAAATGTTCACAAAAATAGGGAGAAAATGAATAGTATTTGTTAGCTTCAACAGTGAAGACTTTTACCTTCCTCGATATGGCTTCTGTTTATAGGTTTCAATGTAACTGTAAAAAGCATGTATGCTTAATTGAAAATTGGGTATTCCCAGTGATTATATGGTTCTGTAAAGATGTCTTTCTATGCTTCCTCCTTCTCGTAAGGGGCATGTATTGGAGTTATTTGATCGTATGTATTTGAAGTAGTTGTAGTATGTCTTTAAGTGTTTTTGTTAACTATTATGAGTATTTGCTTCATCGTATAAACGTGTTTCGCTATCAGTTTAAAAATGATTCCTGATTTTTTTAATTCAATCAAAGAGATCTTCTAAGTTTGTTTTAAGTTCATAAAGGCCTAAGGATGTTAATTTTGGGGTAATCTTTTTCGTATGCCTGCTTGGTCTTTTCCAGCTTCCTGTTTTTTTTTGTGATTCGATACTGAAATCTTTCAGGTTTTCACGCTCCAACTATGGCCTGGCCAATCCCTACTGCACTCATGATCGAGCCAACAGAATCAGAAAACAAGGCTGAAATGGACAGACTTTGCGATTCGTTGCTATGTAAGTTGTTCTTAATAAGTTTTGTTAGATTATTATTTTCAGGATTATTGCATGTCATTTTCTAAAAAGGAGCGCTGTTAAGAAAGAATTTTGACTTGATTTTTGTTTTCTTATTCTCTTAAACACGTTTTTCGTGTTTTCATATTTCAATACTTATTTTTTACAAAAAGACCATCTGCGAATGTAGACATGATGTCAAAAATGAAATGCACAGTCACTAATTTGTTTGACTACTTAATCCCTGAATCCTGGACTGTCAACTTGTGGAAAATGTATTCCAAATAACGATTGTCCATTGGATTTTAAGAATAACGATTAGAATTCCTACCAAAATCAATTTGATCAAATTTTTATGATAACAGCAATAAGAGAAGAAATTCGAGATATAGAAGAAGGGAGGATGGATAGAAAAAATAACCCATTGAAGGTATGTCAAATGTTGATCATATTACATAGTATTGATGAATTAAATTCCAGAAACTCATTTCCAGAAATAAAAACATAGTGTTAGGGAGTTAAGAAGGCAACTGGGCATGGAGGGTTTGGAAGGAAGGGGTTTTGTTAGCAGAAAACAGATAGACGTTTTGGTGAGGGAAGAAACGCGTTGAACCAAACTAGGGTGATATGAAGAAAAGGGAAAATGACAGGTGTTATAGAATGGAATTAGGTACTCTTTAGGACCGATCTGTTGTAAAACACCGTTCTGCCATAATTTTCTGCCTTAAGCCCTGGTCAAACGATCCAACATTTCACCCAACATTTCACCCAACATTCTTTTATGTTGGAATGTGACCCAACGATGGTGGTCAAACGATCCGCCATTACATCCAACATTTCACCCAACATTTTCATGCGCAGATTTAAAAAGGACTGGGTAGAAGGTCGCGCTAAGTCTGCACAGTTTCGCGACATTTCGGTCCGAAAAACGAAAGACAATCGCTGCCTTCTCTATTCATATTCTCTTCAGATATTTTCACTGTCATTGCGGTCTTTCTGGACGAGCGTCGCATCTCTCGTCAAAGTTGTGGCCTAAATTCACCCCCCTGAACTTTCTTGAAGCTCCTCTGTGCTATAGGCTCTTCATTGACGCTTCCTCTTGCGCACAGAGTTCGTTCTATTTCGTTTTATTGTCCATAATTAGTGTTCGTTATATAGAGGGCGGTTTTGTTATATCTACAGTACAGTATCCTACCTTAGATCTCTCCATTATAATTTTGGCTTTGTTTTTTCTTCAGCAAATAACTTTTTTAGTTTTTTTATGTCTAAATATATTCTTGATGATGTAAGTTGAACTAGTTGCCCTAGTCTATAACCCCTTTTTTATTTTGGTGGTTGATTGGTTATTTTATTTTATATTATGGGTAAAATGATAGATTTGTATTTTTCAGATTTATTAAGATATATTTCTTGAATGATGAAAACTTGAAACTTAACAGTAAAAACACTGCTGAAGTATTTAAATGTTAATGCATGGCTGTAAGATGGTACTTTTCATATTTATGATTCTAGCTTCAAAGATTTATAATTATTTAATGTATTGATAGATATATTACTACTTATAAGCGTGTTACTTACATTTTTAACCATGTGTAAGTTCTATTTTTTTTATGTTGTTATTTATGACTTTTGTTTTTGTGAATTTTTATTCTTATTCTTGTAAAGTTTTATCTTCCTTTTTTATATTAATTTTTTCATGTAACCTACAGGGCTTTGATCTTCTTATATGGTTTACCTTATATGGTTATGTTTTCTTCTGTTGTGTAGCGAGCCACCTGGTGGCATACTTGCTGGAAAACTTAACATAAGCCTTGAGGGACATGTAAGTTATATTCGGTCACTGGCTACAATATTCGGTCACTGTAAATAGTCTGCCGTTTATATATTAAGATTAAGATTGCAAAGATAATTAGTTTCTATCTGCAATCATCTTCGAAAGCCTGGGTATTGAAAAAAACTCTACAAGAGCAATTACTGAACAAATTAATCTGGATAAATATGATAGATTATTAGCATAGTTATTGTTTGATATTTTTTTATCAAATTTTTATCAATTCACAGAATGCTCCTCACACACAACAAGTATTGACAGATGAAGAATGGACTAGGCCGTACAGCCGAACAGTGGCTGCTTTTCCTGCGGTAAGGATATTTTCAAACCTGTACTCTGTATCTTGTTATTAAATATCCTGAAAGCTGCTATGAAGAGCAAATTGTTTTATACGTATATTTATGCTGCGATCTAGGCTTATATATGGACTCCATCTTTTGCAGCCTTGGCAAAAGACGTCAAAATTCTGGCCTACCTGTGGACGTGTTGATGATGTTCATGGTGATTCCCATCTTATTTGCATATGTCCACCAATAGAACCAGATGAGTACCAAAAAACGCAAAGTTCAATCTGAGTGATATATTTAAAGGATCCTAATTACTGGTAAGGGAACTTAGATTTATCTTTGCAAGCACAATTTCTCTGCATGCATCCAGACCTTAGACAACTTTTTAAATTGGTATGTGTTTCCAAAAAAGTTCACACAATTGTAAAGGTACCCATTACTTCCCTTTTGATGAAAAACATACTAAAGGAAAATTATCTAATTCTCTTTTCTTCATTCAAATGCCCAATTGAAGTATTTTTTCAACGCACTCCATATTTTCAATTTTCCCTCCAAATCCCGTGCTTCTCACTCCGAATCTCAAAATTTACTTAAAATCGTTTTTTGATAGAAATGTAGAAAAGTTTCTAGCCAACTTGAGGCTTATACGATTTTCCAAAACGTAATGATCTTAGTTATTACAGAATTATAAAGCCTCTGATAAAGAATTGGTGGAATATACAATTACATTTTACTTCTTAATATCATGTATCATGGATTGCTAATGTCATTACTATGCATTTAAACCTAATTTCGCATTTATTGAATCGTTCGTACTACGGCTGGCCTTATACTTAAGCTGGTGTTTATTTCCTACTATACGGCAAGTCTTATACTTATACCAAACCGGTGTTTGCCATTCATTGTCAGTAGGCCATAGCCACGACATATAGATTTTACATGCTTCCCAACTAGCGTTGTCAATTCTTTATCTTCATATATTCCAAAAATGGATCATAGAATTGGAATCTTCTTGTTGAAATTAGTTTGTGCCGAAATTTCATGTTGTTTGGACAGTAAGGCCAGAGATTGTACCCTCTTCGAAATTTAGCTTTTCTTGCACATTTCAGTAAATGTTTTCAATGCAGCAGCCAATTTCGATCAAAGCTTTACTAATTTCAACAACACGATTTCAAATCTGAGGTCCTTTTTTGAGAAAAGTCTGTAGAAAGCCATATGCACAATCAATGATGTAAACTCGGTACCGAGAATGGCGGATATGCTAACATTTTGACATATTTTCAAGTCATTCTGTACAACAATATTAGTTTAGGATATAGATGCGTAGATGATATAGTTTTCCTTTTTGCTAAGCTATGAACTCATATTTAAGACATCCCCTAGCTCTTGGAAACCATACCAATAATTGTTTCATGTATTCACATGTTCCCATATTTAGGCATACAAATTGTGGGTGAACTAACGTAGGATATAGATGCGTAGATGATATAGTTTCCCTTTTTGCTAAGCTATGAACTCATATTTAAGACATCCCCTAGCTCTTGGAAACCATACCAATAATTGTTTCATGTATTCACATGTTCCCATATTTAAGCATACAAATTGTGGGTGAACTAACGTTAGTAGTGTTAATTGAAATTGCAGTTTGTTTGGTAGTGTGTTCCAATTATTAATTTTTAACGGGTGATAGCAATTTCCATATAAAGATTCATTATTTGTGGCAAATTATTGTTTTTAGAATTTCCCAGCGATGCTTCATTCCATATTGTTTCATTCTTAAATTTGCAGCTAATTTGAAATGTCTAAGAGGGTAACATGTTCTTTACCATCAGTGCCAAAGGAAAGTTACCACCAAGGGCAAAGTGATTCCATTTGTTTTTAAATATTGTGCCTGCTGGGAAACACAATAACAAAGATCAAGTCATAAGCCCGGTAAACATTACTAAAGATTCAACTCTACTAGGTTCAACCCCTTATTAGGTACCCAGTGTGAAACCCGGTTGCGTTTATATTAGACCCGTTTAAAGGAACTGTGTGAACTGTGAACAAAAGAGTCGGTTTAGCGTGGTTTAGTCAAACAAACCTGGGTAGTAAGGGAATCATTGGGTGTCAGCAAATCTCCTTTCAGGTCCCCTTTCAATGCAAAACTGGTATCTTGCCTTCAAAATTCTTAAAACTTGATCAAAATTTTCATCGTAAATAGGCTCACAATAGTGTCCATACAGCGCTAAGTTGCCTCGCCCCTTGGACCCCACTGTTTGGCCTTTACTGACCCCTAGACAAAAGTATTAGGAATTGCACAAAGTAGCATAACAGGGTCCACATTGCACAAAGTAGCATAACACTTATGCCCCTTTTCATCAAATCATGACCATCACTTGGAACAGAAAAAGTGTCCGTTCCAACCTTGTATCAGTTTTACACTAGCCTCAACCTAGGTAAACTAGCAAAGTGTATAAAGGGTTATGGTGAATAGATGCAAGAGGACTTCTGCCTTTGTCACGGTAAGTTCAGTTAAGTTAAAAACTTCCCCACAGCACTTAAGATGATGTAACATAGGACTCATGGTTATCCTTTTCTGATAAAAATTATTGGACACAGTATGATGAATTGCATCCAAATTCTAGAACAGGGTATCAAAATTAAGAAAATCTATAAAAAAATGTGAAATATGAGTAAATTTTGGCATTGGGTATCATACTTTTGGCACAGTTACAAGGTATGCTTCTGGAAGTTTTTTATAGGACAGGGTCAGGGTGCAGAAAGGTTTATCCACACATTTTCCTAGTCAAATGCCCCCCCCCCCACCCTCGGACCAGGCATAAAGCATATTAGGAACAATATTTTCCTTACCTTTATCCTACAGAATTTGGAATTTTAATTCTAATGACCCTTTAACCCATATTTTAAAAGGTGAAGGTATGTCTTTGATCCAATTCTTGTTATTGAAAAAATGGATGATAGCTTTTCATTTGCAGCACTTCACTTTCATTTGGGAAAACTTTTTAAGAATAGTAGCCATAAGAAGACACAGAGATCGAAACCAGCAGTTGATCAAAATCTAGCCTATATTTCAAGATAAAATGAAATATAAATTTTCAAAGATATAACATAATTCAACTTATTAAAATTATTCTGGCTGTGCCTCACCTAACTGTTTTCAACATTCTCTTGCCCAAGGATTTTTGCATTAAAATTTCTTGGGTTAAGGCCTACTTGAGCAAGAAAGTACTACAAATTTTCTGAAACTAAATAGAAGCACCAATCCATTAGAAAACTAAACAGACTTAAATTTATAAGCCGAAATTACAATAGCATCCTAGTCCTGCTTTATACACTCAAAAGTTTTGTGATAAAAATACAAACAAACGTTCCAGTTTTGCCTCATTTAGTCAAACACAAACTCAAGTGTCTAAGAAATCTTACCTTTCCCCAAAATTGCTGGGAAAATAAGATAACTAATTCTATTTGTTCCATTATATTTTTGGATAGATCAGTGATGTTTGACCAGTGAGTTATCAAAGTGAGGATTTAAAATCAGTGAGCTATCAAACTATTTGCTGTCCATTGCCTTTTCTCTTGCGATAACTGAATCATCAAACTTGATAAGAAAGGTTGTCCCTTTATGCCAGTGAACGGATACCTTGGCTTGCTAAAAAGACAGAAATTTAGAACTAAGAAGAAGGTATACATATTGTAGCCATATAAGTTTGCATCAAGAAATATAGATCATAATCTGCAGCCAAGGATGAGATCATAAATTAGTATATGCTGAGCAATGATTGATCATGCTTATGTATGACCTGATAACTGATAACTGATTTTTAAGATGATATGATGAGAATCGTGTTAATAATAATAAACAAATGTTAATAAAAAAAAGTTTGGAATCTTTCAATACTCACAAAACCAGCACCACAAAGAATAGATTCAATTATTCCAGCCACAAATGCTGCACAGTTGAGGCTTCCTGCAGAATTAGGTACAATTAATGTAAGTTTGAGAGGTTTCTAGCATACAAAGCAAATCATTTACAACTTTCAGGTCACATTGTTCTGTAGTAATGGTTTTGACAAAAAGGCATATTGCCTACAGGACAACATAAAATGATCTGGTTGAAAATCTTGCACTCTGTCACATTTAGAAGTATGTTGAATAGCCCAACGTCCTGCTGATCTCTCTTCTGGCAAGATAAAAAATATATTCCACTAAAATCTTATTATCTCCCACTTGCTGCTGACACCTTAAATCTCAGAATTTGCAGCAATGCAAAAGGCAAAATCTCACATGTGGTCTGATCTATCTAGCACCTTGCTAAGGAATATAACAATGAATAGAAATAAAAAAGAACCATCCCTAGCACAGTTCTGCTTTTGAGTCTTCACAAACTGCATATTTGTAAAAGTACAATAAGTTATTATTACTTTATAACAGACTGAAAAAAGAAACCATCAAACGAATTATTCAGAAATATTTATGACATAGCAATACAAAATTCAATTTGGCATTACCCTTGTCCTTTGGTACTGAAATGAATTTGTTGACTAAAGGTTCCTTCTCAATTATATAATCTAGTGTGTATTAAGAAGAATCAAAACATATAAAACTTGCCAATTTAGTCAACCAATACTATTTAAAATTGCTCTTTGTTATCAGACATTTCATACAATTATTTCCTTGGATACAGCTTAATTCCAATAGCACTCATGGCCTCGTATAATTCTCTTTAAGGAACAGTGTAACATACAGCAGCTGATTTTACAAGGAGGAAGAAGCTGAAAATATTTTCAAATCTAATCCTGTGTCACAGCTAATTTCTTTGTAAATAAATGTAATAATTTGTCAAAACCTGAAGTTAATTGTAGTTGACAAACATCTGCTATGCAAGGTGGTTAGGGTTGCGGGCTACAGATCCAAGGGTCTGGGGACTGATTCTCTGCCATGACCAAACTTCTACTCAGAAAGAGGGGCCTTACCAGCTCTCTCCAATTCCAGGTGCAGGAGGCACGGGGTAAGGACACATTGAGTGGAAGGACCAGGACACTGCTTGATAAGCATTGCTTCTCAGAGGCCTTAAAACTATCATTGGATGCAAGGCAGAAACAAATACAAATAGAAATGCTATCAAGCAGCCAATTAGAAGCCTGAGTCAACAAAAGATCATCAACAAATAAGAAAAGATACAAGTTGCTTCATCATCATTTGCATGTTCCAGTTTATCTGCCTCTTTTCCAAAGAGAGACTGAAAAGAAAATATGCATTTGTTGATGATGGTTGTTAAATTACAACTATCACAATTCAAATTTCTGAGAGCCCAAAATACCATGCTCAGTCTCATTAGTCAATTGAGAAAAAATGTAGCTTAGGAGAATTGTAATCTGAAAATCTTTTTTATTTTAAATGGCAATTCAAAAACTGAACAGTACAATTACATTTATCCTTTAACAATTTGAAGTTTTCTTGAATTCAAAAAGCAGAATTAAGGTTTTGAAAATTTGAATCTGAATAAAGAAGTTAATTTTCATTGAAGGGATAGATTTATTAACTTACAAAAAATAAAATGCTGAAACTGATGTTGTCAGTCAACAAAGAAGGAAATACCAAAAGAAAATTACCTTCCAAATGTTTGAATGAATAAATAACAGCATCTTTTGTATTTTGATCTCCCTTTTAAATCCCCTCTCCCTTTGAACATGAACATCAGCTATTCTTTGTCCAACATGGTGGCCAAACTCAGAAAGTCTGTTGGAGTAAAACAGGGTGTACATTCTCTGGTTCTGATGCAAACAAAGCCCCTTGTTTGTTAAAATATTGCATTGCAACTCAAACCTCTGGATTGAATAAATATTTGGTCCTGTGTAGATGTAGATCCAGATGTTTAAGATGGGTAAAGATGTAGAAGGGAAAACAACTTTTAAATAGGCATTTCCTCTAGCAACATTATCAGAAAGATCTTCATTGTTAAAGGAATTGAAATTTACTAAAATATGATGCATGAACTCACTTATCTTGAAGCTCTGTCACTGTTAGTACTCTTCCTTGGCAATACTGCACAATTTCAGAGAACAGCAAGGCAAAGGAGGTAATATTTATCTGCAAAATTTTGTGTTAAGAGTCAATGGTTAGAGAGCGGTCTTAGGTAAGTATCTGGTAAAGTAAATACATATTCATCTCTACATACTAACTACCTAAAAGATTTAGAATGTGCTCTTCAAGAAGATGATTTTGTCAATGGTTCATGGTCATTATGATGATTCTCAAGATGGCACAAAAGATGCAATATTTGGAAATGAGCAAAAACTACCTAGATGATCTGATAGCATAAAACATTTAAAATGTATGTTAAGTGTGCAGTGGATAAACTGAAGGTTGAAAACACACCTCAGACCTTCCTTTGCTCAATGGTCTGTCAAGGATGTTTAATTTGGAAGACATTCTTCAAACGGCATAAATTCTAAAAAGAATAGACTCAATAAAAGATTTGTTGAAAAATGTGTTGTCTTTAATCAAAATCTTTGGTATTAAAGGTGGCTCTACAATAACTGTGAAATTATTGAAAGTAGAACTGGTTATCACTGCCACCTCATCAAGTACAATGTAAAACTCCATGTAAAATAGATTGATTTTCAAATTGTTTTTTAGTCAAATTAGACTCTGCCAAATTTGTAATTTTTAATGGTTGATTGGGTGTCCAAAAATAAACTTTCAGCTGTGCAAATGCGCATTCTAATATTTTTAGTAGCACAAGACTGACTCTAAAATGCCCTGTCAACCTCATTTACAAATTAACACAAAGCAAGCACACCCACCAATGACAATATCTGTTGGCTCTTTACAATACTACTCAGGTCCCTACCAAGATCATACTGGTTTAATGAAACATGTTTATGAAATAAACATATTATGTTGGAAGGTATTATTAATCAAATAATTGAAAGGTAGGGAGAAGTTGCTTGAATAAACATGTAAAGATTAAAAATCTTACTTACCTTGTGAATTATAATTAAAATTCAATTACAATGCATGTTGGATTGGATGGAATATTATGCACTGTTCTTGCCTTCCTAGTTTCCTCCTTCTTGCTGTAAAAATGATTTTCCTTAACTAAGTTTCCACCTTTGATAATAACCTAGCTATACCATTAAGAGGCTGCACCCTTGTGGAGAGTAAAGTCCATCCCTAGAAACTGACCTGTGCATCAGAATAAAAAACTTTTCTGTTCTTGTGCTGTTGTCTCCTGTCTGCAGAAAAATTATCAGAATGGCAATGAATACAGGGTGAGTGCACTTTTTGCGATATTTTTTCAGCTATGGTCAATTTTGCCATTTTTGAGAAAATGGCTTTGAAAAAAGCCAGTATGGATTCCATGGCAGCTGCACTGCACTCCCGAGAAATTTTTGTAGAATAACCGGCTGCACCAGTGGTGGCGCCAGAGAGGGGAGAAGGGGGGGCTACAGCCCCCCGTCAGAGCTGCTTAGCCCACCGGTTGGAAGATATACGAAGAAAATCTATAACTTTGTCTGAGCAAGATTTTGCTAACGTTTGTGAAGTTTTTTAGAAAAAGAAGGAGTAATGGATACAGTTACGGAAATCCCATTGACAGATTTGACATTTTTGGTGTTTACTCAGCAAACTTGGCGGCAGTGGCAGAGCCACGGGGGAATGAGGGGGACCAGGCCCCCCCCCACATTTTCAGAAAGTTGGTCCTTGAGATTCTTGCAAGCCTGATGAGAAAACTTCAGGGGGGGGCAGGGGGGGTATGTACGTTATCTAGATCGTCACATGTAAATGACATTTCTTGGGAGACAACAGGTGTTTCCTCCAGAAGAAAATGTTTAAAACAGGGGAAAAAGGCGTGGTCCAAAAGGGCGTTGTTGCTGACACACCTTTTGTCCCCCCCCACTTATGCCAGGCTGGAGCTGACACTGCTTGGTGGTGGCATCAATTAAAAAATCCATGATAGTCGATGGTATATTTGAAAGTTTTTATTTTCATTTCAATTTGATCCTCTTCATTCCTTGGCACTTTAATATTTTAACTGTTAAATGGCAAACTGAAACCAATGAGAACCAAACTCCACATTACAATGTTTCAGGGTTGCATGCACGAATGACGAGAATAGTGCTCTACCTGCGGATATTAACTCTAAGAATAAGGTTGTATTGCAAAGGTAGAAAAAATTGCTCCAATGAGACATTTTCCCACGAACTTGAATCATAAAAATTCGAAAAATTTCCCCGCCTACTGGGGCAACTTGCATGTACTTATTTATTGCAACACCAACATCTGCAAGCTAGCAAAGACTTAACCTACCTAAGTAACAATGGTGTCTGTTCTGTTTAATGATTGAATGACGTCTTTTTTCTTACCCAGAAAAGTTTAATCACAGAATCACGGAAAAATTCTTTCAAAATCAATCTGTCTTTTGTCTTTTAGGAACATTTTGTTCCATATTCTTTGTAGTCATTTTCTTGCAATTGTTTCAATATATATATTTCTTTCAATTGTTTCATTATCATTTTTTACTATTATTTCCATTGTATAAACGGATTCCTATAATTAGGCTTTAAATGGATTAATTCCATTCTTAAAATGGAATTCCTTTCTTTATGAGGTTCCCTAGATATTGAGGCTGTTAGACAAATAGTCTCCTTGTCCCCCTCTCAGTGACCCTGTTTTAGATCATCCTCATTATGGTCTTATAGGATGATCTTGTTTTTGGCCTTTTTAAAAGTTATTTTTTAAATTATCTCTTTACTTTGCAAACCTTTAGGAATTAGGATAATGGTAGCGATGGTAGTGGTAGGTAAGCATAGTTCAACTCTCAATTATGAATTTCCCTGAGATGTAAAATTTTTGTAAACAGGATAAGTGCCGGGAAGTTATGCACACACTCAAGAATCACTGAGAAATTTGATGCACCCTCAAATGTGCACACATATCACAAATGCACTCTTGCACTCCCGGATAACAGCTTGTGCACTCCCGAGATCTTGTCAAAAAATTCCATGAAATCCAGACTGGCCTCCATCCATTCAAAAGGATTGCGTTTCCACCACCCAAAAAAGTATAGTGTCAGTGTGATTCTTGTTACGTATGATGCACAACCCAAAGATTGCGAATTGGGGGATAGAATAAAAAACATTTCCCTTCCAGCATTAGAAACAAAACTCTCCCCCAAAGAAAACAGCCTTCTTGGTCTTGCAGATCAAAACTGAAAACTAAAACATATGATTCAGCTATCAGACAGCATTTATTGGAAAACCCAGATTGTGCAAAAAGCTGTAATGGCCACATGTTGGGGTTAATGGTAGAGCCCGATCATTGCTCAATCTAGCAGTTTTGGAATCTATCTAGATCAACAAGGAAAAGTGGCCATTGTTTAAACAGACAGCAGACAAGGACTCCTGGTAACATTTTAATTAGGCAAGCGGCATTGATTGGGCAACCTCAACAGTCATGTGCTCGGTTTCTGATTGGCCTATTTCGATCTACAACTGGGAATATATATATCATAGAGCTTTTAATCATTGTTCTGATGTTTTATACTCTGAAGAGTGTTAGGCAAAAAGCTTAAATTCAACTTGTACCTCAGCTTGAACTGATATTACAATTCCTTTTATTTGTTACTGTTTACTTTATATTCTAAAACGTTTGCTTTTTTCAATATTGTTACAATATTGTGATTTTCCAAAAAAGTTAAGATTTTCTTAAAACATTTCTACATTTTTTCAAAAAGGTAAAGAATCCTCCCCCAGCCCTCCATTTTAGTTTTGAAGCTTTTTGAATTGCTCTCAGATAATGTGGCTGCAACATTATTATATATAATTTTCTGTAGTGTAGCCAGAGTGTAAAGGCAAGTTGGGTGAGGGGAAAAAGGTGGTCCACGCCATTTCGAACACCAGAAAAACTCCTTTTTCAGAAAGATTTTTTGACATTTTAGTGGCATTCGTCCCTCTTGCCTCCCAATACATATTTCATAAGTTTTTTACAGACGTTTTTTTCTGCAGAAAATTATGTTTATTTATTTCTTATTGATCACTACATTTTATAGATATAATTTGACACTCATCTGATCTTCATTTTCAGTAAATAAAACTTTTCTTTCAGAAAACTTGCTGGCAGAACAGCATTTATAAGTGGAGCAAGTCGTGGTATTGGCAAGGCAATAGCTGTGAAGTTGGCAAGAGATGGTGCAAACATAATTATTGCTGCAAAAACAGCTGAACCTCACCCAAAACTGCCTGGTACAATTTATACTGCAGCAAAAGAGAGTAAGTGAATTCCAATCAAAGAGTACAGAACATTTTGATGCCCTTCAAATGTTTAAGTAATTGCAGTCTTATTGGTTGTCATACTAATGAAATTGCCATCAAATATTAGCCAGTTACCTAAAATAGCCAAATATAAAACAGAAAAGAACAAAAATGTTGATTATATGCATGACTATACTGTCAGATCAATCAGTTACCCCAAAAACATGTATAATATTGCAATTTCTTTGCAGTTGAAGAAGCAGGAGGAAGTTGCCTTCCTTGTGTTGTTGATATCAGAGAGGAAGAATCTGTACTGAAAGCTGTTGAAGAAGGCGTAAAAAAATTTGGAGGCATTGATATTCTTGTCAACAATGCAAGTGCGATTAGTTTAACAGGCACTCTACAAACCCCAATGAAAAGGTTTGCTCAAAGTTTTTTTTACCTATAATTTTACCCTTAGCATCTCTTTTTCAAGTTCCAACTTGTGCAAACAAAGGATATTTTTATTGTACTTTCTGAAGACAGAAAATACTTTGACGTTTGATTAGAGATACCTGTAAATAAAGGTCAGAAAGGTGAGAGATTGTATATGTTTTCATAATGCAAATTTTTGTCATGTATATTTTACTGTGTCTATTGTATACACATTCTATCTGATTTTGTATGCAATGTCTAAAAATCAGAAAGGATGATACCTGTAAAGACATTACAGCCCCAATTACACAATACCATATTCATCTCAAACTGATTACTTGACATTGTATTCATTCCAATAACATAACACTGGATTGCTTTCAAACAGCATTTTGACTTCAGGTACATTACACCCCTCTGCTTTGAATAGTGAAGGCAAAAATGCATTGTTTTAGATGGCTACCCAACAACTAAACTCAATATTTGCTTATAGATGACAAATATGTTTGCTCAAGATAATGTCTACAGAATATTTTCACAAGCAAAATTTTGAGCAAAGGAAACATTGTAACTGACAAATTGTTTATGATCAGGATAGCCTCATGAAAAAGTGCCTTTCAAAAAGTACTTTCATTGACTTTGTCACAAGGTATTGATTTTTAGAAATTTTCTTATGTGATACCTATCTTCACATTTTTAGTTTATTCAACCTGAATACCACATCATAGCTCCTCCATTAAATATTAGTTGAGCCCTGGAAATTTTATCCAAATTTTAATGCTCTAATGATATATTATTCATCTGTTTTAGATATGATTTAATGAATAGTATAAATGCAAGAGGAACATACTTATGGTAATTTTTGACCTTCACTTTACTGAATATTATCTTTGATTTTCATGCTAATTAGATTTTAAAGATTTAACTCACAGTCTACTCCTTAACGATGAAGTTGAATCTATTCTCTTTATCGCCCATTTTCCTTTCATTTGTATGGTCTAGTAGGCAAACCCACAATGCAGGAGTATAAGAGACATTGGATAAGGCTGAACACAGATTATCAGTTTATCAGTTCTTATATTACATATTTTACCTATAAAAACTTGAGAATCATGTATCTTTTAACATAATGTTACAGTAACAGGTTTTGCTGTCAATCAAATTAATGATGTTTTCAAAAATTGATTTCTAAATATATATAATATATAACTTTTAAATCAAATTTGGTAGGCAGAGGCTAAATTGAATTAAGCATCTGAAAATTTGAGTTTTCATCATGATTTTTAGCAATGTTATTTCTCAAAGCATCATTATGTTAAAATGATTTTCCAAGAACTTGTGGACAATGTTGGATATTATAGCACAATGAGATGCATCGTATTTTGGTAGTTCACAGGCATGCCTACCATATCTGAAGAAAGGAAAAAACCCACACATTTTGAATATATCACCACCTTTGAATTTGAATCCAATGTGGTTCAAATCTCATGTAGGTATGTAATAACTACAATTTGATAGTTCCTGCAGCATTTTCATTTCAGTATAGTCATCCGCTCTACTTAAAGTGCCTGTGACATGATTTTTTTTATTCTCTTAATTGAAGCGTTGCACTGCTTTTATAGTAGATCTGAACTTTTTTTTAAATAAAAGCGTTTTGATATTGAAATTAAGCAAAATAGTGCGGCCTAGCCAAGTCGCTTTATCATCATTCGCCGTTCTCTTGTGACGTCATGGGAGGAACTCGTTATTGTAATAATGCAAGCGCTACCTTTAAAAATCTCATCCTCGCTGCCACTACTTTCTCTGGAAATAACGCTCATCTCGGACCTGTTAGTTTTCCCTCATTGACTACGATACAAAAACTCGAAGGAGGAGGCGATCGGGTCCCTCCCGTGACGTCACTGCCTACTCATTCTGAAAACCAAGATGGCGAATTTTGGCGTAGAAGATCGCCAATAACTCCTTCATTTCTCACGAAACGTAAAAACTAACCCCAGAAATGAAAATAACAGGCCTTTTTACATAAGAATAGATATAAAAACCCAAAAGTACGAAAATCATGTCACAGGCACTTTAAGCATTTTGAAAATTTAAGAATCAAAATATTTCCCATCTTAAGTGTATATTCATACTTTTTATAAATAATATTTAACAAGTTAAACAAAAATTTTAGTATTAATACCATGTTAAGAACACAAATAATGTTTCTGTCATTCAAATCTTTTTGCATTGGTGAAGTAGGTGGATCTATTGAAACTATAACACATGGGAGACATCACTATTTGCACTTAGGCTTTCAAGGATATATGCTTTCACTTTTTTTATACATTTTTGAATTTATTATGATTGTACTTCTTTGTAGGATACTGAACTTGTATTCTAAACTTTCAATTTTTGAGCTTGGTTTTTTGACAAAAAAGGTATTTTGATGATGTCCTCAGAAGTAGATCATGATATATTCTACCCTTTTAGCATATACAATGGCTAAATATGGTATGTCTATGTGTGTCCTTGGAATGGCTGAAGAGTTCAAACCAGATGGTATTGCTGTCAATGCATTATGGCCACGTACAGGTGAGAAGATAAGTGGTAATAATGTGCTACGTAAAAAACTTGTTGTAAGAGAATAAAATACAATTGCTTATGAGCATATTCTGAATAAAAAAGTTTGAGGTGTAAATGCACTGGCCAGAAGAGATTCACTGATAGAAATTTAATGTGAAATATTCACATTTTGCTATTTACCCACTTGCCAAGGAAAAACACAAAAGGTCGATAAAATTGATTATAATGTTTTTTATTATCTTGCCTGACTGACTGATTATAAAAATTCTTTTTGTGAATTACTCGTCATAAAAATGGAATAATTTGCTTTCGCAGCTGTAGCAACTGCAGCAATGGAAATGCTTGGAGGCAAGGAAGCACTGATACAGTCAAGGAAACCAGAAATCATGTCTGATGCTGCTTATGTTATATTGACAAGTGACAGCAAGTCAAGAACTGGTGGATTTTTGCTTGATGATGAAGTTTTGAGGGGGGTTGGAGTTACTGATCTGGACTGTTATGCTTATGATCCAAGTATGTTGATTTCTAGTATATTCTTGGAAAGGTTTTGAGATATGAATGGCTATATAAATATCTTTAGAATGGGTTGTAGCTTTACTATGTTACTTTGATGTTAAATATTCTAATAGTTGATTCTATATTTCATACCTGAACCCATAATTAAATGGTGGGTATGAATGATTTTGAGACTATTTCCCTTTTAACTATTATATATTGCACAGTATCAGTAGAGGAAACTTTATATAAGTTATCTGTTTTTTAGTATATGGATGGCTTGAAATCAATATTAGAATGTTGGCTGAAAATTCTAGGCACTGAATCACAGGAATCTCATGAAGGGGTCTGCATTAATAAATGGTCATTTAGGACTTGAACAAACAGTTTATTTATTTCTTTTAAAGAAGCTGAACTGCTTCCTGACTTCTTCCTTGATGATGCGAGTACAGAACAAAAAGAAGAGTTTATGAAAGATATGAAGAAAAGGCAAGGAAGGCCAGAAAGTTCAGCTGATTCTAGTAGTGGTGACCAAGTCGGGTATGTTTTTGAGAAGATTAAAGGTCTTGTAAGTGATGATTTGGTTCAAAGTGTGAATGGTGTATTCCAGTTCAAGCTAAAAGGAGACAAAGAAGCAGAATGGTACTTGGATTTAAAGAATGGCTCAGGTATAGTTGTTTTTTTGGAAGCAGGTTGTGAAACTTGTAAAATCTAAATAAGATACTATAAATCCTCCAATGAACGCCCCCTTCTTTTAAACCCTCCCTCCAATAAACAGCCCTCCCCTTAATTAGTCGTAAATATGAAATAAACGCTTCCCTCTTTTAAACGCCTACCTCTAATAAACTCCCCTTCCCAAAGAGAGTCTGCTGCATTGAATAAGGAGTTCGGATTGCATTGTAACATCATCACCAAATGGTTGGGTTAGCGAACAACTTACGATACAGTGGTGTAAAGAGGTTGTTGGGTTGTTTTTTTCATAAGAGACTTCATGTATGGGATACATTTAAAGCTCATCTAACAGAATAAGTCAAATGCACTTTAAAGGGAATGAAAGTCAAAAGTGCATTGGTTCCAGGTGGCTGCACAAAATACATTCAGATCCCTGATGTATGTATATTGGAACAAACCCTTTAAAGGGTATATTGCAGAGATGTATGAAGAGTGGTTAGCACATCGCATACACCAGTATACCGAAGCAGGAAACATGAAGCCAGCACCAAAGAGCATTGTTGTTCAATGTATTTTACAAGCTTGGCAAATGATAAAAAAAGATCTTGTCATCGAGGCATTCCAAGGGTGCGAAGTTAATTTGAAGACAGATGGCAGTGAAGACCGCAAGATCCATTGTTTTAAGGAAAATCAACTGTGCTCCACTGAGGGAGCCCTTTCTTTTAAGAGATAAAACTTTGTTGCTCCATGACAAGGAGCTAGATGTCAACCCATTCATTATGGAGCCAGTAGATTCAGATATTGAAGATGCAAATCAGCCGTTCAATCTCCTCAAGGAAGATGAAGACGAGGATGATTGTTATTTGTGTTTAATTGTTATCTGTTATTTGTGTTTAATATGATGAAAGTACTTCTGTTTAACATGATGAAAGAGATTTTTTAATTTTTGAAATAAACACCTCCTTCTAATAAACACCCCCATCAAAAGTAAAAAACTAAATAAACGCCCTGGCATTAATTGGAGGATTTACGGTATCCACCATGCTAAGCCTCAATGATACATAATTATGTTTTTAGTTTTAGTGCAATTAAGTGTCTTAAGTGATGATTTCATAAATAATCACGCTCAGAAGTGTTTTAATCAAGATGGTAATGAAATATCTCTATATCTAAATGTGGGAATTCAGTTACAAACTAGCAGAAAATATCCACATAAACACAGGCTCATTACCTATCAATCACCTGTAATCTGGTCTTGTTTTTAAAATGCATAAAACAACTGTAATCTTTAACAGTTTAAGCTCTATGCTAGATAGTTTAGACTTTAAAATTACAATTATATTAACATGGTTCAAATAATATGTCTTTTATGTTACATCTTCAGGGTCTGTTGGTGAAGGAGGTGCACCAGAAGGGGCAAATGTGACAATGGAATTGAAAACTGAAGACTTTATTAAAATGTTTAATGGAGAATTGAACCCTGCCCAAGCTTTTATGGGAGGAAAACTGAAAATTGGAGGTGACATGATGATGGCAATGAAACTGGAAAAGCTAATGAAGAAGTTTAAGTCAAAGCTGTAACAGTTTTAACATTGTGTGAAGAAAGCTACAAGAGTTGACGCTTTTCAAAATGCTCAAACAAAGAGTTATAATGACAGTCTTGTTTCACAAAAATAATTTTGAATTTATAATTCATGCATTAAAATGTATAAAATTTTTCAGAAAGCAAAGAAGAACAATTAAACATTTTAATTCTGTTTGCAAAACATTCTCAATTTTTTCAAAAATTAGTTCAGTTGGATAACTTTAATGTTAAATTTCTCAAATTTAGAAACTTTCTGCATATGTCAGAGTTTATGTATATCAGACATTTTTTCCTAAGTGAAGCCCCTGCAAAAATTTAACCCTCACTGTGGTCATAACAGTTTTGTGTTGGTGATAAATGGATTTAGTTGATTCAAAGCTAATCCAAGTAAATATTATTAAGTCATTAACCATGCTGCAGAGAAAAAATACTAAGGAAACTGAAAACATCTGTTGAGTTGCTTCATATTATGTTCATGAGAAAAATTCGTTTGTACGAGAAGATACAATTCACAAATGCATATACATTTCATGATATGGACCTTTTTAAGAAGCAAGAACAGGTTAATTTACACAAACTATTTTTTGTTTAACATAGATTTATTTAAAGGTTGACAGGATCACACAGACTACCGCAAATGTGGTGTAAGATTTCTAGAGCAGCCTTTTTATCTCAGTTTTTTGTTAGATGGACACTTTATAATAACAGCTGTCTAAGTATTGTTATTTGGTTGGTCAATTCACATTTCTTTCAATATAATATTGTCAGAAAAGGACCTTCCCGTATTAAAAGCAGAGTGAAATGCCTCAAATGGTGACATTGCAAATAAAATAGCTGCTTATGTTAGGGTGAAAAGGACCAGTGATTTTACCCTTTCTGTTTTGTATTCAAAAACGTAACATCATTGTAGTTTATGTGACAAAGCTTTTTTTGGAATAGAAACTTTTGGAAACTTCAGCCGGTACATACTTCTTAGCAGCAGAAATCAGGTCTCCTGAAAGGTGGGACAAGTACCATGATTTTTCAAGTTTTTTTAATTTATCAATATTTTCAAAACAAAAAAATATGTTTAACAACATTTTTCAGATAGGTTTCCGAAAATCCCAACCCCACCACTTCTACTTAGTGCATAGAATGCAGTAAAAGAGAAAACAAATATGTTTAAGTGAACCAGAAGCTTTTAAGAATCTTGTTTTTAATTGATGATAGGGAAGGGCAACTTAAATGGTGGTCTTTCCTTGTTGTTCAAATAGGCATGAAGTTTTGGTCTGTTTTGAAACTCTTCGTAGAATCTTTTCAGCTTTGGAAACTTTTCCAGTACATCGACAGATTTACCTCTAGCTCCACTAACTGCATTCTCAAAGGCATAATTTTTCTCAATCATATTGAAAACAAGAAAATCCACCCATGTCAATCTTTCACTTGCAAATGTCAGTTCCTTGGCACTTTCATCAAGAACTGGAGCAATCTTTTCAAAAAAGGTAAGCCAGGTGGGTAGTGTTGTGTCCAGATATTCATCAATCTTCTCAACTATGAAATCGTCCTTATTATAAACCAATTTTGACAACCTCTGTGTAATGTCCTCTGAAAGATTAATTGGTCCATTTATTACAATGAATGATTTCTTTCAATACTTTGTAATTTAAACTTCTTGGTATATTAGACATATTTGTATACTTATTTGACCTGGTCATATGGTCTCCAACATGAAAGAAACAGATGCTCACTTTTCTATTATGTGGTAGTATAATTTTTAAACACTCAAGGTAGCCATGTACATTTCAATTGATTGACCCTTGAAAGTATTAAGTTACAGATCATGCATTTGCCAGCAAATGAGCCTTTTCACTGCCAGATATTTTCATTAAATAGCTTTAGATTTGTTTCAGGTGGGAATTTTTTATCATTTGTGCAAATATTTCAAAGCTGATTGGCTTAAATAACACATTGATCTTCTCAAACAAAATTGGTAGAGATTAAAGATCAAGACTCAATAGAAATAGTAGGACTGAGTGCTACTTTTTTATTCCAAATATATTTGCTCCATGTCTTAGCAAATCAAAAAATACCATTTATTATTATTGCTGAAGTACAATTTGTCAGAAAAAAAGGTAAGGGGTAAATAAGAATTTGTTCGGGCTTAGCAGCAGCCACCATCTCAGTGTAAAGTCATTGATATGAAAACGTGTCTGCATGAAACCCTTATAGGGAAGTGCTTGACTGAATTTTCCAGTTCAATTGAAAGGTTTGTGAGAAGTTTCTTGAAATTCTTTTAAATGTGGAATGCAAACAATCAAGCCTGTTAAGAGTCTTAAGGATTGTAATTGGGTAAGTTGCTTAAAATGTCTTCCCCTCACTTTCTACGTTTTGTACCAGCCAGAAGAAAACCACATCCTGATAGTAAACAAAACCTCAAAAGATCAAGTCCTGATTAATATTAAAAATTTATCAAACCAAAGAGTGGTTTAAGATCTTTTAGAATTTATCTGATCTTACCAAGGCCAAGTGCAATTTGCTCACACCAGTGTAAATCTGCACAGTCACAATCATAGCCAACTGAGCGACCCAGGTAGTGAAGAATTGCTTTTGGGAGAGAAATCACTGTCTATAATCACAGAGCAAATAAAACATTGGTATGGTGTCACCAGGGATTGGTGCATAATTCAAATATTTAAATGGATAATTTAAGCAATTAATATTGATAAATCTATTAGGTGTCAAAATATATATCTGGTCCTTTAACTCAATCTGGATAACAGAACTTTTCATATATCAAGACTTTTAAGAATTCATCTTTTAAAAAGCAAATGCAAATGTTGCTGCTCAAATTATGTGTTGCTCCAAAAATGCCATGCAAAAGCAACAAAACTAGCAATGCAATTAGCAATATAAAGTCATGTCATGAATGCCTAGAAAATTCAGCACCATAAACTTCATAAATTAGAATTGCAGGTGCCAAATATTATGGCTTAGAAGAGCTAAATAATTCAATTTTTTGAAAACTATGCGTTGATATTTACCTATTGACTGAACAAGATGATGTCCCCCACTTGTTGTAACTGCAGGCACTAAAAAATAAAAGTTAGGCAATTGAAAAAACTGTTTAAAATTTAAAGAGGATCTACTGTCAAAGGGAGAAAGAAACGACGTTACTTACGACTAGAACTCTACAACATAAATATGAATGGAATGGGACTGGAGTTATAAAGGTCTGTCTAAAAAGGCAGTAACAATCTCAAGGATCTGGATAAAGATGTGTCATAATTAAATGATTGCTTGTACCTTGTCCAAACGTATATATCCCATTACTAACTCCAGCTTCTTTCGCTTCTGGCCACGATTCCTTTGTAAATTTAGTCTCTGACCATGGTACTTCCGCATTGGCCATCAACATTCGAATAGCTTCACCCCGCCCCCTACCTGCAAAGTAATGAAGGGTGACATTTTCAACCGACGGTATTGGGTTACAGCCTGGCTTCCGGTGAATTATTTCACTAATTTTCTGCAATGCAAATTCTGTCTTTCCACTGTATATGATAGCGACGGTAACACAGATTAATGCAACAAGAACGTTCTCGGCAACAGGCGGCGCCATTTTTCCACGTGTGTATAGCTTGGAAACGAGATTTGGTCACTTTTGCGATAAGATGACAACAACAACAGAAGGTCAAAGTCAATTCTTGGTCTTTCTGTCTTTTCCTCTTTTAGTTCCTAGCAGCTTGCGCAAGAAGTTTCCACCAGCGACAATAATGGCGAATAGCAGTGGTAATCGTGTTTATGTTTGTGGTGTTGGCATGACTAAAGTAAGTTTTGGTTATCGGATTTAAACATCTCTGATGATACATAGAAATGGGTGGGGACCAGAGTCTGCATAAAGTATATTATATTGCCTTTATAAGAACAATGGTATAAGAAAACTTTCCTCAAAATTGATCAAATGTTAAAAACAAATTAAGAACAAACTAAGGCTGAGTCACTGTAAATTGTAGTTTTGAACAATTTGTGCTAGTTATACCCCCTTAGAAATTTATCTCAAAAACGAGTAGCTTTTTGTCATGTCATCTTGCTGGTTTGGGTGCTTTTTCTGTGGATTCTTGTCGCCAAAAAAAAATGTTACCCTCACTTTGTTGGCAAACGAGGTCTGAGCACCTCTCTAGGGCATATTGCTAGCAATTGCAATTCTTACATCTAATAATTTAAGTACAAATATTAAGAAATTATGTCTTATTTCCCTGTGAATTTCATGATATTTTGAATTTGAACCAAGGCCAACATATTGAAAGGCAACAAAATTAGTCAAATAAATTTATCACCAAAGCTTTTTAAGTTACTAAAGTTGCACTTAATTATTGATATTTTTTTCTAAAATTCTCAGGGTATCAATTGAATACCTTTAAAACACCCAAAGAGGCGACACTCCTTTTTTATAAGAAACAAAGTGCTCCAGTTTCTTAATTTTCAATAATCATTGTTTCTTAAGAGTTTCTCAATTATGATGTGCTGAATGATGTTATGAAATGTTTGTGATCTTTTTGATCATGTCAAGAGATTGCTATCGAAAATAGGCCAATCAGAAATGCGAGCACATGACTGTTGAGGTTGACCAATCAGTGCTGCTTGCCTATTGAGAATGTTACCAATGGAGTTCTAAGGTGAAAACGAACTCCTTCTGTCTACACAGTAGGAGTTTTTTCGTGCTTATGTAGATAGCTTCCAAAACTGCTAGGTGAAACGATGATCGGCTTTACCCATAATCCAAAACATGTCGCCATTATAGTTTTTTCACAATCTGGGTTTTCCAGTATATGCTGCCTAATAGCAGAATCACAGGTTTTAGTTGTAATTTTAGATTTGCCAGTCCGAGGTGGCTTTTCTCTTTAGGGACGAATTTTTTATTCATACAGGATAGAACATGTTGTTTTGTTCTATCCTCCAATCTTTGGGTAGTGCGTCCTATGTGGCCAGAATCACACTGGCATGTAAATTCATAAACAACAGAACTTTTTTGTGTGGCAGGAACGCCATCCTTTTGAATGGATGGAAGGGCCTTTTTAGTACTGTAAACAATACGTGGGTTGACTGCAAAGAGACAATTTTAATTGACTTTGACCCCTCTTCTATGTTCTGCTCACCTCCGAAGACCTCTCATATGAAAACCAACTCTTTCAAAACATTCAATTCGCAATTGGCCTGAGCAGTTTCAAAATATTGACCATTGCAATTGCATATTTGTGTCATTGTTTGTTTTTAAAGTCACAATGTCCCAGTGTATGCTGATGGCCTAATGGTGTTATAACCACATCTCTTCTGAAAGTAGGTACAATGGCACGAAACTTTAAAAAAGGGGACAGTTTGATACGGTGTAAAAGATAGGATATATAGAACCTAGCTGAAAATTGCCCCCTTTTTCTATTTTAAGATGGGGGTACTTCAGACCTTCAAAGACGGTGTTTTCGCATTTCAGTCATACTTTAGTATTACTGCAGGAAACTTTGCAAAATAGGACAGTTTGATACGCTGAAAAAGGTAGGATATAAACCCTGACTGAAAATTGCCCCCCCCCCTTTGTGCTATTTTTAGACTATGGTACTTTACCACATGACACAACGACATTATTTTGATATCTCTGCTGAAAGAAGGTACAATAGCAAGAAACTTTGCAATAGGTGGCAATCTGATGGGAAGAAAATGATAGGATATAGACCCTATCTGAAAATTGCCCCATTGTTCTATTTTTAGACTGGGGTGCACTGCCCCATACCTTTATAGAGGGTGTTATCGTATTTCAGTCGTACTTTGGTACAACAGTATGAAACTTTGCAAAAAATGACACTTAGTGGATATGGACTCTAACTTGAGATTTGCCCCGGTCAGCTATTTTAACTGTAGTTCCAATAGCAACCTCATATTTTTTTTAGTGTACTAAATGCCAACTGCTTTCGTTTTTGCAAACTTTGTGACGTCATGGATAACGCATGCTTTGTCACAGTCAATAATAGGAAAATGGGATATTCAACCTGAAATTTATGACGGTTCCGCAAGAAAAAAATCAACTCAACATATATCATTGAAATCAGCAAATTTTGCTTACAAAAAGTGTGTTTTTATCTAAACTTATCAAATTTCATTTCAGACTTCAAGACCAGTTATCAATTTTTTCTCAATCTTAAAAATTCCTCAGAGCCTAAAAACTACTGGGCTTAGCGGATGCATTCCACTAGAGACTATGAACTGACTTGGACTATGACTTTGACTAGAGATTATGAACTAGAGACTATGTTAACTATGAACTTTTTTTTGACGGACATAATGCCCTTTGATAAATGTTACCTGATACCTGTGTTGATCAGAACATGAACTGAAAGTAGCTGATGATTCAAAAACATTTTTAGTGATTATTCCTTGCCAAAAAAAATTAAATCTATGACATCTACCAATTTGTATTTGCCTGATTCAAGACCAATAATTTTTTTGTGCAAATTTTATCAAGGTTTCAATTTTTCCTTAAAGGCAATTGGCAGTTGCTTAAGCTATCTGTCAGTCAAAATTAGCCTATCTATTAGTGCATACCACTCACATGTTTAATGATCCATCCATAGTTGATTGAAAGATGGCCCAAGCCACTAATCTTTTGATTGCTTTAATGTTTCTAATTGAAATGGCAACAAATCTGTCTTGAAATCATGGTTCAAAACATACAGGTTTTCCTTTATTCTGTTTTGCTATCTTTTTGAATTTTTGCAACATCACATAAATCCAAATTTCATATAATATAGCAGTATCTTGTAGGTTAGTTACAGGTTCAGGATAGGAATTATAAGTAATTCTGTATGTGTAGCAAAAAAAACTCGTAAATAAAGAGGGTTTATTCTAATATTCATTTTAACATTTGACCAATAGAGATCATCACCCCCAAAAACCTTAATTTTTCTGCTTTTGCTGCACATTGCTATTTAGATTTAAACAAAATTCCAACCACTTTGGAAATCTTCCAAGAGAATGTTTGAAGTTTTAAAGATCATCTTGATATTTGTGGCAGACCTTTTTTTATGCTGCATAAAAGGTTTTTAAGGTGTTCTTAATTTCAAACATGCAAATATTCTAACCATATATTATCATAATGCATTAAAGAGTGAAATGTTCATTTTAGTTTGAAAAGCCTGGGAAAAGAGAGGATTTTGACTATCCCCAGATGGCTTTGGAATCAGGTATGCTTATAATGTACATTTTATAAAAGGTTTATAAAAGGTTTTATAAGGTGGTTTTTGATTGTATAACAATAAGATCTATTACAATTTGGATCAAGAAAAATTGCACCAATCTTACAGATTCACAAAATTTTTCCAACACATGCAAAGTCAGATTAGCTTAAGTGATTTCCTTTTCCTTTTTAGGGCGTGCTTGTCATCTTAGATAATTTCTCCCTGAATATTAAACCTGAAAGAAGTAAAAAACTTTCTGAAATATGAGAACCATTTAATATGTATTTTTTCTGTAAGCATACCCTAGAAAAGCACATGAAGATACTGAGCGCTCTTTATGAGTCTTATTTTCATTCAGGTACTGAAGCATTGAATGTCAGCGGACTTACCTATAAAGACATTCAACAAGCAGTTGTTGGATATGTATATGGTATGTGTGCAATCAAGTTCTCGTCTGCTTTTAACCTTCTCAACACATGCAATTAGGTTTTATAGTTATGCCTGTTACATTGCTTTCATATTCTGAAATTAGGCATGTGACCAAAATCTGATAAAGAGTTGCTAAAACATGAAACAGGGAAGACCCACCACTCACTGTGCTTGACCCACCATTAAAAAAACCACAATTTCTGCCACTGCCCTTGACACTTATAGAAACTTCCACATTTTCATTAAATTTTGATAAAGATCATGTATCTAAAATTTTTTGTCAAAGAAAGAATGTATATTTTCATTTACAAAAAGCGAAACAATGAATGTGGCTTGTATTAAACCTAGGTATAAAGATAATTGGGCGAAGAAAAAAATTTCTAAAAACATTTCTTATGTGTCATTCATATTTATCTTTTTTGTTTTTCTGTCAGTTTTTTATAATAAACATTTTCACATCCCCCTTGAATTAAAAAATGTATTTGAAAATTTTAGCTGGGCTTAGTTCTGTTTGTCGCATTTGAAGGGCTGTTGCCCAATTAAATTGGAGTTTTAGGAGCCTAAAATTTTATATATGTAAAATGCTGTGAGACAGCCTTTTAGAGTTTTGGAGTGGGTAGTAATGAACAGGAAAAGGTTAGAACGTTTTTTTGGAGTTTACATAAACTAAGAAACTTTTGTGATGTAGAGTTACAAGACTGACTTTCGTCTATATTAACTATTAATTATATTGATTATAAAAAGGTTATCAACACTACTAGGGCTGTTCTATGTTGATAAGTGAATTTTTTACCAATTTAGGTGAATCTACTTGTGGACAGAGAGCTCTTTATGAATTAGGATTAACTGGGATTCCAATATACAATGTGGGTAACATTTCAAGCTATTTGAGGATGCTTTCTTCTTTCTTACTGAGTTTCAGAATCATAAGAGTCTTTGTTATGATTAAAATATCTTTCAGATCATTGAAATATCTTTAAGCAATTGTTGTACTTTCACTTTTAATAATTTTTAATTTCACTTTTAATTTTACTGTTAAACAGTCTTTTGCAGTACTATACAACAAAATAGAGTAAATCTTTTAAGGGCCATCAAGATGATATTCGAATGTCGTAAATGCCGAGGATAATATTGAATGTAAAATTATACAGTGTACATGTTAGTTGGATAGTCCTACCTTTGATATATTGCTAGTCTTACTATTGTTCATATTAGTTTCAAAAAGGACGTTGTAATGTTTAAAAAATTATACCAAAAATATCCACTATGTCATTATAGCAAAAAATCAATCTGAAAATAGATTTATCCATTCTCAAATCCAGGTTAATAATAACTGCGCAACTGGCTCTTCAGCTCTAATCCTTGCAAAGCAGCTTATACAAGGAGGTATGGTTATAATATTTAACCATTTTTTGTACTTTCTATGAACCACTGCAATGTTTTGTTAATGTGCTTTAATTTATGAACTTGGGACAGTAGCCGCAATGCAAGTAGTGGGGAGCAAATTGCTCAACCTACCATTAACTTCTATAATGGAAAACGTTACTAAAGGGGCTATACAAACACCCCAGATGTAATTGCTATTGGGGAGGAAATGGATATGAAAATCCACCTTTCCCTATTATAAGCCGATGCACAAAGAACGAACAGGTCTCTTGTAATGAGGCTTCACCAAGCAAAGGCTTCGTACGTTATTCAGAACTCTTAGATACCTCTAGTTCAACCTAGGGAATAGAAATAATATGAAACCACAACCTTTCCATAGTATAGTGAACCAAAGTCAGAAGCAGGACAAAGACTCCACAGCATAGTGCATAATCTTGTAGAAAGGGTACAGGAAAAACGTTAGGAAGCACGTCACTACAGACCATCACGAAAAGAGAAAAATTAAAACTCAGGGCTAATTAATTAAAGGAAAACGCCCCTTGTGAAATTAAACAAAGTTAGAATTGACAAATGCTTTACAATTTTTGCTTCACCTTAATTTAATTGCCAGTAAACCCTTTTAGGATTATTTGATTATCCAAGTTTTCTTTGAGGGTGATCTCCATATAGCCACAGAATTGGAAATAGGCAGAAGGGTAACTCTCGTCGGTTCCTTTGTTGTTTTTGAAGCCTGAGTCAACAATAGAATTGCTTAATTCTCCTTTAACCTCTGTTTCATTAGACGAACTTAGTCATGAAAAATTATCATTCATTAATCAGATATAAACGATTTATGATACATAATTGAATTTGTTCACTATCATGGGGCATTTCGTCTCAAATAAAGTTGTCTACTTTCCTTCTTTTTCAAAATTTCCCCGACACATGCTAAGCCTCGTATAAGTTAACGCATGCGCTAGTTTTTTCAGGCTTCTCCTGATAGGCAGGAGTTCCCCTTTTGCCTAATTTCTATTCTGTGATATAGCAGTGGTCTCTGGGTTAAGCTCTCAGTTTGAGAAAGAGATTATACCAAAGGCATATTAGGTCTGTTTACAAAAGCATATAAAAGCAATCCGTTTTCCCCCAACTCTTCAATTTATACTCTTGGTTTTGCAAGAGTTCGTTTTTTGCCAATTCATGTCCATTTCCTTTTGTTTTTTCTCACACCGTAAGTGAAATGGCTAGCCGAGAGCCTCTAGGTATGACTATTGCATCAGCCTGAATGCTGGAAAGAATGGGCTTTTCTGGGATATCCCAGGCAAGACCTCAAAGTATACCCTATTGACAAGAAGTAATATTTACGGTTTCAACGGTTTTTTTGATAACCCAAGTGGCTTTGGCTAGTGAACCATCACTGCTCCTCATGACGAAGGAACATAGCTTCAAAAGAATGATATTTGGGGATTTTGGTTAGATTTTCTTTGGGAGCCACACAAAGAAGTTTCTTTGCTCTTGTATAATTCCAGGGTTTTATATAAGTAACGGGCCTTTGAAAGTATACCATATTTCATCACTTTAGATCTTGGAATTCCAAAAGATGAAGGCACACGGCTGTTTTCAACCCCTGCTGTTTATCTCTCTTTACAAATTTTAAAGGTAATCGATTATCGACAGATACTAAAGGGGCTTATACCGATTAATTGATTTCAATCAAGAATTGACCAATCAGTGAGTGACCAATCACTCAAGAGTTCACCAATCAGTGAGTTCATTTCCATCCAAACGCTTATTGACTGGCTAATATTGATTGCCAAATGGCTTAAGCCACTTGAATACCTGTCGATTTCATCTAATTATGTACATATATTCATATATATCTTGTTCTGCTAGGTATCGCTGACTGTGTGATGGCTGTTGGTTTCGAAAAGATGGAGAAAGGCTCTCTTGGTTTGAAGGTTTGAATCTTATTTTTATTGGGATTTGTTCACAACGTTGTGTTTGCATTGCAAATTGTCAATGCACCTCGATCTCAGTCTTGATCTCTTTTCCATTTTTGTTCTATTTAAGCAGGGTTAAGCTCGATTGGAACATTAAATAGCCTAAACACTGGGAATCATCCTTTGGTTCAACTTTTATTCAGCTTTAGGTATCAGATTCAAAGGTCAAAGGTGAAATGCCCATGTTTATCGTTAGTCAAAGAACCAGATCCCATATTATTGCTTTGAGTGGGCCAGATGTCAAGGGTCAAATGTCAAGGATGAAGGGTGAAATCCTCTTTTTGAAATCCTTTTTTTGTTTTCTGTACATAAATGAGCCCTGTTCAGATTCAGTCCGGTGATGTCTGTCTCTTTAATCTGTATTGTTGCTGTCAAAAGAAGTTTTAAAAAAGGCAACAAAGTTTAATTGAAGATGCTGTTGTCATATAATTAGGACTCCTTATTCACGCGTGTAAAGAAAGCGCATTCTAGATATTTAGTAAGCATTAATGGATAAAGGAGATAAATACTTTGGTTCCTTTTATTTGTATCACAATCCCTTTCGTTCGAATTGTTCTGATGCTTTCCAGGCTTTTAATCCCTACAAATAACCCAGTATAAGCACCATGTTATTGGTAAGACTAATTTGATATAAATGTGAATCATAACCTGGGCAATCTAATGCGTATTGTTGGTAGCGAACACAGTTATTTTTTCCCCGAAAATTTCTGAATAACGAACTCTCTTGAGTGATGTTATATCTTTATGGATGAAAAAAATAACAATTAATAGCACCATGCCACTATCTTCATATAAATACTTTCACTTGTGTATTGTCGGTCTCGGTACTTTTATAATGTAATTGACATTTCTTAGCATAAGTTATATGTTACTTTACTTTATTACTACGTCTGTTTATCAAATTTTCACTATATTTGCGTTTTTAGTATTTTTTTTCAACCTGAACATCTCCTGCTTGTACTTGCATACAAAATGAATAGTAATCAAGGATAGTATTGGAAAAATATCATTTTGAATGAAATTACGTACAAAGACTCCTAAAGGGGATGCTCTTATTTCCAGCGTCCAACAATATTTAGCAAAATCCCTTAAGCATTTTTCAAACCTCCTGCGCAGTATGGAATATTTTCCCAGTTACAGTTAATTTAATCCGAATTCTCAGTGCAAAAATAAGCAACTCCCATTTCCCAGTTTACCCCTTCAGGGCCCTCTTTTGGGCCCTTTTTCCTTTCCTGGATTCACCTGGCTCATTCAGAAATTTAGCCATTGTTCTCACTTAACACATCTTACTCTCATTAAACTACGTTTTGTTAGTACTTACTCAATCAAATCCCTATTATTCAATTAAATCAGCGTTAATTTTAGTTCATAATTTTCATAAATGTTTTATATGTTTGGTACAAAAGTCGGTCTGCTTCAGTTCGCCCTAGGTCATAAAGACAGGCACGTAAGTTAGAGCAGAGCAAATATGCTTATTGTTTCTTCAAGGTAAATTCTAGGTTCCATCGATATTTTGATGAAGTGGCAAATCGATTTCAAAAGAACCTGTTTGCTTTTTCGTCATATTTTCTTTGCCTAGGTTTTCAAAATCAAATTCACCAGCTCTTTTGACACATAATCAACATCTTTTGACACATAATCAACATCTTTTGAATGAATATTAGACAAGAAAATAAGTATTTGCAACCTTTATCTTTTTATCTACCTCCATAATTCGCTTAATGAATTCGCCACCTTAAAGGCTGGCCAGGAATGAAATAAACCAGTGTTCTATAAAGCTCTATTGTAAAGATGCACTCGAACAGGAAAGTTCCCTTCTAAATTTTTTTTGTTTAAAATATGTGTATAGCAATAACAGCGAGAACGAGCGGTCTATTTACCTTTGCAGTTAATGAAAATCTTCTGGACTTATAAAGTTTCAAAATTGTTTCATCTTTGATCATGCAGAAGATTTCGATTAATTAAAAAACCACATAAAGTTGCTTGACATAGAATATTTAATTTTGTGTCTATCAATCGCAATATCAGTGTTACTTTGATTTTTGCCGAAAATGATGATACTACGGATTTTGTATTTGACATACTGAATATATAGGTGGAGCATCAAATGTCAAATATTTTTGCGACCGATATTCTACTGCTTCTTTGCAAAGCGGACTGCATACGATGTCATCTGCATTTCTTGCACTCATTTCATTAACACCAAGCAAACTTTGTACCACCAAATTGTTCACTTTTTAAAGCAGATGAATTTTCTTTTCCCTAAGAGTGAAAAGTACTTAATTTTAACTCTTTGTATCTTCATGTATTTGCATCTACAATAAATATGGGACATTTTCTCGATGTTTGTTCGAAGCTCCGTCCAAGGGCTCCAAATGTTGGCATAAGGCTTGTGAGGAAAAATGACATTTCAAACATATTAATGATTAATGGTTTATCTTGCCAAGGTGTGAAGTTTTCTTGAAATTAAATGAATCAGTAGGATATTTTTGAGATCTTGATATCTGTTGTCGCTAACTAGATGTCAATATTCAGATTTTCCAAGTAATACGCATAAAACCATCAGAACATGGACGATTTTTTCGTTTAATTCATGATGTAAGTATGAAAATGTCTGCTTCGGAATCATCAATTATGCCCAAAGCTTTTCTGCATATCTGTTGAAAGCATTTAAAATCGCTTTTTCTAAGATTGTCGGATTATCACAGTAGGAGAATGTGCTTACAAAAAATCCGAAACAGCCGTTACTGGTGCGAGCGAATTAAGCCCTGGTCAAACGATCCAACGTTTCGCCCAAAATTTCGCCCAACGTTTTTCTTCGATGTTGGAGAGTGATCCAATGTTTGTGATCAAACGATCCAACATTTCACCAAACTTTTCAAGGCAATAGAATTGTTGGATGTCGGCAGCCAAATTTCATCCAACATCGAAAATATTTATCAGTTCTTCCAACATGGTGTTGGGCGAAATATTGGGTGAAATGTTGGATCGTTTGACCGGGGCTTTAGCTTTTGACTCTGAAGAGGTTGTTTGTTTCCAATGTTTCTTGTATATATCTTCAGACAATGCAGGCGTACATAGATTCACGCAACATTAATTTTGTTCATCCTTCAGTACGGAAACTGTGTTCTTAAGTGTGACTGCAGAAGAATTATATTCTTCAGAATTTTTTAATTTTGACCACAAATACAGTTAAGTATGTCAAAAATCAGGTGACGTGGCTAATTAAAGAGTTTCCTAACCGGTAACTGTTACAGCTTGTGCTCATCTGGCCATATCTCAGCTAATTTGTGACATGTTTAACTTATTTTGCATGCTTGGAGAAATTTTATGGTGCACTTTACAGCTTATGCTCATCTGGCCATATCTCAGCTATTTTGTGACATGTTTAACTTATTTTGCATGCTTGGAGAAATTTTATGGTGCACTTTACAGCTTATGCTCACCTGGCCATATCTCAGCTATTTTGTGACATGTTTAACTTATTTTACATACTTGGAGAAATTTTATGGTACACTTTACAGCTTATGCTCATCTGGCCATATCTCAAACTAATTTGTGACATTTTTAACTTATTTTACATACTTGGAGAAATTTTACGGTGCACTTTACAGCTTATGCTCATCTGGCCATATCTCAGCTATTTTGTGACATGTTTAACTTATTTTACATACTTGGAGAAATTTTATGGTGCACTTTACAGCTTATGCTCATCTGGCCATATCTCAGCTATTTTGTGACATGTTTAACTTATTTTGCATACTTGGAGAAATTTTATGGTGCACTTTACAGCTTATGCTCATCTGGCCATATCTCAGCTATTTTGTGACATGTTTAACTTATTTTTCATACTTGGAGAAATTTTATGGTACACTTTACAGCTTATGCTCATCTGGCCATATCTCAGCTAATTTGTGACATTTTTAACTTATTTTACATACTTGGAGAAATTTTACCTTGCACTTTACAGCTTATGCTCATCTGGCCATATCTCAGCTAATTTGTGACATTTTTAACTTATTTTACATACTTGGAGAAATTTTATGGTACACTTTACAGCTTATGCTCATCTGGCCATATCTCACCTATTTTGTGACATGTTTAACTTATTTTGCATACTTGGAGAAATTTTATGGTACACTTTACAGCTTGTGCTCATCTGGCCATATCTCAGCTAATTTGTGACATGTTTAACTTATTTTGCATACTTGGATAAATTTTATGGCGCACTTTAGGTTATTTAATCCAAATTTTTAAACATTCATTTTTTGATGTCATCGCTTAGTAAAAGCTCTGTTAAAGCCATTTGCTTATGGTATTGCTCCGAAAAAGCGCCCTCTCGAATGAACGTCTTCTTGATAATGTTAAAATGCAAAATTGCTTTCTTTCGTTTGAATGCAGAAAAATGCAAATGCCAAAATGTATCCCCTCTTTTAAAGGCCCCCCTCCTCGTTGGAAAGAGGCTATTTATCTTAAATCTAGATAAAATATAGAGCACGGCTGCCGTTTTCTTAATTACATTTTCTGTCAGATGTTTGGATAACTTTTCTCCGGAAAGAAATCTACGTTTTGATGCAAAGCAATGGCGGGAAAACTTTATTCTTATTCGCTTGATTGTGCATCGGTTTAGGGGTGATTTAATAAAAAACAACCCTTTTGAGGTCAGGTACTTTCTTTTCTAGTACAATGACAGAGCTGTCCCTGTTGGCAAGCACATAGAAGTGATGAGTGAAGTTGCCGAACTTAGCGCGTCACCTATGACTGCTCAGATTTTTGGCAACGCTGGGAGGGAGCATATGAAGAAATTTGGTACGATGTTTTATCGGCATCTTTATCTAAATGGAAATCTTGTATTGAAATAAGGATTTATTTGTCCAAGGTAGTTGTTGAATACTACTCACAGACTGCTTAGTTTTCCCATCACTTTGATCTAGCAGCTCTCCTTTATCAAAATGAAGCAAAGTTCAAACTATGTTTTTTACGTAGAATACAATCTAGACCAAGGAGCAACTCAGTTCTACTGCCTTTTTGTATTTTTCTTTTTCATCCAGTACTAACAGTAATGGTTGGTAAACCTACCTTCTATTGATTATGATGTCTTCCATGATGTTTTCGCCAATCATTACGCTTGTTTAAGACTAGGGGAGGAAATCGACTCTTCTTTAAATATGTTAAAAAACGTTAATATTTTAATGAGTCGTCTCGTTATCTGCTGATTGTATGCTATAACTTATGACTACCCTTCACTTGAATGGACGACTGCTTCTTCTTGCAGGTTCAAGACTATATTGTTGCATGATATGCAATTTTACAAAGCACCAAATTTATCCAAACTCTTTCCTTTGAATTTATACCCATCATTAACTTTCAAGAAAGAAAGTTACCCATTTGGTCTCTTATATTTTTCTTGGTAAAATACCCATAACGTGTCTCTATTTGGCTGTTTCAGGTACAAGTAAACTGCATTTCGCCAAAATTGCTGAGAAGAATCACAGGCATTCTGTCAAAAATAAGTATGAACTCTACAGTAAATTGAATCATTTGTTCGCTTGTAGTCTCTTCCTTTATTTTTCAATTTTCTCTTTTTGCGATTTAGATTCTGAAAAGTCACGTTCATCACAAAATTTCTGTGACTCATTTGCAGATTTTTTGAAAGTTCTGCATTGTGTTTTTCCTTTTAGCCTCTCTCAGTTCACGAAAGAGTATACTTTAGATGAGATACTAAACTCTACCTCGATTCATGATCCACTCACAAAGCTCCAATGCTGGTAATTACAAATATCTTTATTTTGCTTTGCACCGAGTTACTAAATCTCATCTAACCCAGCTTGTTTACGTTGAATTTTCTCATAGCCAAATCTTTCAAACTAAAATCTCGCGTGCAAAGGTTTCAGATTCTGTTAGGCTTATTCGCTAACGAGTTTCCTTAAATTTTTGGTGGTACAAAACTTGAATATGGCTTTGAAGAAAGCAAACATTTGAGTAAACTAAGGCTTTTCGTATGACATTCTTCAGAGTTTTAAACATCAGAACATGGATCGAAAACTAAATCTCAAATGTTTGCTTTTTTCAAAGCCATTTTCGAGTTTCCATTATTTGGGAAATCCTCTTTATGATCAAAGTATACTGTTTTTTACTTAGTATAAAATCTTAAAGTATGACCTTTTGGAAGCTTTTGTCACTGTAGGGTCTAGACAGTAGGTAATCGTACCCCGGGTTTTTACATAGTGTGATAAGATGTAATTTGAGATCACATAGTGTGATAAGATGTAGTTATGCCTATGAATAGAAATGAAAGAGATGTTTATGTTGATTAGATAACTTGCTTGCTGTATACAAGAGTGTATTTTCTGTAAAAACACCTAAAACTTTGAGTTACTGAGGTATTTTATCACCTGTGTAAAGTTTAGTTTCTGCAGATGCTTTACCCCAAGTATACAGTGTTTATTTCCATGCAATCCGTATATCGTTAGTGTCTATAAGAGGTACTCTGCAATTATTCATAATTTAATATTCTTTTTATAAAGCAAAAGTCTGTGTAAGCATTGATTATGAAACATATGTTTTGCAGCCCAACGTCAGACGGCGGTGCTGCTGCTATTCTCTGTAGTGAGAAATTCGTCAAAGAGAAAGGGCTGCAAGACCATGCTGTAGAAATAATTGCAATGGAAATGGCAACAGACTTGCCAAGCACGTTTGCTGAGAAGAGCTGCATTAAAATCGTACGGGTCCTTTTATTGTTATGTAATATTCTGTTAGGCTCACACTATTTAGCTGAGATTCGGACTTGGTTCTTTTTCACCTGCTCCATTCTACCCCAATGGAGCTTTAAACAAGGAGAGTTGGTTTAGATTTTCAGAATAATATCATAGACTATTGCTCGATAGAAGACATTTAACATATAACAAAATGAAAGTTGGCCGTGAGAAAGTGCACGGCAGACTTAGGTATGTTTTAAATGTTTCCTTTTTCAAGGCTATTTTTGAGCTCTGTAGTGCCAAAAATTGTTTGGAAATCTGAAGGGCTTTGACATTTTTCATGTATCAGTGAGACAGTCTTACTTTTCCAGACATCTGTCGTCCTAAGAGTTTCCTCTCATTTTACATTCATGGCAATCATATTACTGGGAAACAGGTTTGGCTTTTTTCATAGCTAGACGTTGTCATGTCTTTTTATCGCTCCTAAAAGACATCATAAGAATTAGTTAGAGAGAAATTTATTGATAGTGAGTCTATTTAAAAGGCTGATTTTCTTTACACCTGCCCGTTATCCAATCGACACTTAACTGATTAGTGGAGGAAATCCATCATTAATATAATATTTTCTGTGCAGTGTTTCTGTTCAAGCTGAACCTCGTTGGATTAAGTATTTGGCTTTATTTTGCTACTGCTGCTTTTTGTTATTTTGCTCAATATCCTTACAGGCCGGATATGACATGACCAGAAAGGCAGCCGAATCAGCTTTCAGAACAGCTGGTGAGCAGTGAATGATTTGACATCTTTCACATTGTTTTGCTGGAAGGATTATCGGTTATTAATTGTCATTTTTTTTGTTTTTTGTATTGGGAAGATTGTCTGTTCTTAAATGGTCTCATCCCTGTTTCCAATGTTAAGCAAGTTAAGGCGGGAACACACTCTTTTATACAAGTTGTTTTGCATTTGTCCTTATGATCACCAAAAGCCAGTTAAAGTGACAGTGAAGCTCTTTTTGTAGGTGACAGGTTGGCCACGTTGTGACGGAAATATCCGCCACAATTGAACTCTTAGAAGTCTCTGTTCTAATGCTGTTAAAGTTGTTCCTCTAGAATCCGTGTTTTGTCTGAGGGGCCGAAATTCTCGTTGGATTGGTCTGACTATCGAAAGTAATAAATGATTTTCTAACATTACTTTTCAAGAGTTGCCGGTAGTTGTCTCTGTAAACAGGTCTATTCTCCTTCCCGAGGCTGTTGTGAATGCTTTTATTCTTTGGACAGAGGAACTAGAGTTGTATACTGCAGCTTACTGTATTTCGATTTCACCCTCCATATTATAGTCTCGGCGAGAAATGCCTGCAGAATTCCGAACAGCATTTGTTGGTCCCTATGATCAAGCTAGGTTTCAAAACCTTGCAAACTGACATCCCTCAGCAGTAACGTGCCACTTGGGTGAGGCTTTACACCATCACTGTCTCTTGTTTCCAGCGATCATTGTAAGCGTTTGAAGGAAGTTGCATCTGGAGATGAAATCGTCCTGCTGCCTTTAAAACAATCATTCAACTTAAAGTTAACCCCTCACCTCTGTTAAGAGCCAAGTGATCAAACTAAAGGCCTACTGCAGGCGCAATCCAGCCCTGATGTCTCTGTATGAAAGAAAAGGGAATTTCCGAAGGAAGCAACAGGCGCAATGATTGCCAAAAGTCTTATCTCTCTTCTTAAAGAATGCTGGATCTTTCTCCATAGAAATACACTATTTGAGCGTTGCCTGTATTTAAAAGAACTTCAATGCTGAGGTACATTTCCAGCATCTTTTTGCTGGGAAAGTGGTTAACACATAAAAAATCGGGCATTGACTGAAACTGTTTAGGCGTTCCAAGTACTTTGGGCAAGCATTTTAGATTTGCGCATTTAACTTGTGTCTTAATGTCAAGCAGTTATGTTAAGTTGCTTCGTTTTTTCTAGCAGGCTTGCGACCAACTGATGTAGATGTCATTGAATTGCATGATTGTTTTTCTGTAAATGAGCTGTTGACATACGAGGCTCTTGGATTATGTCCGGAAGGTAAGCGCTATTGATAAGCTAAATTTTGTTTATTATTCGGACTGTCTTGAGATAACTGTAATAGTTAAGTAGGGCTGCCATTTAATGCTTGATATTTCGTGATATAATCATTACCTTTTTTGCCAAGAAATATCTCCCTCATAACCTTTTTACCATATAAGTGTACAACCCGCCAATCGTGAGTTTTTGGCAATACTGGTAACCTTAGACGTTCCCAGTGCCTATTTTTATGTGAAATGCGCACCGGGACATATTCGTACTGCAAAGGAAAATTCGAGTTGCGAAAAGGATGGTTACTGCGAAGGAAAACACACAATCCCTTTTTCGCAACTCGGGTTTTCCTTTTGCAGTGCGTATACTTTCACTTAAAGGCTTGGATAGGACTTTAGGAAAGTCTACGGTAAGCTCAAAGAACGGATATACAGTTTGGTTTGAAAATTACATGATCAAAGCTCTTTTCATCGGTCAAGCCTGGTGAAAGGCAACCTTTAAACGAAAAATACCTCTCTACAATGTGTTCCAATTCTGATTTCACAATCTTCGGTTCTATGCTTTAGAGGTTTCACAGTATTTGATGCGTGGAGTAACTCGTTTATGCTAATATGAACTTTTCGATTTTTTTGTCTGCCCTTGTGTACGCAAAAAGGAACTGAGTCGTGATAAAAGAGATTCTATACCCAAATACATCACATCTTGTTATTCATGTTGCAAGGGTATTGATAGGCCTAATACTGTTCAAACGAAGTTCCCTCGTACTGATTTTGAAAGCTGGTTTTGGCAACGGCAAATTGAAATAAATGGTTGGCGAAATCGTATAAAACATTCATGCCAATTGAATGAAATTTCAAGATGTTCGTAAAAGTTTAGCGATTTTGAAAACGACTTTTTTCAACGGCCAGTTGTATAAAATGGTTGTCAAAATCCAATGCCAAACTTTCATGCCAAAGGCAGATCAGATGGTTCCCTGCAGAGAATGGAATTTAAAAATATTAGTAAAAAGTTAGTAAATTTCAATAATGCTTTAAAAAAGAGATTTTCTATCAGGCAGAGAGATTGGGCTTGTCTGTAAGATGGATGTTTAACACTGTTTTTTGCTAATTACTTGTCATTCTCTCTAGGAAAGGGTGGAGAGTTGGTCGATAGAGGTGATAATACATATGGTGGAAAATACGTGATTAATCCAAGTGGTGGCCTCATTTCTAAGGGCCACCCATTGGGAGCAACTGGTACGTATCTTTCTTTCTTAGACCCCGTTTACACGGGATGGATCGGGCCGAGAACGATCCCCAACTGGTACTGATCAGCCTTCCGATCACACGAGAACGCTCGGGATCGATCTGCTATCCGTACTTATTTTTGTTCGCTTTGGAGAGCGTTACAATTTAGAATCGATCCTGTCTTGTGTAAACGCCCAAGGATAGGAAGCGAGGCTAACTTACTAACCAGTTTGAGGCCTTCTAAAGATGGTGCTTCGACCTTTTCTTTTTAGGGATAATTTTTTTCGAGATTGCTTGTTAGGTGAATCATCTTTTGTGTAGCTGCAAATTCTAGTGAGTTCTTTAGGTATCAAGTGGTGATTTTGCATTTTCAGGACTTGCTCAATGTACTGAGCTATACAACCAGCTACTGGGAAGATGCGGTGATCGACAGGTTCCAGGTGCAAAAGTCGGACTGCAGCATAACCTTGGTCTCGGAGGCGCTGTTGTTGTTGGATTGTACAAACGAGGATTTGTTGAACCAAGGTACTCTTCAGCTTTATTGGTGTTTAACGGCTTTTGTTATTTTTATTGTTCTTGCTTTTCTTGGCAGCTTGTTCCGTCTATTTTACACCCTTAACTAATAACCGAATACCCTTGACAACAGGTTTTTAACATCAGGAGGAATAGGGTGTGTAAAACCTGTAAACTCAGCATTACAAAAATTATAGAAAAAGAACAGCCCATGCATTCCTTGAAAAAAATCAGTAAGAAGCACAATGGATATATGATACAGCCAGTAAAAGGAAATTTTTAGGTTTTTTAGGGTAATAGAGAGTATGAATAGCATGTTTGAGTAACAATGCAAACGCTCACTTCAATTAGTCCCAAATATCTATTTTAGCCGCAGATCAACCATAAATGTCCTCCCTGTCACCTAATTACCTCCGTCTTTACTTATGACGAAGGTGTGGACATTAGAAATTTGTGTTTTTAATTGGCCTTATACTTTTGTTATCAATCCTATATTTACTGCATCGTGGAGAGAGAACCGAAAGGTCGGAGCCATTTAGGAATATGCTACTTTTATTCTGCGGTCGAAATGATACGCTGTAGTTTTAATACTGCCACTGACAGGCTAATCACTGACTTGTGCTGAAACTCCACGAACTCAGATCTCTATAATCAATTTAAAGAAGTCAAACCATAAAACTCTTTGCCTACATTTCATTGAACCTTCATTGGCCCTCGTTGACTGTTAGATTTCATTGTATTTCGTAAGATGTTCTTGCTGATTCACATAGGTATATGTTTACCTATGCAAATTGTCAGCTTCTTTTCGTTTCTTTTAATATCAAACAAGTCCTTATACAAAAAAAACATTGTTTCCAGCTTTAAATCAAAACTTGTCCTCACATCCAACCCACTTGCGGATTCCAACGAAACCAAATTCAAATCACATGCTGTGTTTGAAGAAGTTCGTAAGCGGCTTGAAATGGTGAGTCTTTGACATATTTACTGGTTCCGATCCAAATACCGCTTGCTTGAAGACTTTTACTAAAAAGGATCTGCTACATTATTTACAGATCCTCCTTAGAACCTGGCCGCTAATGAAATGTTAGAAGTGGCACATACGCTGCCAACATTTCTAAATGTACTTATGAAATGACCTGAAAAAGAATGCACCCTTTCAATTAACAAACAGATGTTGTTTCCATTCCAGCATTTTCATGTTCATCAACAATTCCCAAAATCTGGTTGGCTCACCACCCCAGGCCTGGCCGTTTGAGGCGAGCGATAGCTCGCGCTCGCCTCCACGCTCCCCTCGCAACCTGAGGCGAGCTATGAATTGCTCTTCTAAACAGAACATGAAGGAAGAATCGCTCCCCTAAAATTTCCTATTCAGAGAATTATGAAAACGCACAAGGGTTAATTGGTTTATTTTTGTAACAGCGATTTCTTCCGTCATTGCATTTTTTGCAATTAACTTTTTGCTTGTTGGGCGGTTTTTGTTATGATAGGCATAAACTTCGATCTATTTGGAAAACGATAGTTAACCGAAAGGTGCATTTGTAGCAATAGAAACAAAACTATGCCTCAAAGAGAACAAGGTACTCTGTCTTGCAGATCAAAAACGACAACCAAAGCATGGAATTCCACTATCCAGCGGCATTTACTGAAAAACCCAGATTGGGTGAAAACTATAACGGCAACATGTTTGGCATTATTGGCAAAGCCTGATCATCGTTCCATCTAGCAGTTTGTGAATCTATCTACTATATAAACATGACCAACCGCTTTTGTGTAGACATAAGTGAGTTCGTTTTCACCTTAGGACTCCGTTGGTAACATTTTCAATAGGAAAGCGGCACTGATTGGACAACCTCAACAGTCATGTGCTCGCGCTTTCTGATTGGCCTATTTCGATCCAAAACTGGGTATTTTAGCGTAAAGTTTTCCATCTTTGTTCTGACGTTTTATTCTCTGAAGAGTGCTAGACGTATAACTTCAGCTTGTTTTAAAATTTTTTTTCAAATTCTGTATAACAAAAAGATTGTTTTGCAAGAGAATGGTTGTTTTTGTGTTGTGCCAGCTTTACATGAAACTGAAAAAGTCTGTTCTTTTAAATACTTAAAGTAAAGGGGGTGCCTAAGTCACGGTTAAAGCAAATACAAATTGAAAGAAGTAAAACAGCACACTCCTGACTGAGGCAATTACATTAAGGCAACCGACAGATACTAAAGGGGCTTATTAAGTCATCTGTCGATTGTCTTTAAAGTACATTCCATGTGTTACTGATTTAGCTCGCCTCAGCAAATGAGGGGAGCGATTCACAGCTCGCCTATAAAAATACAAACGGCCAGGCCTGCCACCCCCCCTCCCCCCCCTCTCCCCGCTGCCTTGTGCTTTTTCAAAAGCATCTAAAGTTTGTGCATGATATGTATGTACTTACATGTAGATGCAGGAGTATGTTAAAATCACTATAATAGAGGGTACTAAGTCAAGATCGAAAGATGACAAAGTCTAGCATTAGATGCCACCAAAGTCTCCAATATGCGGTGGATGGGTTTGAAGAGCTTCAGTAGCACTTTGTACAGAACGTAACCTTTCTGCTATAGACCTTATACCTGCAAAGAAAATCCCATTCCTTTTACGTGAAGCTGCCATCTATTCCGCTATCCTAGAAAGACCTGTCTTTATTACTCTTCTAAAGTTTGCTATGGCATAGTTTAATAAGCATTGTGAATCATCAAGTTAAATCTGTGTCCACTTCCTTTACATAACTGCCACTTTTCTACTGTCTTGAAGTTGTAATACTGCGAGATCACTGCGACAAACTTAAATGCAAATATGTCAGTTATGCTCATTCCATTTCAACAGGATGGTACTGCGTTGGTAAAAAAACTTAAAGCAGTGTACTGCTTTAAACTTTCTGATGGCCCAGACGGCAAAACTGGAACCTGGTACGTTGATGCCAAGAATGGTAAAGGCTCGGTTAAATTTGGTGACCAAGGTAAGAAGTCAATTTCCTATTTGCGTTTTACTATACGTCACAGTTCAGAAATTTCGCTCGTAATCAAGTGGCTACTATATCAAAAGTATATATAAAGGTTTAAAGTCAGTAAAACCGAAGATGAAGTCCAAGAATGACGGGAGGTGGATTAAGAGTAACTTCATTACCTCTTTGCTTGAAATCCTTTATTTAGACTGGCGAGTGCTTAATTTTTCTGAGCACTGGTTGACGATCCTCGTAAACTTCAAATAATCAATATATCTTATAATATTTAAATAGCTTCCAAGATTTGCCCATTACGGTATGCAATGGAACAATAATCATAGAATGTAGTTACATGGAATTGGTAGCAATCAACTTATATTTTCTTCAGATGTAAAAGCCGGTGTGACTATTAAAATGAAAGACGAGGACTGCTTTCTGCTGATGACAGGAAAGTTGAATCCCCAAACGGTATGTTGAATTTAGTTCTACGTCATTATGTCATTCTCCAAAGTATGGCAAATGCAAAAACAATATCAGTTTGTTGCTGCTAGCTCTTGCAGCCAAAGTTATCATTCTAGAATGCGAAATTCTGTAACTGCATTTTTCCTGAACAGTGCAACGAAGCACGCAAGAAGGAAAACAAATATAAACAATAATTCAGTTTCTCGTCTTCTTTGGTATTCTCTAACTTAACTTTACAACGTCTTCTGCTACCTATCCAACCTATATCTCCCCTTCAACTTCCGTCAACTAATCACAACAACAATAGCTCTCGTTCCAGTCTCTCATTACTCACATCCTCACAACAGTAATACGTTGTAATTTGCACATTTAAAGAATTAATCTCTACTATTTTGGCAGTATCTAGTCTTCAAAAGGGGTGTCTGACCTAGAAGTGTCCTACACAAGGAATTATTCCCAAGTCCCCTTGCTTATCTTCTGTCCCATCTTTCGATTACCCATCCAGCTTTTTGGATAATTTGAGGCACATCGTTTCTTGATGTTTATATCATTCAACACTGATTTTTCTTTAATATTTTTACAAACTGTGTCAGACCCGAACAACTTAGTAAAAGTTTTGCGTGACATTTTTAGAAATGGGTTGAATTATAAAAGCGTTAAAAGTGCTTTCTTATAAAAAAGTCTGTATTCGTTTATATTTGGTAATTTATTGCGTCCAGCAATTTTGTCTTGCGTGAAAGTGGTCCTGTTGTTTCTGCCTATATTGCCACTTTTAGAAAAGCTTTTGAAACTAGTGTGTGAAACGGCTGTGTAAAATATAGACTGTTCAGGCCTTGTTAAGTGGCTCCTCACATGATAGCTTGGACTGTCATCTCGTGAAATATGCCACCAATTAATATTAAACCATTGCCTAGATTTACTAGCCTTTTCTGTCTTTCAATTCTAGCAAATTTCTTTCTGACCTTGAAAATTTGATCACTATTATTGGATAGTTGAGGTAGCTGTTTTTGACTGCACATTATGGACATCAATTTGTTTTGGTAACAAAATCATCGACATATAATCAGTGCAGGCTCCCGCGTGTTATCACGCGTTTTCTGGTAGCCACCACGGCTAGCAGATGGTCAAACTGTGTTTCTTACTTATTGCAAAGTCTCTTTTGAGTGGATAAAAAGATTGATTTTTAGTTTTACAGAAGCCCTAGGACATGAAGTGACCTCTTTGCATTCAGCTTCATAGAACAGTAATAGGAAACACCTGCAGAGAATTCTGTTAATGAAAAAATTTAATTAGCTTAGGAAAGGCGTGTGTCTTTTGTTTGAAGTCTGTTTAAATTGCAATGCTTAATACAATTTGCCGTTAGTTAAATCTGCGAAACATAATAAAATCATTGATAAACTCTAAAGCTACACTATAATCGGCCTTTTCGTGACAGTAGCAGGTGACAATATTCCCCATAATTTTGACAAATGCTCGATCTAGGTAAACGAATGATTCCAATCGATTTTCTCCAAGTAGGCTTCAAAATGTAAACACATTGGAATCCTCAAAATGTAGACACATTGGAATGCTTAAATCTGTCTTGAAATAAGTAGACACGATAGTTTGAAGATGGCACGCAAAAGCGAAAACATAGAATACAACAAGGTGCCTTTCTGCCACCACTCCTGTTTTTAATCGCTGGACAATGTGCCAAAGTAAGCAGAAGATTTTTATCCTGATGTGGATCGAAAGTAACGTGAGAGGAAAAAAGGGCATTTGTTGTGTTTTGTTGCTTTTTAATCAATTAATCAACCGCTGATCTCGCATCTAGTTGAACAGTCCAAGAGAGAAAAAAAAACTTTTAAAGTCTACACAATTCGGGATCCTTTTTTTGATGTAGACAGATTTCAAAACACCTAAATGAAAAGATTACCTTGCTTGCCGAATGATTTTGAAATTGTTTGGAATAGTATTGTGATCTTCGCTGGTCTTCGCTGGAAACGCATTCCCCGCGCAATACTCATTCTTTTTTATTCCGCTTGTGCATTTTAAGAATCTGCCGTAGATTCTGCGCATAATATTTTTTTATCTGGTCATGTTCCGCGCGAACATTCCACCATGTAAACTTTCGATTACTAGAAAAAACAAAGATTACAAGTTCTCTTCAAACGCCTCTCTTCGAATTGCGCACACGATTTCTCGCAAAACGTTCATTATCTCGCAAAACGTCCATTATCCGCAAATATTGATTTGTTCTTTTGCATTCCACTGTATTTCGTATTGATGAATCAAAGATAGGTAAATACATCCAGTTCAATTCAAGCTTATTATTTTCATAGTGACTATTGCTGTTAAAATAAATTGACGAAAACAGGATTTATTGTTTCTAGACACGATATGTAAGATACACGTCTTCTTGATGTGACAATTATAAAGATCTTTAATATCAGTGAATAGCTCTGAGAAGCTCGAGCGAATAGCTAGAAATGCAACTTTCTGCCTGAGCTTAAATATTTCCTCAACCCTTGGATTATATATATATATATATCATAGAGTTGAAGAAAGTAAAACTACATGGTCTATCTCTACAAGCCTGTTTCGTGAGTAACTCACTCTGCAGGTGATATATCACGCTCTACGTGCTAACGTTTTGAGCACTTTGCTACGGAAGTATCAAAAGACAAATTTCTATATATATATATATATATATATAATTAATTTTTCGAGGAAAAGATGGCAACCGCCTCCTGTGCGCCCCCCTGCGCGCCCCCCTGCGCGCCCCCCTGCGCCCCCCCCTCTTGCGCCCCCGTGCTCCGTCGTCCCTGAATACGAGTTAAGGGTCGAATTTCTTCTCAAGAAAGCAGTAACTTGAAGTTGAAATTTCACCAGTGATCCAAGTGTGCATTAATTTGTGGCCTAGTGTAAATTCTCATGGTTTTCCGTTTCTCTCAACAGGCATTTATGAAAGGCAAATTGAAGGTAAGCGGAAATATTGGATTGGCATTGAAACTGAAAGAGCTCCAACCCCCAAAGGCGAAACTGTAATTTTGCAACTTCGTATGCTGAAATGTTTAGGAAACTAAGAAGATTAAAGAAATTAAATTTGTTATTCTCGGTGAGTCAAGAGTGGTTATACTCGGATGATTTTCAAGAGTCATTTTTCAGGATTTTTTTAAGTCTTCAGATTTTTCATGTAACATGTGTTTTGTGATCACAGACCTCTGTTAGAAACGTTTTATGAATGGACTCAATGAACTCAATATTGCAACTGAATAATACACAAAAGAAATCTCTGATTTTATTCTTGGTAAAGCGACTTTCGTTAATTTTCAATATCTAGACTGCATGCCTTTATCGTGGCCAAGTATTCCTCTAAGATAAATAAAATTTCTTTAGAGTTTTATTACAGTTGAAATGCTTGAAAAGAAATATTCTAACGTTTGTTTTTTGTTAATACCTTTTGCTAGTTCCGATAAATTACATTTTATTCTAGTTTCAATTGATTGTCAGTTCTAGTCATCTGTCATCATCAGTCATAATCATGATCATTAATCTCCAATCATTATTTATTAATCATCTTCGATCATCATTATCACCCTCGTCATTACTATCAATTATTATGATTATAATCAATCATCGCCAGTCATAATCATGATCAATAATCTTTATTCATTATTTATTAATCATCTTCGATCATCATTATCACCCTCGTCATTACTACCAATTATTATGTTTATAATCAATTATTGCCAGTCATAATCACGATCAATAATCTCCAATCATTATTTATTAATCATCTTCGATCATCACGATCGTCATCATGCATCATTATCACCTTGAAGTTACCACCACTACCATGTTAGATAAAATAATCATCTCCTTTTAAAATTTTTACCGAAATGGTTTGAGTATCCGCTTAGGATGATACTATAACCACGTGTCATACACGTCGAGGGTTTTTGACTGTATTAACGAATCGCCGTTCGCTTAGGGTGAGGGAAAATTTACCTGCCAATATGACATGCAGCAAAACATGTTCCCTATCCAGATTTGTCGTGTCTGCCTTTCCTGGTTGGGTACAAGCCAAGTGATTCTGCTTTTGTCGCTCCAATTAGCGGACACCGTCGGGGCACGAGCAAGGTCCGCTAATTGGAAGTGTCCGCCTTTTGGAAAGTTTCGCAATGTAAGTCCCAAATTGAGGTTGAATTGTGGAGGTGGCTATGGTCTGGAGATTCCAGTAATTTACCACTTTCATGGACGAAAAAAGTTAGTAAACTGGGCTCTAAAGAAGTTCAAAGCTGTAAAAAACCAACTAGATTGTCAAAAGTCAAAGTGTTTGAAATAGATGTTTGAACAAATATTCATTCGTCTAAGTTTTTGTTTGCTAGCTTCTAAGTTATTTGTATTGTCCGCTAATTGGAGAAAAAAAAAGCCAAATTGACTATTTTGTTCAAAAAATTTGTTCGCTAATCAGAGGTGTCAGCTTTTTAGAGTGTCCGTTAATTGGAGAGAATACTGTATAATGTTTCGCTTACAACCATTTCTATTCTCTTGTTTTTACCAGTTTCAGCTTCTAAATCGTATGTGATTGTGGAAAATTCGCATGGTTACGATTACCTTTTATATAATCACTACAGTTACCTCCAATCAAACCGCCATAATCCAGCGCTGTAGTTTCTCCGTGAAACTCGAGCGGCTTTATCATTCGTTTTTTAGGGAATGTTCACCGATCGTCTGCGTGGATCAAAGGATAAGTTTTTGGTTACCAGCTTTTTTGGTTTTAATTTTCATGACAAGAGATTTGCTAAGTCAATGGCTGAGATCTCCGTTCTTCCTGCTGGCTGCGTCTAAAGTTGCTTTTTGGAGGCCTCTCAGTTTATTATCCGTTTTAACTCCCCATCGGGTAGCGGATAATGTTTTTCGCCTCCATTATTCAATAAAAAGAGGAAGGTGTGTTTTCTTTGACAGTAAACTGGTCAGTTTCCTTTCGAACCGACTTTAATAGTTCTTCTATTTGGATGGTGGTATATTTTCAAAAGAACTGTGACAGACTATTCAACACTTGCAATTCAACTCAATACAAACAAAGTACAAGGTTACAAAACGTACGAAATCTTGAAATCTTCAAGTCTGCTGTAACAAAAGGCACCTCAATAGGGGCGGGGGGGATGGGTTGAAACTAAATGGGTACACTATTACAGAAGTCCATTCTGAAATATTCAGCAAGGAACCTTGATCAAGGGATATTTTAAGCCTCTGACATTTCTTTTATAGACTGGTTTTTTTGATAACTTTTTGGAATGTTTCCTTGGTAGTGATGCGTTAGGGTTTGCTTTCATTGTTCAACTGCTCTAAATTTTAAAAAGCAAATGCTTCTTACCGACTTGTAAAAAATGTGTCAGCTTATTTTCTTGTTGTTGCTGTAAGAGCCGTTCCGAAATAGTGATTATTTGAAACTGAAGTGAAACATTCATTCCACTTGCTTTTTGTGTATATTTTTGTGTCTTTAAAGAATTTAGAGTCTTGCAGCAGCGGGTAAAATCCAGCGTTTCAACGGGGCAAGTAACCTAACCATTTGAGCATGTCCCTAACCAAAGATTTCAAAATTTTATATCCAATAATCCTATCACAAATACACTCATTTTTTTTATAAGAAACTGGCTTTAAGAAACGAGTACTGGACAGTCAGAAGAAATTAATAAACTTCAGTACGCGAAGCAAAATATTTAAAAAACTTATTAAATCGTCATAAAACTGAGAACAACAAAATTTTGTAAAATCCAAAAATGGATTGCCCTGTTGGCTTAGAACTTCGGACACAAGTGATAAAAATATACTTCCCACATCTAAATACAGCATCAGAACGGAAGCGAATCTCCTGACGTGATAAAAAGTCACGAACATTTCATAACATCATTCATGAAATCATAATTAAGAAATTTTTAAGAAACAATGAGTATTGAAATTTCCAAAACATTAAGAAACTGGAGTACTCAACATCGACCTTTGTTTCCTATAAAAAAAATGAGTGTAGTTAAATTTGATGTAATACATTTAAAAAATTCTTCGATGACATCACTAGATTGAAGAAGAAGTCAAGCAAGTTTCCATATACTTTGCATATAATTCCAAAAACAATATATTGTCTATTCTTGAAAAAGCCGTCAAACTGCAAAATATTTATTTAAGCTTATTGTAGATTGCTGACTTGAACCAGGAGCATATCTTTTTGGAGCCCAGGTTTAAATTGCACCTTTTTTTATTATACTTATAAAATGATTACCTGCTTGAAGGACGAGAAAATGGCAGATAATATTTTTTTAGCTAACCTCATTAATTCAAGGAATCGATCTATAACAAGAGTTTGCACATGGAAATCTTAGGCATCTTAATCATTACCCGTTACAACACTACACCACTGCTTAAAACTTTGCTTTCTTAACCACAATATCTCTAGTACCATCCAAATCAGCCTTCATATCCTCTTTGCTTGAGGCTTGAGCTTGTTAAATTATCTTGCTACCCTGGGTCCCAGCCGCAAAAGTTAAAAAATAATATTAAAAAATAATGAGAGCTGCGGAGGCGAAGGAGAGAAAAGAGAGAAGCAGCTCTCATTATTTTTTAATTTTTGCGGCTCTGGTACCCAGGGTATTCTCTTGCCATCTGTTTTTCGTGCTTGCTTTTCTTGCTTGCTTTTCTTGCTTGCTTTTCTTGCTTTGATTTCACTTTTAGATACTTGCTTCCTTAGAATTTATTTTGAGCCAAAATTGACTCGATGTAGTGCCGTGGGAAGGAGAGAATAATTGGGGGGGGGGGGATTTTTGAAAACAATAGGAGAAAAAAGGAATTATTAATTAGAAACAGCATATTTGTATAATTTGTTGGTGGTTCGGTAAACCAACCCCCTCCCCTTCCCCCAAGAATAGTACTAGTTACTATCGAGCGATTAATTGATACCGTTGAACCTTGTCATTAAAAATATGCTTAAAATATAGATAAATGTCGTGCACTAAAAATCTTAAATTGAAAATTGCTTTTTCTTAGTTGATGGATCCAGATTTCGCATTCTGTTTCATCTCAAGTTCTATTGAGACTTTCACGTTTAAACTAGTTAGATCGAGGTCATTCGCAGTCATAAAGCTATATTTTTCGAATCATTCAGTATACCGCCAAGCAATTAGGAAAGGTTACAAAGAAAGTGGAGGCCGTTTCTTTTGAAGATCGTTTCTTTGCATGTATTAGATCTATCCATATATTTGGCACAAACCGCTTCCTTATCGAGGTGCATATTAGCAAAAAACAAGCTAACGCAAAGAATAAACCCCCGTCTGACGCTGAAAAGAGATTATGAAATGCTTCGCGGCAAGGGTGACGTGTAACCATCCGGGGAAGGAGGCTTCTGCAAAACTTGTTGCTAAAGAATAGGCATTATCAGAAGGGGGTTTAATATCAAAAGGAGGCTTAATCAAATCATTATGCTATCTTGCTTGCAGTTCAGATTCGCCCTCGGGGTTTGAATATTTTGCCACAAGGATTTTACAAAAAAATTGTTTGCTAAAATCAGAAAATTCTGGTATTCGGGACTCTTCCTAAAACATTAAAACTTCCCTGGTCAAAGGAAGTAGGAGATGCCGATCGCCAAGCTACATGCATGTGGACTGGTGCCTTAAAATTCATCTATGGCTACACATCTTTTAGAAAACAAAGGGTTAAGATAAACGGTACGTTCAGCAATTGGAAAGAAAATAATTCAGGTGTGTAACAAGACTCTGTTTTGCGACCTCTTCTTTTTAATATATACTTGAATGAGATTTGTTTCTACTGGTTGATGGAACTAAAATCTGCAGATGACATGACTCTGTCTGTACACGAGTAGCCACATCAAAGAAAATGTCATCCAAAGAAGTGAACCTGGCGTAACCCAATTGTCAGCATGGTTTCCAGAAATTTTATGAAACCAAATGAAGAAAAATGCAAATTTATACTGATGGTGAATCCTGCTAGAAAACCAATTTGTTCATCGGCAAAGCTTAAATTAAAAACATACGTTGAAACATTCTGTGGGAAAGTTGCTTTAGAACGCATCTCAAATCACGTGGAACCACAGAATTAAATGCGCTGATGAAAATTTTATCATGAGTCACTTATGTGAATTTTTCACGATATATCTTTGAACAATAGATTAGATAGAATTCTCGAAACGGCCTTGCATATTGCATATAAGGACTATGAATTCAATTGTCAAGAACTATTCAGAATAAATAATGCAGTTTCCATTTACCAGAAAAACCTGCAGTTGCTGATGATAGAAATTTATAAAACAAAATCAGGTCTATTAAATGCAATTTAAGGTCAACGGGAAATCCTCGGTAACCAAAAGAGAAAATTAACAAATTTCGGAACAGTACGATTTATAAGGGCAGAAGTATGGGAAGCCTTTCTGTTGTTTTAGAAAATGCTAACTTACTCCGTCCCTTTAAATCAGTGAATAAAACACACAATCAAGGTTGCAACTGCAGATTCTGCAAAGAATCTCACAAAGGAATTTGTTTTTTGCAATTAATGTTTTAGTAGCTTTTATTTTATATTCTTGTAATCATTATTTGTATGTTGTTGGTCTTGATTAGTTTTATACTATATTATGTAACTAGCCAACTTTAAATGAAAAAATTAATGATGATAAATAAATAATGATGTTGAGTTACATGCGAAATCTCGTGAGACATCGCCTTAACTAGAGGGTGAAAAAATTAGCCTTTGCGTATCATTGTTGCAGAGAAAAGAGAATTGCAACCGAGTGATGAGCACAGCCGTCTGAAAAGATGTTGGTTTCTGTACGTTGATACCGCCCAAAGATAATTATGAGGTTTCCAACGTTAATTTGAAATCACAGGGTTCTTGCACAAGCCGTTCTGTTGCCCTTTTTCCACTGTCCCGTATCTGTGATCTTCAGGGTCACCGGGAAGGGGGGCAACAGGGATACATTGCCCCAGGGTCTCGATGTCTAGGGGGCCTAATAAAGTAATTTACTCCATTTTAAGAGTGGAATTATTCAGACGTAGCACACGTATGATTAAAAAAGTTAGCTATTTCAAACGATTGCAGGAAAATGACTGTAAAAAAGGTTCTGAAATGCATTTTAAGCTAAAGGGCGTGTGGTGCTTCTGTTTTTTCTTAAACTAAGTAAATGACTTTTAAAAAAGCAAAACTTTTGCATCATAATTAAAGATTTTCCGTCTGACACCCCTCATGGTATATTATGTCAGAATAAGGTTTCGAAAGTAAATAAGTAATGTAAATACTGTAGTCAAATCAAAGTCCTTAACTGATAACCGATGGCAAATGAATCGGGTGTTCTAGATAGTTGTTCTGTGGTTCGTTGGTCAAAGGCAGAAAAAGATGTCACGGTTACATTGTTCATAATTCGTAAAATAGAAACAACTATGAACAAACGGTAACACATACGCGCGTAAGAAATTTTAGGGGGGGCTCAAGTAGTAGTAATTTTACCAATTCTGAAATTTATTCTTCTGCGATCATTAGTTACGTGTGATTTTTGTGTGTTTTTCTGGGTCATGAGTGTACGTAGACACTGCCTCTCCCACGTAGGTAGATAAGGGGTTGATGGCGAGAAAAGAACTTAAGGGAAAAAGTAAATCATAAGTGTGTATCAGTCAATCCATTGCAACCAAATTGGCAAAGGACAAAACTTTTTATGAGAGCGTCAATTTATACACAAGAACAGATTGTAATAAGCATATTTCTTGTCGGATTATGGCAGAAAATATGGTTGGTTAAAAAGCCTGTCATTCAAGAGATGACAAATCAGGTAGTGTATTGTGAGCTGGACCAATCAAAATCTTCACAGATTTCCGGTAGCCATCATGTTCTAGCGCACAAAGCAGTCCAGGTGCATACAGGCATCAGTCTTCAATTTTCGCCAACGATCAGGTCAATAAATCACACTTTTTCCAGCAACTGATAATCAAATAACATTTTTACAATTGAATTAACATTTACCAAATGCATATCAAATATTATTTACCCATACCTCAGTTTCAATATTTCAACCCATAATCTTTCGAAGTTAATTAGATTTAATTATTTGCTTACTCTGCATCTTAAATAAAGTAACCAACACGTACTATTTTTAAGGGGCTAAATATGATATTAGTTTTGTTTGGTATACTCGATATTACTTTGTTAATTTCGTTTACCCTAATACATCAAGTTATTCTGCAGCGCAATTCATTAATTCTGAAATTAACAGCATACAAGTTAGTATGTAAGAAATAATATTTGTTTTAATATCAACTACCTATGGGTATTGGTCTGAAGCTTGACACCAATTAAAAACGTTGACACAAAAGCAAAGCTTGCTAATTCAGCCTTATTTCTTATCGTTGATGAAGCTGAATATCAGTTTTTTGTTTAAAGACTGCCAGAGGAGTGCAATCAAATCATTCTAGTCATCTGAAAAACAAAATCAGACCACAGATGACCTTGTGTAAGTCAAATTTGCTAAGCTAAAAGCTGCTCAAGACGAAGTTATCTAAATCGATACCCTTTTTGCCGAAGTTGCTTAAGTTGAAGTCATGTGAAACGAGTTTACGGAAGTAGATGTTGCATAAATCGAACTTTTGTAATTTGAATTTAGAAAAGTCGAAAATGCAAGAGTTGAATTCCTGTGAGTCGAAACGGTGTAAGTGGAATTTGCACGAGCTGAATTCGTGTAAGTCGAAGCGGTGTTAGTGCAAGCTCTTAAGGTGAAGTTGTTCAAATCGAAGTTGCGTAAGTTGAATTCGCGTAAAATCTTCGAGAATCTTAAAAATGCCGATTTATGTTAATCTTTGAGGTCATTCCATAACTTCTTATTCCTTGATCAAAAATGAAGAAAATCCATATCAAAGTTCGTTAAAATCTAATCTCGGCCATTTTCCTAGGAACCATTCCAAACAATGTCTATCTCATGGAAAACGAGTCTATTATACAGTAACTTCTTTGAACAAGAAACAGGCCTCATTCTTTCAAAAGGGGCTCATTTTATAAAAGACAATTTTAAGCCTGGATTTCAATTGTTTTTTATTTTAAAGCATAAACATACTTGAAAATAAATTGATGCTGTGGGATGGTTGTAGGTTGTGTATTCTGCTGATATGGAAAATTATACTGTATATTATGTATTATACTCTACTACCAGTAATATTGAATACACATTCATTGGCGGTACTGTCATGGCTTGATTTGACTTGACAGCACCTACTGATAAGAAACTTGATGATGAACAGTCTCTGTTAATAAGAAACTTCCTGAGGCCTCAGTTTAAAAAGCGATTTTTTATATGCGGGTACTTTCTGTAGTCAGCTGGAGGGTGTTACTTTAGGCCAAGAGCCCATTATACCAGAAACTAGAAATCTCGTACTAAGTAGAGATTTTCTTATGGTATTGTAGACAGAAAACCACTACATATATTAGACCTCAGCCTTGTTAAGGGACAAATGAATATATCTAGAGATTTCTCTTGAGATCTCTAGTTTTCACGAAGCTATTCCTATTGCCCGCGTAAGCGAAAGCTTTTCTGTTGTTAGAGCGCTAACAAGGAAACGTGCGGAGGTAAAATCAAGTATCAACAGTCCTCAATGGCAGCTAAGACTCTAATTTGGGAACAAAACTATGATACTTTTGAAAGTTTTCAAACTACTTATTGCTGTGATTCCTGCTTCACAATCCCTTATACATAATTCCATGATAGCCGGCTGTAACGATTTTATTTCAAGCACAACACGCAAGACAGCTTTAAAATGCGGTTTCGACTCCGTTTTGCTTGATTTTGCCGTTCGTCTTAATAAGTTCTTTCAGCTCAATGCTACTGCCTTCTGTCTCATGGTGTCCATGGGGAATATTAAGGCACGTGGTCACTTGCTGCTGATCCAGAGACTTATGAAAGTTGGCATTTGTTTTATGCTTGGGACTTCTCACTCTGAGGAAGATGGCGTAACACAAACAGTTTTCCTTGAAGCCTCTCTTGAAGTCGCTGCTCAAAAGGTAGAGGATTATCGGATTCATGGCACTGTTTGCAACTAATATGATTAAAGAAGCGTGGTATAGCCCCCCAATTGGTGGCCAGGAGCGCGTTGGTGGGTAGAAGACCGTCAACGTAAGGAGTAAGTGTATAGGCAGCAAGCAAAGAGTAAATGTAATGAAGATCACAAACATCATCCACACAACACGTGATCTGCGTTGCACCTTTGCCAAGCTGCGGGAATCTCGCACAGTCAGACGAGTGAAGCGCATATTCTCTCGTATTTTCTTGACAATGCGCACAAAGGAAAGAAAAACTAGTATGACAGGAATTATATACAAAAATGTTAGTATAACTGCACGGTAAATTTTTCCATAAACCTGTTTTGGCCAACTTGCAACGCAGACAAGGCGGCCTCCCTTGCTAGGCCTGATCTTCATAAATTGAACAAGTGGTAGTGCAACGACAAGGTAGGAGAACAGCCATATGAGTGCAATGACAATTATTGTAACTTTGAGTGTCATTTTTTGTGCGAAGGGATGCACGATCGCTCGAAACCTATCCATTGTAATGACACACAGAGTTACGATGGATACTGAAACGAGCACGTCAGTCAGCGGGAACAAATAGCTGCATATAAACGGTCCGAATGGCCAAGACATGAACAAGCCTGCTACAGTAATCGGTAGGCAAACAAGAAGTGTAATGAGATCAGCTGTCGCTAAGTTTCCAATCAATAAGTTTCTTACCGATCGCATACGCTTTGATGTCACTGTCAAAAGAACCAACGTATTTCCAGTGACACCGACAATGAATACAATTGCATACAAAGTCACTTGTGTAGCAAGAAGATGTACATCTTCCTTCTGTCCGGTAAAGCCTGGCTTCTTACTATTGTTTTTGGAAGAGTTTGGCTCCAGCGTTCCATTGCACGTGCTGTTTGAAGTGCTTTTGTCATCAATGCTGATGTTATTGCTAGATAGATATCTGTCGAATGCTGATGTATGGATGCCACTTCTATTGTAAAACAGGCTGCTTGGGCCTGCAGTTTTATTGCCATCATCTCTCGACGTAGTTACCCTATGCAGGACTATTGCCAAACAGATAAGCACCTTGCATTGACGAATCAGGCCCATTTTTGCCAATGTATTTTCGAAAGACTTAGTTTCTGAAGTTCTATTCTGATACTACCCCGAATGACGACCTCTTCATCTGTTTCTTTAGTTCATATTGTTTTTTCAAACCTTTTAGGCACCTGAAAAAAAATGAAATCTTTAACACTTAAACACAAGGGTCGATTTTAATCTGAGAATTATGTTGTTATAACATTATTGCTCATAACCGGTTCAAAGCAATAAAATTCTTAAGCTTGGAAGCTAACCAGCGAACATTTTTTCTTTATGGAATACGTCGTGCCATTTGAGTACCAAAGTAATTAATATAAATCTCGTGCAATATACGTGCTCTTTGAAAATAGCAAAGCAAAGTATTTCATACTAAAGCTCTTTTCATCTGACACTACTCCGAGTTGAAACGTCGGATTGTGACCAAAATTCAATGCGTTTAATTTGTTTCCCGCTCTCACATATAATTGACCGATAATCTCACATATAGTTGGCGGGTCCAACAGATGAAACGAGCTTCTTTAGTTAAGGAGCCAACCAAACACTGTTCATTGTACGACGATTAACTTTGAGGATTAACAAGACTCCAGAAAAATTATGTTAGTCATGCCATCATGCAATCAAATGGCTCTAGAAAACTGCAACCTACAACCTCAGCTCTAGAAAACTGCAACCTACTAATCACCCACTTTACTTCGACTCCAATAACAGATGACGATTTCTGATTACATGTGACAGTGATGAGATCGTCAATGTAAAATCGCTCTATTTTCAAAAGACAATGTTGCTCCGTTAATCAGTTCATATGATAACTCGTGTATCTGCCAAAGAAAACATATATTGACTGAACCGATTATGAAAACACTATACAAACACATTCGTCTTTGCATGAACCGTAGACAAAAATTGATTTTATCATTACTGTCCTTACATTATACAATGCCCAGTTAAGACATCGATACATAAGACCTGTCGAAGATCATCCACAAAAACAATATCCGCCTTCCATTAGCTTTTTATGCTTTTCTATTTGCTCTTTGCATCATCTTTGCAAACAAATGAGATAAGTTCTCCATTGCAATAGCTAGTGTGATCTTCAGCTGAGCTGCTTCATGAAAAACACTATACACCTTTATCAACAAAGCGTTTGTACGAGGCTCACTTTGTTATACAGACCAGGTGCCTTCTGTGTCTTACGTAATCCACTTGAATGTAATGTTAGCTCCCATGGTTATTACATGGATCAACTGCCATTGGATAGTGCTGCAATATCCATTCAGACAATCAAGCTAAAGCCAAACCTATAAGATAATAGAGGTGAAACAAAGCCAATCAGACAATAGAGGTGAAACAAAGCCAATCAGACAATAGAGGTGAAACAAAGCTAATCAGACAGTAAAGGTGAAACATAGCCAATCATACAATAGAGGTGAAACAAAGCCAATCAGACAATAGAGGCGAAACAAAGCCAATCAGACAGTAAAGGTGAAACAAAGCCAATCATACAATAGAGGTGAAACAAAGCCAATCAGACAATAGAGGTGAAACAAAGCCAATCAGACTGTAAAGGTGAAGCAAAGCCAATCATACAATAAAGGTGAAGCAAGGCCAATCTGACAATCGAGCTAAGCAAAGCCAATCAGATAATCGAGCTGATACATAGAGAATGAGACAACCGAACCGAAGGAAAGCCAATCAGAAAATCGAGCCGATACAAGGTCAATCTGACAATCGAGCTGAAGCAAAAACCAATCAGACGATCGAGCTGAATCAAAGCCAATGGAACCATCGATCATGCACTTAAAAAGAAAGGCACTCAGTTCGGCCTTCATCCGTATGTGCTGATTTAGACCCATATTTGGTTTAAGGACTAGAATTTGTTACAATATTGCTCTTATTTTATGTGACTGAATATACGTGCTAAAATATCCAGAATGGCAAATTAACGGAACCAAGATACGTGACTGACGCCTTCTTTTTTCTAGAAGGCCTATTCTGTGACCCTTAGAACATAGATCAACTGTTGATTAATGTTCTCTTACGAAGCTCCGTATTCTGTGGACAAAAATTAGTTTACATACAGCTTAATCTATATTTTTAGTTATTCATAGTGGCTTCTCGTCATTTCGCTGTGTTCTTATGTAGGATTTCATGTCATTTCTTTCATCGTAAGATTCGCAGAATCCGAAGACCTTTTCCAGCGTGTCTTCTTTCTAGCAAATTTGAAACTTCAGATCAGGTTCTAACTGCAATTCAAAAGCCATGTTTGACATATTCAAAAGCCAAATTTTTCATGTTGTTTTTTGCGCCTTCAATGATTTAAATGTACCGAAAATGCCGTGCTTCCTGCAGTAAAATTCCAGTAAAGCTAGTAACTTACTGTTTGAACAGTGCTTTAATTACTGAAATGCTGCAGACATGATTTCAGATCGGTTATGATTTCATGTCAGCAAAGGGTAATGTTCTGAAGCTATTAGCAGCCATAGCTTATAAAATTTTATGATGGGTGTTCTCTTTTTTGTTGCGGCAAACTCCAGAACGAGTTTTCTTTCATCTTCCGAAAAAGAAATGGCGATACCAAATAAATTGACCATAACAACAAACTGTAATTGCTGGCACTTTTCAATCCGTAATGACAGAATAATGCTACCGTTGATTCAATTCTTCATTTGGCTTTGCCACACATTTATTTGACCAAGTATTGAATTTGTCAACTAAGCCGAAATGAAAGTTTGCAGCAAGGCTTTTTATTTTTTCGAGTGTGCTTGAAAGCTGTAAGCCGTCATGGGTCATTCAAAAATTAGGTGCTCCCTGAAGTGGCAACCTCCAAAACCTGCTAGAATGAACAAGGGGTTCATATCATACATGTTATTTGCAAGAGAAATTTTATAAGAACACAAGCCTGAATATTGGTTACAATTTAAAAACATGCCAAAGCTTAAGTACTGGAAACCTGATTTTGAACGAGATGTTGAACTTCTAAAAAAAATGAGTTTCAGAAACGACGAGTTTTTCGCCATTCAGGAATGCGTTATCAATGAATTTTCGAATTTGCCGGCAAATAAAGAATTGCTCACTCACTTTGTCGACAAATGAGGCCTGAACACTCCCCTTGAGCGCGTTGGCAAGCAATTTTACTACTTACAACCTAATATTCTAAGAAAAGAACAGCTTCAAAGTTTTGAAAAATTATGAACAGCCAGCTTGATTTTTGATTTGAAGGCTGATTGAAAATTTACTAAAAAATTAAATCAAGTACGGAAAATGAAATAAAGAAAAACTGATTCTTTTATTGATTGCTATTAAAATAGTGCTTTCAGTAATCGAAATCAACTGGCAAAGTTGTGTTGAGAAAAATGAAAAATAGTTGAGAGTTTTGACACTACTTCATATAAGATGTTAACTGGAGGTTGTTTGATAAAAATTGTATATAAAAAACTGTTCACTGTTTGATACACAAAACAGTGATATTTCAGCAGCAATGCCTAATCAACATTGTTTTTCTGGTAAAACTAAAAATATGAGAATCAGAAATATTCAATGAGAGGATGGAGTAATTTCGGACTAGCAACAAAAAGGTACATTAGGAATTTTTTCATTGATACAAAGACTTATATTACTTGTGGAGGGGCACGAGTCACACCCCCCCCCCAAGAACATCGGAATTACTGTAAGGCTATTTGCAAGTGCAAGGGATGTTTGACTGCAATTACAAAAAAGTAACGTTAATCCCCCAGTTGCCGCCGGAATAAGCCCCCACCCTCAAGCAAGTCCCCTCAAATAAGCCCCAACTTCAAATAACCCCCAACCACGAATTAGCCGCAAACATTTTGATATAATGACAAAAACACTTGGTTGCTAATTACCTTATGCAAATAATGCAAAGAAAGGAAATGCTGATGTTTGGAAAACCTTTGGGAAACAAAGGTCGCTTCACAAATACCTGGCAAGGTTACCTAGTCAACAGATTTGGTAGTGAAATACCCATGAATGCTTGTATTGCATTTATTCTCGGGATACCATCTTGCTGCCAGTAGTAACATCAGGTCTTAGGGGATCTCTAATTTTTTGTTGATTTGTAATGCTGAAAATGATTTAGCACTTGATTCCTGTAACCCAGAAGATATCCAGGAGAGAGAGGGAGAGTCTTTTGACAAAACAAATTGTTCATGAAGATGATTTTCCACGAGTAAATTCCTTTTATTGTTACACAAAACCAGATCCCTAAGGAACGAACTTTTGTCTAATTCAAACCTCTTTTGAAAAGTGCAGTTCTGCATACATAGTGCAATGTTGGATGACTAGATGGAGCGCAAACTGAAACATGTGGACTCAGAAGTGTGCAAATTGTTACGCTAAACATTTGCAAGAACATTGAGTGGAGTATAAATTGGTGAACAATCGCAACGGTATGTTTATCTTTTTTAATTTCGCACTTTAAGACAAACTGTCAACTGATGAATTAACATAAAACGGTATAATGGACATTTGCATGCTCCTGTTCTCCCCTGTTTCGTTCATGAAACCTTTTAGATACTGAATTTAGCTAGTAGGATAGAAAGGCTTAACGGGTCAAAAAAGATCCTTTCTGAAGACTGACTGCACAAAAACAAATAATTTTACGCTTGGTGTTAATCGAATACTTGGCGTTGTTTTTTCGCTTTTTCCTATTTCAAACTAAAAACTTACTTCTATCAAATAAATGAAGGAAAAATAAAATGATTTAAATTGTGTGTGAGTAAAAGAAATGTACTAGCTTTGTACATTGAACGACAATCTCAGTTACAGGGTAAATAATCATATGTTTGTTAAGAAGAATTGCCTGTGTGCATTAGTATATACATATACAGTATTTCTAGTAATAGCGATTCTAGGTTGTCTAGGTATTTCCACTCAGTTTTTTATGTATTTGAGTGTAAGTCCCTGTCATTTCTATGCAGCAAATAACAAATAAATATAGATACAGTGCTGGTCACCTCTACCTCTTTGCTGTTGGTCGATATCTTGGTCATCGTTACAAGCTGCTATCTGCCTTCCAGCTCGTTCTCTCTGCTCATCAACGAGCAATGCCCTTTTGAATGCTTTACATCCTAGGTCTCTGAAATGTTTGCTTACGAGCAGGTGGCTTTAC